TAGTCGTAGTCAAAATACCTAGCCTAAATTAGCGTTACATATGTTTTATTGAGGTACGGTATTTCACCAAGGAGATACTTGAAATACCCAGTGAGATAGACCAGTCTAATAGCACCACTTTTTAACGCTTTTCTCCCTTATTGGGTCATAATTACGCATAATTATGTTCGATTAAAAGACTTTAAAACTTTAGGACAAGAAGTGACCAGTAGAGGGCGTGGTTGCATGCAGTAAAGCTCATCCATAACCCAAAACTATCAATGCAACCAAAGGCTGTTGCCACCCACAAATTTGTAAGGATAGTGTAGTATGAGTCAGAGCTAAACATCCGCATGGAAACTGCACATTGCTGAAAAAGATGGAACTCAAAACTTTTCTTCCTTCACTACTGATTCAACTCATATTCCAAATTTCAATTGGTATGATTGATTAATTCAGTTAATTAAGTGTGACTCCAGTAGAGTTGTATTTAATTTGATTTTGTACCTTGTGTTTCTCTCTGGCCTCTGAATGAAATCTTCACAAAATATCACTTATGATCCTCGCACAATGACCACCAACCGGTCATTCGTATTACCACCATTTGAATCAACATTTCAAGTGCAAATTTGATCTTGAAACGAAAGAACACAGCCTTCCTGGAAGAGAGAAATGACTCAACGGTTAATTAGGTTCCTTCAGACAATCAACAAAGTAAGTGCTTTTAAAGAGAGTGTTTTCAGAGTCGTCTAAACATCCCTACGCCCAGGAAAGGCAATCACAATGCAAGAATTACAAATCACACCGAGGCTCGGGCACGGTATTGAAACAGCCCTATTTCCCCAGTCATTGAATCGAGTGGCTCAGACCCCTCTCGCCATGGTCTGGTGATGACATAATGGAAGATCTGGGTGAAAGCCAAAGCAGTCAATGACGTACAATGCAGAGCTTCCACAAATGGAGTCGGAGTGATTCCCCTTCCCTGTCTCTCTGTATCTATCACATCCAACAGGTATATCTGGAGGCTGAGCTTCAGTAACTGATATGTTTGAATGGACACTGAGTTATCTGTGACCCGTGTAGATAACAGCGACCGTGACGCCATCTGAACTCTACACCTTCAGGATCATTCTCTGTTACGGTGGTCGGTCCCCGATAACAAACGGTGCCCAGGGTAGAAAATGTGGTGCAGACAATAGTTGTCACCTCAAACATCTAATTGACTTCAGAGATCTCCACACTTTGCTTTTATTCAACAAAAACACAATGTTTGTTGTTTTAGGGTGACCTTTTACCCAGACATATCCACTTTTTGAGGCTAAAATCCTTCAAATGTCCAGGGTTTTGTATGGAAGTTTTGAGTTTGTGTTGCCTGGACTAACTGAGTTAGACACGCGTCAACCCAACCCGACAAAACCCTCAAAATTTACTGTGCACAACTCTGCGACTTTGCCCCGCGTAGAAGTGTCCTCTTTTTGGGGGTTCAGACAATGGTCACCCTACTTATAATACAGTCAGTGTTGTCCAAGTAAAGGTGGGTATGATGGCAGTTCAGAGAGTACATCATGTCACTGATATAAATAGGAAAGAGGACTGGGCCCAGAATCGAACCCTGTGGCACACCAGTGAAAAACTTGCAGATTTTTCAATCCTCAAATATGCAGAAACCACACATATTTAAAAAAAACACGTGTATATCTCAATGATAATGTCTTTCAATGAGACAGATCATTAATAATAGTTGGTACTGGTTTAAATAATCCATATTGTGTACTGTCACGTGGTTATTTCTGTACAAACTGACCATGTAGAGTTAATAATTATGACCATGGTCTTGATCAAAAATGAGCATTTCAATCTCTGCAGGGATTCCAGATCATACAGGATTTATAATTGCGTTAGGTCAAACATACGCTGCCCAGCTCTACTTATTAAATTACCATCTCTGTGTCAAGTAATCATTGTAATAGCGTCTTAATCATTGCCGAACACTTAGCGGGCACGTTCCTGAATTGCGATAATGACTACTGTGTTTACTTACATGCCACCGTCTCAAGGTTACGTACCTCGGTGGCTGCATAATAACAAGGGTTAACAAAGGTTAGTTGGCACAAATGTATTCACAGTAAGATCAGCACATTCCTGCAAAGCAAACCTGTCGGCTTACAGAGCAGCTGCAGTGACAGCTTTATTTCCATATGCATAAACGCTCCCTGAAAATAGCCTTAGATGCAGACTTGTACAAAGTGACTGGTATTAATTAAAGCACCCATATGCATCAGCACTATAATCCCGGACCGCAGCACTGTGCAATACGAGGGTTCATTAGAATCAGAGGCTTGTTTCCATGGTGAAGTGAAAAGTAATAACAGAGAGCGTTCTCGGTGATGTGGTGGATTCATTTGTTTCAGTCAAAGCAAATTGTTTTGTGCGACAACAATGGGTGAGTTCATCCAAAAGGCGCTCTGACAACTCGTCTTTGTTGAATCATGACAGCCATGCTTGGATATGAGTCAGAAATTGAATGCTGTAAACACCTGGGTTCACAGCATAACAATGTTTTTATAATTTAATCCCAGTTAAAAGGAAAAACGATGTTTCAATACATCGGACGGGAACATATTTCTCTCTGCAAATAAAGCTCGTTGTTGTTGTTGTTGTGAGGAGACGGTTGACAAATGATGTGAGGAAGAGGATGTGTCTGATTTAAAAAAAAAAAAAAACGCACCGCCAACACATTCACACCTCCTCCCTGCAAATTACCACAGCTCGGTCTTTGACCTTTAGCCTCTAAATATAGCCACCGAGTCACTCATTTGGTGACCTCAGATCCAGAGTCCCAAGAGCTGTCCTTCCACCAAGCTGTTTGCTATTTACATTCCCATACAGCTAGAAGACGGGAAAGGTTTTTGGTCGGTAATATCCTGAAATAAAACACTATCTTGACTTTTTAGATAAATGTGGCTCAAATTCAGCCTGATAAGAAAGTTTCAGAGAAATAAAACAAAAAACACTTGCTGAGATTTGAATTTTTTCTTCCACTCTCAGTTTTTCGTGTCTCCTAGTTTCAAAGAGCGGGCGTCGGATCTGGCTGGCTCTGCTCTTGGTGGATCACTGGCAGTGAAAGGCTGCAAACAAAGGGAACAGAGGGAATGGACAGTGCTGCCCGCTGTGCTACTGAGGGTTGAACCTAGTCCAACATATCAATGCCATCACTCTGCCATACTCTCCCCTGAGCTCGCGGGTAGGGAGTGGTAGTTATCTCATGTTTATGCAAATGATGGAAGCCCCCTTCACTCCTACTCTTAGTACCCCTCCTCCTCTTTCTCTCTGTGCTGATGTCTTTGTTTGGTCTGTCAGCGCTGACTTGTGCCACAAGACAGGCTGAGTCATAAGCGGTATGGTTATTTGTTTGATGAAATTGTACGCTGTGATGGTGGGGGATGAACCGAACAGACTGCGGCGTGCAGAAGGGTTTTAGTGAGGTTTTCCTTGCACGTCCAGCTGGTTTGAACCTTTACATATTTACCCTTTGAATCCCTCTTGAGATGAAGATAACGGTTGAATGTAGGGACGCATGTTTAGCTTGGTCAACAAACTGCTTACACGTAATTGCTTCTGTTAATCCAATAGTGATAGCCAGACCATGCTAACAGCTCTGTAATGTTGTGTTTAGCTAATCAATGCTGTCAGCAAATACGCTCACGGTTAACCATAAGAGGGTTAAGCTGATAATTGGCCACCGTCTCATGCTAATGTTTCTAATTAGTGCTCAGACGAATCAGAATTCAAAACGACGAGGGCGACCATATTCTGAATCCCAAAGAAGAGGACACGAGGAGTTGGCGGAGTGAATTTTGAGTTTTTCAGGTCGGGTCGACGTGCTTCTAACTCAGCAAGTCCATGTGACACAAGCTCAAAACTTCCTCACAAAACCTCTGACATTTGAAGGATTTTATAAACTCCCTAGGTCAAAGCAGGACAGCCCCCTAAAAAGAGGACATGTCCGAGTAAAAGAGGACGTACGGTCACCCTAGCTGTGAGCAGCAAAGATTCTGCAACTTAATTCATCTCGATAGAAATGAAATTGATCAAAAGTCCTCTCTGTACAGGCTGGTTGGTCTACTTCTATATTTCACAGCCTTCATTTGTAAACCACCACCAAACAATTCAACCTTATTTGACTTGAATTCAACCAGTTTTCTTGATCGGACGTCTCTCAAAGTCCCTCTTGCTTGCTTTGAACTTCGTAAAAGTGGGCTCTTCTTTGATGCCCCGAACTCAAAGATTACTCTCCTTCTTCTTCTTCTTCTTCTTCTGCAGAGTTTAGGACTTTGATCTCTCACCACAGTCTCAACACGTGGCTGTTTTAATTGAAATTCATGTGTCTGTGACTAATCATATGTTTCCTCTATCTAATGTGCCTGTAATTGAGACGGCGTTGGAAATGAAGTGTCCTCCTGAGAATAAATAAAGGGACCTTTTTTCCTCCTCTTAGAAAACCTACACTTTGGTGAAGCTATTTTTGCTCTCTCGTCACTTTGTTGCTGCTGCTCTTTTTTTCTTTTTGAGTTTTTGATTGGTTAGAAAAACAGACTTAAGATTTTAGAAACACATCTTTTGATGTTCAGAAACAAAGACAGCTCTTTATTTTTTATCACTGCTGTGAAAGAGTAAATATTCACATTGAGTCATATTTTACTGTAAAAAGATGACATAACCACTTTGTCCACAGGGGGCGCCAAAATCAACACAATCTAAAACTTCCTCACAGTTGCCTTAAAGGTGGGGTAGGTGGGAATCTGTTAAAGAAGCATCTTTTTTTTGTGGTGTATACACAAAGAAGCTTTTAATATCAGTCAATAGTTATTAGTTATTGATGACATTTGGTAATATAACAATATCGCTGTGTTCTGTCTGTGTAGTCAACATGTTGAAATTTGGAGCGGCCCAAACAAAGTTAGCGTGCTACAATATCAGACAGTAGAAACCAACCAGAAAGTTCGGAAAATTGTCTGATCCTCCTTTGGCCACGACTGCCGACACAAGCAAGAAAACAAAGTAAATACCGGAGACTCTGGAGGAATAACGGGCGCTTAAAACGGAGGTAGACCGGACAAGAGCTAAAAAGCCGGGTCAACATAAACGATGGGGGACGCTTGGGGATCTTGGTGACCCTGTAACCTTTCTGCTGGACAGGTAAACCGCTTTAACAAAGTAAGACAAGTGTCTGTAACAGAAGTGTTTCTTGTCAAACGGACCTGCTGTAGCGTGTTGTAGCGCCATCGCTAAACTGTCCTCCCTCGGGTCCTGGACTATGTCACTTTATCCTCGTTGTAGAAGTCCTGCAAACATTGTGTTTGCTGGTAGTCTGTTGGCATCTACAGGAGCACCAATGCTTTTGACTTTCACCTTGACTGGGCCCCATTTGTAATGATCTGAAGTATTTATCTGCATTATATCTGAATTTAATCGGAACGATACGAGCGAGCAGGAGCGTCTGTTTGTGGGCGGGGCTTGCTAGAGCAGAGGCGGAGGGGAGAGGAGGAGCTGAGGGGAAAAGTCCCACATTTCATGATCCTGATACCGTGTTTAGACGCTGGTACAACTCATTTTTGCAGATCTAAAGCTAAAGAATCAAACTCAGCCTCAGCTCTGGTATCACGCAGGAAACAGGTTTGCATGATGCCGGGTGAAAAAGTCAGTAAGTGAATAAAAAAGCACAAAAAACATGCATAAACATGAAGCTGCAAAGTAACTTCTTAAATCCGGCGATCGAATCTCAGAAGCAGGTGAGAGAATTTCTGAATTTGTCTTTCATATCGACTCTCTTTTTCCTCAACTTGTTGCTGTTCTCCTGTCACGCTGCGATCACTAACAAGACGAATAAAAAAAAGACGATGGAGAGAAAATAAAATCCATTCACAGCATTTTCTCCCTTTTTTTTGTCTTTTATTTAGGAATGGCAGGAAATCAACACAGACATGAAACCTCCGACCAAAACCGAGCACCTAAACCCTTATCTCTCAGATCTTGTCTTTGGAGGATATAGATATGGGTATTTCAGGACTAAGCCTTTTAAAACCACAGGCAAGACAAATTGATTTACATCGGGAGAGAAAGAAAAGAGATTAAAACATAAAAGAGGAAAATACAAGGACAGACAGATTAAAAGAAACCCGTCTTTAAAGAAATGCTGTACACACAATCGCTGCTTTTATGATATTTTAGGATTGGAAAAAGGAATACGTCGAAGTACAGCGTGTCCCATAAGCCAAATTTTGATCTTCACATAAATCCTCGATGGCTCGCCGCAGTTTAGAAGGTCCTGGATGTTACAGCTCCAGGCGATAAACTGCAGGAGTGGAAACAGATGCATTAAACATTAAACGCCCGAGTAACTCAGCATGCAGCCTGAACCTCGCTGCAGCCCTCACTCATCCCTTCAAGCTTTAATACGGCAGTGACACACAACATAAACTGGAATGATTGCAGACTTTTTTTTACAGCAGGTGAATGTGATAACACCTGCTGAAATTATTGATTTTTTAGAGCTGGGTGTGCCTTTTTTAATGCCAACAAACACTCGGACACTCTTAACTTAAGTCTGCTCTGTGGCACTTCAAAATATGACAACAACTTTACATCATGTTTTCTGAGAATACAAATGTAATGTCTGGTTAGTCTCCTAGAGTAACTCACTGTGGTTAGCATCGATAAGCAAAGGTTACAGCGTGTAGTGCATATGTAATCCATGTAATCCCAAAACTGGCGTCATGTAAAATCCAGGGGGAAAAAATCCTTAAGTACTTCTCAAACAAAACACTCCAAATTTGTAGGCCAGCCTTACGGTACCTAAAGTCCCCAAGAGAAGTATAAGAGGTCAAGCCTCCCCTTTCCTGAGGAGGGAGGAACCAAGTCCAATAAACTTTACAGCTTTTTAAAAAGGATGTTTCCAAACCTGCTCCTTAAACTTACAGTTATAGCTGACTTAGACCTGGATCAGGTCCTAGTTTTACTACTCTACGCTTAAACTGGCACACTTGCCATGTTTCCATGTGTTTATATAATCAAATAATCCGATCACGACGTGCGTATTCAATACACCAAGTTTTATTCAGATTAGAAACATTTGGACATGAGCAGAGTTGTCTAATTTAAAGGTTTTCGAAGAAGAAGAGTTGTGTTAAAGTCTGTGCGGTCAACAAACCAACAAACGCAGTAGTGTTTGAATAAAACTTGGTGTATTGTATTCGCATGTCGTGATCGGATTATTTGATTATGTAAACAGAAGATTCAGATTTTCATGGTCATGATCGGAATAAGTGTTTCAGAATAAAGATCGGCATAAATCACCCCTCCAGAACAGAACATGATTTCTTTCCAATCGACATGTTTACATGACGCTTTTGTTCCGATTATCTGTGCCAATGTAAACATATCTAACGAGATCCAGTCTGAATGGGGGCCCATCTGGATCCCATACACAGGAATCTTTGCTTTGGATTGCCTCTAAAATAAGACCGGTTCCCTCTATCATACTTTCTTTAGCTGCTCAGCTGACACCGACGTGGCACCAACCTAAAAATCTTCAATCTTGTGGTTGATGGTTTCATTTGCTTCTGGATTTCCTTTAAAAAAAACACACAGTCTATTTCATCCACGTCAACAACTCCTCACAGGAGACCTGGGCCACCGATCAGGTTGCTGTTTTTTTACATGAGCCTGATTACAGCCTGTGCAAAACAACTCTCACCTTTTCATACAGACCTGGCCAAGCAGCTTTTAACTCTGCAGCCAGCTTTTCTTAAGCACTCTGGAAAATCTAAAGTAATAATATCATGACCAGTAATGGTTGGGAGTCTGACAGGGTGCCACTTAACCTGATTGCAGATCCATTTCTCCTTACCCGTGGCTAATTGCAGAGTTGTTCTCTCTGCTTGGGTCGGAATAAAGAGGTTTCTGTGGTGTTGCTTAAAAGGTAAAACACTCTGTTCTTGCACTTGTTCTTGAATCCCTTCAGCGCAGGAAAAACAGGCGTTTTAATGTTAAAAATAATATGAAACAGATACTTTGCAGCTTTCTAATTCGCCTTCTCTCCCTTTTCAAAGCAGGAAACGTAATTTTAACACCAGAAATCCCCGAATAGTCTTTCAGGCGGCGCCAGTTCATTAGTTGTCCGTTCACCGCTTAAACAGTCAAGGGCCATATGCTCTATGTTCTTTTTCGGCTTAACATGTGAAGTGCACACGGCTTGAACTCGCTCCTCTTACTCATCCTATCGGCTGCTTGTGTGCTTTACTAACAGCCACAGACACAGTCCATTTCCTGAGCGGTAACGGTCCCAGGAGAGCAAGAGTGTGTGTGTGTGTGTGTGCTATTTTTAAAGTCAATACTCGGCAGGTGGAGCTGCCTGGTGAGATTTAAACGCCGGTGTGATTACAAAGCTGACAACTATTACCAGAGCACAATGAGGAAGAGGAGGAGGAGGAGGAGGAGGAGGTTTCTACCTGTGAACGAGCTTGTTACAGCCGTGAATTTCTTCTTATTTTGATGAGAAATGCAGCAAATAAAGCTTAAAATTCAGTGTTTATAAAGAGAGAGGTTTGATGTTGGTGTCCAGTAGGCAGCACTTACTCATGCTTGCAAAATGAACCAAGGGCAAACCGCTTTAACCGCTGTGAAAACCAGTTTGTTTTATTATCTGTGTCTGGGCTCACCTTGTTACCGTGGCACCCAATTTGGATCGGGCTCTGCAGAGAGTAAGAGCTTCAGGAGTATTGGATTTCTCCGAGCGTCCCCGCCTGCAGCTCTCTCCCTTCCATGCACCAGCGCTACAGTAAATGATTCAGAGCGGAAGAGCCTGATTCCTGGAGAAGATCTGACCACAGATCTGTGAAATTGGACAAATTACTGATTAACAGTGGAGAGAAGATGGCACAGAGTGTACACCTCTCTGAAATCTTCTTAATCTGTTTTTTTTTTTTTTATAAAAGTGTCGGAGTTTACGGGGATTAGCATCTCAAACAAAGCATGCAGCATGAAACAAGACTAATGAGAAATGAGATGCATTTTGATGTTTTTGCATGCAGCTATAAGCTTGTGTGCAAATTTTGGATTATGTGATTGAAAAAAAAAGGACAAAAATGTTAACCCTTGTGTTTGCAGATCATATTTTGCACAACCTTGTGTTTAATTTTGCATCAGGTGACAATAAAAAGCTCAATAACCCCAAGTTAGAAATTCATCTGGAATACCCCCCTGAAGTCAGATTTCCAACTCGGAAAGTCGGACAATTCTCACCAATCCCAACTTAACGATAACAGCATAATCAAAGATGACAACCGCTAATGACAGCTGACAACAACTGGCAACTGCTAACAACTGATAGTTGTAAACAGCTTACAGTAGGCGTCCATCTTGGTTTTCCAACTGTTTACTGGAACGCCATCAACTCGGGTGTAACATCATTTCCAGCTACGATATACAACTTCCGAGGGAACTGAAAGCAGCATAAATATTCTGCAATATCTAGTGGTCAGATTCTAGGTTGGAGTGGCATACGGTGGCCTTTGAGGACAAAAACCTCTCATGATGCATTATGCGTGTAACTTCCAGTAGTCAAACATTTACCATGAAAAAAAAAGTGTTAATACATAATATTTTGTGCAAACACATTTTAATTAAATAAGATTAAAAATAAAATATAACAGTTGTTCTACTCTTACCATGACCACTCCCCAAAGTCGTTTCTGACTGAAGTATTTCGACTTCAGTCCGTCATCTTTTCTCATTCTTCTCCTTTTCCATTTCTCATTTTCACCGACCTGTTTAAGAGGAAAAAAAGTGTCTCATTGTGCTCACAAGGCCATCGAAAGCAAATGTACAATATGATGCAGGTCGGCTCGCTTCTCTCTCTTAAAGACCCGTGGGAGAATTACGGAGCGAGGGCGAGTTGACCTGTAACAGCTGTACACGACCAGGCTGACTGTGGAGCTGCACGGAGTCTTTTAGTTTCAATTTGAGACGCGTTCTTCTTCTTCAGACACCCCGAGATCAGAGCCAACTTATTTATTACCATTTTGGTAGATATAAGACATCAGGGGGATGGAGGGACTAAAGGATGTCTGAGGTGGTATTGATAACAGCTGCTCTGGATTATGTAGAATATTTGCTTTTGCTTTTCCCATTTGTTTTTAATGGTGCTTTCATTCCTACATATGGAGTTTTTAAAGAGACATGTCTCCTGTTAATAGGATTAATCACCAGTGTAATGAAACTTCTGCTTCGCTGTGATCTTACAGAAATTGATAGCTCTGTGAGTGAGTTTAAACCCTCGCTCCTCTCCTGTGTGTGCTCCCTCGGCTGTGGAACGATTTAGTGAACTCCACTGGTCAGCAGCATCCTCACCCCCGTCCTCTGAAAAAATAAAAAAGAGGTTGAAGAAGTACTGTACTCTGCTGCCAATTCCTCCTCACCTAATATGCCCTTTCTCTTTCTCTCTTCCTCTCTCCTGTCAAAGAAGAGAAGCAGTCTTTCCCCTCACTCGTATCAGGTGGAATTGGCTTATCCCCCAAAGTGAGTAAGTGTGTTTCATTTGAATAAAAGTCATTTTTGAGGTGATAATAATTAGAATTAGATGTTCTGAGAATGCAGAGAGAAGCTGATTTAAAATTATGGCTGTATTCGTGAACGATTACTCAACATTGAGAAGAAGTTAAAGTGTAACACAGCTCCCTGAGGGGCAGCTGGATTGTGATCCTCTTTTATCTACACTTGTGATATTTGTGTCCTCTCTGCGTGTGTGATTACGCAGTTTGACAGTCGGCCAAACTCCACTTCAAATGATGATCCAGTCAGGTCTCAGTTAATCTTGTTCATTCATCACTGGTTGAATTCAGAGTGAAAACTATAACAAAGAGAAATAATAAAGCACAGATCAACAAGGTGCTGTGAACAACTTCTATCCAATCCGCTTCATTTATATAGCACATAAAAAAAATAAACATTCAAGTTTACCAAAGTGCTGCACAGTAAGATTAAAAGAACAAACACAAAACATCAAGAGGAAATAAAAACAGGCAAAAACATTTAAAATGAAATAAAATAAATGAAATAAAAACACAAAAGCATAAAAGAAGTAAAAGTGATTAAAAAAAGACCATATAAGACTTTTAACTTTTAATATAAAACACTAAATTTACTTGTAATACAAATGGAACATTGCAGCTAAGCTAATTGCTAAGCGCTAAGCTACATGCTGAATTGAGCTAGGTGTGAGCCTTCTGCTACATCAAGTGCTAATGCTAAAAGCTAAGCTAAAGTAAGGTACTGGCAAACCAAACTTCATACTGCAGTAAGCAAATCAGCTAAGATGTGGGCTACATGCTAGGCTAAGCACCAGGATAAACTAGGGTAACCATATTCTGAATCCCCAAAAAAGAGGATACGAGTACACGGGGGCGGAGTCACGGAGCATAGCTAATTTTGAGAGTTTTTCGGGTCAGATCGAGTGTTTTTTACGTGCTTCTAACTCAGTAAGTCCATGCAACCCAAACCTAAAACTGCCCCCCAAAAAGAGGACATGTCCGGGTAAAAGAGGAAGTATGGTCACCGTAGATAAGCTAAATACTTAAACTAGCAAGTAAAAAAAAAAAAATGCTTTAACACCATATTCTGCTTAACAACCAAGAACCAGCCATTTTGCTATCACACATAATAAAACTCACAGCTGATGCTTTCATAAGCGACACGAGTCAGTTTGTAGTCAGGCTTCTTCAGGAGCTGGCACATGTGTAGTCTGCTCAACTTCCTGTTCCTTTTATAGAGTTCACACTTCCTGGTTTTCCTTATATGATTGTACTTCCTGTGTTAGAGTTTTTCTGACCAACAGGTGGAGCCATAGCTACCCAACACAGAACAATATCAAATATCAAAAGACACATTTAAGCAAACAAGAAAACATGTTCTTGTGCTCCAGCCAGAAGACTTTTATATGTTCAGCAATGTGCAGTTTTTGTGCAGATGTGTAGCTCTTTATAACATCATTAATCAACCCATCATTCCTACTCTGCCAGCAATCAGACGGTTATTAAGCTCAGTCTTCGACCCGCTGTCCACCCTGGTCTAAAATCCTTTCTTTATCTGAAAGTCTTCACGGTTTTCTCAGCAGACGAGTTTTGTAGCTTTCTGCTTATATCCTATTTTAGCAGGATTTAGCACCTGCCCACAGTGCCAAAACTAAACCAAATGTTTTTTTTTTGGTCCTGATACTTACTTGGCCTGTACCCCACAGAAATTGTCAGACACAAACACTATCAAAACAACCTGAGTTTCAGTGAATCGATGCAGTCATTCAAGTTTCCTGTTTGTAACTTGCTCTATATTTCCCCCTCACACTTGTTGCTCTTTCCTTTGACAATAAGCTCGGATGTTTTCTGACAGTTTTTATATCACCTGCTATAAGCCGGGAGGATGATGTTGACACGGGTTAACATTCAAACCGAGTCTCTGACAGACTGCGAACAACAAGATTTAAAGTTTTAACACCTTGAGCAGATTTGACGTGTCGGTGGTGTGAAGGTGTGGCTGCTGGATTACAGCGAGGTAGAGACAGATTGATCCTAATCAGAGTAAAGTCTGTTTAAAAGCTTAAAGTATGTGATATATGTGTGGTGAAATAAATCAGAAGCACTCAGAGAATACGTTGGCTTTTTCTGTGTCAGGAAAATGCTGCAGCCTCTGGAGTCCAGGAGCCAAAAAGAACAACATTCAATTAATGTCTCAGACTTCAGCTTACCTGTATTCAACTCTGGAGTGAAACATGGATGTCTTACAGCTCGTCTGGGAATAAAAACAAGGTGCCGGGTATGACTTTAGCTCTGACGGGTCCCAGAGGAGAAAAATCAGGTTAAAAAGATCAAAAAAGCTCGCAATGATTTCATTTATACTTTCTCTGTTTTGTTGTTGAACTGAATTAAGCTCTTCATCGCAGCTTTAGTCAAATTTTCATCATGTAAATCTGAAGTTTGAAAACATCCTGTGGCCTACTTCTGCTCCTGTTTGATGTTTTTCTTGCTTGGAAATAGTACATTTATTCCAGTTGTGTACTCTATGAAAAATCAAAGCTAAAAGTCCTCTTTCTTTTTAAAGATAGTGAGGACTGATTTACAGCAGCAGGGCGGTGAGGTGGCCTCGCATGAAGAGGGACAACACCAAAGATGGACTAATGGGGGGAGGTTCTAGTTCAGGGTTTCTGCAGATTTCAACAAGTCAAATTTAAGAATTTTACATTAAGACCATAATGGATACAACTTAAAATCCATTTTACATCCATACTGGCAAAAAAAGCACAAAAGGCATAAATAGATAGTTAAGAATCAACACAGACGTAAAAGTTCCTCTTGGGCGCAACTATTGCGTTTTTCGTCATTTGCATTTTGTCTATAGGGGGCGCCAGAGTCAACACAGATGTTAAAGTTCCTCTTAGGCGCAACTTTTGCATTTTTTGCCATTTGCACTTTGTCGGAGCGGGCTCTAGAATTAACACAGATGTAAAAGTTCCTCTTTGGTGCAAATTTGCATTATACTTTATTTGCACTTTGTCCACAGGGGGCGCCAGACTCAACACAGGCATAAAAGTTACTCTTAGGAGCTTAATCTTACCATCAACTAGACGTAGCGGAAATCAAATCTAAAATAATTTGACTATTTTTCTCAAGTTTTCCCAGAACTCTACAAAAAAACATCGCCGTGACGATCATAAGGTGAAAATCTGATATCATAAAACCTAATATGAGCTCTGTGTTTAATCCCTCTGTGTTCTTACTTCTGTCTGTACTGTAATGGTTCAAGTTTCCATCTCAGACCACTTAAATAATAGTTAAATACACTGTATAAAGACGCCGGTTCAGCCCATTACATGATGGGGCTAATAGCTGCCGTTTTACGCTGCCGTACAAAGACATGACAGGTTGGCTTTTATGCGCTGGCTGCTTTACTTGAGAATGAAGAAATAATGAATGATGCTTGTGTTGTTCAGACACTTTGATTACAGTAATTAAGCCTTCAACATTTTAGACTGTGCGCCTTATGAAAAATATCAAATTTTCTTCACATTTGGAGAATTACATACCTCACTTTTCTGTAAACAGCCTTTCACTTGTTTCATTAAAAAGTTTAAAGTAGGAAAGTGAGACAGACATTTTCATTTGCATGTATTTAATTGAATTATTTCACCTTTTTCTTTTATAATGAAACTTATATACCTTTGATGAAAAAAAACCTTTTATGTGAATCTCGAACGTGTCCAAACATTCACTCAGGGATTATCCAGTCTTGAGGTTCGAGCTCCGCACCAGTCCGTCTTAAAAATGCTGTTTTATTTGTATTTCTCTTTGATCCAAGATGGACGCCACAAAGACTTAAGATTTGCACCTTGTGTTGCCTCAGTCTGTGTTTGGCGTTATTAAATTCAAAGTTAGAGTTTTCTTAACCCTGTGTGCTGAAGAAAACAAGTCTTCAGGGGAGGCTACTTCAGCCCAGTGAATGAATCATCTCCCTTCTCTTTGAACTTGGAGCGTCTTTTCTTCTGTTTGTGATGTTTTGTCCTTCATCATTTGACCAGATCTTTTTCTTCTGCCTATTTTATTCATAAATCTCTTCTTTTCATCACCATATTAAACCATAAATAGTCTATTGAGTCTGCTCACAGTCGCTTCCCCTCGAGATTTGAGACTCCTCCAATGAAATCCTGCTGCCACCAATTAATAAAAAGGCGGGTCACCACCTCTGCAGCGAGAGATGAATGTTTCCATGTGTGAATGCTAACACTGCCCCACTAGCACTTCGATAATTAGCTTCTTGCAGAAACTCAGTGTGCCTCAAGTTTCTGTGTTTTATTTAAGAAACAGCCTGAAAGGCACTCAGGTTGTTTTCAGTCAACATATTACTGAATTATTGCAGCCGGGGCTCAAGCAGTCCAAGATTTTTTGTGATAATGCCAAGACCCAGACCAAGACCAAGACTGAGGGGAAGAACTCATTGATTCGCAACATGGTGAATTTTTAAGTCTGGATAAAGTAGAGCTTTTTCTTTTGGGGTATCTGGATCCTTAAGGTCACAGATATTACTCAGCGAGGACATTCAAACAGAAGAAAAAGTGTTTGACTACTCTGCTTTTTTTATTATCTTCTGTGCACTGGTGAGTTGACTTTATCTCTAGGTCGTCCTCAGACGAGCCTTCCATCGTCGCTTCCAGTCAACTCGATTCTCCATACATCTCGCCAGTTCGTTGGTACTCTGAGCATCCTTCTTGAGTATGTCCACGTATGTTAGTGTAGGACGTCATCTTGACCGATGCCCATGTGTTGGTTCCCGCGCAAACTGGCAGCCATGTTTCTGCCAGTCTGTGACTACTAAGGTAGTTTACCACCACCAGGGTGTGACTGTGTGAGTGAATGAATGATGTATCCAATGTAAAGCACTTTGAGGGTCTCCGATAAAGAGTTAATGACGTGGACATATCATATTTTTACTGTTGTTTTCAGGCCATGAAAATCCATGGATCATTTAGTACCGGGCTGCAAAAATATAAAAATCGTGATTAAAATTTATATATTTTTTCTGCTTATTTTGAAAGACCACCACTTCCGCCATCGCCATTTTTCTGCATCAGCAACACAAGCGAACCCTCGCAAAAATGATCCAGAAACAGAGTTCACCGAAGAGAGAAAGGGTTGATTCTGCATTATGGTGAGTTGATGTTATCGTGTAATAAGAGTGAAATAAAAGTGACTAATAAAAACTGGTACAAAAGAAAGTTGGGGACCACTGGTCTAAACAGGTGACTTTATGCTTTATTTGTGGAATTAAGATGTTAGTTTCCATTTTTAACACGATACGGCTAAATTTGCACCCAAACTGCTGTCCAAACCTTTATTTACAACATCTTTAACATTTCTATCTGTAAAGAAAAATCATGTGAAGTCTGATTCTACTGAAAGTGGAGCAGAAAATACCAGCAGACGGCGGCCCGGGTTCAACCTTAATGACTTTGCCAACAGCGCCTACATCGCTGAAATAGAACTGCACCAAGAGAAAATGAGGAAACTCATTACCCATGTCAGTTTTGTTCACTGATGAGAAGCACTCTCCTCTATAACTCAACAGCTGCCACAGGGGGAAAGAGGAACGAGGAAAAGAATATAGTTACCCCCCAAAATTGTCCACTTCATTCACGTAGAAGTGCAGACGTTTACAGTCTAATTGTGTTCTGCATGATGAAACTCTCATTATCACTCTGACAAAAAACAGATTAAACTTCTTCTTAAAGCCAAACAAAGACGGCGATCAAACCGGCAAACCGTCTGTCCTCTGCAAACTACCTGAGAGCGGAGAGGCAAATGTTTATGCAGCTATTGAGGTTTCATTGCAGAGCTGTTTTAACTTTGTCAGGAAGTTTGTGAGCAGGGCCGTCACACAAAATTATGGGCGCTGTACACAAGCAAGGGCCCCTACCGGCATTTATGGTCATTCATTATTTTATCTTTATGGGCCCCTGTCACAGGAAGGTCCTGTGTACTATAACCTACTCTGCTATCCTCAGAGGTATTCGAGCAAAACTCCAAACACGCACTCAAACTGAAGAAAGCCGCTTCTTTAACTTTGGATATGAAGTATATTTTCAGCAAATGCACATTACCAAACATGCCTGTAAAAGCTGCGACTGGAGTTTTGTCGCTCTCCTTGTGTCACGGTTTTGTTACGCCGTTAAGCGTTTTCATGTAAATCGCTTCAGGATTTTACGAGGCTCGTTTTGTGCAATGTCATCCATGATAACCGCTGAGCTGTGAGCTCGTCCAATTTGTTTGAATTTTATTAGAATTATAAAATCTCAGAGGAAAGTGGGAGAGTTCTTGGTTATCACAGGTGTGTCCTGCAGGTCACGTCTGTAAACAAGGTGGAAGCGTGGATGCAGGTCAGGCTTTAACCGCCATTTAGAGGCAGTGGATTAGTCTTTAAAGCTCCTGTGAGGAGTCTTATCCTGGTTTTAAGATGGAAAGAAATTGAACAATAGTGATGTTATGATTCTGAATGCTTGAAATAATCACAAAGGGGTCGGTATCAAACCAGAGAAAGCCTTCTTTTTACATTTTAATGGAACTAGCTACAATAAAAACATATTTAAATGGGAAAATAAAGCAAGAGGAAATTGTTTTTTCAGAAAATATGATGTCTAGATCGGTGTACGCTTTCATAATAGTGTTATCTTCAAACTGCATCTACAGTATTTAATGAAAACAAGTGCATGTTTAAAGGACTTCTATTAAAAGTTTTGAGTCTGACGTTCCACTTTGACATTTATATCTCTGTTTGGTCTTCATTTCTATATTTTCTCTTATAAAATCAAAATGTTCGTCTCAAGTGGGCTTGAGAAATGAACACAGACGTGCTAAGGACTACAGGTTCTCGAGTGTCAACTTGAAGCTGGATCTAAAAGCCCCTCATTCACTCACACACATGTTTTAAAGGGCCCATCTTTGTACCAAAAATGAACATCCTTATTGTTATTGTTGTTATATCCTTAAGGGCATGGCTGATTTGACCGCCAGCTACTCTGTCTGTTTGCCAGCAGTGAGGGAAGTTGGGTTGAGTCAACGTCTCCAGTTAAGGCCGTGTTCACAGCAGATGGAAATATGATTATTTTCAGGAGCGACTTAAATGCTAACTTAACGTAAAGACCGAAGAAGACACCAGTTCTTATTGAGCATCACACATAACGTGGAACAAATTGCACAAATTAAGTGAGTTTTATGCACCATTATCTCAATTTGTGTGAATTTATCACACAAGTAGGCCGACGAGAAAACCAAGAAGAAAACAAAATTTTTTTAGAGGAAGAAGAGCTGTTTTTCTTTATTTACAAAAGCTGAATCCAGTGGAGCTGGTATGAATTATTTTTTGTATTCTGAAGATAAACAAGGAAACTCTAAAAACTCAAATAAATACCCTGATCATGTCAGTATGTCGCCAAAAAGCTCAACGCTCTCCTTTGTTGCATCCCAGACCTCTTGTTGAGTTCAGGAGACGTCAGCGAACTCCTGTTTCTAGGCAACATAAACGCAGTGATTACCTGGATGAGGGTCGGGGTTAGAAGAAGGGTCAGGACATGTGAAACCGTTCTCCATTTCTATATCGGGTCGTCGTTAAGACATCTGGCAGCTATCTCTAAATATCTCTGCGTCAGTCCAGTCTACTTTGAAAAGTGTATTTGTGTAAAAACTTGGGTTTTTATTGCGTCTGTGCTGCTTTCTTTTTAACTAAAACCTTAAATGCACCACATAATGAATATTTTATACATTCAGCACCCAAGAGACTTTTTCTCAACATTTAATGCACCCGAGGGACTTTCCTCTGAACAGTTTTCTGCTATAAAAGGACAAACACTAAACAAAAACTGGTTTATCCCCGAGAGGGTAAAACACAAACGGGCTACAAACAAGGGCGTAGAAAACTGATTTGATCAGAAGTAAGAAAACTAAAGATTGACACATCATCATGGGAGCAACAAAGTGGTAAATACAGGAATAAATATACACTGTCTCTGAGGAAATGAAGAATAAATGATTTTTTACCATATATGGGCAGAGAATTGAAAAGGAACTCATTATTTTTTATACGTGTTGAACAGTTTGAACTATTTATATAAGGGAGGCAGAGTTCTCCGAGTCAGACTGACATCCATTACTTGAGTAAAACATGGGGGAGTTTGTGTCTCATAAAGTGTTTCCTGCTCGACTCCTCATACCTCAAACGAAATAATAGGATGCTGTCTTCCTAACTGACCCAAATAACTGATCTAAAAAGAGCTCATGTGAGCGTCTCTTCACCGGCTGTCTTACAAAGTAAACTCAGACTGAAGTTGTGGTTTCTTTGTGTGCAAACAGGAAGTGAAGTTCGGCTCCAGTTTTAAAAAGTGTGGCCTAAAGCACGCATCCTCTTTGACTCGTACCACCATCTGCAAAAACTAAATAAAACGTGTATATAACAATCCTAGTACAAAAACATACATAAGAATGAGGTGTCGTATAGGGTGAGGTGACTATCTGGCGTACAGTTTGTAACCATGGTAACCAGTCTAGCTCATTTGAATAAGTTACCCTTTGGTTCTAATGCTGTGTTCGAGTTACCTCAGAAGTCAGATGTCGGAGCTGGGATTGACGTCACACCCGAATTACCAGCGTTTCAGTGACCAAGTCGGAAAAAAGCGAAATCGGAGGCTTTTTTCCGACTTGGTCACTGAAACGCTGGTAACTCCTGACTTCCGACTTCCGAGTGTGATGACTGCTCCCTACCACTAGGTGCTCCTGTTTGGCTGGTTTGCTGGTTTCTGTGTTCTTGTGTGCTCTGTTGCAGGGTCAGGTGGAAACAGGGTCATCCTAATCAGGAGATGTGCAACACCTGGGCCTGGTGTAGTCCTACAACTTTAAATCCCGGATTTAGTGGCTTTCTCTCCCTCACAGCACACATTTTGTTTTACGTTGTTGGGAAGACTGAATTGATTGTTGTATTTTCTCTGTCTACCTCGTCTCTCCTCCCGATTTTGTTACAGCCTTAGAGCCGCGTTGTGACAAGAGGTAACTCGAACGCAGCATAACGAGCAGTAGAATTAAAGTAGATGACAAAAAATGATGTCAAAAAACTGTAAATGGTTGGTTGCATTCTGGGAAATGTAGGCTGTGAGTTTAAGGTGAGGGATGAGGACATGACATTTGAACACATCATGATAACACATCATCTAATCTCGCCTAGTTCTTGTTTTACCGACCTAATCTTGAACACCTCACAGTGTAATCCCGTGTCACTTGGTTTGTGAGCTAAATAGCTTTTCTCCCGCTGATGTCAACATGGATTTAAACTCTGAATTCAACAGTGGATTATGGTTTTTAACTAAAGGGACTTGCTCTAAAGTCTGGCTGTGCTTACTCCGGCTGCTTTGGGTGAGGAGGATGACGGCAGAGTTACAGAGGTGTCCACTGAGGAGATCAGGAGTTCTGTAACTAAGGGTCGTAATTATCCCCTTAACAATGAAATTCATTAATAATGGTGGAGGACAAAGCAGCGTGTTTGAAACACCATCTGTGTTTCCTTCAGTTTTTCTCAGCTGGTTGAGCTGTGGGCCAATTCTGAGTCAAGCAACGCTGACAGGAACAGATAAAACATATCTGATGTTATTTGAACCTGCATTAGACTGGCTGTCTGCCTCCATGTGTGTGTGTGTGCGTGCGCGGGTGTGTGTGGGCTTTAAATTCTTTATCTCTTCAATTCACAGCTCTTCCTCCGCCTCCCAAACTAACACCGACAGTCTGACTGACTTTATAGTCGAGTTGAGCAAACAGGTGAGGGAAGCGTCTGGACCTGCTTTGATTTATATGTGTTTGCTGTTCAAATGCCAAAGTAGCTTTAAAAGTTCTAATAAAGGTTATAAATCAAATTCAATACTCTGTTCTACACGTGTAAACACAGTTTAGACGGGTGGAAATGAGACATTGTGACGAATCGTTCAAAAGTTGTGTTGAGTTTTGGACCAATAGGAGGCCCGATATGTTTGATGGACAGCTTCTACCACTTCTGAACAACCTCGAGAGAAAACACGGACGTTAAACAGTTTATCTTCAAAGCTGATGACAACAAGGATGTATATTTTCTCTATCGCCACATAAATTTGTAGCATCCATCTTTGTATCAAAGAAGTCGGAGAAAATCCCTGTTTTTGTTCCTCCGAGCTCCAAGTTTCACGAAGTCCTGAGAGGATAATTACTCATCAGCAGGCACTCCCTGGATAATCTCTGTGCCTTCTGGAGTGGCTCTTTAGGACGAAAATATCCTGTAGTCATCACAGATTCAAAAGTTTTTAGGTGTCTCTGCAACATAAACAAAGTGAGAGTTAATTATTTTGTAGTTGGTTATTAAAGCGCCCTATATGAAGGGAGTATTTCAAGGAAATGAAGCTGCCTGGAAATGCGTATTATCTTCTGCCAAAAAAGCATCCTGAGCTTCTGCAATATGTTCACCTGTGTTTCATGTAATCCTGTAAATACACCAGCGAAGGAGGATTTGTGTTAAAAACTCACAAATTATGATCTGCATTGTTCTCTTCTTTATGCAAATCGTTTTTCTGTAAGACAACAAGTCTTTGCAGTTTTATCTGCATGAATCCCCCCCATGCATTCAGCTTTGCCACCTGAGTGCTTTAGGTGTGGATCAGCACAGGAACACAAGCTTTGTTGGCAGAACTCGAGCTCTCGGCGCCGGCGGTAAGCTCGTGTTTTTAGTGCACGGGAGTAAGTGGCGGATTATGTATGAAGCAAAGCAGTCAGACAAGGTGACCCCAGAGAAGGAGCCTGTGTTTGGAAGATATGGAGATCAGAGTGGTCATCCATGACCACCAGTGTCTTACTCCACACACAGCGGTTTTCATATTCCAGTGGAGCTGCTGTATTCCAGATACAGGCTGCACACAGCTCTCACTTAATTACACAGAGAGATGATGGTTTGACCAATAATCACAGACTAATTCAGATTTATAATCATAGTTAAACACCGGCCGAGTCAAGCTGTAACGTCAAAGAACATGAACTGTGATTATTCCCTGACCTCTGCGCGCCGTAACAATTACAAGTTTCAACTCATTAAATCGCAATTACAGTTTCGCGAGTCATAAATGTAAAAATATTCTCAACACCCCGTCTACAAATAAATCCAGGTCTGAAAATAAACAGAGATTAGTTTTTGAGTACAAAAACAATAACAGCCTGTTTTAGCATCCAGAAGCTGTAAAGGACATTGTACTCAAATTTTATCGTTATTTCCTGATTTAATGAGCGTGTTTTGGGTGGGGTTTTTTTTCCAGGTGGTAAATCATGACATCAACAATGTTTACAGATGGCGGTCCTCGCTGCATGGAGCTGTGATGAGGACACATTTTCAAACCTCACTTGTCGGAGCAATCGCCCAGCAACCATCTGAAGAAATAAACATGCTGACAGGAACATTTTGATTCATAGATGGTTCAGAACAGGCTCACTTATACCACAAAAAAATAAAAACACTTTCTGCTACTCTTTTCTTGGTCGTGTTTCCACTGAACATATACACAGTATCGGGAGCTGTTTTCCTCCTCTGTATTTCTAGTTTGGGAGATGATTGGTCATCCATTAACCACAAATACAAGGTTTTGTGGTCCAAGAATAAATAATAATGTCAAGAATATCCTCCATGATGTCAATGTTACATTACGCAACATATGAGAAAATATATGAGAAATATGAAACATATGAGAAATATGAGCCGTATGAGAAACGTAAGATATATAAGACAGAAGAAATAACAAATATGAAAAATAAGACATGAGAAATATGAGAAAAATAAGACATATGAGAAATTACAGACATGGAAAAAATAAAACATTTAAGAAATCAGAGATATGAGAAATATTAGAAATATGAGAAATATAAGAAATATGAGAAATGACAAATATGAGACATATGAGAAATATGAGAAATATAAGGCAAATAGGAAATGAGACATATGAGAATTATAAGACATATAAGAAATATAGAAATAAAGACATCTGAGAAATATGAGACATATGAGATGAGACATATATTAGACATTTGAGAAATAAGACATATGAGAAATATGAGAAAAATGAGACATATGAGGAAAAAAGACATTGAAAATATAAAACATATAAGAAATTAGAGATATGAGAAATAATAGAAATATGAGAAATATAAGAAATGAGACATGTAAGAAATATTAGAAATATAAGACATATAAGAATATATAAGACATATGAGAAATGAGACGAGAAATATGAGACATAAGAAATGAGACATATGAGAAATGAGACGTATGAGAAATATAATTCATATGAAAAATATGAGACTTATGAGAAATATGACAAATATATATTATTTGAATATGAGAAAATAATTTTTGTAATGTTAAAAAATTGATACCCATGTCATTGAAAACACAAATTTAAGACCTTTTTTGTTATACTTTCCTGTATCTGGTGTCAAAACTGTTTATTTGGCACATAAAACATGAAAGAAATTTTGATACCATTTCATTTTTTAAGTAATTTAACAGTCAGATGTGTTATTTAGAAAAGGCATCATTGATTTTAAATATTTCATGTTCATTCAAATAAACCATACATGCAGGGTTGATAAAAACTGAGAACATAGTGATAAACTGAACGGACTCTGGAGATGAATTTCAATGTGGACCACAGCTTCATTTTGAAATCCGTCACACGTCAGAGGTAATGTTGAAGGATGGTTGTCACTCTTCATGTAGACGCACATTCATGTCAGGAATCTGATCATGTCATGTTTATGCAGGTCTGCATCCCTGCTAAGTATTCACAACAGTCAACCACTGTGCAGCTGAAAATAGTCACGCACCGACTCCAGAGCAATAAACTTTCAACAGTCCTCAACTTTCCGCCTTTGTTCCGACACCTTTGAGACATCATTTCTTATATTTCTGTTCCCTTAAGATGCCTCCTGAAATCGTGTCAGCGTGTTCAAAGCAACTCAGACTGACGCTGCCCTATTTCAGTGACAAGACAGGCGAGGGAGCGCGATTCTTCTCCGAAAAAACAATGATCCGCAGTGGAGATACTCTCAAATACTCCCTTTTTGAGGGTTGTGAGTGTGCTGGAGTGGATTCACTCACAGTGCTACAAAGCTGAGCCTCAATAAAGTTCAGACTTCAAGAAGGGATCCCCTCATTCAACTGACAATCTTTGAAAGTGAGTTTCTTATCCTCCCTCCGACGGTGGCTACTTAAACTGTGAGATCACTCACTCACACTCTGCCAAACGTTCACACATGCTGGGAGGAAAACACAAGAAGAAACTTTGGAGCACTTTGAAAGCAGCAAACACAGCTGACTCCGCTTACTGTACAGCGCTTTTCTGATGTGTCATCAGCGTCCTCTCCCCCTTCACCTCGCTCCACCCCAAATTAGTCTTGTCTGAAAATCACCTTATTGCAGCGAGACTCGCCACAGGCCACCCGCTGACACTCCCCTCATGCTGGATAAATTTAACAACAGCAAGGAAGTAAGAAAAAAGAATTAACATTGATGGAGCTGCGAGCCAAGGGCAGCAGGCTCTCTGTGTGACCCGAGTTCACAAAAACTCACAAACAATGTTAAAAGAACAAAGAGAGGAAATGTGCTGCCTCATAATTTAATGAACTCTCTGCATTTTCATACTGGAATCAAAGCGAATCAAAGCAATCAAAGTTAGCGTGCTACAATATCGGACAGTAGAAACCAACCAGAAAGTTCGGAAAATTGTCTGAATCCTACGACTGCCGACACAAGCAAGAAAACGAAGTAAATCTGAGGGGAAAACTGGTTGGGAGGGGTAGAGTTTACGTTCAAGATGTCTCCTAAAAACTGGAACTTCCTCAGATCCTGACTACCCCACATTTAACTGATTATAAAAAGATGATTATTTTACAGAGTTATTGCCGAATGAGGCCCCCTACAGTTCAGCAGTGTTTACTTCAAATCGATGCAATAATATGTCCTGCTGTGAAATGCACCAACTAGTTTTTTTCTAATTTTTCACAGGTAAGTTAAAGCTCCTGAGAGGAACTTTCAGTTTGACTCAACTTGGCACCCCCTGGTGGACAAAACAGTCTTTGCTGAGTTTTGTCCAGATTTATCTCCACTATAAATATTTTCATGTTGAAAAACTGGACTGTTTTAAAGAGACATGCATGAGTTCAAGTTGATTCTACACACGTCGAAAAAAAACTTCTCACAGGAGCTTTAAATGCTTGTGCCTTGGTTCCACCCATATGCAACCATGAGCAGAAAACGAAATTATTAGGATATGCAAGAAAGGATTCAGAGCCACATCAGGACAGATGCACTTCTTTACAGACAGAGAAAAAAAAGCTAAATTTGATATTCATGAAGATTTAATCAGGTATATTTTATGAATTAAAAAGAAGCAAAAAGTTGATTTTGTCTAAAACTTTAAGCAGCGTGTGGACAAAGGTCATAAAAATGAAAGAATTTCTCTATTTCACTTTTTAAACAAACTTTTAAGCAGCTGCAACATTAAATATGAATCAAACTGTCTGTCTGCCAGCTCGCTGTTCTTACTTGTTCAATGCTTTCATGCAGTGAAAGGAAGTCTGTCACTGTAATGTAGCATACATTCGACTACCAAGTTATTTGATTCCAGAGTGTTTCATGAATAACTTAATAAAGAGAGATGAGATCAAATTAAATTATTTACACAGTTTTTCTTGATAATTTCAACTCTTTTTATGTCAGCGTTTAAATGGAAGAATAAAATAAAGGAATAACAGCTCAGTTTAAGTCAGTTTAACTCCACTCCTAATACATATATTTAAACATCAGAGTACAGTTTTATAGATAAGTTGTATAAATGAGTATTTATTTTGAGTCTGTAGTAAAAATAGGAAATCTCATCTGAACTATTTGATGTGTTTGAATATAAGTATGTTTTCATGTTATTAGTTTCTCTCAGCAGGAGAAGCAGTGTTTCTGTTTTGGTTAGGCTGCACTTTAAACTGCTTTCCAATGCAGCAGCACAGATCAGAAAACGAACCAATTAGACGCCGGCACAACCTTCACCAGAGATCTGTCAATGTCATCACTCTGTTTTATGTTGAATATATCATGAGGCATCACAAGCTTATGTGCCAACAAAATGCTTTGAGTTATAGCACACATTTCCCACGATGCTTGCATGTTTCTGCACGGGGCGTTTGATGTTATATATAAACCGCGAAGCATTACAGAGTCGCCCAATCAGGAGACGGTGTGGGGGGACGCGTTTGTGAGGCTCACCGACTATCAGTGAATGGAGGATTCATTATCAGGGACAATCAGCATCAATGACATGCAAAATCCTGGAGTATCCTCACATTAAGTTCTTGTAAAAAAGAAGAAAAACATCACTTAACATCTTTATTTTTTTTTTGCACAGTTGTATCTACTTAAACACACATCACCCAATCTAGCGTCGTTATTGAGAAAGCTGTAAACAGCCGCCTCTCTCGTGTGGGCGCACGCTCATACAAACGTTCACATATGACACAGCTGTTTTCTTTATTCCAGTGTTTTTCAACCTGCAGAGGACAAGTTCCCTACAGGCTGCAGAGGACCCCCCTATATCCCCCCATCTATATTCTAAACTTCAGCTACCCCTGACTTCCTGTCGGATAACCTCGCCATTTTAACTCTCTGGAAACACCGGGGGGTAACCCCACCTTCCCGGGCCTGGCTCCCCAGGATTTGCTTCAGAATCTCACACTGTGCTGAGCCGGTTTCGAACCAGGAGCCGGTCTCCAATCAGATCACATGGCTCACATTAGGGGATTAGTTGTCTACCATGCTGCGCCACCGGATACCCAGTTGGTGATGAGCTCTGCATGCTTTTATCTTGGTACTTTGGTTCCTGGACTAAAAAATTGGTCCTAAATAAGGTTCAAACCCATGACCTCAGGAGTCCCAGTCAGTCTCCTTATCCTCTGAGTCACGTGGACACACAGGATTATACCACTTGCTTCCTCTTTCACTTTCCTGTCTAGACACTAGACTTCAAAATTCACCTTGTCCCAAATAAATGGAAGATATAAAAGGAAAAGAACAGACCAAACATGGTTATATGTCGAGCATACAGCGTAGATAGAAAGTATGCACCCCTTTATGCAGACAAACATCAGTCAGACCCGACTGGAAACTCTGCACACGGGCTCATCTGTCTGATCTCAACAGGCCACCTCGCTGCAACAAGCATTTTGACATGAAAGGAGCAGCATCAAGAAACCTCCAAAAACCCCATCCTTTCAATCCTCATTCTGGGAAGACGAGGCTCCGCAGTCTACCTCTTTGGACATGGAGAACTTTATTGCAAACAATGAATAATTAAAATGAAACTCTGTGAGCAGGCATCATTTTATTTTAGTGCCAACACGCGGCGCTGTGGCTAATGAGATTTTGGTAATGGGCCCAATTCTCCCCCACAGGTGCTGTAAAGACGGCGTCTTCGACAGTTTTGGTTGAGCCAGGAAATTGCTCAGCCTTTAGCTTTGTACCGTGATGAGCTTTGGTGTATCTTTAGAAGAATTACTGCACTTTTATGAATCCTTTTCCTCTGAATAATAGTCGCATGTTAGCGGGGATGCTGCGTTTGTCACTTGGAGCTCAGACAGTTTTTGCTATTTTGGTGCCTGAGTGTCAATAATAGACAAGCGGCGTTTGTTTGGATTTCTTTAAGCTCAAAGTGGCGTTTCATGTCGCCTTTTACTCCCAGGGATGTCAGATATAACTCTCACATCATACAGGTACGGCACAGACTGAGGTGTGTGAGTGTGTGTGTGAAATCCGGGGTGTGTAGCACCTGTCATTCCTTATTTACTTCCACCTACTTGTGATACTTTTGAATATATTTTGAGATATGTGAAAATGATTTCCAATCCCCATGTGAGGCGACTTCTGAGGGTCCTTTTACGAGCAAATTTGCTTCTTTTCAATCATTTCTTACCTGGTTTGACGTCTTATTAATTTTACAAAATTGCCAGTTAAGGCACATTTAGAGGTTTTGTTGTTTCTGCAGTCTTTCATACTGACGCTTTTTTGTCTTTTAAAGGGCAGTTCACAGATCCGAATTACATGACTAGATATAAACGCAGAGGAAAATGATGACAGCTTTGAATAACCGTCAAACCAATTTGCAATTATAACTCGAATGCAGAAATCGATGCACAATTAGGCTGAATAATGAGATCAAGAGCTCAGAAATCCATGCAGTATTTTCCTCAAACGTCATCTCCTCTTTAATTTAACTATTTTAATCATGATACTTTCTCGTATAGATCTCATACACAGTATAAATTACACAGTTTTTCCTTCTGAATGTGTCTCCTTGCTTCCTAAACCCTTCGCTTCTCTTTGGGGTGTGTGTGAAATATCCAAACGAACAGTCAAAGTCTCTGTAGAGTAGTTTTTGCAAAGCGAACAAAATTAAAATTCGCCTCACTTAGGACAGTAATTATTCACTGAGGGGGTTTGTCTGAATACCAGCTGCTGCATAAGCAGCTCCGAATCAACTTCATTCAAATAATAACGAAAAAAACAGCATAGAAAAAAAATTGAGAGAAAAATGCACCAGGACATCTCAGTCTGAGGGGCAGAAGGACAGGGGTTTACTGTGATTAATAACAAGTACAAGTGCTTAAAAAAGTTGCTTTAAAAGTTGTATGCAATCAAACCATCTAAAGAATTCGACATGATGTCTTTGCAGAGGTTAGGGCTGGGCGATATGGCCTCAAATCAATGTCACAATATATTGATCAGTTCACCTCCATAACGATAAATGGACGATAACACCGTCTTAAAGGGACATGAGACCATAGCCTACCTACACACATCCAAAACCAACTTTGGTAACACTTTACAATAACCATGATTCATAAATGGTGGAGGGTACTGGCAGTGCGCCCCTCCAGCAGATGGCGCCCTCTGCGACCGCCTATGTCGCCTATGCCAAGGGCCGGCCCTGATTAAACAATTATAAACTATCCGCTTACCATTAATAAGTTATGGTTATCGTAAAGTGTTACCCCAACTTTTATTTATTTTATTTTTTTGACACTCATTATGCTGATATGGACCAAATGATGTCGGTTATTATCGTAAATTTCGGTATCTGTAAATTTTCAGTTCATTCCCAGCTCTAGCACAGGTTCAAGCAAAGTTAGTGTAGCCCTAATTATCCTAGGTAATAGGATGGCTATGAGTTCTTTATAGGATCCCTGATGTTTTAAGATAAATTACTCCAACTATGAATTTGTGTGCAACCAACTTGTATTTTAAAATAACTGAGGCAGACAATACCACATGAGGACTACGCCCTCTGCTCAGCCACCAGCCATCGGCTGAGCAGAGGACTACGCCCTCTGCTCAGCCACTGGCCATCGGCCGCGCGGCGAATGACCATCGGCTGAGCAGAGGACTACGCCCTCTGCTCAGCCACCGGCCATCACCGTGCCCTTTTATCTTGGAACTTTGGCTGCTGGACTTTAAAATACAACCTGTACAAGATTTGAACACACGACCTTAGGACTGCCAATCAGTCTCCTTATCCACTGAGCCATGTGGATACAGAGGACGCTTCTGGTTTTTTCCTATTTCACTGTCGTTTGAAGACACAAGGCTTTAAAATTCATGTCAACTTGGGTTAGGTGAGGCTTGAACCCACAACCTTAAGAGTGCCAGGCAGTCTCCTTATCCTGTGAGCCATGTGGACACAGAGGAGTTGTCTGGTTTTTTCCTATTTCACTGTCGTTTGAAGACACAAGGCTTTAAAATTCAACTCAACTTGGGTAAGGTGAGGCTTGAAGCCACAACCTTAAGAGTGCCAGTCAGTCTCCTTATCCTCTGAGCCATGTGGACACAGAGGAGTCTTCTGGTTTTTTCCTATTTCACTGTCGTTTGAAGACACAAGGCTTTAAAATTGACCTAAAGTTGGGTTAGGTGAGGCTTGAACCCACAACCTTAAGAGTGCCAGGCAGTCTGCTTATCCTCTGAGCCATGTGGACACAATAACCCCCCTATTTTACCTCTCTGGAAACACCGGGGGGGTAACCCCACACCCCTGGGCTGAGCGGGTTTCGAACCAGGAGCCGGTCTTCAACCAGAACACATGGCTCACATTAGGGTGTTAGATGTCTACCACACTGCGCCACCATAGACCATCCACAGTTGGGGTTGAGCTCTGCGTGCTTTTATCTTGGTACTTTTGCTCCTGAGGCCTGTACTACGAAGCTGGATTAACACATCCAGGATAACTCTGCGACAACTCGCTAAACTTCACCGGATCGCCGCGATCCCGATCAGCTGTACTACGAAGCCGGTTATCAACTCGATAACTGAATCCAGGTGTGGCCACTTCAGATCTGTGCGCGCACACGTAAAGGGGGTGGGGTCAGTGCCACCGGACCAATCTCCACAATGGAGAAGGCTGCACGTCATTTTTCACAGCCGAACGGAGCATTATTTTATGAGGAGTATTATAACAGTGAGGAGCAGGACAGCCACAGCCGCTAAAAGCCGGAGGGACAGCTGGCAAAAAAAATCATCGATTGTGTAAATTACATTTGTGCGTTCATAAATTTATGGCCCCCTAATATGTTGTCATGCAGCGTGTGTGATCACCTCCATCATAGACCTCATTATTTCAGATACAACAGCAGTGGGGAAAAGAGTACGTGGGAGCAAATAAAAACAAATCTAAAAACATCCTTTAAAGTATTTTGTAGGTTTATTGGAAGATTTTATTTGTACATATTTCATTGCGTAAACAGTGATTTCCTCACACTGCCTTTTTTTCTTTTTTTCTCCATCATCTGATAGTCACGTCATCTGCAGACACATTTGGGGTTAAGAGGAGTTTTCTAATCTGCTTCAATAAATTCTAAATGATGACTGATATGCCGCATGAAATTGGAACCTGGAGCTTGGCAAATATTTGTGCTTAGACTTCATGCTACCCGAATATTTCGGCCGTCCGAGGAAAACCTGTAACGTTCATATAGAACATCATCAGGTAAATCAAAGGGGTTTGACCGATCATGAATATAACACTCTCGGCGTAGCGATCCTCTCACTACCCGTGCAACGATGTCCCCGGGATCCGGCAAGATTGGGCAAGCCATTTTCCAAGAGATCCGATTGGTCAGTGGGCGGTTTTTTATACCTGCTGAGATCTTATCCTGAAACATAACCTGCTACGGAGCAGGTTTGCCGTTCCGCGTAAATTACCAGGGCAACGGACCCGGATAAAAAGAGATCCAACTTTGTAGTACGGAAAACCCAGAAGTTATCCAGAAGTTATCTCGCTAAGACCAAATCCAGCTTCGTAGTACAGGCCTCAGGACTTTAAAATTCATCCTGAATAAGGTTTGAACCCATGACCTCAGGAGTCCCAGTCAATGTTCTTATCCTGTGAGCCATGTGGACACACAAGCCACATGGCCTACTATAAGGATATAGAGGTATCAGTTTGTCCACAAGGGGGTGCCAAACTCCAGACAGAGGCTTTAAATAAATTATTGTGAACTCAATTCTGGAGTAAAATCACTTTATCCCTTTAGTACATTCATAGTACTTCTCAGTTAATAATAATAATAATAATAATAATAATAATGAAGAAACCAAAAGCACAAATAATCCAAAAGATTAGGGAGTTAACATCAGCAGCTTTTTTCTTAAAATAAAAACAAACACAAGCTCCAACTTTCAATTGCAATTTATTTCAAGTGACGCTAAAATGAAAATCTATGTTTAAAAAACTTATAAACACTCCATTTATATCCCAAACACACACAATACCTATAGCCACCCAAACTCTGCAGATACAGTAAATCCTTCTTCAGTAGCCGCTTCGTTAACACTTGATCAAACAGTACGAGGACCTGTTAGAGTATAACCCAGCTGCAGGTTGTCTGAAGGCCTGTGCCAAGCCTTGATATGCATAATATTCAGGCCTGTGGTATTAATAACAACTCTGATGGGTTTTTTAATGTGCAGCTTAACAGTCGAGTAAAATCTGGTCCTTTGCATGTTAATAAAATACACTCGATGAATGGAACGAAAGCGATTTTCAATGTGATTCTGTGTTACAAGAAAGAATGACAAGGTGTGAAAGCATCATATAAATGTGCCCAATGTAATCGCATACTTCTTAAAATTGTTCCACATGTAAGGAAGGCTATATATGGACCCTACAAAATAAAAGTCAAGGAATGCACAGTGAGATGTGAGCTCGTGAAACGATGAGGGGGTCTCAGAATATGCGGGTACAGGACTCTGGACTCAGTGGAGGAAGGCGTGTGGAAGACATCTCATCTCTGGTGGAGGGACTACGACAGTATCTCGGCAGATTTCACACCACAAAATGCAAGTCGAGACATGTAGGTTTGGAGGTTGAATGTCTGTGGTAGACGTATTGTATTGTATTGTATTTTCTTAGTCCAGCCTCTCACCCGAAATGCGAAGCTGTGCAGCGGCATGCAAAGAATTCTGGGAAACCGACGGCACGAAAGCGTGCATATATGCACGCTTGAAAAAGAGGCGGGGGTAGTGTGATTTTGAAACTGAATTTGAAGCGCGCTTAGTATTTTGTGCCAAAAGGGACACCGTTCGTGCCACGTGATGACCTCACGCACGCTTCAAATGCGCCGTTCGACGGTTGCGGTCTCTGAAATGGGACACAGGAAGGGTACATAACAGCGCAAAATGGCACATAACAGCACAAAACGGCAGTGCACTCAGCTAAGCGCCGTTAAGCGCGCTTATCCCGATGCGGTCTCTGAAATGAGACACAGCCTAGATGTGTGGGATGCAAACAATAGACTTGTAAATAACAGACACTCAAGGAGGTTACTGTTATGTTAACACTGAGATCAAGTGATCAGCGTTGTAGGTGGTATTCAGGGGCGTTGAATCAAGTCTAGTGGCACAATGGCGAATATATCCCCATCACGTTTACTTCATCACATCCACTCTGCTTCTACACTGCCCCCTGCTGTTTATTTTGCACTTCCATCCATGTCATGTTTACCCTGAAAAGCCCACATCACTCTTCCTCACTACCTTTAAATTTCATTCTAGCATATTAAAAATCACACTTTCACATTTAGTTGCTCAAGATCAATCGATCAAACACTTTAATCTTACAGCATATCTGAAAAAAAAAAAAAACAGGACTTGGACCAGACCCCGGCCAAGTGTTTGCTCCAACAACCTCTTCATCCACATGTCGAGAAGCTTAATTGCCATTCAGACAGAATAGCCTGTGCAGGAGCATATGGGTCCGGCAGAACAGTGTGCAGAAGGTGCCAAACACATGGTTGCTTCATGAGCCTAACGAACAGTTTATCTCAGAGGATAATCTGAAATGTGAGAGGAGATAAACCAACTGCGCTAAAAGTACAAGTATGTGGATCTGCAAGACCACAAGACGACATGGTGGAGACTGGTCTCAGATGTCATGGACCAGGACACACTAGACTAGATGAAATGTCAGGAACAGCCTCAACATCTCATCACTCTCATGGTCGAAGAATAAGGGCCTGTGTCCACTGGATGCATTTATTTTGCAGTGGTTAAATCAGTCAGTGAAGTTATTTGGTTATGAAAGTTGTGTTTCCTTAAATCATAACAGTTATGTTTGTTTTAAAAGCTGTACTGCAGTAATATTTTCTTAAGTTAGTTTTTGTTAAATTATCATGACTTTGGCAACTGTCAGTGTGTTTACTTGCACAGTTGAATCGGACTAAGCTTATAATTCATTTTTTTTGGCTGAATCAGACTTCTCTCCTTGTCCTCATATACATGCAGCTGAGAAAATCTAATTATTGAAGTGAACGTGTCCTCCTCCCCAAAACTAGCGGGCGATATGGATCTTTTCGGAGCAAGAAGATGGAGCATCGTACAGCGTTGTTTTTGTGGTACATGATGTACACGTGACTTTTCTGCAGAGTAGAGACTCCTCTTCTCTGGTGTTTTTGTTCAGGGGTCACAGGACACATGCCTTGTTCAATCATACTCCGACTACGCTGGTTACATGGTCGAGAAAATCGAATTCCAATCGCATTATCTGGGTGTCTTACTCAGAGTTCTCAAACTCCGATAATAGTCGGACTAAGGTGTTTATATGACCTTCAGAATAAGGCGATAATTCAGTTTTCTTGAGTGTCATGTAAAGTTCTAGGTAACATCGATATGGAATTACACTTCTGCAGGATTTTTTGAACAAAGCTTGCCAAACATAAATGGTTACACCAGAACGACTTTTGCATGTCAGGAATAAAGTTACTATGAAATGAAATCACTTCTTAAACCTCTTTTTTGCTGCAAAATGCAACCATTGAAAAGGTGCAAAGCATGCGTTTAGTGCTCATGCTGTCTTTAACCTTTGAGGATAGCTGGCAGGGTGAAAACAGACCAGAGCTGCACATCTACACAAAAATTGCACATTGCTGAACACAGTAGAAGTCATCATGCTGGAACAGAGTTTAGACCTCTATCTCTGAGACTCATATTCCAGACTTTATTGAAGCTTTTACGACAATATTTTTAAATATTTAGAGTCAAATCTGCCAAAGAAAGGCGACAAACATTCAACTCTATTCTTCAGGAGGAAAATCCTGTTTGTTCAACTCATCAAACACAGAAAGAGAAGCTTGATCTGGCATTAGTTATTGTCAGCGTCTTATGACAAAGCTGTCGCCAGAAGACTACAGTATATGTTTGAAGGCTCGGTGTTCACGTTTCAGTGCAGACAGTCAACAGAAAAAAAAAGAACAAATTGAATCACAGATGCCAGCTCATTCTGGCGGGATAAGAAAACATGTTTTTATTTATTTGAGTGAAATGAAAGATGATGAAAACGAGGAGTTTTGGGACGTTTTAATGCCTGATTGACTTTAGTTTTAAATGGAGAGAAACTAAACGCTGAGATTATATTAAAATATGGAAACGAGGAAAGAAAAGAGAGTGATTAGTTTTAAAATATGTTTCTCAACCTTCAAAACAGCCCGTGTAAAATATTCATAAGATGTAAATATTTGAGCAATACCACTTTTTAGTTTTTTTTAACAGGGATCGGTGTCTGAGGTACGAATTTTTCACACACCTAATGAGACGTCACCTGCATCGCCTTTGGGAGTCTGCAGTTCAGTGTACCTTTGTGAATTATGCACATTCACACATGCGAACCATTACAGCACATGTGGAAATGCACTCGACTGAACCCATATGTTGGTCATCCTAATTAGAATCTTTAATTAGAGCTGCAGCATGTTGCAGCAGGGATCCATGAGGTCCAGCAGCAGGTTCAAATTAACTCCATAAATCATCTTCTCGCTGCAAATGCTCCAGATTTGGAGCGGTAATCACGCAGACAAAGTCATACCCAAACAGAATTCATAACTTATCATAAAACTATGAAAACAGGAGATGAATGTTCGGTATACCCGATGTTTAAAGTTGCTGTTCTGGCAGTCTGTCTTCCTTTTAGTGTTTGAGGAAGAGTGATAGTGTCTCTCTTTCGCAGTGTGCAACAAAACAATGTTTTTGTGCAGCAGATGACAGATGTTTTTCTGTTCTTATGCACCATTTGGTCATCCCCAAATTCTCTTTTGTGTTCTTCAAAAATCTCCCTGAGCTTTTTCAGGGTTGAATTGGTTTTGAGGTGTTTTTAAGAGCCGTAAGGATCAGATTTAAGGTCAGATTCAAGGTCAGAATTATTGTGTTTCTATCAAAATAGAGTCTACAAGAAGCTGTGATGCTGTCAATATCTGGGGTACAGATGGAGAAGAATCCAGTTGCTTACAGAGTCTTCAAAACTGAATCACTATTAGGCTTTCTTATGTCTAGGCTCTGCAGACAACAGTGGTCAGGACTTTCTTATTCATGCTGTAAAATACTTTTTCTGTTGAGAAACTGTCAAAGATGCGAACATTGCAGTTACAATTTACAACACATCAGCAGATAATTCAAGGAAACACCTCTCCTTGATATTATTATTGACACGTGAGAGAATCTGGTTGCTTTTACTCTTTATTATTTTCTCTCTTAACCTCTAAAATTAACAAAAACAAAGCTCAGAAAAACGAGAAACGAAAGTAGGAGACCCCCCGATAAAGAACGAACTAAAACGATCAGGTCAGTCAAACACAAAGAGCTGCGCTATAAAACTATAGGCCCAAAGACTGCAACTAGGACTCAGATTCAGATTCAGATTCAGACAACTTTATTTATCCCCTAAGGCCAATTCCGTTCACAGTTACCCTGCCGTTTGATCCATTCAAACACACAAATCAGCAGACAAACAAACCAGACAAGTGCAAGACATTAATAGCAGCCAGTAGACAACCACATTCCCTTGTCAGTACTCACAGATCTGCAGGATCAGCAATAAATAGCTGAATAAGTACAATAAGCAGTCAAGTTCCACAGAGCAATGGTTAAAATACAATAAGATCCACAAGTGTAAGACACAAGATAAGAAATAAAATACTCCTGAAGCTCCAGTTCAGCACAGGCCACATATGACCATCAGCCGACTTCCTGGCATTTAAAGGCCTGATGGCTGAGGGGATAAAAGAGTTTGAGTCATCGATGCCCACTAAAGACTGGAAACTTTCGCAAAACCTCTCACTATCTCTAAAAGTACGACTACGTTTACACGTGCCCGGCTATTTTCATAAACGGACATTTCATCCTCTCCGTTAACAAAATAAAAAAATCAGCGTGTTCACCACGACATTTTCAGAAAAGTTTTCATTTACACGAACCGGTGTATATATGCCGTCAACAATGTCACTTCCTTTCTTTCTTGTGCACAATCTGCCGTCGGCTACCCAAATCTTTTTTTTCTCTGTTTACATGCAGACGTGCAAACTGAGTTTTCCAAAATCGCCACTCTAGCCTGAGTTTTTAAAAATCATTCTCTGTTTGCGTCGAAACGAAGGGTACAAACGATGGTTAATGTCTCCTTGTTTAAAAAATAACCGGGTACGTATAAACTGGACTTTAGTCAGTACTGAGACCTGGAGCAGCTACAGGTGGAGAGAGGAGAGCAGGGAGAGGAGCAGGATGGACAGAGTGAGCAGAACAAGAGAGGGGCTGTGGGGGTCATGCATGCATGGACGAGTTATAGTTTCAACTCAAAGCACCAACTTCATCATTCTTCCTTTCCTTCATGTTTATCTACGCTTGTCGTGTTTGCATGCAGAGAGCTCGATAAGAAAACACATCATTGAAGAATGACAGAAAAACCAAACCTGCTGGACTTTTTATGAGTCTGGCCTTTGACATGTGGTTTTGACAGTCATCTACTGCGACAAATAAGAAATAAAGACGTCTTTTCTCTAAGCTGATGCACCTCAAACTCTGTAGCTGTACTTAAAGAAGGCAGCCTAGTTTTGGTACTAGCCCCCTTGTGGCCAAAAAGAGTTTTACACCTACTTGGTGCAACCCAAGAACCAATCCTGAAACTCCAAACATGATAAATCCAAAGTGAATAATTTAAGGTTTTAGAGATGTGCAGGTGAAATCAGGGAGGCCAGGAGGAAGGACAAAGAGTTAATCTGAACGATATTTTTAAAGCAGATTAAAAATAGTCTCGATCCTGTTTGTCTCTTGTTTCCCAAAGCCTCAAACAAAACAGATTTTTGTTCTACAGAGCAGGACATAACCGCACGTGTCGCTCACTTAGACTTTGTAATTCTTAAATTCAAAGAGCAAACCCCAGAGATGTTTAATAATGGAGGACCTCTCCGGATTTCAAAGAGGCGTCTCTGGGTTTCATTTCGCTGAGATGTGTCTGTCAGGAAGGCGTCTCTGTGTCAAAGTCCTACATCTTTAATGAACTTTCATTAATTTGATTCAATAATTCAACAATCGCTTTGATGAAAGCCACATCATTCATGTCGCTCTGCTGATTGTCAGCCTCTACACTTTGTCTAAACAACTTTACCCGAGTGCATTACACAACCCGTATGTGACAAACCGGGTCTCTCATGAAGTCCTGTTTGTCCTATTTTATCTTTCTGTATTTTTCATGAATAGCAGGATTTAAGTTGTCCGTCAACTTTAAAAGAACAAAGAGCAGAGTGCGGTAATGAATCTCTGTGATGCTGGATGTTATTTCCTGCCTGGAGGTCAGCATAGATTGTGTGTGTGTGTGTTTGTACGTGTGTGTGTGTGCAGAGAAATGAACTCTTCAGGTAAGGTTAATTTTTCATACTGTCGGTCCTTGAGCTGGTCATTAGAATTTCACAGAGCCTCCTGATTGAGTCATAAAGACCCGCTCTGCATTCATCCCTCCAAGTTTTCTCTTTAAACATCTCATTTTGAAGTTTTTGCCTCATTACTTTCGCCCATTTTTCCTCAGGAACACAAAAGTAGAAGAATTAAAGCCATCTTTATGACAAACGGGCTACTTTTTGACAAGACGGCCGTGTCCTTGAAGATTGAAACGCACACAGAAAAAAAAAACACATTATAAAACATCTTAAAAAGCAATCACCTGAGTGTAAAGAGAAAATAACATCACTTTAAAGACTAAAAAGGAAAAAACACCAAAGTGAGCAGAGACAGGCCTGGAGTCAACAAGGTAGAGGTTTAACTGATGACCGCGGATAACTTATATGTTATCATCAAGTTTACTTCTTATATTGAGACGGAGCAAATCTGGACGACAACATCCGATTCCAGTGGACATCTGGAGGTGATTTTGGAGGTCAAAATGGTGAAGGCTTGGAAGTCGTCATGGGAAATGTCAACTCTTTTGTCCCCAACAAAAGCGGCGAGCTAGAGCTATCGGTGAAGACTGAGAAAGTTTACAGTCTACTCTTCAACTACTTCACGAAATTTGTAATATGCCTCACCAGTGGCAGATTTAAAGGTGAGGAGAGGAGCTGATGTGATTGGTGAAAACAGGTCACGGGTGTGTTAAACCCACTTCACGCCTTATCCCCTCCCTCTCTTCGTCTTACGCCGAGTTAGGGAGGGGGGACACTTACGCTGCACCGCTCACCAAAATACCAAACTGTGCTTGGGCACGGGGTGGTGGACCTGACATACGACGTGCCTACGCCACACCGCCGGCGAGGCACAAGAATAGAGCCCTTTGGGTTAAATCGGTGGATCAACAGATCATTTCCTTTATTATTTAGTCTTCAGATGCCGTTATATTTGTGGATGAATAAGTACATTAAAGAGTTCCACATGCTAAAAACGGTAAAATAACAGTAAAATAACGGTAAAATTCAAAATTCCTTCTTAAGTCTCCTTAAATGTCTTCCTGGTCAGAGGGACACAATAACCCTTAGTTTACATACTGTTATCCAGCAATGCAAGAGTTAATGTGTGCCAAAAAATAAAAAGTAAAAAACAGTTTTTTTAAAGGTGACCCCCGCCTAGTCCAAAAGTTTCAGTTGTTTTTGTTTCTGTTTGAAGAAAAACAAAAACAAAAAAATGTTTTATCACTTTTATTCTGTCTGCCAACAACACAAGACTCTTTCCAATTTAGGAAATTGTACATTCATGAAATGCAGTCGTGTTTTGTGAAACAGATTTTGTGTTTTCTGGAGGTCGAATTTTTCAAATGTTGTTATCTGACGTGTTTTTGTCGATTTGATGATTTTCTGAAATGTTACTTGTTTGTCAAACACGCTTAATACAAAGACGCGTTCAGAAAAGTGTCAGTTTTTGTGAAATACGGCGAGAAATTCTGGGAAACGTTGTTTCATGTGTCATGTTTTGTGAAATTTGTGAAAAATCGTCTGTTTTGAGAAATCTTCTTTCATGAATCTTTGCTTTTATGTTTCAGGTTTTACTGGATTTTGTGAAATATTTCCATGTTTGTGAAATCGATTTGTGTTCAATGTGAAAGAAGGTGTTTTATTTTAAAATTTTGCTTCGTTCTTACCTTTATGGACACATGTACTGGGTTATTTTTTGCAGACAAACAGACACAATGAAATACACATCGAGCACATCGAAACAGCTCCGCAAAAAAGTAAGACTTCCTAAAACTTGCAGCCAATCAGATATCAATCTGGAGCTGCACACAGCCCACCTACTCTGCGGCCTCTAACATGATTTGGCTCAGACCTCTCGGATGGAGCTGTTGTTGTTGTTGTTGTTGTTGTTGTTGATGCTGCTGTGATCGATGGCTGAGCGGCTGATTGAACTGATTCTGGAGAGAATTTCTGAAGGGGACAAATTTTGGAGCTCGGACCAGAGGAAGAGAAATTCCTAAACCTGTGGTCATAATCTGTGAGGGGTTTTAAACTCCACATTGTCCATACTGGAAATGTTACTATGCAAATGAAGTTATATAAACATTTTGGGTGAGTTTTGAAGCCTATCCTAGTTATATTACCAATAATTCCACTTCTGTGACTGTTCCAGTCAGAGTGTTTGGTTCCCAGATCTATAAAACAGACTCTCTTATAGCTGGAGACAGTTGGATTAGCAGTCGAAGATGCAAAAGTAAATGCAACACCATCTTCCCGCTGTGTTTGCAGTGACCGTAACAAAGAAAACCACCGACTGCAACCACACTGTCTCCGACAATAACATAATTATTGCTTTAATTCCTCCTAAACTGGCTTAGCTCTTCAGCAGCACCTCCACCTCTACCCAGACTGTATAAGATAATCACATCACCTGAGAGCTTAATGAAAAGAAAGGGCACGGCTGAGAAATTAAATCCACTTTTAATTATTTAGCTGAATAACTGCTGAATGGAGCTAAAGCACTCTTCTCTTTATCAAACAGAGGGATGCACAGAGCGCAGAGAGAGAGAGAGCGAGGATCGACTGCAGTCAGTCACAGGACGCTCTCTGCTAAACTAAGTACCTGTCTGCTGCTCCTATACTGGAAACCACTTCTTCAGAGGATTTCTGCATTTCCATTCGATGTCTTTAGCGGTGTCAGATATTCGAGAAGATAACACACGACTACTTCTGAGAGTAATGATTTAAATAAGAGTGATAAAGATCATCAAATATTAATTTTTAGAGTTTGACTCCAGGCCACACTTATTATTAGTCTTATTAGTTTGGGATTGTGATCATTAGGGTCTGCAAAATGAACTTTTAATGACATATATTTCACACATCCTAATGACAGCGAAGTTCAACATCTCAGCAATGGTTGGAGGAAACTGTCCAAACTTAATTCGGATGAGCACTCCTCTCTTTAGGTCAGATTGACTCTCCCGGTCGCTGCTTTCTGAGGGTGTTTTATTTTGAACCATGGTTTGGGTTTTTTAAATCCTATTTTTGTTGTTTTCTCTTGAGTTACTGAGCTTTTTTTTGGCACAAAAATATTCAATAATATCAGAGAAACATCAGCCACTTCAACTTCAGGTCTAGTACTTTGAGTTAGGACAACCATCGCTGCACTTGGCCTCTGAAATAAAGATAAAAACACAACAGAGCAACATTAAAAACTTCTAATAATGAATTTAAACAAAAGAAAATTACATTTATTTTCATCTATGACACCCAGAAGCATAAAGCATATGTTAATGTAATTTCTATTTGTGTAGGTACGTTGACAGAGGTCCCTCTGTGAATCAATTTCCGTTCTCTGATGACTTTTCGCTCACTCACAAATTTTCAATATCCTGACAGGCATGTGCTGGAGGCCTGCTGCTGCAAACGTAATAATCTAATATAACCTAGCAACCACCTGTCGCTAAAGTCACACTCACAGGGAAGGTGTGTGCTAAGTAGCAGGGGCGTGTCCAGACCTTTCTGAGTGAGGGGGCCAAGTCTCGAGGGGGGGGGGAGTACTTAACACTAACGAAGTTATGGAAACTAAAATTGGAGAAACATTTTCTAAACTAAACTAAACTAAAACTAATGATTTAGAAAAAAATAAAAACAAATAAAAAATAAACTAAAAATAATAAGTTAGAAAAAAATGAAAAACAAACTAAAATTAATAATTTAGAAAAAATAACAACTAATAAAAAATAAACTAAAATTAATCATTTTGAAACAATAAAAACTAATAAAAAATAAACTAAAATTAATAATTTTGAAAAAATAAAAACTAATGAAAACAAAACTAAAACTAATCATTTATAAAAAAATTAAAACTAATGAAAACTAAACTAAAACTAATCATTTATAAAAAAAATTAAAACTAATGAAAACTAAACTAAAACTAATCATTTATAAAAAAAAATTAAAAATAATGAAAAGTAAACTAAAACTAATCATTTATAAAAAAAAATTAAAAATAATGAAAAGTAAACTAAAACTAATCATTTTGAAAAAAAAACAAATAAAAACGAACAAACTCGCTTCAAAAAAACTAACACAAGCCATATAGTTAAATTTATTAATACGAGTCTCGTCTCTGACAAACAGATTGTGTGTTAAGTTTCTATTTTTTCAACAGAATGTTGAATGTTTTTGGGGGTTTAATCCCTGACAAGTATCCCATGTTACAAAAATAAAAACTAATAAAAATTAAAGTGTTTTCAGGAAATAAAAGCTAAAATTCCAAAATTTTATATATCAAAACTTAACAAAAAAAATGACACAAAAATACAAACTCCCTGGGACTCATTTATATGTTTGTGTTGGTAGCTGGAGTGTTGCTGACTGTCCTGCTGCTCACAGTTAGTGTCCCGGGGTGAACTCACATTAGACAGTCTGTACCGCACTCAGGCGAGTTTCCAAAAGGCCTGTTTGTTGGACTGAGTGCTCCCAACTGTGCTCAGACCTGGTTGGAGGAGGTGGACTTGGACCGGCACAGAGTCTGAACATGCCTCCGGTCTGCATGTTTGGAGAAAACTGGAGTTCACTCTAAAAATCGCATATGTTCATACCAACAAAATAAAACAGCATGGATAATTGATTTATGGATCCCTCATGTGAAGCAGGTAGCTCAGTTTTACGGCGCTGGGATAAATGCATTTGAATAAAAAACAGATGAAAGTGGGTTTGAATGATATTTGACGCCCAGAAGCAGCAGCATGAATCAGAACCATTCATTAGACACTTAAAATGAAGGCTCAGTCATCGCTCATTAAAAAGTACTCCAACAGAATAAAGACGAGAAAAGGCCCTGGGCTGAACTTTTACCTTGGTGTGACATCATCTGTGTCGAGCATCCTCGTCTGCCTGAAGATGTTTATATCCCTGAGAGCCTCCAGAATCGCTGCTCAGTCTTATTTGTACATGTGGGTGTTTCCCCAAACACTTTCTCTTCTTGTTATTTCATTTTTTTGTTTTGTTTTTTTCCCTTCCTGACTTCCATCCCAGCACACAAAACCTTCTTAATCTCAAGTAGAGCCGGCGAGATTTCTGCTGTAGCCGAGCGGTTCTTGTAAAATAAGATTTATGGACAATATTTCTGCGGCTTATTACTTTGCAAATAAGACTTCTGCTACAAATCCCTACAAACTGTGGGTAAAATGGTTATTTTTATTCCCTTAAGGAAATTTGCTGAGAGGAAAAATCTATTGAATTCATTGAGAAGAGGTCGGTGATGGTTCTATTATTAATTTTGAGTCTGTTTTATTGAGTCAGGCTGCAGATTTTATAAATATACCAACCTCTTAGAGCTGGAAAAAAGGGAAGGACCTCAAAAGTAAAACGTTTCGTTGGTGGTGAAGTTGGATAGAAATGAACACACAGCACGTCACACGTATACTCTCATTCACTAAAGGCAGATGCCGCTGTGTTAGATGGTGATCTGCCCGTCAGGATCAAACTAATTGCATATAAACACATTCATACCCTCATGGCTGTGCCTTTGGGAGCTTTCTTGCCCAAGGATACTCCAACATGTGGACAGCAGGAGCTCAGCATCAGACAGCAAACCCTCTGATTAAATCACCGCCAGCTTTACCGCTGAGCCCCGGCCGCACAGATATATGAAAAGCATATAATACTCCGACTCGAACAGAACTCTGTGCAGTTATTGGTTTTGGTCCCAGGGACCATATCTAGTATATGTTGAGTCATATTAATGTCGGCAAAAATAGCACAGTTTGAACCAATCCTGCTCAGACTCGGAGCTTGGAGGCCAAATTAGCTTCTGTTCATTATCTGTTTTTTTTTCTCGTCTGGCAGCTTATTGATCGTTAACAGGAAAAGGCTTCACAGGCTGGTTAATAGTCTTGATGTCCAGAACACCCAAACCAATACCAGGTCATGACCACAGGTTGCATAACACACGGGTATTATCTTGGTTCCTGAATGTCCATGTAGATTCTCATTCATCCAGGTCATGGTTTTCTTGATGACCCTAAAATCAGGCAACTGGACTGTGTAGAGTTTGTTCCCGAAGCTTAAACATTGCAGTCGCCATATTGGAGAAGACAGCTTGATAACGCTGAAATCCTACAGACTGTATGAAACATGGATGCAGTCTAAGCTCAGATTTGGCATTCACCTACATCCCTGATCATGCTAATTTACGCATATCTCAAGCTGCAAAAACCTCAATCGAGAAACTTCCTGTGACCTCAAAACTCTAAGTCTGAACTGTCTGAGACAAAGACCTTCAGAAAGTGGTCTTGTAAGACTTTGACTTTTGTCAAGATCAATCTGAAGTTCTACAACCCTGCTCGTTAGAAAGTCCACCCCGTCCTGGGATGAACCCTTGACACTGGACACTGTGATGGGCACGCTGCAGCTCCCTCTGTGACAGACTGTTTCTCCTGTGGTGTGTGAAGAAGAGAAACCTCAGGTGCTTCCTTCCTGCTGCTGTCAGACCTTAGAATCGACACTGCTCCCTGTGGACCGCACAGACACCAGACGGGACTATTTCAACAACATCATTAGAAACACCTCCAATCAGCCGCTGCCTCATTTAGACTCCATTCACTCAGTTTAAATGTTGATTGTTTTCATCGTTAGATCAAAATTAATCATGATTCGAGCTTTAACATGAAGGGTTACATCTCCATAAGTCACCTTAAAGTTTTGCATATTCAGGCATAAACATGTTGCTGCTAATCTAACTAATGAGGGAGCGTTTCCTCCTGCCACTAGGGGGCACTATAAATAAGATACAATACTACCACATGAAAGTGTTCAGGTCTTACTCGCATACTTCGGGCCCAGGCTGCCAGATGACTGCTCAGGGGTCCTGTTACGGGGCCGATCAGGTAATGCCGCAGCATACCGTAATGCTTCGAAAATCCATTGAGCTTCGTTGCTTACCAAAGTCGTATTTACACACTTTGACAGATTTTTGAGCGCATTATATCACATAAAATCGGTCAGTAAGCTCAACAAGTAATCATACATAAAGCGCGCTGGATTATCAGGCACACTGTCAATTTTTGGGAAAATTCAAGGATTTTAAGTGTGCCTTATAGTCTGAAGAATACGGTAATTTTGAGGGCTTGCCATGACCATGCCCTCTGATGTTCTGGATCTCATCATCTTCTCTAAATTCTGGTCTTTTCTACCTGAATCCTGCATGGGAAGAAAATGTATGGATTTTTTTTTCAACTCTCTTGTTTTTTCTTTTTTTTCGACATTTCACCTGATGTTAACTTAGAGTGACCATACATCCTCTTTTACCCGAACATGTCCTCTTTTTTGGGGGGCTGTCCGGCCTTGTCCAGGGGTTTATAAAATCCTTCAAATGTCCGGGGTTTTTGTATGGAAGTTTTAAGTTTGTGTAGCGTGGACTAACTGAGTTAGAAGCGTGTAAAAAAACACTCAACCCAACCCAAAAACGCCTAAAATTTTGCGTGGGACTCCACCCCACATAGTGGTGTCCTTTTTTGGAGAATATGGTTACCCTAGGATATGTGTAAGAAAAATCAGGGAGGGACTGAATTTTTTGGGGAACTGGAAAGATATCCTTGCAATTAATTTGACAAATTCACATTTTCATGAACAGGCAATTTTTCTGGACTTCTGAGCATGCTCAGACTCTTCAAATTGGGACAAATGGCAGAAAACAACAATATTAGTAAATCATAGGAATTCCAATAAAGTCCTTGCACCTATTTAGTGCTCGCCCCTCATTAGATTAGATTAAATATGTGGAGTTTACAGTCTAACTCAAACACATCCTAACTGGATAAATACACTCCTCCTCCTCAGACAGTCGTGTTGTCAGTAAAAGGATCAACAACCTTGACTTTGATCATTTGATTAAAGAAGTCCTTGTCTTACTCCACACGCCAGATGACTGTATGTAGGAGCATGTTTCCTGCGGTCTAAGTAGGACAGATGTTGTGTTGTTGGTTCCCACTGTATCGACTCTGTCCTTGCCCACTGAGACAAGGAGGAGGAGGTCAAATCCAGTCCCAGGTGAGACCATCAGTGGCAGGATGCATTTGTGCAATAGAGTGATGAAGCGAGAGAGAGAGAGAGAGAGAGATAGAGAGAGAGAGAGAGGGAGGAGGAGAAGTCCGAGGGAATTGAAGAAGTACCTGATAGCACGGAGGGTGAGATACATGGGAGAGTGAGGAGGAGGAGGAGGAGGAGGGGAGGGTTGCCAGGTGACCTCCTCTGTCCCTGTAAAGCTGCAGTTTACTTTTGTAATCCCCCACAGAACAGCTGAGGGGGATATTCACACTGTGCTTCCCTCGGGGGAATAAAGGTGACAGTGGAAATGATAAATTTTCTGCTCGGTGGGTTAAATGTGAGATTGCCGCTCGTATCTGATTCCTGTGACGAGTGCGGGGAATCTTCCGACCAATTGAATCCACCGTTAGAAATAACAGATTTTAGGAGAGCGAAAACTCCTCAATAAAACCATCAGATTCATCCGCATGAGCTCAAAGAAGCGTTTAGAGAAGTCCAGCGTGTTTAATTCACATTTATAGCGAGGCATACTTGGTAATTGTGTTTCGATTTGTTCCGTGTTTCTGTTATTATTCTTATTTAGAAGCACCTTAGTGCTGAGGCGCAGGCTAATGAAAATCTCCTCCAGCTTGCCTGTAGCTAAAGATGCCCGGCCAATTCTCAGGGCTTGTATTTATGCAGCCTGTTTATTAATGTAAGAGATTATCATCCACGTAATTGCTTACAATCTGCACTGCTTTGGACCGGTACAGCACGCCCTGCCTGTGCCTGCCTCCTAAATGGCGCAGTATCTCATCCTAAAAGCCCGTTTAGAATTGGAATTCACCAGAGTTCAGTCCCCGGCACGCTTTAATCACTGTCATCCTCCAAAATGAACCATAACGAGGTTTAGTTCCCAATCTCTCCTGCACGTAGAGGTAGTCATCTATTCTCTGCCCCATTCTTGTTGACCCGGCGAAGGGATGCAGCAAACAATTTTGCAGACAACTGCAGGGAAGGCGGCGGAGTTCACTGACATCAAGGTGTTGCGATGAGATATGGGGGAAACTCGGCGAGGTTGATATGCTTTAGCGCGGAGAAATAAGAGGAATCTTCGGGAGCAGATCAGATCGGTCTCAGGCTGCATAACCTCGAGAATCAGCTTATAGAAAAAAAAAAAAGAGAGAGGATGTCAAAGCTGGCAACTTGACATCAAAGAAGAGTCTCCCCTCTCAGATGTTTTTCTCTTTTTAGCGAGAAAAGGCCACAACACGCTCCGGCTGTCGAAAAGAAAAGAAAGTTCGGTGAAACCTCGCTCAAAACTATTGCAGAAAAGAAACACAGTGAAATTAAACCTGATCACCCTCCATGAGATTAGATATTGATCTGTCTTCCAAATGACTAGAAAGAGATCTCTCTCTAGATGATTAGGTATTTACACTTCATACCGTTATTTCCCCTCCCCTGTGCCAACCATAGATTGAAGACTCTGAAATGATTGCAGAGCTTATGGCGTGGAAATCTGCATTAATAATAAACAATGAAAGGATTCATCTTTTATCTCTTCATAGTTTTGTTCATGCACCACAGGCCTTCAGCCAATGCGTATTGTCTCAGTGAATTAAACCCTCTGGAACCGCCGCAGCAGCAGCTAGCTAAATTATTAAAGCTTTTATTTACATGTAATAAGCCTCCAAAGACTCTGAAATACAGTTTTAATCCAAATGTAGATGCTGTATGGGTGGTAATGTAAATCCTAAAAGGGTGAGAGGGAGCAGGATCCTCCCTGTGCATGCATAAGTCATGTTTTCACACGCTTTACTTCCTGTAAATATTTGCAGTGGGGGGAAAAAGGACAATATAGGAGACGTCAGTCTTTTTGCACGTGGTCTGATTTGCTTTCGAGAGCTGCAAATGTTCACAAGTTCAGTCTGATCCAGAACCAGGAGCTTCAACACAGCTGGTTAATGGTGTCATGTCAGGTCCTTTTAACTCTATAATGACCTTGAATTGACTCTGGTGGTGTTAGTGCATCTATTATGCAAGCTGTTGATGGTGAAAGTGCAGCAGCCATGCAGCTGTTTACAGAATGCATTAGCAGTATTGACTGTTGCAGTCGTCTATTTTCAAGCTTCAGAGGTTTCTCTTTCTCTGGACAACATCCAGAGCCATGTTAACGTTTAAGTGGGGTTTAGGTAGAGTGACCATATTCTGAATCCCCAAAAAGAGGACATGACTACGCGGGGCAGAGTCACGGAGTCGGCCGTAGTTAATTTTGAGTTTTTTACGTGTTTCTAAACCCGAAAACATGCAGGATTCGTAATGAGCTAAACAAAACCTGGACATTTGAAGGTTTTAATAACCCCTCTAGACAAGGCCAGACAGCCCCCCAAAAAGAGGACATGTGGAGGTAAAAGAGGACGTATGGTTACCCTAGTTTTAGCCAACATTGCATGTGTATGCTAACTGCTAAGTAGGTTTATCATTTATCACTCCAATGTTTTTTTTTTTAACTACTTAAAGTGTTCTCAGTCGTCTTTAAACTGTGATTATGAAGTTTTTAGCCAAAGTCACATTACCTGTTTCATTTTAGAGGCCTTTTCTTCTGCAGAGCTCCAGTAGATCATTAGCAATTCACCTCTGAGTCGTGGGCGGAGACAGTGCTGCTCTGCACACTCGTCTTAATGCTAGCTTGTAGCCTAACATTGACTGTGTAGAAGAAGTAGCAGGTAATCAGGTAAGTTAATACCATAATTAGCTTTCTTACAAGTATTGCAATCAGCTAATGCACACGCTTGTTCCGCGATTGTCCTCTCTACTTTTCCGAGTGTGGCCTCTTGGGGGGCGGAGCTTGGATTTGTGACATAGGAAATCTCACTCTTTCTGAGCCTGCCATTTGGGTTTGAAAGAGATTCACAGAGATTTGAATGTAGAAATACTCAGAAATGCAATTTTACATGATAGTTTTCTCATGACATGTCTTGTAGCTTCAGAAAAATGAACATATGAACATGTAGAAAACAAAAAACACATGATTTTCATCAGAGTGGGTCTTTAAGTAGCTAACCACTATGAGTTTTTCCTGTAAGCAGAAATGTAGTTTCCTCTTGACTCATATTGTGCCATATTCAGTATTACATTCCCCTTTTTTTTCATGGTATTCTGATGGTTATGGAGATTTATCTAATGCCACATTTCGAGAGACACTTCACGAGGCTCTAAACTTTCATTTCACTAACACAATTTTACTCTTTAACCCTTATTTCCACAGGCTTTCAACTCGAAACTGACTCCTCTCTCTGTGTTATTTTCCCTTTCAGTTCGACAGTTTCTCTCTCTGTGACAGAGTCTGATGGAGGAGTTCAGCTCTGCACCGTGACCCTGGAGCTCTCTGCTGTTTAAATCTCATTTCTCCAGCCTAAAAGAGAAGGGCTTACTCTGGAGAAAGTAGAAATAAGCACAGAGGACCGTGAGTAACGCAGACTGAGCACTTCATTGACAGATGCACGGGCACGTGCTGGAGATCAGAAACCCTCAAAGTGGATGGCACCACAGCTGAGTGCCAGAATACTGATGGGAGATGGAGGAGAGATAAGAGTGTGGAGGGTTTTTGGAGATATCCTGCAAGAGGAGGAAAAATTAAAACATGACTTGATTTTTTTTTGACTGAGTGATGGACAAATGTTTGTTTTCTTGCATTGTTTGAGTTTATGCAAAGAAGCAACCATATGCTGAATATCCCTCCCCTTCAGCTGTTTGCATATTATGAGTCATGAAACATTTTGGCAGGTAATTCGAAGAGACCTAAGGTCCATACATTTTTCATATGATTCATTTTTCCTGCAGCACATGGCGTCTAAACAAAACAAATTACTCTCCTTCAGAAGATTTTTTTCTTCTTTTTCTTTCTTTACACACCTCAGCTCATGAAATCAAAGTAGGCCCTGGACTGGTTTTTCTATCTCCACTGAGAGAAAGCTGAGAGAGAGAGCAGCACAGCAGCAACAATCTTCATACAACTTTAATTGGATAGTTGCACAAAAGGTTGGAAGAGTTGCATACCAATGACCAGAAACACACTCTTCTGGCTTTTAATATGATATCAGTGTTTTGTTTTTCAGCGTGAAAACAGATGTTTCTGCTCCTGATTCAACATGAGATTCTCTACCAAGAGGCAATGAATATTCTGTTTCTGAGCGTATCTTTAATGTTTTTCCACCAGAAATCAGACTCATTGTCTCTGTGGTCAGACTGTATCGTTCTGTTTGACTTCAACTGGTTGAAAAAGACAAAAATAGTAAACAAAGCGAAAAGTAAAGGTCTCTGTATGTGAAGGAAACAAACATTATTGTTGTTTTAACATGATTTCAAATTGAGATCCTTTGATTCTAGATGGAAACTGAACTTAGCTTTGAAGAAACGAATCTTTCAGTTTTGATTTATCTGAAAAATGTCAAAAGTTTCAGTTTAACCTAATAAAGTAAACAAATAAGTAAATAAATAATAAAAAATAATTATAATAAATTAAAAAATAGCAAATATGTAAAAAAAATAAAGAAGAAATAAAGAAAAAGAAAAATAATAAAGAAAAATATTAAATAAATAAATAAATAAATAAATAAAAATAAATGAAAATAAAAAATAAATACATTAAAAATAATTAATAAATTTTATAAGAAATAAAAAGAAAATAATATAATCTAATTATATTAATGAATAATAAAGAAAAAGAAAAGAAAAATAAAGAAAAAAGAGAAATTTAAAAAAGAGAAAAAAGAAAGAAAAATGAATTAAAAAATATTTTTTTTCAAATGAATAAAATAATTAATAAATAAAAAACGATAATAAACTGTAAAGAAATACTAAATAATAATTCTAATAAATAAAAAATAGAAAATAATACAATAAAGAAAAAGAAAAGAAAAAATAAATAAATGAAAATAAATAAATGAATAAAAATTATTAACTAAATAAAAATAATAGATCAATAAAATATAGAAAAATAAAAAGTAAAGAAAAAAGAAAGAAACAAAGAAAGAAATAAAACATAAAATAGAATAAAAAGTTATAAATTAAAAAGTGAATACACTATTTTTGGTGGCAATGATGGGGTAGAAAAACCCTTCTCCTTGTCCCCTTACTATGGCTGTAAGTGTTGGACTGTATATCATGAGTGTTGCTATGGTTACAGCAGCTCCCAAGCAACCTCTGATTGAAGTCGACCAGCAAAGGTGATCCAAACACATGGCAAAATAACTCAGCAGCACATGTAGTGAACCATCTTACTTCATCCCTATCTTGAATCCTCACTCACACGTCCTCTTCTTGCATTGAGTCCAAACATGTGAACCGGACTTGAGAAGGCTTGAAACTTTTATCATCACACATCTTTGTCGTCAAAGTTAGGGGGGAACAAAGAGCCATAAAAAAGGTGATATAACCGACAGCTGCTGTGTAAACTTCCAGAAAAACGCTCGTAACTCTTCGTCTTTGAAAGTGTAATAGAGACGATGAAAGTGACACTTATCATTTAGTCAGAAAACAATCGAGGAACAAGGACTTTTTTTTTTTTTCGGCACCATTTAAGGTGGTTAAACCTGCAACCCTCGAGGTTTATTCCATCTGTTACTTTATTTTACTTAAGGGACAGAGGAATTGTCCTTCACACGAGCCTGATCTCATTTTCACACACAGCGACTGTCAATCTTACTCTCAGTACTCGTCTCTCAGCAGAATGAAGAGTCAGGAGTGCAGATTTTCGCTCCAGAAACCGAAGATAACGTGTATTTTTAGTGTAAACCAACAGAGTGACATACTGCACCCTTGCAAAAGTGGTTGAATTATGAAGGATGAGTTTTACTGAGGCGGGTTTTAGCAGAGAGCGAGGTTTGGAAATAAACACTCAAAGCTGAGTGATGGCCTCCCAATTAACCTGAAGGTGAAAAAGTCTTGATTTTGTCATAATTAGAGCGAGTAAAAAAGAAAAAGTGACACCTGTCATCACCTCTGCAGGCCGAGGCTTTCTGTTGTTCTCTTTTTCTCATCATTAAATATTACAGATTCATTTCACTGCAACCTTGATGAATATCCTGGAGCTATTGTTGTCGTTTGATTTGCTTATTTATTGACCTAAAAATGACGCAGGGATACAGGGGGAGGGTTTGACTGGCAGCTCCGCAAAGTGGTGCTTTTATTTTGGAGGGGTGCCAGAGCCATGTCATTGACTATGAATAATTGGGGAACATTGGAGAACAAACCCAAGTGTGTTGCTAAAACTATACTTCTCATTTACCCCTTTACTTTAACTTAAAGTAAAGAGGAAGGTTATTAATTAAATAACTAAACTGATTTTGTTGTCGTATGAATCACTTGAGCTGGATTCATCATGTTGCCTCCGCAGGCGGGTGTGCTGCAAAAGCATGCCGTGTCTTGTACGACTTTGTAAATGAAGCAACCAAAAGTTGGAGGTTGTAAACAAACAACATCTGGACGCATTTTTCCAAGAAGTCTGTCTGACAAATGTTTCATATTTAATGACTTTTGGATGTGCGGCAACAGGTTGATGTTGTCAGGAAACTGTTTCAGTTTTAAACGACTGTCGAGTTAAGAAAGGGGGATTCGTTTTAGACTTAAATGATGACAATATGTACGTTTACTGCTGGTGCTTCTGGATGAAAACTGTAACCATGGCAACAAACTAGCAGGTGAAGTTATGGTTAAACAGTCTGAGGGGTTAGAATGAGACATAGAGGGTCACCTTTTGGGTTTATCAAACACTGTACCACTGCTGCAACTGCATATAAGGTTAAAGGGGTTATGAGATCACACCTCAGTTTCTGAATTCAAAGATGGTTGGAGTGAACCACGTTCAGCAGATTGCTGCTTTGTTTTTGTCCTTGAAGGCCCACAACTGTCGGAGATGTAGACATCGCAGTGTCTGGGTCTTCTCCAATAGCTGCGCCTGGATGACGGCCGTTTCCAGCGGTATTTTTGATTTGACTACCTGTTGGTGAGGGTCGACGCCAGGATATCCCTCCAGGATACCAATGGACAGGCGCTCTATCCCAGCTGCAGAGCGCCTGTTCATCTGTCCACTGTGAGTAAAAGGATCTGTGTTTATATTTTCACACCAGTGAACATCTTTCGGTTCATTTTCGTACATCACCATGCTGATTGGTTATGGCGACATGAATATCTAGATATCTAGATAGATATTTTCAGTTCTCGCGAATTTGCGTCTGCTCAATTCATGCAAATAACTCGCCCAATTTGCGCCGCAAGAGTAGAACAAGCGTCTAATTGCATCTTTGCATTGACTTAACTTGTAATTTCTTCACGCGAGGGATTTTACTTGTGCTTGGTGTGATTGCTGTCATGCTTCAGGGTAAAACAAAAAGGGGAAGGACCAAAGTGCAGAACTAAAATGATTTATTTGAAAAAAATGAACTGAATAAAAAGCAACAAACACTTAGAATGTTCAACATAAAATCTCCCAAAAACAAAAAACGTGGCATAATCCAAAGAGCCAAAAATCCAAAATCCAACGAAAGACACGGGAAGAAAAAAATCACAGGAGACACACATACCACGCACAGGCGTAGACATACAACAGTCTTCGGTTGAATTTATGTTCATGGACCTTGGAAAGCTCGACCATCTTTCTCATTGTTGACAGTTTTCCTCCATTTTCCTCATTTCAACATGAAACTGAAAAGATGCGACTGCAGGATGTGGAGTAAGTTACTATCTGAGAAGGAAAGGTCATTGAAGAGGAAGGTGAAGCAGAGACGGTGGAGAAATATTCACAGCGAGTGGGCCATAACATAGGCTTACCGCCACAAATGACCCTCGACCCCTGCTGCAAGAAGCTTACTGTGAAAGCACATCCCCCCCCTCAGCTGATCTTGATTTAGCTGTGCGCCAAATACCCTCATAGATGCTGGGATATCCAGAGAAAAACCAGTTTGGAGAGCGAAACCTCAGCTGGGTTATCATATGAAACCCTGAATAGGACTCTATATCAGATAGCAGTGATGAATAAATTTAGAGCGTGCAGGCGGCTCAGTATTCACTTCAGGGCGGTATCGGGGAAGGCGTGGAGCGTGGATTTGCAGCGTTATTGGGCTGCTTCAGAGGACATCCCAGTCAGGCAGGCAGCAATCTGAGCAGGGATCCCAGGGAATATCATCCAAGAGGACGGTGGATTTGAAGCGAGGAGGAGCGGGGAGATGGATGTGTGTCTCCCCAGCTGGATCTGATTTCCCCCATGAATAAATATGGACTGTGTGTTTCTTTGAGAGAGAGCAGAGGGGATTCATACGAACAGAGACAACAGGTGCAAGAATCCTCATTGTTTATTATTTACAGTGCCAGTCTATAATGAGGCATTATCTTTTAAGCTACCATTAAACACACTGCTTTCATGCCCCTATCATTATATATATATATCGTATTTAGAGGGTTTATGAAGAGATTTACTCTGCACATTAAAGAGGCGGGTATTTGACGAGTTGATTACAGTCATTTTAGTCTTAAATGTGAAAATTCGACTCTTTTCAGCCTCGATAAATAAATCATAACCAAAGGCGTCGGAAAGTTTCCCTAAAGAAAATTATTCCTCTCAAATTAGAGAGAGCTTTGGATCCATATCTCAGGGAGTACATTTGATAAAATACATGATTGAGGAATTAAGCGAATGAAAACGTCATGATCGAAAGACAAAATATCTTTAAGTCCAGCGTTGATGCACCTCCAGTCCCAGTTGATATTGACTCTTTAAAAAGGATGAAACCTCAATCTTTCTAGAATATTCCTGCTAGGGCTGCATCTCATCGATTTTCCTCTCTATCACGTCTCACGCCTCCCCAGTTCCCACACACACCAGTGTAAACAAACATGGCGTTCGCAAAAGAAGGTGATAATTTTGTGGCTAAATAGGGAAAGAGCGAGTCAGTTGTGTTGAATTGGTTCAGTTTCACAGTTTTAAATGAAGAGTAAACCACTCCCCGCTGCAAAGTCTGTCTGAAGGCGGTATCAACCCGTCACCACGGAAACAGATTCAGGAGGAAACGCTAAAGTTTTTTGTCGTATCTGGTAACTGTAAACAGTACTTTTTGAAAATGGGTCGGAGATTGAAAAAATCTGCAAATGACAACCATTTCATCTCCGTGTGTATGTCTATCTTCATCTCTGGAAACGATCATGTGACACACAGTGTAACGAGTGTAACGGAACGACTCTGCAAGCATTATGATCAATATGAGTGATTCCTCAGAATCCGTCTGCCGTCCGGCTTTGCTGCAGATCAGCTTTGGCGGCCGGATTAGATACTCAACGCTTCTCATTTGCCAGACGCCGGAGCATGGCGCATCAATTTAAATGCATCGGAAGTTGTATGTAGCTACAGAGTAAAATATCCAGTCAATTTTCAAAATAAAATAAAGTCAATGTGTTGAGCTGTTCTTAACTTGATAATGGGAGAGGCGTGGGATGTGGGTGTTTATATACATCGATCTGCAGATCTCATTCTATGACTCCTGTGAAGTTTAGTGAAATTGTCTCTGAAAAAAAAAATCAAAATCGAAAATCGAGTTTTCAGTTTTCAATCGTGCAGCCCTAATTCCTGCATATCCAGACGAAGAAAGCAGTTTTAAAAGATTAGTCTAAAATCTAAAGTCCTTGAAGGCCAAAGGATAAAAGAGATCACTCATGAAAACCGTTTATTGATTTACCTTGACCTCATCCTCCAAGGGGACAAAACGACCAAAAATCATACCAGCAAATTGCCCCCTATGGCACAACAATCCCATGACCCCTTCACTCTCAGGTCAGGTGATTAGGCCTCTACTTTCATTCATCACTAATCGGCACGAGTTCCTCTCGACTTCTGAGCCGATCCCTTCCTTCTTTGAGGGGATGGAGAGTCAGCGAAGGCCCGTCAGCCCAAAGCGTATCGATCAGTTGAGAAGTGATCTACAGGAACAAAGCGTCTGTCAGGCCTTGATGGCTGGATTCATCACTCTTAGTGTCAGCGCAGAAAAGTAAGGACTGAAGAAGAAGAAGAAGAAGAAGAAGAAGAAGCGTCTTCTCAAAGGAGGGAGGTCAGGGGTCGAGTCCACCTTCACAGTAACGGTTAGTATAAAGATATCACTGAGTCATACTTTTCAAGACTTGGATCAGGCTTTTAACTATCTGCTGGATCTTCCTCACTCGTTTTATGAATGTGCCTATTTCACCACGGTTAACAGTAATCGACCCACTTTTGTTGAATCATCTCTTTCAAAAACCTGCACCGTTTGCAAAATGCACCCCAAAAAATAAATAAAGTGGCATTTCTTCACTTTGTGCCACACAGGGGCTTTAGAAATACAGCCTGGCAGTATGTAATAGTTTACCAGTGAAATATTTCTGTGCATCACACCTCGGGTCTCATTTGGGATTAAGACCTGGAGGACGATTGGAGTTACAGTTGCTGAGCAACAGTTCATGGCAGACGTCCAGCAACATTTCTACAGAATATAGTTTGTTGCATAATCAGCTGCGACTGGGACTGGAAACAGTCTGACAATACATCCTGCTGACCTTTAGTGCTTCATGCAGATATTTATACAGGGGAGAGTAGGTGAAAAAATGAGCAAGGAACTCAAACATGCAGAAAAAAACATATATTATAGTTTTTTTAGATGCAAAACGCTGATTCAAGATACAAAAGGAAGAAATATGTTCAGAGAGAAAGGAAAATAGTCAGTGTTGCCAACGCTAATCGCTGTTGTAACAGTCGCTGGATGAGGTTATCGCCTAATTTGCATAATTTCTCAGGAAGAGGAGGAGAAGCGGGAGTCATCCTCAGGTTGTCTGTATTTGTCTGTGTTTTTGATGCACACCGGCTATCCGTTGAGAAGAGTAACATCGACACCTGCTTTCATTTTAGAGTCTCTAAACTCCAGAAAAAGTCGCCAGATTTTGATCTGGAGACTGCTGCCAAAGCCAAATCTCCCTTGTTTGCAGAGGCACACTCGCCCCTGAACCTGCTCCTCTTCATCAGTCACAATGAAATCACTGAAAAAGCTCAAAGTCACTTCTTTTTCTCCGGAACGGTGCCAATTTTTGCTGTTCGCCAATTCCTACTGGATCCATGGAGAGGCAAATTTCGTGGTGGATTATGGACAGCAGGAATTGCGAGAACTTACAAGAACAAGAACCTGGATTCACGTGCAATTGCAGGATAACAAGTTGTCTCTATAAAGACAGACACATAGGCTAACCATATAAGCAGTAGATTGTGTCCTTCCAGAGGAGGAAATCTACTTCTAGACTTCTAGAATCAGCATCTCCTCATCCATGGTGTCATCGGGGTGAAATGACGTCTAAAAACCTTTCACTTGTTCGACTCCGCCCGTTTGCATGGTGTGAAATACGATCCACCTGCATCATCATGTTTTATTTTGAAAAGAAGCCGTATGTTTTAAAATAGAAACTCTGGCGATCTGCAGCGGAACGGAAAGAAGCCAGTGGAAATTGACATATTGACTTGAATGGTTACGATCAGCTACGATCAGCAGATACAGCTTTTTTGTAGCCGTTCTGGATGTGGTGGAAATTGGGGGAAAGACGACCAACAGGGACACGGTTTGTTGCTAAAACTGTACCACGCACAGAAAACTCTCTTGCAGTCCGGTGCATCAATATTTGACATTGTTTTTTGGAGATCTTGGACACCGTGTCCCCTTTTGTTGCCACAAGATGCTTACTGATTGGTTTCATGATTGCTGTTTTCAGGACAATAAACCTCAAACGTAATTCAACATCATGCTCGTTGAAAACAGTGCGGGAGCTTGCTTAAGTGCTCAGCATGATTATAGGAACAAGGCTGAGCCTTTGGGTAATCACTCCAGTCTGCAGGTACTTCTCAAAGGCATTAACCCAAAGGCATCTCAAACAGCCTGCCCTACTTTCATTAAACAGTCACAAATGACCCACTGCCTCATTCTGCGTGGACTCTGGAGACGCCGCACAGCATGTCTAGACCTGAGAGGTGGCAGGAGAAAGCCGGGAACATAATTAAAATGTCCGGAGGGGAGTGGGTAAGAAATATGCAGGGCCAAGACAGAGGGTTAGAGTTTGGTTTTAGGTCACCGATGGCCGGACATGCGGATTGATTTAAGCCTCCCAGTTTCCACAGTCAAGCATGAAATGTAATGAAATACCATCAGCGTCTCCTCCTCCTTCCTCTCCGCTCTGCAGTATATCATCGTATGGTTAGCGCATGCTGCTGAAGTGTCAAATGCTGCAAATGCTATTTGCTGTATAATGAAGTGGGAGCAGAATGGGAGCTGACATACAGTATACAGATGTTGCATCTGTTTCTGGCAGAGGGAGCTCAGCTCATGGCCTGTTCGGCTGTGATAAAGGAGATAAAGATACACACTGGCTTCACAAAGACCCACTGTTCCTGCTTGTGCACAAAGATAAACACACAGACACACACACATTAACAGTGCAGCTCAGAATCCTAATTCACACATCCAAACAGTCTCCTCTGCTCGTACGGAGAAATGCAGAATATGAATTTGGGGGTGTCAGTATTTTATTTATATTTTTTGCATTAAAGGGAAGCAGTCGGGCTTTTCTCACAGCCAATGTGCACTTTATCCCAAACCTCATCAAGCTGGAATGGGTTTCACTCTCAGTAAAGCCCTCTTTGAGTTCCTGCTGCTGTGATGAGAGGGGTGATTTAAAATGTTAATGGTGGTTTTGATGGTGGAAAAGAATGACTCGGACCAAAAGAAGCCAGAGGTCCTTTGTTCTCCGGAGACAACTTGACAGGTTAATGTTTTTTTGATGAAGCTGGTCTGGAATAGAGAAAGAGGGGCTGTGAAGTCGGACCGGACCTTCAGAATGGGTTAGTTGTGATCTTTAAGAGGATATGTGGCCGTTTCATTTGGTTCAGTCAAGTGAGTTCACGCCATTAGAAAAAAACATGTTTATCGAGTTTTATAAGATGAAGCATGAGACACGTAATCAGATTGTCTCTGTAAATGTGACATGAAATTATGTTTAACAAATAGCCTCAGTTAGTTTCTATGGTTACCAGCCTTCCGTAAAAATAGTGCAACAGATCAACGTAAAGGTTCGTTGAGGTGCTTTCGATTTGAGTCAACTTTGGCGCCCCCTGTGGCCAAAATGACACCTCATACTTTTGTTAGTTTTGCATCGCACATATTTAGGTTGATTGTATTTGACAAAAAAACTCTCTACATCTGACTTTTATTTGGTTAGCTTGTTAGTCATTCACTAATACTATGTTCAGTCACTTAATTCAGTATGAAACATTAAAAACACTTAGTAGGGCTGAAAGTAGAAAAACTTCTACGTGTTAAAGTTTGAAAGGTGTGCTGCCAGTCACGTTTGGGAAAATGGTTATCAGTGTCATGAAACTGGCTCATCTAAACCTGACAAGATGTTTGTGCTAACTAAGGGTGACCTTACGTCCTCTTTTACCCGGACATGAGTTTATAAAATCCTATAAATGTCTGAGGTTTCGTATGGAAGTTTTAAGTTTGTGTGGCGTAGATAAAAAACACTCAACCTGATCCGATAAACCCTCAAAATTTAGCGCATGACCCCATTCAGAATATGGTCAGCCTAGCTAACTTATCTAGCAAGGCTAACCCAGTTATAACCTGAAGATGTTGTTTTTGTGGAGCAACAGGGCCTCTACATTTAGTTAGCACAGAGATTTCACATTTTGTTCAACAGTTTTGGTCTGATCATGTAAACATGAACCAAAAACCGTATTGTTGTATCCTTAGTGTCGAGACAGAGATGTTTATCCTGTTTGTGAGCATCAAAAGTTCATGTGGTTGGTGGTTATCACTTTAAAACTTTTGAAAGTAGTAACCCCCTCCTCTTTGGTTAACCTTTACCGCACACGTTTTTTAATGAACTGTGTTTTCACACCTACTGACACAGAAACAGGGACACTGGTGAGGCTACAACGAAAAACCTGCTTGGAATTAGCGCGACCATCCTTCACCCGGGTGACCCAGATTCAAGCACCCATGACAGCCGAGTCTCAGCTGGAGTGTCCTTGAGCCGATCCTTGAATCTGTATGAGGGGCGATCAATGAGTTTGGTTCAGTGGGGTCTTATTTCTTTGTGAAAAGTGACCTTTTTAAAAGGTGAATTTCCCCTTAGAGGCACCACAGTATCACAGACGTAAAGTCACATTTTTGGAGCGAAAGCTGCGAATTTGATGCTTGGTTCACTCCGGTAATTCAAAATGAAATATCACGGGTAGGAACTACAATAAATGTTTTCATCGATGACTACACCGTGTAATGTTTTCTTGTCGTTTGTCCGAACCGTGCAGACTTTAAAGCCGTCAATCTCTCTGTTCTCGGTGGTGATGGCTTTCTATGCAGGTGTCACCCCATCCTCACAAATTGGTTGCTTTGTCTTTTATGAGTGAAAATTGTTGATGTGCTTTATTGACAAGAGCGAGCACTACCTGGCTATTTCATTGTCATACTGTCATTCAATTGGAAACCATGTTCCCGCTGAAAGCATGACCCGCTGTTGTCTCTGTCACTCACAGTTAGTGTCCACCAGAAGCCATCGAGCTCTTATTGTTGTTTTCAAAGGAAGAGATGCACTCCAGTCGGCTCCCTGTACGGCCGAGAGACCTCAGCGAATCACTCACACAGCCAATATTTAGTATTTCCTCTGCAAAAACAACCCTCACTTCTCTTTTGGTTGGCTCGGGGCTGCTATCTCGACTGCACGGGACTATGTTGCATCGCACCGACGGTTTGAAGTCAGACATGCACAGATGGTGGGCCGTGTTCGCAGCCTCTGTGCATTACAGCGGTCCAACTTGGAGAAACCTGGAGGAAAACAAGGATCCCCTTGAGTTTTAACCCCCACAAACACAATCCAGTGTTCCCAAATGCAACGGTGAGTATTCATGCAGTAGCTTCACCCAGCTGTAACTAAATCCCCACAGGGAAAAAAGCCTGAAACAGTCACATTGTTCGCTGCAATGCCCGACACATTTCAGTTTGTATTTAAACACTAATGTCAGGTTTTAAGGTGGGATTAAGACATGATTTTAATAGAAGTGCACGCAGATTGGTACAGAAGCATGGAAAGGTAATTTCTTAACAATGCAGTGGTCCAAAAAGCAACCAGGTTTCTATTTATTTAACTGCAACAAAAGAGACACTTAATATTTCTCACACTGACGATTATGAAGGCCAGAGAGCGCAGCGTTCACCTCACCAAAAACAGCATCTCATTAACTATTAACTGAAAACCAATTATGAACAAAAATGGTCTCATACACCCAGTTGCTGGTAAAATTGAAAAGCAGCAACTGCCAATAAATGGACTGAATAGCAGCTTCCTGTTCGTTTGTGAAGAGAGACAAAAGGAGGAGGGAGACAAAGTTCATTACCGACGTTAGAGTAAAACATTCCCGGTGATGAAATCATCACGAAATACATTTGAGTTTTTTTTTCTCCACTTATTAGAAAAGCAGCACAATGAGAAAAAGAGTCTGTGTTATAAGCACCTCTGATCTAACCTGAAGTCTGGAGGTCTTACAAAAATGACGCCACTCGTGTAAAGTTTCTAGTTTTGACATTTCTATTTAGAAAAGTCACTTAAAAACAAACTTTAAGGAATTTTAATTAAACAGACTCCTCTTAAACTTGAACACAAAAAAGACTTTTGTTACAGCTGTGTGTTTGTGTGTTTTTTGTCTCCCCATAGCTGTCCAGGTGAAATCACTGAGTGACAATCAGACTCACCTGGTGCTGAGAGTTTAACGGCCCAGAGCTGCCTGCAGTCTGCAGAGGCGTTTGGTGGGGAACTGCTGCCCTGCTGCCGGTGTCCTACCTACAACAAAAAAATTATATAATGTGACCAAACCCAGTTGTAGTGACTATGCTAACCTGATGTTTAGTCACTGTCTGGGTGCGGGAGTGAGGCATTTTTGACGCGCTTCTCGTACAATCCGATGTCCAATCCAAAGTTGTTGTTGAGTTACATTTTTGTCATTTATTGATTAAATGAAAAACAAACCAAAAAAGACAGATATGTCCAACAGTAAAAACCGTGTGCTCTTCTTGTTCCCCAGATCACTGCTTCACCTGTGTCTCTTCGTAGAATTTACTTGCCCATTCACCTGAAGAGCCCCTTGTGGTGATTGTGCAAGTAACAAAACAAAATCCAAAGGATAATAGAGATAAAATGGCTCATACACCAAGAATGAAAACCTTTTGGTGTTAATAAAGTGAATTGACCAAAAAAAAAGATACTCCTAAATGAATGCTAAATGCCTGTTCACTTTAATGCCTTGGATTGGTATTACCAGTTTAGCGTAACAATCTAGTTCATCCAGTTCACTAAATTAATTAAATTTAATCCTAAACTTTTTTCAGGGAGCCTCCCCAAAATGATTAAAAAAGTCTTTCTAATCTAATCTAATCTAATCTAATCTACTGCTGCATCATATTGTATTCGTTCTAATTATACTGTTGTCACACTCTGCTGTGTTTCTCAGGCTGACTCTCACTCACCTCCCTGCCACACCTCATCATCAGCACTGATTCCCCACACCTGTGAGTGACAAGCTGCAGCTCCTCACTGCTGATTAGCCAGCCAGTATTTAAGTCACTCTGTGTCCCTCAGTCAGTGCCAGAGCAGCCACGACTCTTCAGCATTATTTCCTGGCTTGACTCCTTTTCTAGTGCTTTTGTTGTTGTTATTGCTTTTCATAGTTTTTATCATTTTTATTTACTATACATTGTGAAGCCCTTTGGTTCACCGAAAGGGTTGTTGTAAAGGTCTGTATAAATAAAGAACATTTTCATTTACATTTATGTTATTGCAGAGTATCATGTGTTGGTTTCTCAGAACCTCTCTAAAAAAAGGTCTGATAATGCCAGAACGAACATAAAATCAGTGTAATGTACATCCGATATTTTGGCGTTTCACTTTTTTACGATCCAGAATGCTTCAAGAAAATTCTTCCTACTTTTTTTTTTGTACACAACACTTTTAATTATGTCCTGAGGCAGATTTTTTTCTCTCTGACTGCTGCCTCTGAAGTATTTTCTCCTCAGAAGTTTTTAAAGTTTCAAATACTGTAACTGTTTTCAGTGAGAAGAACTCATTTAACAAACCTGGTGTCCTTGCAATTAGTGCAAAATGGAAGAGTAATACAGTATCTGCATACAGAGAACTTGCTGTGTGGGATTCACAGCCGAGCGCAACAGCTTTTACGTGTCAGAAGAATTTGATCCTGGATATCAGAATCTGTTAAAAATTCAAGAAAATCCTGAGGTCATTTGAGAAGTTTTTAGGTAGAAAATAATGCATGCTCAGGGTCAACAGTGTATAAAGAAATACCCGAGTTTAGAGTCTGGTAGGAGAGCCGCGTACAGTTCAGTATTCTGCTTCTGCACTGGTGCTGAGCTGGTTTCTCTCCCTGCAGGAATGATTGATTTACATGGCGAGCAGTGTATTCAGAGCATGTCTCCCCACAGTAGCCGGATTCATGATGGCGAAAAAACTCACGAAGCTCAAAATGATAATAAAAAGATATATAATAAACACAACAACAGTGGTTTCTGCAAACTGAGATGAAGATTTAGAGATGTCCAAACTTCTGTGCAAACATAAAATCATTAAAACGGAACAGTAATTATTCCCCTCCGCTAAACGTCTGTGCAGATCTGTCCGTGCATGACTTCTCCTGCCTCTCTCTCAGACATCTGGCTCTGAGCTCGAAATATGGAATTATTAGGCAGGAAGCAGTTGGTGCTCCTCTTGAAGGGAGTGTGTTTGATGTGAAATGTGAAAATATCGGACAGTCGTGTTAGACAGTGAGTCACTCTGCCACGAAAGTGTCTGAACTCTGTCTTTATTTTAATAATTAAATGTATACAGACATCAGAGCGGGTGAAATTTAACTACCCCTTTTTGTTGGCCCGGTATTATTTCACATGAAGAATCGCCTTGTGCATACATTAAAGACATTAGAGTCAATTTGATGAATAACAACATGAAGTACTCCTCCAAATATGCTGATCAAACCTCCTTTGAATAAAAAAATTCAACTAGACCTGAATCTGAATTAAATAAAACCAAACAGAGTCACAGTGTGTTTGTGTGTCTTTCATTTATAAACTCGTCTTGTTAGCTTAGATCCTCAGGATCCTTGAAAAGAGGTTTTGGCTCAAGGGTCAATGAAGGTGGTGGGAAGGCAACTCCACAGACTGCTGTTTTCCCAGAAGGGACTTTTTTATACCCTACCCTACCCTACCCTACCCTACCCTACCCTACCCTACCCTTTTTTTATTTACAGTCAAGTTCACGTGTAAAGGTTCCGTTAAATTCTTTACAATTTAAGACCATCCTCTACAATCCCCCCCATCTACCCTTCTACCCATCCTTAGTCTAAACTTCAGCCTGCTCTGACTTCCTGTTGCATAACCTCTCCATTTTATCGCTCTGGAAACACGGGGGGGTAACCACACAGTTCTGGGCCTGGATCCCCAGGATTTTCATTCAGGATCTCACTTGTGCCGAGCGGGTTTCGAACCAGGAGCCAGTTTATGGCTCACATTAGGGTGCTCGTTGTCTACCACGCTGCGCCACCGGATACCATCCACAGTTGGGGAAGAGCTCTGCATGCTTTTATCCTGGAACCTTGGCTTTTGGACCTTAAAATTGGTCCTGACTAAGGTTTGAACCCACAACCTCAGGAGTCTGAGTCACTGTTCTTATCCCCTGAGCCACGTGGACACAGAGGAGGATTCTGTTTATTTCCTCTTTCACTGTCCTTTGTTGACAGAAGACTTTAAAATTCAGCTTCACCAGGGTAAGGTAAGGCTCGAACCCACAACCTCAAGAGTTTCGGTCAGTGTTCTTATCCCCTGAGCCACATGGACACAGAGGAGGATTCTGTTTATTTCCTCTTTCACTATCCTTTGTTGACAGAAGACTTTAAAATTGAGCTTCACCAGGGTAAGGTAAGGCTCGAACCCACAACCTCAAGAGTCTCGGTCAGTGTTCTTATCCCCTGAGCCACATGGACACAGAGGAGGATTCTGTTTATTTCCTCTTTCACTGTCCTTTGTTGACACTAGACTTTAAAATTCAACTTCAACAGGGTAAGGTACGGCTCGAACGAGATCTCTCTTGTGCATAGCGGGTTTCGAACCAGGAGATGGTTTGCAACCAGACCACATGGCTCACAGTAGGGTGTCAGTTGTCTAACACGCTGCGCCACCGGACACCATCCACAGTTGGGGACGAGCTCTGCGTGTTTTTATCTTGGAACTTTGGCTCCTGGACTTTAAAATTGGTCCTGAATAAGGATCTCTCTTGTGCCGAGCGGGTTTCGAACCAGGAGACGGTTTGCAACCAGACCACGGGGTCAGTGGTCTAACACGGTGCGCCACCAGATACTGGATCCCGGACACCAGCCATTTTCTTTAATCCAGTGTTTTTCAACCTTTTTCAACGCTTCAAAATTGGTCCTGAATAAGGATCTCTTGTGCCGAGCCTTATTTCGGACGTCCTCCACCAGCCCCCGGCCATCCGCTGGTTCCTTCTTATACCACCCAAATGGCGTCATTCATCCTATTCCCGTAAGTCTATGCAGAGACTTCCACTACAGAGTCATGCCTGAGGTGCTCTCTGACAGCATGAGGATCAATGATAACGACCTTTAAGGATGATAAATTTGACATTTTTTTACAGAGGAACATTATCCTGGACTTGCTGAACCCTTTTGTCTTCTACCAAAGTGGTGATCCAACTCAGATTTTTGCTCCTGAGAGACCCGACTTCTCTTGAACGCTCTTTTCATGTGACAATCCTGTTAAATATACTGTATATCTATATATCTATATCTATGTTTGGAAACAATACTTTAATGACCTGTCTTAACGCTGCTGACGTCAAATTTTGACACCTGATTCTGTTTTCATCAACATTTTTCACAACCTTGTATGTGAATTAAAAATTTGATTTTTCTGTAAGAAAACACAACTATTGTATTCGCTGTTCAACAAAGAGATAAGACATACTGCTGTGTCTTTACATCTCTCTCAGATAGACAACCCGAATGTCCTTACAGTCGATTTAAAGTAGAAAGAAAAGCTGCTTTTGTTCAATTTACTCTGAAAGACGCAGTGAATCAAACCAATTTTACACTACAGCAGCCCCTGGGTAGACTTTCATCTTACTGTACACAGAGAAAGAGAGAAAGAGAGGGTTTGATACTGAAGGCTGGAGATTACTAGTCATCAGTACGCCGAGATGGTCCATAGAGAGCATATCTATTACGAGTTCCCTTTGCTGAAAATGACTTAAATTGTTGGTTGGATGTTGGGACTTTAGGGAGTTTATTCAGCGCGTAACAGCCGATCCTACGACTCAGACTCTTAGCTAAAAATCTGAGCCTTTATCTGTAAAAAGTCGACCCATTTCAACTTGGCCTGAAGGAAACAGGATCCCACTTCAAGCGTGACCAATCTATCAGAGCTGGATATGATCCATCCTCAATATTTTTCACTTTTTCCCCGTTTCTTTTCTTTTTAAAGCTGCTTACAGGTGTTAGAAGCCTCAGGTCATCCGTGCACAACACTGTCCGCAGAACAAACCGACACTTCAGCTCAAAACTCGGCTCCTGGGTTTTGTGCCTCTCTGAATCCGTCTCATCCAGATTGACGAGAAACCATTTCCACCAAAAAACTAAATTTCATTTCCCAACCCGGTTTGTTCTATGCACTATTATCCTTCATTGAACTGTCTCGCTCTAATTTGCTGAGCTAAACGCAGCCAGAGGAGCAACATACCCGGCAGTCGAGTCAAATTAGGTCAAACCCATTCCCACAGCACTTTAAAAAGATTTGTCAAGAAGTGTTTTAAAGGAAACAAAAGACTGGAATGCTTAAAAAAAGATAAAAAATAATGGGTATTAAAACAAGGGATAAGAAGAGGAAGCTGAATAAATGCATCACAAGCTCCTGGGAGATTTGGTGTGTTTGTGTTTGATGTTTAAGAGAGCTCTGAGAATATAAATAAGCAGCCATGAACTCTGTGTACTCGCTTTTGCTTGTGCAATCGAGTCCTAACATTAAAAAAAAGGCAGGTTCAGTCGACCTCAACCTCACTTGTTTGTGTTGGTATCAAAACATCGACTCCAGGCTTCTCGCTTAAAGGGATATTCCGACGCAAAATTAAGTTATGGTCAAACACAATGTAACAGCGAGTTAGACCCCCCTCCAGAGATGAATGTTGCCGACCGCTTGCTTCTCTAGTCATACCAACTTTAGTAACGACCGCAAGATAGCAATACACAGCGGTCTGAGGAGCCATAAACCAACCTCAACCAAAACGCCACTCTATAGCCACAAAAAATGCTCAGAACAGCACCTAACTTCATCAACAGGACATATAGGGTCACAACCATAGTACTAGACACCAAACATCTTTTTAACTTTGACTCATTTCTTTAGCAAAGAGACTAAACACAACTCACCTACTCTCTTCCAGCAGCCGCTTGTTTGTAGCGAGACCTCAGGCCAGTCCATTACGGACTACAGTGGGAGCGAATAATAGGCATGTTTTTGGAAGATTAGGGAGTTAACATCAGCAGCTTTTTTTTAAAAATAAAAACAAACACAAGCTCCAACTTTCAATTGCAATTTATTTCAAGTGACGCTAAAATGAAAATCTATTTTTAAAAAAACTTGTAAACTTCTAAACCTCCATTTGAGCCATTTTCACTCATGCATTTTTGGGCACCCCTTCTAAGATGATGAGATACACCCTGAAGAATGTGTGTACCAAATTTGGTGCTTTTATCCACCGCATAACAATTTGGCCATTTTTTCAAGTTAACAGACCCTACTATGAGGTGGTGTGTTCGAGCCATTTTTGGGATAAGGTGAATTTTGAAGTCTAGTGTCTAGACAGGAAAGTGAAAGAGGAAAAATATGGTATAATCCTGTGTGTGCAAGTGGCTCAGGGGATAAGAACACTGACTGTGGCTCCTGAGGTCATAGGTTCGAGTCTTACCTTGGCCACTTCTTGGTGAATTTTGACGGTCTAGAGTCTACAAAGTACAGTGATATATGAAAAAAATTATGGTTGTCGCGTGTGTCCACACGGGTCAGTGGGCTCAAGCCTTATCCTCTGAGCCATGTGGACACAGAGGAGTCTTCTGGTTTTTTCCTATTTCACTGTCGTTTGAAGACACAAGGCTTTAAAATTCACCTCAACTTGGGTAAGGTGAGGCTTGAACCCACAACCTTAAGAGTGGCAGGCAGTCTCCTTATCGACTGAGCCATGTGGATAGTGAGGAGTCCTCTGTTTTTTTCCCTTTTTTCCTGTCGTTTGAAGACACAAGGCTTTAAAATTCACCTCAACTTGGGTAAGGTGAGGCTTGAACCCACGACCTTAGGACTGGCAGGCAGTCTCCTTATCCTCTGAGCCATGTGGACACAGAGGAGTCTTCTGGTTTTTTCCTATTTCACTGTCGTTTGAAGACACAAGGCTTTAAAATTCACCTCAACTTGGGTTAGGTGAGGCTTGAACCCACAACCTTAAAGGTGCCAGGCAGTCTCCTTATCCTGTGAGCCATGTGGACACAGAGGAGTCTTCTGGTTTTTTTCCTATTTCATTGTCGTTTGACAATTGTCAGTTCGTCTCTAAATCTATAATGTTTGGTTTACAGATTTTAGTGAGTTCAGAGATCATGCTCTCATACAGCCTGAGCTGACTGTCTGCTGGTTTTGGATGTCTTGTATTTTCTTTGAAGACGCGCTGCGTCTCCAAGCGAGTCCAGCCTCTCACCTGAAATGTGAAGCTGTGCAGCGGCACGCAAAGAATTCTGGGATACCAACGGCACGAAAGCATGCATAAATGCCCTTTTGTAAAGTTTTTAACGGAACCTTTACATGTAAACTTGACTGTAAATAAAAAAGGGTAGGGTAGGGTATAAAAAAGTCCCTTCTGGGAAAACAGCAGTCTGTGGAGTTGCCTTCATACCACCTTCATTGACCCCTTGAGCCAAAACCTCTTTTCAAGGATCCTGAAGATCTAAGCTAACAAGACGAGTTTAGGGCGGATGGCCTGGGCGGTAGAGGATGGTCTATAGGGTTGAAAACGTTTTTAACAGAATCACTTCTGAAAACCAATGTTTGAAGTACAACCATGCAAAGACAGAATTCTATTCTGTAAATTCTTCTTTTTCTTCTTCTTCTTCTTCTTCTTTAAATTTGACTTCATCTTCTTCTACTTCAACTTCTATTTTTACATCTACTTCTCCCTCTAGTTCTTCAAGTTCAACTTCTACTTTTACATTTACTTCTTCGTCTACTTCTAGTTCTTTTGTTTCTTCTTCTACTTCAACTTCAACATCTTCTATGTTTACATCTACTTCTTTTATATCTACTTCTTATTCTAATTATTTTCCTTCTACTTCTTTTTTACTTCTACTTTTTCTTCTCTTCTACTTCTAGTTCTTCTTTTTCTTCTACTTCTTCTGTTTCTTCTTCTTGTTTTTCTTCTACTTCAACTTCTACATTTACATCTACTTCTTCTTCTCCTTCTACTCCTTTCCTTTTCTTTTTCTTCTCTATTTCTTTTACTTCTTTTTCCTCCTCCTCCTTTTCTTCTTCTTCTTTCTCTTTTACTTCTTTTTTTTACTTCTACTTCTTATTTTACTTCTACTTTTCCTTCCTCTTCTACTTCTTTCTCTTCTACTTCTACTTCTTTTTTTACTTCTTTTTCTTCTTGGTTTGTTGGAGAGGTCCAATTGTTGCTTCCATTGTGGTCAGAAAACCTCACAGCTGATTGACTCTTGCATCACGACATCAGGTTGAAGTGTCATTTGCTGTCCCTTCATACCATTATAAAACGTTTTTTCCTGCTGCGTGTTATAAATCACTGTCCTGTGGCACTGCTCAGCGCCTGCACCAACACACATTAAAAGTTCCTGCGCTCAGTAGATAGAGTCCCTCTACTTACTGATGGTCTTGTTTGCTTTTCTAGGTCATATTGAGGAATCAGTATTAATCTCAGTCAGTTTCACAGCTATCTAAAAACTCCTCACAGGAGCTTTAAAGCAACACAAATGTTCTCGGGGAACAGAGCTGTTGTGAAAGATTTTTCACAAAAGCAGCACTTGACCTGATTCTTGGTTTAAGTCTCTCTATCAATAACAGGATGCTGGGTATGCCCTACATAAAGTTCAGATGAGGAAATACGAAAGAGGACACAGTCTGATCACTCCAAAGAAGTGACTTTATTTAACACACTATCACCCAAACTGTCTATTTGATTAAGCTTGTGGGTCTAAATGGGAGAATCAGTGGTCAATAGTTGGAGGAAGAGATACAGCCATGAGCGGTGGACGTGATGTCCCAGTTATTAGGTGTGTTTGAAGTGGTATACATGTTTCCTGTGCCTTAAGTTTATGTTTGACTTCCTGAAAATGAGCTATAGTTTCAGAGGTCAGGACATTATTTTCATTGCAATATTTTCGATAACTTTATCCCCATCAAACAAAAATATCAAGGTAAGAACCAATGTTCAATCCAGTCGTGGTCTTTTTATTGGTGTAAAGTTATGGAGGACTTGATGGAGAATATAAATTATGTACATTCTTGTCAACATTTAAAGATATCTCAATATAAAAGGATCAGTGACTATCAAAAACATGTATGAGAAAATACAGCTGAACTTGGAGGCACCAATCGACCCATATATAGAGGCTGTAGTCCCGGACACATTGGATGTTGGTTCGATTCTCGATCTCAGTCCTTTGCTGTATGACTTCCCTCACTCTCTTAAATTTCCTGACTCTTTAGCTTTCCTTTCTTAAAAAAGCAAAAATGTTCTAAGAAACAACTTTAAGAATAGAAATACAGATCAAACATACTGATGCCTCAGTGTTCAAGGGGGCAGGTGCTAAACCAGATCACTGAAAAAAGGAGCCTTTTTGTCATAGAACCATGAAAGCGCGAGTAAAATCATTCGCGTGAATGAATTACAGGTTAAATCAATGCAAAGATGCGATTAGACGCTCCTGCTACTCTTGCGGTGTGAATGACGCATGGGGCAAGAGCTACAAGTGACTCAACTTGAGCGGATATTTGTGTCATGATAACTAATCAGCACAAAGGTTGCCAGGTGACGTATGAAAATGGACGGTTGTTCACTGGCAGCTAAAATGGAAGACAAACTGATCGTGTTGGTGTGTGATACCTTTTCTTTCAATTACCGAAACTGGAATAAAAAGGAGCTCACCCAGAGGCAGGTGAGTGAGGAGGTCGGATTACCTGGTAAATTGTAAAAAAACCTTTGTCTATCCATCTATCTAGGGATTACCATTGAAATTACTGTTGACGTGTGAATGAAGCGAGTAAATACGATTCATTCATGCATCTAGATTCGCGCGAATTAAGCGAGCAGATGGTTTTACCCATTTTTGGCGTGAGTGCCCCTTTAGGGATCACTTTGTCCACAAGGGGCACTAATTTCAACACAAACCAAAAGTTCCCTATAGCAGCTTTAAATTTCAAACACACTTTCAGAAATATGGTGCTCTGAACTTTGAGGTGGCTCTCCTTCAGGGTCACAGTACCAACGGTGGTGCAAAGCCGGTCCAGACCTTGTTACCTTCAACTTTTTTTTATGTGGAACAAGAGCATGAGGATAAAATGAAAAAGCAGAAAAAGAGAAGCTGTTCTGAGTGTTAAATAAGAGCGAGCTCATGAGCTGAGATAATTGAGCTTTGATCTCCGTGGATTTAAAATATCTAATACAGGACGCCAAGGTGTTCCTGTCAGGTGGGCACATTGTGCGTAACTGTGAACAATTATCCATCCAATTATACATCCAATTCAATTCCATCTCTGTCACTGCTAATAAGTCATAAGCAGCTGACGCACAAAGTCCCATCTAATTTTCTTTTCTGAAAAGTGGCCCGCTGTGCAGAAAAATTGCTTTTAAAGGTGGATATGGATTCTGCAGTGCGGCTCTAAAAATGTCAGCCCGCTCGAAACCAAAGCTTATTCCTCTCTTGACACTTTAATACGCGGCTCAAACAAGACTGCCATAAACCAGCTCTGTGAAATAAAAATGAGAAGCAACTGAAATCACAATGTAAACACCAAAGAGTTATACGGAGGATGCTGGTCTCACCCTTTTTATCCTCGAGGGAGAGAGAAAGAGAGAGAGAGAGGAGGGAGTAAAGAGGGATAGGAGTCTGTGCGGCTCCCATATACTGTGAGTGTAATATCAGAATATGAGGAAAAACTGCTGCAGAGTCAGAAAGCAGGGACTTTCTGTACTTGTGAGGGTGGAGTGGAGAGTTTAAAGTCAATATCAGCTGAACTCTTTCAACCTTAAGCTCAATTGGACTCTCAGATCCCTCTGTACTATAAAGACCCTTTCAGGAAGGGGCGGCGTCTTCATCCCACACACAGCTACACTTTGTTCCTGGCTGTGACAGTACAATTAAAGTCATGAATAGAGTGTACTCGTATTAGAAGCATGAGTGTGCAGTTTATTTCAGAGACATTTTGTGCCATTTGCCCAAATCTTTTTAACAACAAGAGTAAAAATGTTGCTCTGACTTGGAAATCTTTAAAATGTTACCAAGGCGACCAATCATACGGAGCTAATGAATAAAAGGAAGTGAACGGTTTTATTTTTCCGCTGTGATATTTGGAAACGACGTTACCCTTTCGAGCCTCTCCAAAGTTACCCCAGCTCGAATGAAGTTATGCTCATAATTAAACCAGACAAAAGAGAGATCCCAAAAACTCACAGTAACTCTGAACCCCGTTAGATATCACCTGGTTACAAACAACGCCGTCAGTCGCCATGTTTACACGGGCATTAAAAATTTGAGGGATCGGAAAATCTAAATCCTACGGTGGAGCATCAGGACCACATAAAGAAGAGAAAACCTTGGAAGACCTCGGAATTACTTACGAGAATAAAGTCCTAAGAAAATCATTACTTATGAGAATTACTTTATAGCTACTTTATTCTCATAAGAAATGATTTTATTACAAGTTTATTCTCTTAAGTAATTACTTTGTTACGACTTTATTTTTTAAGTAATTACTTTATTACGACTTTATTCTTGTAAGTAATTATTTTATTACAACTTTATTCTTGTAACTAATGACTTTGTTACGACTTTATTCTCGTGAGTTATTATTTTATTACGAATTTATTCTTGTAAGTAATGACTTTATTAAGACTTTAGATATAGATAGATAGATATAGTTTATTGATCCCAAACTGGGAAATTCACTTTTTTTTTTTTTAATTCGTGCAATTACTTTTTTTACAGCTTTATTCACGTAAGTAATTATTTTATTATGACTTCATTCTTGTAAGTCATTTTTTCTTTTCTTAATGTGGCCCCAGTACTCCATAGTAGAATCCACTGTTTATATGGGTGCAAAATCTAGGGTGACTACAGTCCTCTTTTACCTGAACATTGTCCTGTTTTTTAGGGGCTGTCCGACCTTGTCTGGGGGAGTTTTTAAAATCCGTTAAATGTCCAGGGTTTCGTATGGAAGTTTCGAGTTTCTGTCGCATGGACTTACTGAGTTAGAAACACGTGAAAAACACTCAACCTGACCTAAAAAACTCTCAAAATTAACTACACACAACTCCATGACTCCGCCCCCCCGCATAGTCGTGTCCTCTTTTTGGGGGTTCAGAATATGGTCACCCTAGCAAAATTAAATAATCCAATCATGATGTGTGTATAAATGCACCAAAGTGTAATCAGATTTTAAACTTCAGAAAGCTGCTAGGTTGGCAACACTGACCTCCTGTACTGTCCTCAGTAAATAAACCAAAGGCTAAAGAGTGAAGACGGAGTCAGGTTAGAGAGTCACGATGGGAATAAGTGTTTACATGGACACGTTTCAGAATTAAGATCGGTATATCCGGTTTGCCCAATCCGGTTCAATCCAGTTTTATCACACAGTTGAAATTCTGTCATATCTAATTCATGTAATCATCCTCCTGCTATCAGTGAGTGTTTGGTGTTATTGTCGGCTCTGTCACCTGCGAGTGGAGGGAGGAATAAACGTCTAAAATTTGAAGTGTTAATTAAAACTCCTGTACAACTTAAAGTCAAACTAACTTTTAATTTCCCCTGAGGAACTTTTCACAATAAACAAAGGAGAGAAAAATAAATGAAAATATTAAAAGTGGCGGCTTTATAAATCAAATTTTGTCGTCCCATTTCAACCAAGGTATTTCCGAGTTATGAGAACTTTAATTGCTTAAACAGCAAACTGTCATTACTGCATGTGTTAAGAAGTTGTGGAACTGAAAAGAAACTTTGGTGCTACGTCGAAGTCAAATAGAAATGTCAACAAATCACACATAGGATAAAAAATACACTTAAGTAGAGTAAGAGTGTTTTCTGTATACTTCTACAGACCGGTGCCTTTTACCTCACACTTAAACGGTTCATACTTATTATCTAAAATGATGGTTATTACCTCTGGGTGCAGAGTAGAGTCAACCATACAGCAAAGCATACTGGAAAAAGTAAATCTGTGTAAAAGAGCCTGTTCTGCACATAGACTAAAAGATATAGATATAACATGTAACAGTGAACCAGGATTTGGACCCAGAAGTTCAGTTTAAAGTTCAGTTTAATCAAAAAGGGTTCGGTACACAGGCAGGCAGTCGAACAGACAGAAATATCCAAATCGAAAAGACAAACTCTATCGAGGTAAGGGCTCTTCATCCTCTGAAGCCTTGGCCATCCATGTACAGGGCAGGGAGGTTTGACCTAAATCTGATGACAACTACAAAACCTGCCAGTAGGTGGTGCAGGTCAAAAGAAGCTTCAACAGAGTTTTATCCCAAAAATAATTCAAAACAGAGAAAATGAGTGAGAACATATCACAGTTCTGCTTTTTTTTTTTTAGATAAAAACTCTGTCGAAGCTTTTAGTGACCTGAATAGCACCATCTACTGGAGGGTTTTGTAGTTGTCACAGGATATAGGTCAAACCTCTAGGGCCAAGTGGCAGTTTCCTATTGGAGAATTACCCTTTAAAAGGACCAATCACAACCTAGCATCTGTTTACTTTACTTCCTGATAAAGGCTAGATGTCAAAAGGCGTCCAAGTTTGCTTTTCAGGTCTGCATAAACACAGCATTGAAGTAAAGGCATTTTATACTAGAGTATTTTTTTTCTTTATGTTGTATCCTTATTGGAAATCTGGACGCCAAGGCCTGGACTCTGAACGGTAAAGGACTGACGCAAGTTTGGAACCACCTGTGACCAGTTAGGGGCCCATGGCTGACAGTAAGGCACCAGTATGGCTGAAAGGTAAACGCAGGTTTTGTAGCAACAGACAGTTATGGAAGTAAATCTGTGCCATCTGATTTTGAATTTGAATTTCTAAAGCTGAGTTTTTTTTGCATCAAAATCAGACTTTGAATTTACACACTTCTTTTTAAAAGTTGAATTCTTACTAAACAAATCTCTTGAGAAACTGATTTTTTACACTGAATTTATTTCATCATTGTGAAAAAAATAAGTGTCAGAAATAAAAATGTGTGCTTGAAATTCAATAATTTCGAAATTCAAAGTCTGATTTTGATGCAAAAAAAAATTCAGCTTTAGAAATTCAAATTCAAAATCAGATGGCACAAAATAACTTCCATAGACAGTACGCTGCCATCCGTGTAATGTTTTTTTTTAATTGTTTTAAGGGACGACCTTGAATTTTTGCACAAAGACAAAACTTAACCGTATCCTGCATGTTTAAAAACAGTCGCAGAAAAGTCCAGACACAACAGACCTACTTTTTTTTAAGCACGATGTTATCATCAAATTTAAAACAAACACATATTTATTAAAACAAAATTTAACTATTAAATATGTTGTTTTTCACTATGTCCATTAAAATCAGAGTTTTGGTAATAAAAAAAGTCCTGAACCGACGGTCTTCTGAACACATAATAACAGGCTGTAATGAAACCGAGTTTGACTGGATACTGTAGATAAACGAAGAGAAGCTCATTACAGTCCTCAGGTTTGGAAAACCAAATCCTGCTCACTAATTGTTGTGGGCCGTGAGAGTGAAAGAGTGCCATCTTTCAATTTTGGCTTCTCTCATAATGAAATAAAAGCAAACACGGCGGCATGTAAATGGGTAAAACATAATATTCATTATGAAAGTAATTATGGAAATGCAAATCAATCAGCTGCTTCTCACAGATGGGGTTGTTTTGATGAGAGGGAAGTATATCATGCTCGCTGCATCAGACGATGAGTTTATTTTCAGAACGCGGCTTATTATTATTATTATGAAGAAGAAGAAGAAGAAGTGTCCTACTTCAGATTGGAGGGTTGTAAACTGTCTTTGACTTGGAGAACTGACCTCCTGCTGCTGCTGCTCAGGATACTTTACAAGATCTGGTTTCTCTTATCTCTTAGGATAAAAAAAAAAACGATCTTTGCCAGAGGCTTAAATCTTTTTGCAGCAGGGAGTGGATAATTCTTTCTGTTGTCATTTTACATTTGGGGTGATTGAGGGCAGAACAGGGTGTGTTGGCAGTGTGGGAGCTGCAGTGATCCATGCCAGTGTTGGAGGACTCGACTCGGGCTTGACTGGAGATGATCTGGACTTAGATGATGAAGAGAAGGTGTCTGCACTTTTATTTAGAGACTGTTTTTGAAAGTTTATATCCGTCTGATTATTTATCAAGTTTTAAAGGTGGGGTAGGAAGGAATCTGTTAAAAAAGCATCTTTTTTTGTGGTGTATATACAAAAAAGTTTTTAATATCAGTCAATAGTTATTAGTTATGGATGACATTTGGGAATATAACGATATCTCTGTGTTTTGTTATGTCTGTGTCGTCAACATTTTAACATTTTTTGAGCGGTCCGCTCTTTCTAAATGTAAACAAAGCTGTTCTCCACCTCCCCGACCTGATTGGTTGTGAGGCAGACGCTGCTCCCCCGTGTCGTTCAGGAGCCCAAACAAAGTTAGCGTGCTACAATATCGGACAGTAGAAACCAACCAGAAAGTTCGGAAAATTGTCTGAATCCTCCTTTGGCCACGACTGCCGACACAAGCAAGAAAACAAAGTAAATACCGGAGACTCTGGAGGAATAACGGGCGCTTAAAACGGAGGTAGACCGGACAAGAGCTAAAAAGCCGGGTCAACATAAACAATGGGGGACGCTTGGGGATCTTGGTGACCCTGTAACCTTTCTGCTGGACAGGTAAACCGCTTTAACAAAGTAAGAAAAGTGTCTGTAACAGAAGTGTTTCTTGTCAAACGGACCTGCTGTAGCGTGTTGTAGCGCCATCGCTAAACTGTTGACCTCTGGTCCTGGACTATGTCACTTTATCCTCGTTGTAGAAGTCCTGCAAACATTGTGTTTGCTGGTAGTCTGTTGGCATCTACAGTAGCACCAATGCTTTTGACTTTCACCTTGACTGGGCCCCATTTGTAATGATCTGAAGTATTTATCTGCATTATATCTGAATTTGATTGGAATGATACGAGCGAGCAGGAGTGTCTGTTTGTGGGCGGGGCTTGTTGGAGCGGAGAGGGAGGGGAAAACTGGTTTGGAGGGGTAGAGTTTACATTCAAGATTTCTCCCAAAAACTGGAACTAACTCAGATCCTGACTACCCCACCTTTTAAGAGAGGACATTCACTGCTGTGTTGTTCAGCTTTAGTTTGGAATATTGGTCCGAATCTAATCTTTATAAAAGATAATATAATTTCTACTCATTCAAAAGTTCCCTCACTGCATAAAAATCCAATCTCGGTGAGTGTTTTTGTCTCATTTATCACAAAAAGTGTCTTATTAGTCTTAATTTGAGCCGCATCCACCTCACAAGATGAGAAAAAAAGGCTGATTTTAAGAAAAGACATGCCAGAAGTCAGAATTTATTTGCTTGCTATGAGCAAAATACTCTGCTAACAGAAAAGGAAAAATTTGCTTTTTTGTGTTTGTTGAAATGAAAGTTAGAAGAAGGTTTTTTATTTCAAGAATGTTAAATGTGATTTGGAGGATTTTTTCCTACTTATTACAAGAAATTTGGTTCTTATTTTGAGCATTTATTCTCATCATGAATCAGACATTTTTCCAGACTTGTCAGGCCAAAAATCAGTAATTTAAGATTTGTCTGTTTCTGAGTTTCGTATCCTGGTGTTTCAAGTGGACTCCGTGTTTCGTGCAGATTTCCACAGAGCTGTATTTGTCCTGGAATCTTCCCCGATCAGTTGTCAGTCAGTTTCCTGCGTCTGTGGAACAACAGGCTTACTGCGTTTCGCTCCACGCCACTTTCAATTACAGTCATCCTCATCAAACCTGCTCTGCCAAATTCTTCCTGCTCAGTATCACGGCGCCTCGGAGTGCTCTCGTGTTGAAAGCAGACCGCCCCTGCTGAGCCGGGCCGGTTCTGTGAGGAAGAAAAAGCCCGAACATGTGCAGTTCCCCTTTTTTGGTGTAATGGATGACATGAAGGAAAGCCAGAAAAACCGAGACGTTTTTGTCAATTTTCCCAAAGAGTCCATTTCAGTCTCTTAAAGTGTGATTGCAGATCTGTGTCGGTCGTTTTCTCAGAGTTTGACCAAAAAAAGAAAATCCACAGTGGTGAAATTTTGCAGGTTAGCAAGAGACACATTTTTGGTCATTTTCACGACAGCTGTCCAAGTTTAGTGACGTGTTTAGTGACGTGTTTAGTGGACACGATTTTGACCATTTTTGCAGGAGGTCCGTGTTCGTCTCTTTTGGTCGATTATGAAGAATTTCATGTCAGCTGAGGGACTTTTTTAGGACTTTAGAAACAGGTTTTTTCACCATCAGTGGGCAGAAGTGAAGAAAAAGGTCAACAGAGGTCACATTTGGAAAACAAAAGAGTCCATAGTGATCACTTCTTGGGTTGTTTTTACAAAAGGTGGTGACTCTCTTCAATAGTTTACGGTGGTCTCTTTTTTTTGTGACCGTTTCCTTGTTGGTGACTATTTTAGAAAACCCCGAGCAGGATGCAGGTGGTCTCTTCTTTTGTTGAACATGCAACAGATTCTTGAAGAAGTTCATAAAAGTTTCATGTCAGCCTCTCTCTCGGACAAGTTTCCTCACTTGTTGCATTTATTTCAAGTATTCAGAGACTATTTGTAGTTGGTCTACGTTGGTTTTTGCAACATAATCTCACTGAGCAATAGACAACTATTACACGTCTAGGTTTTTTTAGACCACATTTCAACCATCAGGATTCTGTACTTTAACCCATTATTCGATAACTATTTATTTCAAAAACCAACTGTGAGTCACATAACTGATCTCCAAGTACTTAACCCAAATTATTATGATAGCCGTTGAGCGATATACATTGTGTTAAAGATTTAAACTCGGTCTAAATTTAGACGTTTAAAAAAACTTTCATTTTTAGACCTGTGGTAGCCTGATTTTAAACCAGTCGTCTAGACTATATTTAGACGTCTGTTAGACCTCTTTAGACCAAAAAAATACAGTTTCAGCTCATGCAAAAAAGTCAAATATAATGACCTGATTAAAAACTACGGTGAAGCTGTCCTAAAACTGGACCATAAATATATCAACATGTAGTGGTCATATTTTAAACTCGATTTCTTCCCCGTGAAGCAGCCAAGTTTGAAATTTAAGGAAGGAAAAGACGCCGTGCTCGCTGTTTGCAGGCCAGTTACTCCAGCCAGTTAAATCAAAGCGCCGTTCAGACAGCAGACGAGGTTTGAAAAATAAACAAATCCTCTTTTTCTGCTCCAGTATTTCCACATTTCCACCAGGAACATGTTGTGAAGTAATCCAAACAGGTGTTAAGTTGCGAGTCTTGTTAAAAAAGAGCCAATAAGATACCCAGGATTTAGCAAAATCTCACAGTGAAGCAACACTTGAAAACAACATAACTTCACTCTTAAGAGAGGAAATAGAAAATAGAAATATTCTCTCTTCTCTTGTACGTTTATTGTTTACATCTTTATGATTTAAGCTCATATTTGAGAGTAAAATGTGGAATTATCACACAAAAGATCATATTTGTATATTTCCATTTCTCGTGTTGAATCTATGATAGATATCACAGCTAATGGCGTCCTTCTAGTCTGACCAAAACAGTCATTATTTTTGCAGAAATGACTCAGCGAACCTGTTTACACAAAGTTCAGGTACCTTGTTAACGGTAATCGACACCATCCAGCTGTGAGAGGCCGCATGATATAAAAATACAGAACTAAAAAAGTGTTTTTTTTTACTTCCAACTGTTTTACCGTCGGATAAATCTGACAAAAGTTTATAAAAAAAAGAATCAAAGAATAAAAAAGTCAACTTTTACAGCCCGCGGTGTTAGAAAAACTTCCGTCTCTATAGCCGCCACATCAGAGACCAAACCGTTTGACAGGTGAGCTAATGATTCATGAGCCGGTGATTCTAATTCAGGGTCCATATGGATGTGAAGGCCTGCAGGTTTTTATGCCAGCCCTCTAATCAGGGACTGATTTACTCTGGGGGTGCAGGTTGAATGTAATTATCTATAATCAGCTTCCTGCTAGGATGCAAAATTAGCTAAAAGTTCTGCTCGTGGGGTGATCATTTACATTAACGGGTATTTTGGCTTTTATTGGATATGATCAGGACTGATTTAGGAACTGTTCAGGTTGGTGTTTTTGTGGAAATTGTTCAATAAAGTACGGAGAGTAAGGAAAATAAATACGTGTTCAGATGGTGATGATTTATGTGAATGAGAGGGTGTCTGCACTTTTATTTATAGACTGTTTTAATGTTTTTATCCGTCTGATTATTTATCAGGATTTGAGAGAGGACATTCACTGCTCTGTTGTTCAGCTTTAGTTCGGAGAATTGGTCCCACACCGCATAAAAATCCAATCTTGGTGAGTGTTTTTGTCTTGTTTCTAACAAATGTTGTCTCATTAGTCCTAATTTAAGCCGCATCCACCTCACAAGACAAATAAAAAAGGCTTATTTGAAGAAAAGACATGCCAAAAGTTAGAATTTATTTGCTTGCAATGAGCAAAATAATCTGCCAATGGAAAAGGACAAATGTGCTCTCCTGTGTTTGTTGAAATGAAAGTTAGAAAAAGGTTTTATTTTAATAAGTTTAAAGGTGTTTTGGAGGTTTTTTTCCCTTCTTATTACAAGAAATTTGGTTCTTATTTTCTCCGTTTACTATCATTAAAAAAAGACATTCCCCAGACTTGTCAGGTGAATACAGACAAAAAAAGAAGGAAATCAAATCGGATTTTGATGTTGAACAAACAAGATCGAGTGATCTCTAAGAGAAAATGAAGAGTGGTGATGTCGATGACCTTTCATTATTTAGTATTTGCATGATTTAGACGGCCTTTTACAGTAATAAAGGGATATGCAGAGAATTTTCAAACACTCTTTTTATTGATGTTTGCTCATGACAGTTTATAAATATGAGCTCTGGACACGTATGCATCCCTGCACCATCACAGAAACGGGTTTTGAACCATGTACTGCACATGAAGTGAGACCAAACCCGCCCTAAACTCTCGTCCATGAGTTTCTAAAAAGACTAATCCTCTGAGTAAACGCCACTTTCCACTTTATCTCAATCAATGATGAAAGTGTCAGACTGAATTTGGAAGTGGTTTTATGTCAGTGCGGTGATTTCCACTGCAGAGTCCAGTCTGTTTCTTCACACAGAAGACCTGGAGGTTTCTATGATGTTCTCTACAGAGACAGAAATCCTGCTTTTCTTTGCAGCTTAATGCTGAGGAAGATTATTTTGGCACTTTTGAACTATTTGCTCATGCAGTCATTACCAACCTGTTACCAATTAGCCTAATTAGAGCGTTTACTTTCCTCCAGATGTTTTTTTGAGGAGCATTCAACATCTTTTTTCAGACTTTTGGAAATATCTTACAGACATCCACAACACTTCTTTTTTAATCAAACCTTTGAAATCTTGATTTTCTTTCTTCTCTTCTACATTAAATATAAAGTTTGAATGATTTTAAAACCTGTTGGATCTGATTTTTCTCACAAAACAGGTGCTGTATTATCCATCCATTCAATCTAGTAAATGAAAAACGAAAAAATGAGTCAATATTTTGTTTTTTGTTTTTCTGTATAACAAAAAAATTAAAAATTAGTATTTGTTTTTGCACTTTCAGTTCAAAACAGAATATATAATAGAGAAGGAAACGAAAACAAAATAATAAATCTGTTTTGAGCATACGTGCATGGAGGCTACATTGGCCTTCCCATGATCCTCAGCGACAGTTACCATGGCGAAGATGCGACAGAGCGGTTCGAGCGCCAAAATCTTCCGTTGTAACAGAGCTCTGGTTGTCACTTTTTCTACAGTCTTCCTCCTTCAGCGTGACCCTCCTGGCATCTTTGAATGATACGTAGGATGCGTCTGTCTCCATGACAACAAGTTAGCCTTTCTCTACCGCTCTGGCCTGGAGTTTTTGGTCCACGTTGTTGGCTATTTTGTGCGAACAAAGTAGAAAGGCACCGTGGGAAATGGAGACATCAATAACCTGAAAACGAAAAGTAGATTTATTATTTCGTTTTGGTTTCCTTCTCTGTTATATATTCTGTTTTGAGCTGAAAATACAAAAACAAACACTAATCTTTTATTTTTTGGTTATATAGAAAAACAAATAAACAAAATATTGACTCATGTTTTAGTTTTTCGTTTACTAGACTGAATGGAATAATTGAATGGATGGATAATTTGTCCATTTCTTTCAGACACACGGCTCATATTAAGTCTGATCTCCTCTGAATCAACAGTGACACTTACATAAAGCTTCACCTTTATTATTATTCCACCTGTCCCCCAAAGGGCTCCGCACAAACAAGAGTTTAGGAGTGTCCGTATCTTTTTACTGCTTATTTTGGGAGCTGAAATCACAGTTCGTTTCTACTGATGCAGATTTTTGTTTTATGTTTCATTTAACGACCCAGACTCTGAATGCATGAAGCGGCTTTTTATTAGGCTTTTGGAGTGCTTGTAAAGCTTTAATTCCAGTTTGTGCGAGCTGTCACACACAGACTGAGATTTTAAAAGCTGCAGCAAATGACTCCAGTTTTAGCCGGGCTAAAAGACACAGTCGGCTAAATTAAAAGTGCGGGAGAAAAATAACAATGATAGAAATCGTAAAAGCGTTTCCACTCCTGTTGTTTTGAGCTCTTTCCTCTCCTCTCTCCTCAGTTTGGTTTGGTGCAGCAGGTCACAGATCAACAACTCTATCAAATACCTCCCACCTATATTTCATCCGTTTCTGTGGGATAATGGACAGTAAAAACTTTCCTCTAAGAGGGGCAGGGAGCAGGTGCAGTTCAGGAGCTGCCAGTTGCCCATTCCTGGAGAAGCGCCGGGGTCAAAGGTGAAGCAGGAAATGTCCAAGAGCTCAAACCTCACTATCATTAGAGCCAGATGAGTCTCTGCAGGCTGATAGGAGGCAGACAGCCAAAGGAGAGCCTTGACCCTTCTCTGTGGTGACTAATGGTTCAGACATTGCTCACTATATCTCCAGGGCAGGAGTGTGTCACCCAGTCCAGAAGACCTGAGGGTGCACCGCCTGGAGCCCGGACGACCTCCGATTAAAATAAGAATTAAAACTCTTCTATTCCTGATTCATAAAATCAATCACGGTCTTTGTAAACACGCTGCAGTTTTTTTGTTTTTGAGGAGTTTTTGTTTTCTTGGCTTTAACTCCAGTCTTTATCTGCTCAACCGCAGGGATTTAACTGCAAATCTGAACATCCCTATTCAGCGCCGTAGCTGCAGGTAAAACACACTATCGCTGCAGTACAAAGTAGAGCGCTAAATGAGCTGGAAGACAGAAGGGGGTTAAGGAAATGCAAAACATTTGGGACACACCAGTGTGTGTGCGAAGCTTAACAGATAAACAAAGAAGAAGAAAAATATTGTTTTTCACGTATAAGACTGAATAAAAGATGCCAAAGCTGTGCTCTGAGGGATGACTGTGCCGGTCCTTCACTCTTAGTTCTCAGACGGAAAAGAAAAAATATTGTATTGATGAAATCTTGAATAGATTGGATTTACAATCATGGTTTCAAATAACATTTCTGTGCAACCAGAGCAAGTTTTTTTTTTTCTTAAAGGAGAGACGGAAACAGAAAATTCAGCAAAGTTGTGATTTTTTTAGAGTTATACTGATGGATAAAAAGGACTTATTAACAAAGAGGATTAGGGCCACAAGAAGAAAAATAATCATTACAGGAGGAAGGGAGATTTTCTTCAATTTCCATTTCGAGATTAAAGTTGAAATTTCAAGATTAAAGTCGATATTTAAAAGAGACAAAATGTCGACTTAATTCATGCTGGTTTTTAAACCCGAAATTTTGATTTATTTAATCCAGAAATTTCAACATTATTCACGACATTTTGACATTTTGACATTTTGACATTTTGAAATCCCGAAATTTCAACTTTAATCTCAAAAATTCAATTTTTTATCTCCAAATTTCGACTTTAATCTTAAAATTTTTTATTTTTAATCTCAAAATGTTTACTTAAACCTTAAAATTTCGACTTAAACCTCAAAGTTTTCAACTTTATCTTGAAATTTTGACTTTAATCATGAAATTTCGACTTTTATCTCCTTCCTGTAATTATTTTTTTTCTCTTCATGTGGCCCTAATCCTCTTTCGTACATTGTACATGAGATAATCTAATCTGACTGCTGGATGATATTCACATGCACTAACTCAGCTGACCCACAGACCTGAACATGAAGCCAGTCGATGATTTTTACAGCACAACATCAGAGAAGTGAGCGTCCAGGATATTTAAATAAATTCAAAAAAATAATAATAAAATGAATATTTGGTTCACATTTTCACCAAATCAGGAAACAAACTGCAGAAAATAAAAGTGTTTTTTTTCCCCACCAGACTGGAAACTCGTGGACACACTCCGACTCCTGCAGTCGCTTCATTTTTCACTTCCACAGACAGGTTCCCTCTTGACACCTGTTCCTTCGTCGGCCTTTTCTTTTGTTTTGTTTTGTCGTTCGGCATCCTCATAAATTTAACAGTTTTGTCTCTTGTTCACCTTTTCGCGCTCTCTGCCATCCATCCATCCACAGATTTCAGGTTCTCCACCCAGAAGTTCTTGTAACCATGTATTGATTTGTTCTGCTGCTGCTGTGGGGGATCTTATCACTCTCCATCTGGGGTCGTCAAAAGGTGAAATATATTTGTTTTTAGGGGCCGACGAAATGCGTGAATTAAGATTTCTCTGTGAGAGACAGGAGCGTCGAGATAAGAGCGACAAAAACACAAAACGGAAGTTAATTTTAATGCAAATGTCACGAGAATCAATTAACGACAGAGCTGCGAGTTCAGGTACAGCGCCGCCTTGTTTTTTTGTTTTTTTTTCTTTCCTCTCAAATCGAGCTGTTATCTCTGCGCACTGACAGATGCTTCCTCCTGGCAAAAGACGCCGATTCCTGCAGGATGCACACAAACACACACGCGAACACACAAAAGAGCAGCGATGTTTATAAATGATACTGGCGTGATTGAGTCACAGGTTAGGAGGAGGGGGACTTTAAAAAAACTCGATTAGGTGCATGTGTAGCGTGGAGATGATTCTGCAGGAGGAACTGCAGGCTAATGCTTTCTACAAAAGGGTCACAAATGGAGGAGAGGAGAGAGCGAAGAGGTGGGCCCTGATGCCGCTGATTGGCCTCAATCATTGCAGGTGATTGGGAGACTGGATGATGGAGGGCTTGCAGGAGAGAGAGGGAGCACTGCTACTGCTCCTCCTGCCTCATATAGATTCATTTATTTGTGTCAGGGACATTTAGCTCACTGAGTGGATTCAGTGGGTGTACAGAGGCGGGCGTACAGAGACCAATTTGGGTTGCGTTTTGCAGGATTAGGGCGACGTCGCTCGCTGTCAATACCACAAGCAGAATAAAGCTAAACTGACAAGAAAGGGAGCGTTTACTGTGCGTGGAGACGTCAATAACCCGCTCAGAGTTTGCACCGTTTCAGCCATTATGTCGAACCTTTTGGTAATGATCGGCTAATTTGCAGAACAAGGAGGTCGCATGCCTGATGGAGTACAAGCAGTACACAAAATGTTGCTAACAGAGCAGAGCTGCTGCAGACAGTGACCTTGATATTGTCCGCGGAGACGGCGTCAGCAGGCAGGATACACAACCCGCCCAGTCACTGCGCGGCTAATGAGCGGATGCATTGCTCAGCTTTATCTTCTTAATTAATGATTGAGACGTGACTCTGTGAGTTCCTCCTGGATATGCATGCGTCAGCTCAGCGGGGACGTTAACTGTAGCGACTCACGGGGGGATTGAGATTCAGAAACAAAAAAGCAATTATCAGGTGAGGCTCTGAAGTGGAGAAATGAGAAAAAAAAGGTCCTGTTTCCTCATTGAAGTGTAAATCCGTGACTTGATTAATTTTGTTTGTGCTCAAACAAAATTTGCACCGTTGTGTTTAGCTCATTTCACTGCACATATCCCAATTACAAAGGGAGCAGGGCTTGTAAACAAAAATCACATGGACCCGCATGGAAATTATTTATCTGAAATTATTGCAATAAAATCAGACTGAGTCTGACATTTTCTATAATTATCTCCTCGTGATAGAAATAACTCAGTATGATGTTTACAGCCGGGGAAAAAAGAGCCGTAATTGTGCTTTCAGGCTGACTCAGGCTAGCACATTTCAATGGGCTTATTACTCTGTATCCCAAACACAAACACAGAATCATTTCTCTTCTGTATTTATGTGTTTTTATTATTATGAATGATTATTGTGTTCAGTTCAAACACAAAATAAGATGATTTTTCTTCTTTAGCTGCATGAACACTAAAAAAGAGAGAGGTAAATGTTGAAGAAACAGGTGCTCTCAGGTAGAAACTCAAGGTTAAAGTCTTCTTATAGGATATGCAGATGAGCCATATGTCTTCTCAAAGGTTAAGTGACTCATGTACACATATGGTGGAGGTGAGGTGTCATGAGGGGGTGGAGCGGGAAACATGAAGCCCAAGTCTGGTTGATGTTTGACTTACTTATTTTTAGGCACCCCGTTTAATACAGCAGATTTTTCAGGTGTTACTTTGCCTTATCAGATAATTGAAAGAGGAAACTGATAGTATAAAGGGAAATTGGACTTGTTACACTACAGTTACAGGCGTTTGTTTCAATATCCTCTGCATAACGGGTTTCCAAATCCTCACAACTACACAGGTGGGTTTTCCCGCCCAGAAAACAGACCAAATGGAGACATTTTTAAAACAGTTCTACAACTGATTACAGGAAACGCTCCGTCATACAAATGGAGCTGCAACCCAAACATGTCAACAATAGTCAATAGTCAATAGGGTGACCATATGTCCTCTTTTAACCGGACATGTCCTCTTTTTTAGTGGCTTTGGGAGTTTATGAAATCCTTCAAATGTCCGGGGTTTTGTCAGAAGTTTTGAGTTTGTGTCGCATGGACTGACTGAGTTAGCGGCACGTAAAAAACACTCAATCCAACCCAACCCGAAACACTCTCAGAATTAACTAGGCGTGACTCCGCCCCCCCGCAATCGTGTCCTCACCCTAAAATAAAAGCTATTTAGTTCAATACATGCTCCAGAAACTTTGATTTGGCTTAAAGAAAAGACACCAGAATTTTTAGTGTATCTAACAAGTTCCTGATATTTGTAGAACCGTGGACCTGAGGTGGTCTAACTCTAACCCACTTTGAGCCAGGACTGTCACGCCAGGTAATCAGGAATGTTATCATGTGAGATTGCTCTACTATCCTGATGTAAACAAGCGCAGATGTTTCATGGCGCTTCGTGGTGTGGTTTGGCGAGGCATCGGCGACCTTCATGTCGCTTCTCTTGGACTACAAATGACCTTTGGAGGAGCAAGGGTTTTAACTGTCTATATATTTCCGTATTTTTCAGGTGATAAGGCGCATTAAGCATTTGCACGATGATTGGTTTCTTGTTGCGCGTACTCCAGGCCAGGGCGGTCTTACATGACTGCACTTCGAGTTTAGACATGACAGTCAGGCAGTCTCGTAGACTGCTCAGGGGTCCTGTTACGGGGTCAATCAGGTAGTGAATTAGCGTAACGTAATGCTCCGATTATCTAATAAGCAGAGCGGCTTTGGTGCTAACCAAGATCGTACTTACACATTTCGACAGATTGCGCATTCTACCACATAAAATCTGTCAGTAAGCACAACAAGTAATCATTCGTAAGGCGCGCTGGATGATCAGGCGCACTGTCAATGTTTGAGAAAATTTCAGGATTTTAAGTGCGCCTTATAGTCCGAAAAATACTTTATATCATCAACCCTGAAAAAGTTACCCAACCAGGTGTGGAAATTTAGTCTACCTGCGATTTGGTGCAGAAATAGCAAAGTCAACTTCTTGGTTCTTGGTCAGCGCCATAAACCCAACGGTAAGCCACGCTATTTAAAAAAAAAACCCAAATGACTGTGCTGAGGTCTAGACGGTCACTTTTCCTGTCAAACAGTTTAAAGCTTCCAGAAGTTTCTCCGTAACGACACCTGAGTCTCAACCAGCTACGGCATGACCTGAATGGAGTCTGTCTTTGTGTTGTTTTAAAACGAGTACAAGTTTTATTTCCTTAATATTGCGTTGAATTAAGGTTAAACGAGGCGCAGGTAAATGCTCCTCTTTTGCTTTTCACTCCTCTCATCAGAAGTGTTGCAGATGCAGGCCAGAGCCGCAGCTCCGTGCCAAGTGTTCTCGCCATACTCCTGGCTGCTGCAGCGTTTATTCACTGGAGTGAAAATCGACAGCATGCTCAGTTTCAGCCGCTCTGACTGCTCCTTTTAAAGAAGAGACTCTGCCAGTTTGTCACTTCCAGGATGAGGACGGGTTCTTATTAAGCATGAGGTGTTGTTTCCTAGTGAAGTGTGGCAGAATTAACAAAACACCAGACGATGTCTCACATTTAACAGTTTGATTTTTTTCAAGTATACCTTTAATTGGATTCTTACTTTCTTTTAATACAAAGAGTCCAGAAAACTAAAATAAAATGAACAAACGATCTTTTTCCTCTACAAATGCATGTAACCACAAACCTCCTTCTCTTTTGTTTCCAAGTTTTTGTTGCCCGGGGTGAATCAGCCTCTAAGAAGAAACAGGATTATAAATAGAAACAATATGAAAACATAATGATATTCAAGACAGTGGTTTAGCAGCGGAAATAAGTGCTGAATTGCAGTTCTTAATTATAGATCACCGTGGCACTGAAATAAACTAAATAAAACTCTGAGAGGAGCAGAGGAAAAAGAAAATAGTCGAGAAATTGAACTGAGAGAGTCGCCACAGTTTAGTGTTTTCTTCTGGACTGAAAAACCGGAGAAATCGATCGCTCAGTGGGTAGAGCATCCATTTCCCGACTGGGTGGGTTGGGGTATGCTACTCGCTCCGGTGGCCAATTCGGACATGCTACATACTACCTCGACTACTACTTCGACAACTACTTGGCAATTCAGACGCAGCCAGGGGCAAGGCGGACATTTTCAGGGCGCTCTAAATGCAATCCGCAAAGCCGTGAGTTCCTATACGTGACTTTAAGAATGTTAAGAATATGGATAGTGATGTTTTGTTAAAAACGGTGTTAAGAACCAAGTTTATTTATTTGTAAGATAAAAGAAACATACTAGAATCCCAAGTGTGTGTTTTATGTCTCATTGAGGTAGAAATAAGGATGCTGACTATTTTTTATTGTTTATTTACAGTTTAATGAAGATGTGTGTCAGTAAATAGTCAACTTTACTTCGACTCTGTCTTCATTTGCTCTGGTTTAACCAGGTGTTAAGTCAGAGTTTCAACACACTGCACAACAACACTACAGCACTAATGTTAATACCCGTAATTACAGCAAAAATAAGGATGTTTACGGCCTGGTTTGACATAACATTATTCGTACACACTGTTGTCTTAATCATTCCTCTGATTTTGGCTAATATGTAAGCATTAATGTTAATAACTTGGAGAATGGCAAAGTTGACTGTTGCATAGTCAATCGTCTCTCCTCACATTTACATCCACTGTATTCTCAGTAAAGACCAAACGCTGTATGATTGACTTCTTTATGCAAACAACAGATATTGTACTGATTATATTTCACAGTATAGCACACATGCATTAGTATGTGGCAAATAATTTCCTATCATACAATCTGTTGTTGCACTCCAAACTCTAGTGTAGTGCTGTGAGGCTGCAATCATGGAGTGTAACCATGGCGATATTACCCAGTCTCAAAGCTCTGCATATAAAGTTGGCAGCCAGACTTCCACAAAGCAAATGTCAATCAGCTCACAACCTGTATTGACGGTTGGCGCGGCTTCAGACGCCGTAACTTTATTTTCTTACAGGCGGACTGCGAGGGGTGGAAAATCATTACAAAACAAGTCAACGGAGTGACTTTCAAATCATGATTAAATTATTCCTAATCAATGTAGAAAATGAGACAAAGAGAATTGATTGATAAATAGATTCTTCAGGGATTTTAAACATTTAAAACTCTTTAAATTTGTAAATGTTTTCAGCGATTCAGTTTGTTTCATAATCAGAAGAAATTGAATGAAATTTATTTGAATAATTATCCTTTTGTTTGGTTGCTTTTGTCAAACAGCTAGAACAAACAGTGCTGCTGTAATCGTTATTTAAAAGTCCAGGTTTTTCTACAGATTAAATATAAATAACACTCGTTACTATGTCGAAATAAGTGTTAAAAAAAAGGTGCTTTTTGTCCTCAGGGGCCACCATCCCTTCATCAAAGAAGGGGTGAGCGTGTTCACGAGATATTTCTGCATAAAAGTTTATTAAAACTGGTTATAAGTCTTTGATTTTCCAGGTATCTGTAAGCCGAGATGAGGGAAACAGCTTTTCTTTAGCTTCTTAAAAAATAAAGGAGTTAAAGACGAACTTACACTCTCAGCCATATGGTCGTCTCTTACAGGATCACACTCTCCTCCTCGCTCTGAGTTCACGCACAAACACTTACAGAGTGAAAATAGAGTGAAAAGCAGCCACACCTCCGTTTGAACAACTGACGGCCAAACATGAGACCGAAGAGTAAAAAAGTTCAACATATGTTCGAGTTTTCAGGAACTTTTTGAGAACTTTAGTTTCTCAAAAATCCAGTTTATTAAGAAAAGGTGTAAATCTTCATCTTTAAATGTGTTTAGAAAAGAAATGATTTAGGGGTCTCTGTACAACAGTGGAGTTATTGATTTTTGTTTGCAGCGTCTTGCTCTTGTATCGTAATTTGCAGACGATCCCTGCGCAGAGAGATCGGTATTATTCATCCAGTTCGAAAAACGGCTTGTTTTTGTAAAACAAATCGGTTTTTGATTCTTGTAGCTAGTAGTCTGAGCTATTACGACATTAAAGAGGTATCGTTTGTGTTTAGACAACGTTTCGTCTCAGAGTTATTGATCCCAGAAGTCCGAATCTGTGAATATCTTTCCAACTTTACTGAACTTTTTCCCACTGCTGCCGTTTATAAGCTTTCCGGCGCACGACACACAAAAACAAGCTTCTTTCCAGCCTCTTCCGCCTAAGCCTAGCTTCCAATATCGCTGTTTCTTCTCCTGGTTGATGTACCTGACATCCATCGTTTGAAGTTTGCCGTTTGTTGCTCACTGATGCGTCTATTTCTTCTTCCACTACTTCTTCTTCTTCTCCAGCAGGACGTACGCTATCCAGTATAATGCTGCCCCCTACTGGTCATATTCAGATCTAACTAGCTTGTTTTTTTTTTTAACATGATTTAGTCCCGAGCCGGATTTGCTGGAGGTCTTGAAGCGCTGAATTTGGCTGCATTTTTAATCTTCGTTGACAGATTAGTCTTGGGTTTTTCGGCGACACCGTTCACCGCCCGAGTCTCCATCGGTTGGCTAAGACACCCTAACAAGCGTTTGGTTAATGCGGGTCTTGCTTTATCACTTTTTTAAAACCTCTGGGAAAATTAATTTGGTCAAATAAACATGCATCATTTCCCAGAAGGCCTTCATGGTAATTTCAACGACCCCACCACCACTGCAGTCGAAGCCAGTGCATCATCAGCATAAGTGCTCGCTCCGACTGATCCCAAGGTAATATTAAGCTCTAACATAGGTACCACATTATGCAAATGTGTAGAGAGGACATCATCAGTGTAATAGTTTCTCTCCGGAACAACCCCCGGGATGTTTTACAAGGCCTGCAAAGCGAGAGCACGTGCCTGTGTCGCTGTGCAGGAGTGTGTATCCCTGCTAGCTGTGCATTATCCATTCTGCTGCTGGATTAATGGGGCAATTGATCAACGGCAGACTTGTGTATCCCAGAGAATGGCTGATCACTCACCTACAGCGAGGCCTGACACAGGAGCACCAATCAGCACCACGCAGCCAGAATGATTACAGACGCATGGTTGAACTGAGCAGCGGAGGAGCTGCCGCCGCCGCTGCTGCCGACACCCTCTTCTTCCTCTGACAGCCTGACATTGATAGGAGGAAGGGGCTGCGGAGGGTGGCGCCGGAGAAGAAGCTGAGGACGGGTTCAACAAGGCAGAAACCTAACAGGGATGGAAACACAGGTGTAAAGCTCAATCACAGAGCCGGGGGCACGCTCCGAGGGAGACAAATGCTCCTCAGCGCCGTCGATATAATGATGTACACTTGAAGAGGCGTCCCAGCTGATGGTATGGATCCAGATAAAGATAGCACAGTTTACGTCAATTCTCGCAGTCTGCTGGAATGGGGCACGGGTACAAGGGCATTGTCTCCACTTATTGGTATTCGATAAGTCACATGTGCCCTACTATATCTTAAAGTGCAGACCTCAATCAGTCCAACCGCCTTCCTTTGATGGTTAATAACAGAAAACTGATTTATTGCCAAGAAACCGAGACCCACAAATGACACCTGAGAAACAAACACTTAGAAGCGTTTAAGACCATATGTGGTTGATCTAAGACGGAAATTTAAGTCTGTTTGGTTGTTAAATACCAATAAGACATAATAATAAGTCAGATTTGAAGCTATAATGTTGAAACAGAAACTTTGAATGGAAGTAGATTTTAAAACATAAGCCATGATGAGAAAAAAACAAATTTCTGTCTCCAAAGTTAAATTTAACAAAACTTTAGGAACTTTAATGTGACCTCTGACAGTACCAACACCAACCAATGTCACCTAAAGCAAAGTCCTAACACTTGAGGGTTGTTGTATTTTGTCAATGTACGCCTGGATAATCAATCAATTTTTATTTAAACAGCCCCAATTCACAACAAGTGTTATCCAGATACACTTAACAACAAAACAGGTCCAGACCAGACTCTGTTTACAAAGACCCAAGGTAAAGACGGGATCAGACTGAGCCCCATCCTCTAAGATCAGACCCACTCCCATCTTTATCCACATGAGTGATTCGACCCTTTAACAGGCAGAAACCTCGAGCAGAACCAGACTCATGCAGAGAGAGACAGATGGACAGAGGTGAGACAGAGGAACCTATGAGCTAGTCCCCCTGACAGTCTGTCTAAGAGCTGGCCCAGATCTGAACAAAGTCTAACCCTCAATTTTCACCGCATCCGGACCGGCAGTGATTTTCATGAACCGGATCCGTTGGTGAGGCGAGTTTCGTGACGGATTACAGACAGCAGGAATCATGTGAACTTGCAAGAACCTGTGCATTCACGTGCAATCACGGGATAACAAGTTTTCTCGATAAAAAGAGACACATAGGCTAACCACATAAGCAGTAGATTATGTCCTTCCAGAGGAGGAAATCTACTTCTAGACTTCTAGAATCAGCATCTCCTCATCCATGGTGTCATCAGGGTGAAATGACGTCTAAAAACCTTTCACTTGTTCGTCTCCGCCCGTTTGTATGTTGTGTAATACGATCCTCCTGAAACACGAAAAATTTTATTTTGAAAAGAAGCTGCATGTTTTATATTGTGTCTGTGCCCGACTTCCTTTCCAGCACGGGTTAATCTGTGCTGAATTTGTCTGGAAAAATAGAACTCTTGCGATTAGCTGTGGAGTCCGGCGATCCGAAGAAGCCGGTGGAAATCAGCACATTAACTTGAATAGTTACGATTGGCGGATATGGCCTTTTCGTAGCCGTTCTAGATGTGGTGGAAACTGTGGGTAACTATGAGCTTTATGAAAAATGAAGGTTTTAAGACAAATTTTAAAGGCAGAGAGGCTGTCTGATACCAACACCTCGATTTGGAGGTGATTCCAGAGGAGAGGGACCTGAAAAATAAAACTGATCAGACTAAAAATGTCATTCATGCTTTTATTTCTTTTTGATCATGTGTGTTTTTGGACTGTTGCTGCTATCATTTAGGACTGAAAAGGAGCTGAGTGTTTGTTTTGTGCAAGGACATACATGAGGAAGAATGAATGTTTTTCTTTTACCGGCTTTTTCCACCCAGATATTATTGTGTCATATGAAATTAGAGGATGCACTCCATCATTATCACCATATCTAAAGCACCTTAAAACAAATTTCACTCTATGGTATCATCATTTCCATCAGAGTCTGAGGAAACACTAAACCCATGTCACGGTTTTTCATCCTCGTTTCCCAGCAGCCAATCCTCCTCCGTGTCCTTGTGCTGCACTTCCCAGCCATCACTTGTCCATCAGCTGTAACATACTGTCTGCTCAGAGCTGAGTTATTCCCCACCACCGAAGACGGAGAGCTTTAACCCTCACCGCGCTCCGCTCTGATGCAGTGCCCAGTTTGCTGAAACACTCAATCAATGCAGGAAATGAACACTCGGGATAGTTTATTTTATTCAGTCCCGCTTAAAGCAGCAGGACTGTATGATAATGTAATGTTCGCTGAAATGGAGGAACAGAGTGAGTGGGCTCATGTTACAAACCACATCAGCGTTCGTCTGAGCTGGGCAGCAGAGGAGGTGAATGGAGTCTGAGTTATCGGAGATGTTTGGAGATGATTCGATAAAAAAAAAAACAGGTTTCTTGAGGAAATGAAAGAATTCTGGTTTGTGTTGGAAAGCAGAAAAGAAACAGACTCAAGGTTACACTTGAAGTAGACGGTTAGATTCCTGAAAATAAGCAGATACACTCGAGCATAGATGCTAGCTTCACAGTTTCACTGTTTATTTACTCTTAAATTACAAAAGTCAGCAGCAGCAGAGTCGAACAAAACAACTAATAAAAAAAAAAACTAGCATTTTCATGTCAGTGCAGCAACAATTTATTGAACCTGTATTTATTTTCCTTTTTGTACAAACACAAACATGTCAAAGATATTTGGAGTAGGTATTTGGAGTTCCCCCATGCTACATCAGCATTAGTCCTGACAGATTATTGGTTTTGCATAAAGTTTGTGCAGTTGATTGCAAAACAAATGCACATAAAAACTGGAGCAGCGTAGTAACATATACATTTTTCTTTTAATTAATATAAAACAAAACAAAAAGTTTTTTTTAATTTACAGAAAAATACTCAAATTAATCCTGAATTTTACTTATTTTTAATCCAACTGGGCATAAAAAACACTTAATCTGGCAACCCTGTTTTTTTTTCTTCTTTTTTCTGTTTTTGCATTGGAAATAAATTTCCAAATTATTAATCTAATATTCAAATATATCCCACACATACAGAGGAGGATTAGGGCCACTGGGGAAAAAAAAGGTCCTATATAATTTTTTAAATTATTATTCTGAGTTTTCAGTCAGGATTGTGAAATTTTTTTCTCATAATAATAATTTAAAAAAATAAATAAATAAATAAATAAATATATATATATATATATATATATATATATGACTTTTTCCCCCCAGTGGTCTTAAAGGTGGTGTAGTCAGGATCTGAGGAAGTGCCAGTTTTCGGGAGAAATCTTGAATGTAAACTCTACCCCTCCAACCAGTTTTCCCCTCAGCTCCTCCTCTCCCCTCCCTCTCTGCTCCAGCAAGCCCCGCCCACAAACAGACGCTCCTGCTCGCTCGTATCGTTCCAATTAAATTCAGATATAATGCAGATAAATACCGGCTTTTTAGCTCTTGTCCGGTCTACCTCCGTTTTAAGCGCCCGTTATTCCTCCAGAGTCTCCAGTATTTACTTTGTTTTCTTGCTTGTGTCGGCAGTCGTGGCCAAAGGAGGATTCAGACAATTTTCTGAACTTTCTGGTTGGTTTCTACTGTCCGATATTGTAGCACGCTAACTTTGTTTGGGCTCCTGAACGACACGGGGGAGCAGCGTCTGCCTCACAACCAATCAGGTCGGGGAGGTGGAGAACGGCTTTGTTTACAGTCAGAAAGAGCAGAGCACTATGAAATGTTAAACTGTTGACTACACAGACATAAAGAAACACAGTGATATCAATATATTACCAAATGTCATCAATAACTAATAACTATTGACTGATATTAAAAGATTTTTTTGTATAAACACCACAAAAAAAAAGACTCTTCCTTAACGGATTCCTGCCTTCTCCACCTTTAGTCCTCTTCTTTACCCACAACTGCCCTGCATTCAAGAAAATGTATACTGACCCCAGTCTGTAGGGGGTGCTGCTGTGCTCTTCAGTGCACACTCTGCAAGAAGCTCATAAGAGGGGAAGAAGAAGAAGAAGTACCTGAAATGTGGAGGGAAAGTGAGGAAGCTACCTGTGGAGGTTTGGTGTTGCTGGTCCATGCTCACCTCAGGAATAAACATCAGACATCTGACAGGAGCTGTTCGCTGAGGAGCAACATGAAAACTCAGGTAACTGCTAATAGAGGAGAAAAAAAGGAGGACTTTAAAAGTCTGCAGAATTTTAAGGAGATCAGGACAGACTGAGGCGCACACAGCTTATCAACGACACAAGAGCGCATTAAACTGAAGGAGTTGTTCAAATGTTTGACAAACTTGGTAAGCCTGGAGTTTAACAAAGGATTGTGGGAGATGTCTGGTGCAAAAACAGTCTGGAAAACACTCATTTAGGCAGTCTGGATAAAAGAGGAGGAATAAAGGTGGGATATGGAAAGACTGGGGCTTAAAGAATCTAAGGTATTGATTAGCTGGTTAAAGAGAGAGATCTATAATCAGTTTAGACTCTGACTGTCGCTGAGACTGACTCTGTGTGAGTTTGAGAAAAATGTCTTCTTCTCATACTGTCTGTGTTTTTTCTTCTTCCCATACAGCACACCTCCCTTCCTCCTCCTCCTCCTCCTCCTCCTCCTCCTCCTCACTATTACATCCTACCCCAGCCCCGGCAGATACCCTCTGCTCTGCTCACCGCGCCGACCCAGCCCTTCAGTGGACTGTGCCATTTGATCCATGCAGAAGATGATTCACGCTCTGCGATCTGGGGAGTAAGAGAGCGCCAGAGGAATCCCTCGCCCCCCCCTTCACATCCATAATTCAGCATTTGCGCCTTCGTCCTCCTCCCTCCTCCTCCTCTTCTCTGACTCCCCCTCACCACCACCACCACCACTGTACCACCGCCGCCACCTCCTCCTGTCTCCTTCCACCCACTGCTTTTTGATGCTGCTGCTTCTACGCTGCCGTGTGCGCTCCAGCACGCCGTCAACAACCTGAGGTATCAGTCGTCTATAAAGCATCCATCTGGAACTCTTCGGCGGGCGGCACAGGTAAGCTGAGAGCAAAACAAAGTGCTACTTTGCCTTCACGAGGTGCCGGGTTTGTGGTGTGTGAAATGTATGCCGGCTGCATGCATCTGTAAAAGTCTTGTTGCTGATTCGCTTCCCAACTTAGTGCATAATTTACCTTTTTGGATGATTTTCGGGGTGAATTTGTGCAGCTGTTGCTATGGCAGCTCTGTGGAAATTAAAAAAATGAACTCTGTGGTGATCGTAACACATCAGGGGGTACATTAGAAACCGTCGGAGCGTTGGTCGTTGGCATGCAATAAAGTTTAATGTCCCCATGTGAGCCACTAATCCGCAGCATCCCCACTCTGCGCACACACACACACACACACACACACGCACACACACGCTCTGCAGGCTGCTCTACCTTGATCCACTCAGACAGAGAGGCGAGTGCGAGTTCAGCCACTGGACTCTTGGTGGAGCTCAAAGGAAACTCCACTGGGTTGTCTTGCCAAACAGAAGCATCCAAACAGAGTCAAATCCTACTTTTCCATGCTGTCTGATGTATGGACACACCGCGCTGCAGACTGAGGCCGGTCTGATCTTTCAGATTTATGCTGTGGCTGCTGATATTTATGATTTCATGAAAAAAAAAAACACATCTTTGCTCCAACTTTTGGCATGTAGCATGTTCTCAGATGCAAACTACTCTATGTCTATGCCTTTATTTTGAAAGGATCCCAGTCTACGTCTACGCATGCAGAGCAATCTATGATCAAGGATTGATTTGTTCGCCTCAGCTATCTTTCACTCTTCTGCATTTCCCTGCTTTTCCAGCTGAACACACTCGTAGGTGATAGATTTAAAATGAGAAGTGACGAAGCTGCAGAGGTGTCAGAGGAGTCTGGCTGCAAAGTGACATAATATTTGTCATTTTGCAACCTTCAGGTGCGGAGAATGATTGTCGCTCGGAGGATGAATCTTTTATATTCAGAGGGGGATTTCTGTGCATGTGTACAAACAGAGCAATTTACGTCCTGAGATTGATAAGTCAGACCCGCTCGAGGGAGTTAAATTGATCTGATGCACTGTGGCACACCTTGATGTTAGTTTTTGTTATGAGTTTTTGTTTCGTAATGCAGCAGGTGGAGACAGGCTGCTGAGAGAGAGAGGAGAGAGAGGAGGTGAGACAAAGACGTGTAAGACTTCAGTGAGACTGGCTGTTGATGTGCTGGAACATGAGAGAGTGTTGAGGTGCACTGAAGCTGAGGTCTGACGCAAGATTGTCAACACAGCTGGATTTCAAAGGAGCTGGTTCAGAGCAGGATACTGTTTTTATTTATTTATTAATCCTGAATTCAACTCAGACGGGAGGAAGAGGCTGAAACATTCAGATTCTGATTCTTCTTCACGTCCAGGTTTCTTTTTGGAACATTTCTGTTAAATTTTTATCACATTATCACTTCTAGTGTGGCACTTTTTTTTTAGGACTGTTGCTTGTTGATGGATGAAGTCAACATGACAGAAAAACGCTTCTTTGAATTTTAAAGAAGTAGCGGAAACGAGCACGCCAACATCGTCACGTAATCCAAAACGCTCGGCTCTTGACAAATTTTTCTGCAAGTGTTTTTTTTTTTATTTCCTTTCCCTGTTTTGGATAACTTTCTACTAACTGAGCCCACACTCATCTATTGGCAACTCTTGTCAGTGTAACTTCTCACAACTAAGCTGCTAAACCGTCTTTTCCGAGGTGTTTCTGCACTCCACCTCCAGGAGGTCACCCGTCAATCAATCAGTGCAAAGTGGATATCAGTTTCGCTCGTGTTTTCTCCTGTTTCTGTCAAAACAACGAGGATGTAAAGCCTAACATTGACGCTCAGTTTACTCTGTTTTTATTCCCTGTAACTTTAGTCACATTACAGTTTTAGTTTTAGCAGTCTGAGGTTTGATGTTGATGTATATGTGTGGGTATAAGATAAGCCTGAGAGGTCAGCGATCGAATCTTAAATTAAACTCACATTTACAAGTATTAGTATTAACCGTAGTAGAAGTAGTCGTATTATTGCACCGACCAAAACAACAACACTGTCCAGAAGAATTCTCCAGAACAACCTCTGAGGTTCTTCATGCTCCAAAAACACGCAGAGAGCAAAACATGAGCAACAGAGGCTCACAGTGACCCGACAGAGTCATACTAACACGATATTGTCCCAAACTTTACGCCATTGAGCGTTTTAGCGTCGTTTTTGGGGGGCACCACTGCAGAGGTGCTCAAAACTGCAGTTTCCCAGGCGTCCACTTGAGGCTGTCTTCAAGAGCCAAAAACCTCATTGGATCTGATGTTGAAACGTTTATTTTTGTGGTCATCCTGTTTTGTTTTTTTGTCTTTGTTAAACACATGAATACACCAAAAAATTTAATTAACATTATGTACTTAAAATAAAGAAATAAAATCTATTCATACGAGACTAAAAAAGTATGTACTTCCTGGTGTAATCCCTTTTAATCTGAAAGGCTTCGAATCAACTTTGGGCGTAAAAATAAGAAACGTAGTCTCGGTATATATTGGCTTTTATTTTGAAAAGGTGTCAAACAACTTCCAGTCCGCTCAGTAAAGGTGGATCCTCTCACAGCGAGACTGTCTTGACAAGCTGCACACACCTGATTTTAGGGGTGGGAGAAAAAATCGATTTACAAAAGTATCACGATTTTTTTAAATCGATGTTCAAAGTCTTTTTTTTTTTTTTTTTCAAATTTAAGAATAAATCTTAAAAACTGACTCACATGTGATGTGTATTTTTTGGTGAAATATGGTTCCTGAAATAGTCAGTAGACAATCATTATCATTCAACCGTTTCTCTGGTGTTAAAAACTAAAGATCGAGAAAATCGTCAATATTGTAGAATCGCAATTTAAATCGAATCGGCATCCAAAAAAGTCTAGAAGAATCAAATCGGGTCATAAGCATATCATCCCAGCCCGACCCGATATGGCGACCATGAAAGCGCCCTTTGAGTGACCTTTGAAGTCGCTGAGATCACGCTCATGTTTTGTACGGTGTCAGATGAGACGGCGCACAGTCTCCGAAAGGAAAAGACAAGCTTCACTCGTCACTGAAATGTTTTCCTTTGCCTAACCGCTCTCTCTGACAAACAGTGAAATCTTGACCTTGCTCGGCCACAAGTGGTCTCACCAAATTCCATTATGCGAATGTAATCAGGAAACACGCCGTCTGAGGTTTAATTCATTAATAATACACACGTTATGCTGCTCTTGTTTGGATGGGGCCATTAGCAACAGCAGGGCTGCATCTGGGCTTCACAGTTAACAGGATTTCATTGTTGCACTTTGCATATAGGTGTTGATTAAAAAAGCCTGCAGCAGATCCATGTGATTACCCAGCTGCTACCTGATCCTGGAATATAATATGCATGGGGGCAAAAAAGGCTTGTGGTCGAATTACTTTAATCCTTCTTGTCTGACTTCTTCTGGATCCTGATGCTTTGAGGACGCAGCTGAAGAGGAAATTTAAATCAGATTTTTAGTTTCAAAGCTTAAAAAGAAAAGCTATACGTTCCTTCAAAATAAAAGACATCCAGCTGTATTTCAATTTCTTTCTTTCAATCAGTCATGACCAAACTAGTTTCCTTTCTCCTTCGCTCTCTCTTCAGTTGTCATGCAGCAGATTTTCTTCAGCTGCCAAAAAAAGGCTTTTTCTTTTTTCCGACACGTCAAACTGTATTCAAAAGAAACTCAAACTTCTATCCTAGACCCCTGCTGACTTCTGCTTTACTCATCTTTTTTTTCTCTCCTAACAAAATGCTTCTATAGGCTCCTTTCAGACTGTACCAGAGCAACAAACTGAGACATCAATAAAACCTCATACACCACTTGTTCTGTAAAAGAAGTAGGGGTAAGAATAACATTTATCATCTACTTATAAACTTTTAACTGAACGCAGCGAGGCAGATTTTCTTGACGTCTTCTTCGAGGAGACTTTTTAGTGTGCACCAGCAGAGATTTTCACTCATTCGAATCAACTGAATCTTTATTTTCGGCTGCTCTAAAAAAGAGATTTTCAGCTGGACTAGTCGATTCAATTTGACAGAGAAGTGTGATGAGTTCGCAGATTCATAACGAGGACTTTGGCGCCCAGGATTTCCGAAAAGAAAGTCTAATTTTGTGTGTTTGGGTGTTACTTTGTCATATCCTTACCTCGGCCTCAGAATAAAAGCTGCCTGTTCAGTTTTTTCTTCTTTCTGTTGGTCTGAGATCCGTACACATCGTTGTCGGTATTTCTTTGTGTGGATTAGGGCTGGGCAATATGGGAAGAAGTTTATCATGATTTTGATTTTCATATCATTCGACATCGATATATTTCACAAGATAAAAAACACAATTTAATAGTGTTTATTGGTAGCATGTCTTTTGCAACACAATAAGCTACTGCTACTACTGTGAGGTCTTTGCTACTTGGTTCTAATTCAGCACATGATTGGTTCAGCACGAAGCGGACCTGGAGTCACTCGCCTTTTCATTGGCTCTTCGTATAGTCTACCAAAATATGGCAGAATGCCTGTTAGAAAGCTGGTGTTGTTTAGGGGTTTTCAAGTAAATATTAATCAGTTTTATTGTGTTTTATGGTAAATTTTCATTTGTCCTGTAAATTGCACCGTTCCGATGCAAATGAACGCACCTGTGTGTGAGATGTCGCAGGGGAAATATTTTTTTCATAGGATGGTAGGAGAAGGTCCCGCCCTCCTTCGCCTCTGATTGGCTAGAAGTGCTGGGCTCCAATTGGTTATTTCTTATGGCTGTGAAAGGTCATCGTCTGTCAGGTTAGGGTTAGAAGATTCAGAAGTGCGATAATGTAATTTTCTGTTCGATGTACAGAGTTAAATCAATGTCACGATATATTGAGTAGTTCAGTCTCTGATGTAGGACAGCGTCTTAAAGGGACATGAGACCAAAGCCTACCTACACACATCCAAAACCAACTTTTATTTATTTTTTTGACACCAGATATACCGATATGGGCGACATGACGTAAATCTCTGTATCTGTAAACTTTCAGTTTATCGCTCAGCCCAAATACTGGATTTCTCAGTCCAGTATTTTGATAGCGGACCACTTGTTCTATTTGAAATGTGTGTTTGATTTGTTAAGTTTGGACCAGATTGGATTTCGAGTACTTCTCTGTCTTCAGGGTCACCGACTGAGATGAACGAGGACAACTTTGATCGTCCTTGGGTTTCACTTTGAGGTCTCATCTTCGCTAGTTCTTGGTTTTTACTAGTTTGACTGTTGACTGTCTTTCCACAAACTTATCCTTTTCTTTGTCAGATAAATCCCTGGAGGCTGACGGCGTCTATACGTACGCTCAACATGCTCGCACTTATAAAGAGAGAAGGAAAACATGTCAGAGGTTTTATCGTTGGACAAATTTGACCCACAGTATTCTCACTCACTCTGTCAGAGTTCCAGGCTGAAATCTTTCATTGTGTAACTTTAGACCCACAATAGAAAAATAGAGAGCGAAGATAAAAGAAATATAGTCAGAAACGAGTTGAAATGTGGAGAATGTATCCCGTCATTGTTTCCCACCTTTGTGTCTCGGCTTGCTTTAAGAAAAGGCTTTAAAAAAAGAAAACCCTCCCTAGGAGCAACACGGCGTCGAATCCAGCGAATCCAGCGAGTGTGTCTGGAGAAGTGCCCTTTAAAAGATTACTTTGATGGCATTTCTTCATCATTAGTCTGCTGGAAGTGAAAAGACAGAAAAGCTGTGTGAGAGGGGGTGTGTAACAAAGCGACAACGGTTCCAGGAAAAGCTACCTCTACTTTGTAAACACCTCCTCCAGCTGAGCCTCTGTGATTCATTCTCCTCTTTGACTCTATTTTGGGGTTATAATCTTCCTCTTTGTGGGGAACAGCAGCTTGTTTTATCCTCTTTTCAAAGAAATAAGTTTGGATTTTTAGAGGTGACTTGTGAAGACTTCTTTTTTCTGCCTTTTGAATTCATTTTGCGTTTCTTGTGGCGGGTCTCAGGCACGGCGACCTTTGATATTTACAGGCTGTAGCCTGTTTGGTCTGATTTCATTGATCCGCATTGATTGGTTCCTCATGGGACGTCTCTCTGAGCGTGTTTACTTTGATCAATGGGCCTAATGGATAAATACAAATATCTGCTATCTCTCTCCTGCTCCAGCTGGTCCATACTAATCTCCTTGTGTCGTCTGGAGGTGTTAAGATATTGCTAAGACACTAATCGCTCAGACCTGGAGGGTAATTCTCTTTTCTTTCCGTCTATATCCTCTTCACTTTTCTGTCTCCCTTCCTCTCTTAAAGATGGGCTGCATTAAGAAGATAATACTCAAAGATGTCGTAGTCTGCGTGGTGAGGGATTGATTCAGTCTGGGAGATGTTCTGCACGGACACTTTGAGTGGGAAAATCCCAGTTTAAGTCCACCATAAGCTGCATAGGAACTTGTTGTTGTTTGCAAACAGCCCTGTGGTGGCACTGTTTTCCCACCATAGATCTCTTTATGTCTTCTCAGATCAGACATAAGGGATGCAAAGAGAGAGCAGTATGTCTATATTTGTGGATTCACACTGAGAGGGGAGGGTCTGGAGTGCTTCAACACAATAGGACACAAATATTTTAATCTCAGCCTGTTTGTGTCATTAACATTTCACCAAAACCTTTCAAACACTCGAGCACGTGTGTTCGTGGATGAGCCCAATCTGTCAAAGACATGCTGGCGTTTCGCTGTGACTGCTGCCACTGAGGGGGTTCCTCTCAAACTCAAACAACTTGAATGAAATATAAAAAATTCACTCTGGCACAACAGCTCAAAGCACTTCTAAAATTAACGCGGCTCATCGGGGGACTTGATTAAAGAGCACAAACAACAGACTGTAACACGGAGTTTGTCAGGTTTATGATGGTCCTGGACTAGAATGATAAAATAGGGATTCACCACCGGAACATTTTGAGATCATGTATTGTGCATTTAATAAAACTACAAACACACCGAGAGTCGAGTGAGAGAAAATAACCGACCATATGTTTATTTTGGCTGGTAACTCCAGCTGAATTTTGTTATTTCATTAGAGAAACCAGCGAGGACGCAAGTTCTGAGTTTGTAAAGATCATTTCTCCACAAAACCTGAACAATTTTTACAAACTCTGACCCAAACATGAACGTCAGTGCGCTGCTAGTATGATGCATGTTTAAGAACAGTGCAAAAACACTGATAGGCTAACATTGTCTTCATTACGTAGATGGCCTGATTGCAGGGGTATCGTATTGTTTCGTATCATTTCGTATCGTTTTGTTATTGTTTTGTATCATATTGTTTTGTTATTGTATCGTATCGTTTCGCCTTGATTCATTTCGTATCGTTTCGTATCATTTTGTTATTGTATCTTTTCGTTTTCTTTCGCATTGATTCATTTCATATTGTTTCATTTTGTATCGTATCATATTTTTTGGTTATTGTATCTTTACATTTTGTTTCACATCGCATCACTTCGCATAATATAGTTTTGTTATTGTATTGTATCATATCTGTATCGATTCATATAGCATCTCATCTGAGTCATATATTTGGTGTCATATCATTTTGTTATTGTATCGTATCTGTATCATGTCATTTTGTAATTGTTTTGTATCGTTATTCTTATGTGATCGTATCGTTTCATTTCGTATCGTTTCGAATCGTTTCCTGTCATTTCACAGCGTATTGTTTTGTTATGGTATGGTAGCTGTACCGTATCGTTTTGTTATTGTTTTGTATCGTTTCAAAATGTTATTTAATTGTTTTGTTTCGTATCATTTCATATCGTTTTGTGTCGTTTCACATCCTATCGTTTCGGTATTCTATGGTATCTGTACCATATCGTTTCGTATCGTTTTGTTATTGTTTTGTATCGTTTCATTATGTTATTTTATTGTTTTGCTTCGTAGTGTTTCGTATCGTTTCGTATCGTATCGTATCGTATTGTATCGTTTCGTATCAGGCCGAGCTTACCAGGATTCTCTCTGGGTAAAGTTTCTTGCGTTGATCATTAAACCTTTCTTACATCTTTTAGTATGATTGCATGAAAAGCAGGTTTAGGCTTGAGTCCATGCCGCCAAAGCAAACACACAATACCCATATAAAAGAGAAGCTCCTCTCTGAATGGCAAACATGTACGTTTCATTTATTTTTACACACCAGAAAGGCAGAGAGGGAAAGCATGCCGTACTCAACCCTGTCCAACAGACACAAAAGCTGTCATGATCGCCCCATACAGCATAAGGTGATTTTACATACACCACTGACGTCTCCACTGCTGCACTGGTGAGATAAAGTCTCTGTTTAAATTGCCTCCAATTCTAAATTAGCTCCAAATCTAATAACAACTTCCATGATTTCTTTTCTCCACATGAGGAAAGTCATTATCCGGTATCAGCACAGTATGTCAGCAATATTGCCAGCAGTTACACTGCAGCAGTTTGGAGAGAGGTCGGGGACATTTGACAGCGTCTGGGCTTGTCAGCTATCACTCTACACTTTTAAAGATTAAAAAGACCCACAGGGGCATTTTTAGACCTTGTTCTCGCCCCCCCGAAACATGGCAGAGCGCGACAAACAACAAACAGCAGCAGCTCCAGCATGTGTGCGACCTCATTTTATCATAATCCGCCCTTCACTGAGCCAGCTCCCAAAAGGTGCGGCGTGTTTGCGAACATGGAAATTGAAAAGCTGCCTAATTGAAGGTGCGGCGCAGAAAGTGCTCATCTCAACAAGTCACTCTCTCTTGTTTTGAAACATGTCTCTCTGTTTAACACAAGTGGCCGGTGTCACTCGTTTCCAAGGCAATTTAACTTGTGTAAAGAGTTCTCATGGATCGATTGGGAACTTGAAACAAGTGGAGCGGCTTGTTTCTGGCTTTGATTTCCCTTGTTTCAAAATCCTGATGCTTTATTTGAGAGCCTTTCCAACAAGTATTTAAAGTTTCAGACTTATTGAATGCTTTTTAGGCTTTTCTGAAGGACGCAAAGCTGTGCTGACACCGACACCTGACCAAAATACACAGATAAACACGACTCAGCAGAAGCTAAGGAAATATGGCGATTTTGTGTATTTTACCATTAAAAATAGTGACATGGTGCACAAAAACTGGCATAAAAAGGCTGTAACATTGAATTTTGTGTTTATTATTTTTTGAATGGTCAGGGCTGAAGTTGTCGAAGAGATTTGAGTCAAAAAAAGATTATTTTATGAACACTTATCTGTCCTCTTTGAGGACAAAGTAGGCTGAATGGAGCTTAAAATTTACAGGAACCGCGAGTTAAATAAAACCTCCTTAACCCTGCTCATAAATACTTTTAAAAATCTCGCTCCCGTTAAGATCAGCATTGTTTCTGCCTCTCCGTTTTTTCCTGGAGAGTATCTTAAAAGAGACCAATAATGAAGCTGCCTCTGACAGTGTCACCACAGCCTTGACTCCTCAATTGCCGATTCATCTTCCCACTTTTGACAACCTCAACTCAGGTAATTTCACAGGACTGTTGCCACAAATCAGCACAAATGGCCTTGAGTGGGTGGGGAGTGGTGGTGGGGGGATGCATATTCACAGCCAGTGTGAAAGTACAGTCTTTAGCCATGACCCATTCTTCTCGGCCAATGGGAAAGAGAAGTGTGCCAGCATGATTAATGGTCATGATTACCTTCTCAGAAAATGTGGTTTTCTGGCCCAGCAGCTTCACTTTTATGACTTAAACCCGGGGCGAGATGCTTCATCATGTGGCGGGCGGAGCTGTGCGCAGACCTCCCAGACAGCGTGTTGTGATGGCCAAACATATCACTGCTGAAGTGTTTACCATCAGCTGTTTGAATACGACTGTGAAGCCTCTCAACGGTCGTAATGTGGACAGCTGTTCGACTTAAGACCTGAGAATGAGGATAGATGTGGACGAGGGGCCAGGAGGGCACCCAAAAGAAAAAAGGAAAGGAACAAAGAGTCTGTAGAGATATTAGATAAAAGTCTGGGGAAGAAGAGCCTAAATGAGCTTTTTTGGGGGGGCTTAGACTCACCCCGTATTCCCAGTTTCAAAAAGACAAAAAAAAAAGAGAGAAAACAAAGAGGAGAGTCGGAAGAAGACAAAGGAAGCAAAAACATCCCAAGAAATCCGTTTTGGCAAGGACTCACCCCTGCTGCTGCAGGTACCAGATGTGTGAAGACGTCACACTACGACAAGTCCATACAGACAAACAAACCACATTGCACTTCATTCAATAAGTCAAATGTGCTCAGTTTAAAGCCCCTCACAGTTTATTTCCGTTTGATCATTCAATTGACCTCGAACCTTTGTCTCCATTTAATACAGAGAATTACAACTTACTGTTCTGCAGGGCTGCCAAGTTTCAGAAAATACGATACGTGAGAGTTCTGATGTGTTCAGGAAAAAAAAAAGGCCTTTTTTAATGTCGATTTGTACCTTCAGACTGATGTCCTCACCTCCATGCCAGCTGCTCTCCCTAATGCTCGTCTTAATGAACCAGAATTTAGAAATTAGAAAGTGGGTTTTAAATGTCGGCGCTGTTTTGTCTGAAAGATAGTTAGAGATGCCAAGACCCACCGTAGGTTGCTTCTGATTGGTTTGTATTGGGTGGTGCCTTCAGTAGTTGGTTAGATTTAACCACAAAGGACTGATGGATTTGTTATCTTGGTCAGTCAATCTGAGTTACTCAAACTACGGCAAGGTTTCCCCTTCTCTTTAAGTAATAATCATCATATTAATCATTTTGCACTGCAGACGCGGTAGTTCTTCTGTCTTAGCGTCTCGGTCTGATTGTATTTCCATGAAGAAATGATCATAAATGTTCTTCCTTAAGCTGCGTCACCCCGCTGTAGTCCGTAATGGACTGGCCTGAGGTCTCGCTACAAACAAACGGCTGCTGGAAGAGAGTAGGTGAGTTGTGTTTAGTCCCTTTGCTAAAGAAATGAGTCAAAGTTAAAAAGATGTTTGGTGTCTAGTACTATGTCTGTGACCCTATATGTCCTGTTGATGAAGTTAGGTGCTGTTCTGAGCATTATTTGTGGCTATAGAGTGGTGTTTTGGTTGAGTGTGTGTCTCTCTGTATTGCTTTCTGCGGTTGTTACTAAAGTTGGTATAACTAGAGGAGCAAAGCGGTTAACATTCATCTCTCGAGGGGGTGTCTAAATCGGTTTTACGGTGTGTTTGACCCTAGCTTAATTTTACGCCAGAATATCCCTTTAAGTGTACACTAAGCCTACTCCAATTTCCCCATTCCCTGCTAGCTAGTAGCTGCCCGCCTGCTGAAGCTTTGTTGCACCAGAATAAAAAAAACGCTCAGTTTTTACCAAGAGCATTTGAGGTTTTTCTTTTTTTCATTTTCTACTTTGTTTTTTTTTTTCCTGTAAATATTTTCAGAAAATCAATTTGAAGATAGGAGTGGGGGGATCTACGCCGGTCTGAGGAGGGAGCTCGTAACTCTCCAAGCCCCTCCCTCCTGTTGCCGTTGATTACAGATTGTACAGAAGCGTTCAGCCGGAGAGCGAAAAAAAGGCTCTGAGGTGAAAATGTTTTCGAATCTCCTCCGACACCTGATGTGAATCTAAAGCGGCTGGTCGGTCGGTATCACTGAGAAGCGGCTGACCAAATGAACCTGGAAAACCTCGAGGGTTTAATTGACGAAACCTCAAGATTAATACCGTGCATTTGCAGGAGCAAACACCCCCGCTGTGTCTGTATGTTTTTTCCTGTTCGTGCGTGAAGGGATAAGAGCCTGTGCATCTGTGGGGGATTGTGTGTGTGTCTCTTTATTCTCACTTTTGCAGCACTCATGTGCCAAGAAGCTCCCAGACGACATTCTCTAATCATTAACCTGAAGTTAATTTCTGTCACAAACACTACGGCGGCGCTCATTACAACTCGACACTACACTACCTCTGCTCAATGACTTTATATCTCACCGCTGAGCCTCAAAGGTTAGCCCCTCTAAAAGGTTACAGCTCCCTGTGACATTTCCCTTGATGACTTATTTGGCCCTTTTGTTTTTGATAAATATCAAGCAGCTTGTTGTTGCCACCAGGGATTACTTACATATTAAGTCATAAAAAAGGATCTGCCATGGATTAGAAAAGGCTCTGCTTTTGATGGTGGTGGTCCTCTGATTAATTAATGATCAAAAAGGACAAACAAACATGAGACTTTCAGGGTTTGATTCATGTGTAAAATTAAAGTCAGTGTCGGTTCATTTCTATGAAGTTGTTGACTCCCCTAACCTTCAAGCAGACGGGGACAACTCCGCTGTCATGGTTTGAATATAGTTAAAAAAGTGAATAAAGGTTTTTTTTTTTTTCTGCCGGAGATGAAAACACATCCACTTCAAGGAAAATGTGCCCTTTGTGAAGTTTAAAGACGAGCAAATGTAAAGAAGGTCTATGGGCGACGCTTTCGTACAATCAAATACTGCTGCTTGATCTCTCGCCCCAGGCATCAAAATATGAAGATCAAGGTCTCGCTCCGGCATCCAAAACAAGATTTAACAACCACCCCACAAACTTGTCGGACCTCCATAACAAACAGCAAAGTCAGGGGGTCAGGTTTGGATTGGATCCGGGTCGATATCTGAACAAAAGCTGCAAACGTATTTTGACTTTTAGGGAAACTTTAACGGACACAATAAAGATCGCAATAATTGATTTTTTATATATATATTTTTTGTTCAAACATCATAAATATCTTGTTATGTGACAAGTTATATGGAGCAGTTAAATAAAGCAAGTTTCCTCTTTAAATTCAGCTTAACCTGCGTTTGTGGATGCAGTGGTTTTAGTGATTTTGTGTCTATGCGGTGATTTCCACTACAGAGTTATATCAGTTTTTTGTTATGTTGTGGTTTTTGGAAGTGATTTTAAGTCGGGCTACCATGAATATTCAATTAAATTTGTAACCTTTATTTAACCAGGTTGGTCCCGTTGAGATAAAAAAAAACGTGAATGCAAAAATTAAAAATATACGATCCGATTAATCGATTAATCACAACAATAATCGTTGTCTTGACGATTATCAGATTAATTTTAGTGGAAGTAATTTTGAGTAGGGCTGCCACGATTATTCGATTAAAATTTTTAATGTTTATTTAACGGTGTTGGTTCTGTTGAGATAAAAAAAAAACGTGAATGCAAAAATTAAAAGTATACGATCCGATTAATCGATTAATCGCAAATATAATCATAGTCGTGTTGATTATCAGATTAATTGTTTGGGGCAGTCCTAATTTTGAGCCTGTGTGATGATTTCCACTACAGAGTCAAGTCCCTGTTTGTTTTATGCAGTGCTTACTAAGCGCCATCCTGTGTCCTCTTGGCACAGAAATTTCTCCAGATTCTCTGGGAACTTGAATTGTTGAACTTTGCTCACACTAAGGCTGGGCGATATGTCCTCAAATCAATATCACGATATATTGATCAGTTCACCTTGATAACGATAAACGGACGATAACTACTCCACAAGCTGCTCACCCCCTCACACATTAACTTTGTCTACTTCAGCTGCTACAACTTTTGAACCGTCCTCCATCTCCTCACCTGTCTTTCCCTCTTTGTTACAGACTGGATGGGGTGGAGTCACGTCTCTGATGTAGGACAGCGTCTTAAAGGGACATGAGACCATAGCCTACCTACACACATCCAACAACAACTTTGATTTATTTATTTATTTGACACAGAATATATCGATATGGGCAAAATGACGTCGGTTATTGTGGTAAATTTTGGTATCTGTAAATTTTCAGTTTATTGCCCAGCCCTAGCTAAATAAAAAACTCCACACTGGAGTTTTAAAAGAAATAAACCACCTTATAATTTGAGTGAATGTCCAGTGTTTGTTTCACCGATCTATTCCCTCTACTGCCTCCTACAGCTCCTCTTATACTCATCATCCTTCATACCTGGACTCAGACATCACATCTAAAGAATTAATTAGAGAGCAGTGTGCAGAAACTCCATACGAGGCACCTGAAGCATAAAATTTTAAAGCTTTAGGCCACTGTCCAGGCCTCCGAGTTTGATGGGTTGGGAGTGAGAAGCAGCTGTTTTCACTGACATAAACATTAAAGTCACATTAATTAGCAGAGATAAGAGAGGCATCAAATGAAGAGGAAGTATATCAATAGCTAAGCACTTTAATAATCTCCCATTTGTGTTTTTGGCTGGAGAGCAGATTTTCTTGTGGCGCTCACTCTCTCATCAATCACAGAGCTGCTGCAAATATGAGAACGGCTGAGGTTGTCCTAACATCACAGTCTGAAAGTGAGAAATCTCAGTGCCTGGCTGGGTTGCCGCTGACTCACCAGTAATGATCAACAACCCTTTCCAACCCTGCAGATATATCATGGTCTTTTTTGTAGTACGGGGACCTTAAAATCTCACTTATTGCAGTTTTAGCAGCTTTAAATATGTCCTGAACCTCTATTACATCAGTCATTTGAAGCCTATGCACATAAAAAGCAGCTACAAATCCTCCTAGACAAACACAAATCCTATCTCTTAAAAGCAGAGACCCACAGCCTGTCTGCGTGGATGTCAGTCTTTACTACAGAGGTGGTTGAAAATTCAGCTAGGCAGAGCATAAGCCGACGGCAGCCCCTGAAAATCGGTTGAATCGGGGTGACCACCAGTTAAGTTTGGTGGAAAGCTTCTTTATAACCAGACATCTGCAAATGCATGCCATCTATTTAGGGCAGCGGCGATTCGCCAACGTGATGACGTAGGCAATGGCTACTTCAGGTGACGGTAGAGGCACGGACGGCGAACGAGCTCCACCTAATGGGGTCGATTTAAAACCTACTTTAGTGTGATCTACGAGCAGCTCCTCTCAATCAATGCTTTTGTTCTTCCTCGTTCAGATTCCCAAGATCACGCTGCTTTCATTCAAGGAGACCTGCAGTGACCTGTCAATCAAATAACCCACTGTTGGTGCAGCCAACGCCACAGTTGACGCTGCATCATACGCCCTGCATCCCATATCTAATTTATTGACTTTAAGCAGCTAGCTCGGAGTTGAAGCATCAGTTTTGTGCTTTTATTTCTCCGATAACTCGCTAATTAATCAGATGTGTGATCCGTGACGATAGCTCGCTAATGCTAATACTCGGCGCACGTGAGCTCCGCTGCACATATGTATACTGATACACGAGTCCGAGGTAGAGACACGTAAGAAAAAAACACGTTTTAAAAGTGTGGCGGCTTTTATTTAACCGTGGCGGTGTGCCAAGATCGATTGCATGAAGGCGAAATGCTGTTATCTAGCGCCGTGTCTTACTCAGCAATGTAAACAAACACTGTTTCCAGCATTATGCCGACCACGGCCCACAATGCATTGCAAAGTAATGTGCCTCTTTGGTTGGTTGAGTGGCACTGACTTTCTCACTATTGATATAATAATCGATTAAAAAATAATCGTTAGGTGCAGCCCTACATCTATTGCTTTAAACCGTGTGAGCTCTAGCGTATTTCGTAAGGTACGTCCAGCGAGTGGATCTGATGAGTCAGATAGTGATGGCAGCTCAGGTCCCAACGCCATGGTACACCATGAGCCTAACCTTCCGCCTGTCTGGCTCTGAGAAAAGAGGGACGTTAATAGACTATTTTTGTTCTCCGTCTGGGTCAACTTGTTCGTTTTGAGAGTCAATTGCCGTGGCCAAAACACGTCACAGTCGCAGACATGGAAGCACCTGTACCTTCACCAAATGGGGACATCATCAAGCATAAAATGTTCTTACCACCCAGATCCTGACCAGAAGCAATAAAAAAGAGCTCCGTGGAACAGCATGGGCCTAATCCTTCTTCGGTCTGGTTTTAGGGAACAGATAAGTCCGCGGTCTCTGATTGTTCCCTCACTGGGACATCATGACCTTTTTTTGAAGGGAAGTGTACTTTTAAGAGCGCTCGTCTCGTGTGCAACAGGAGACTCTCCTTCTGGCACACGAACATTTTCAGCATGGCGTTGAACAGAGTTTTCATCGGACACACTAATCTCGAGGTGTCAGACGCCAAAGCTTTGACACGTCAGGTTGTCTCATTAGGATGTACGGGGCGCCATTCAGTGTTTGCACCAGGCTTGGAGTTGTTGTGTTAGGTTATCCGTCTGTTTGACCAAGCCTGAGAGTGAGATAACCTCGTATGAGAATAAATTACATTGCTCAAATCAACCAAATGAAAGGACTCGATTTCCTGCGATGGTGCTAATTATTTCCCAGCCAAAGTGTCTTTTTCCATTCGATTATTGCGCCGTCCCAAGTGGTGTGATTGTAGAATGACATCTGTTCCGCCATTATATACCACTGGCACGTACCGCCCATGTGGAACGTAACCATCATTGGGAAAATCAGCACACAGCCCACAAAGGAGAGGCCTCAGTCATTTCTGTTCAGACTCAGCCATTCCTCTTATGACTGGCAGCTCCTGCGTCGCTGCCAGGAGGCCGACTGCGGCAGCTCAGCACCGGCTTTACGTGCTGCAGAGCCTCTAGAGCAATAGAGTTTGTTGCCACCATGCATGTGGTGTGTAAAACCCCACTGGCCATGTTGTGGTCTCACCCCTACCCGTGCCAGAAAGTCATTGTGGCCCTGCTGTTTGTTTTCTACTTCTCACTCCTGCTAGCAAAGCAAAAAATATTCCAATAGTGCCACTCAGCAGAATGAACCAGACTGTTGGATGTTTAGACTAAAGATTAGAGACAAGGGGTTTTCTGGCTTCAATCCTCAGGCTAGAAAGAGTGAGTTATACGCTCTTGTGCAAGGCAGGAGTCCCCAAAGGGCCCTGTGTTTCTTCAACTCTGGTGCGTAAGTCTTCGGTTTTACTAAAGAGCTCATGAGTACAGTGTGCTGTGTGATTGTGAAGCAGGGCGACGCTAAAAAACAAGAGTGCATCCTCAGCAAACCTTCCTCAGATTAATAAACGTATTATGTCGGGGTGTTTAATTCTTGAGCCCATGCTGCTCAATACAGTCTGTGTTCCTCTGAGCCACATTACTGCTCCAATTGATGGTCTGGGAAAGTTTTAGTTTTTCATGCAGTAGATTAAAACCAACGCTGCACAACAGTGTAGGTCGAATCAAAGCTAAGAGAGAATTTATGTCCTTAAAATCAGAGTAATTTGCTGCTTTTTGATCATTTCGGATTCACGCAAAGCTGCTCTTGCTTGAAATTAGAATCAGAAGACATACTGTAGTCTCTGCTGTTAGCTCTAAACAAAGACTGGAAAATAAATGCATGATGGAAATGGATGCATAAAAGAGCTTAAATTAAAGCTGGAAAAATTAGACGATGTGGGCTGGATCTACTCCTACAACAGAGCTCTATTTGAGTGACGAAAAGCTTTAAACCAGCGATCATCTAAGAAAGTGTCAGGTTTATGTATTTCTCAAACAGTGGCACTATGACCGAATCAGCAGATGAGTTCAGGCTGATACTGCTGTTGAACTCACAAACACCGCATGTAATACCATGTCTCTCCACAGGGTGGCACTGTGACTAAATCTGATGAATCGCCATGTAGATGTGTTAGGGGAGGACCTTGTGCTGCGTTTGAGTTACTTCGGAAGTCAGACGTCCTGAAAGCGGTATGTTACCAAGTTTGAAAAAAGTAAAATCGGAGGCCTGAAACAAGATTGCTACATCTACGAAAGTTATTTTATTTTCGCCTCTGATTTTGCTTTTTTCCATCTTTAAACTCAAATGCTGGTAACTTGGGTGTGACGTCATTTTCAGCTCAGACTTATGACTTCCGAGGTAACCTGAACTCAGCGATAAATCACGTAAATCTGTGGCAGATCCAACCATGTATGAAGGAGTGACAATTACCTCCTGTTTCGAGGCAAGACTTCAAAGTTTGACGAGTAGCACAAAACACATTTTTCAGGGTTAGCCAAATCCTTTGATACCCTCTAATCCTCAAAGTTGGACTGGGCGATTATATGATCCTGATTTGTAATTGTGATAAATTTCAGTTCGATCACGGTGATCAGCTGTGAGCATATTTCCTGCTCACTTCTGTAAGTTGCTGGAGAAGTAAACAGAACAACAGAACGTGGAGCTGAACGTAGAGCTGAGGGCAGCAAAAAAGATGTCAGCCATGACTTTGAGTTATCCTCTGAAGACGCCATTGTTGAGAAGAAAAGTGACTTAACATTGGTTGTGTGGTGGTGCCGTGGTTCGGGTATCTCCAAAGTGACGTCGAGCAATTTAGTCGATGTGAAAGGCGGGCGGTTCCCTTAAAACTGGCAACACAACAGATCTGTTTAATCATTTGAAGTTCTTTCTGAGTGATGATGAGGAAAGCATGAGAATGTGAGCGTAGTCTGCACAGCCTGCCACTGCCGACGGCGTATCATCTACGTTTACATCATCTAATGTTTGAAAAAAAAGAAGAACAAAAAAGTCATGATATCGAGATCAGACGACATGACAAAATATGTCGTGATCTTTTTTTTGCCAAGTTGCCCAGGCCTACCTCAAAACAATGAGATGATCGGACAAAATCCAAGACAAGGTCTAGACCTTGAACTCAACCTCAACGATGGCGCCGTTTGTGTGCAACTGGATCTGATGTATATGTGATGTTTGGTGGGTTTGGGTCGTGCTGAAGCCCCTTGAGACCTGATTTAATGTGGACATGAATAAATACTAATCATCGCTCAGTCCTCAGAGGTTAGATTTATGTGACTGATCCTAAAGACACTAGCTTAAATTATCACTCCTTTACTTTTGGCGATGATGGGTAATTACGCATAGGATTACACTATAATCATCATCTTTTTATGACCCGTGCTTTAAAACTGCAGTGCTACTGTATAGGCCACACACCATTGCCTCCTATGCAAAGGTATGTTTGACCAGGTTGTGATGCTGATGTGGGATAAAAGATGTATATGTTGCAGGAACCTCTGGCCCATCTGTCCCTCTGTGTGCTAGTTTTAACCACACTACATGGAGCGTGAAGTTAGAGTCTGTTGTTATGGCTTGGCTGTTATGTCTCTAATCCCATTACAGAGTGTGATCACGTCTGAGGCAGCAAGGTTCATCTCAGGCGCCGGGCTGATTATGTAGTATCCATGAACATGTAGGTGTTTTACAGCGCCATAAAGCGTGTTCTGGAGGCCCTTTTATTTTATGTTATGACATGCTGACAGAACAAATTACATACTGTGGTGAAGACATTTGACAAGAAATCACTAAAACGTCGGCATGTCAGGCACCGAGACAACCCCCCATGTTTTTAGTTCATTAGTGAGCCTTGAGTAATGAGTAATCAGCCGTCCGTCCATTTATTTTCTGAAGCCCTTAACCCGTCCGGCGCAGTGTGATACTTTCTGGACAGGTTTCACGTCCATCAAAAGGTAATTTCTGTTGGAATTAGAAATGTTTGTCATGCTGAATTGAAACCAATTATTCGGAAAAGTTCGGCCTCCCTCCCGAGAGTTCAAGTGTTCCCGTGTTGTGCTTTCTCGGTAGAATAGGACAAGATGTCTCGAACCCTGCAACACACTGTTCACATCTGTCTGATTCGACAGCAGTGCTCTCTCCTCCTCGGCAAGTTTGAAATGATGTATTTTTCTGACCAGAAGATTGTAGATCGGAGTAGCTCTGAAAGCATACCAATGATTGCAGCCGTATAGAGTGGAACATTTGGCATCTTACATTTGACACAGGTGTATGTGTGTAAGTACAGAGGAGAGTAAATCCATGTGTGGCAACAAGACAGCGTGAAATGATAAGGATTGTGTGAACATGTTTGTATCTGTTTGTTTTTTAACATGATCCGTAAACTCACCTTTACACTGTTGTATCCTATTTTTTGGTCATGTATGTTTAACTTTAAATGTCCTTATTCTTAAACATGTTCAGTCCAAACTGTCAGAGGATGTTTGACATTTCTAGGCTGAGGCCACGAAATAACTTTGAGTTAACAAGTCAGTCCAGGACTGAGACTTGAGTCTGATTTGATTGATGATGTTTGGTTTAGTTAAAATTCTGATAGACAGCAGTTGGGCTCAACTTGGGCTTGGGTGACAAGAATCCATAATGGATTCAAAATTGGTAACAGAGACACAATTTGGTTATGCTCCTGGGTTGTTGGGACGAAACTTGGACTTGACTCAGAGTCTGACTTGGGAAACAGTCACTCAACTTGGACTTAGTTAACAGGGATTCGACTTGGGCTGGGACATGAGTAATGGAGACTTGGACTCGGGTTCCAGGGACTTGGCTCTGATTTGACTTGGTCCCACATAGTCAGTCCAGGTATATACCCCTGAGTTGTGGGGACAAAACTTGGACTTGACTCAGAGTCTGACTTGGGCAACAGGGACTCAACTTGGACTCTTGGGTAGCAGGGATTTGACTTGGGCTGGGACTTGAGTAATGGAGACCTAGTTTATAGCACTTGGACTTGGGTAACGGGAATTTGACATGGGCTGCGACTTCAGTAACGGAGACCTGGGACATTGGACTTGTACTTGGATAACAGGGATTTGACTTGGGCTGGGACTTGAGTAATGAAGACCTAACTTGGATTAAGCATTGGTTATAAGGGGCTGGAATAGGACTTGGACTTGGGTTTTAGGATTGGCTCTGATTTGACAGTCAGTCCAGGTATGACAAGTTTAGGTACAAACCAGGGCCCTCCTCATTGGTCCTCAAGCTATGGTGACTTTACCTGACTTCATGCATAAGCACTGGGGACTTGACTTGGAAAGGACTTGGGAAATCAGAACTCGGCTTGGTCTTTGACTTTGGAAACAATGACTTAACCTAGACCTAGACTTCACTTGCCCTGGAATTAGCTAACAGGATCAAACTGTGGATTCACTTGGTCCACATAGTCAGTCAAGCTGAGTAGTTCTGAATTACTGACTTGGATTATTCTCTGGGGACTCCGATTCAACTGTATCTCTGGGGGACCTGAAGTTTGGTGGCCCGACTCCAACACTGCCTCCTTTTTCATTTCGGTGAGGTGGAACCATCTCGGTGCGAACACATTGCTTAATTGCGGTATGATGTAGTTTGTAATTACCTCGATCAGTTTCTGACTCAGAAACTTCTCATTAATCTGCATCATAATTATCTTAGACGTTATTATTATGTGTTTGATATCTTTACAAACAAACACGCCTGCTCGATGGGAGTGATTTCTAGACCAATTTTATATCACTGAAGAAAAAATGGGCACAGAGAATGATCAAACTTTAACACAATGCGGTGCAAGTGGAGTATTTTTGGAGCTCAACATCTGGGAATTCACCCTCATGTCATCACGGTTCAAAGTCCTAGAACCAAATGGGGTTCAAACTCAGACCATAGCTGAGGATATATGACTCAAGTAAAAAGTCGTGCAAAATATGGAGATTTGGTTGCATAGCTAGTTATAAATGTAAAGAATTGTAAGTTTTAAGTTCAGAGAAAGTAACTGCATGAAAAAAGTTCAATAGCTTCGTGAAAATCTAATCCCACGGTGGCAGACTGACCATCTGGTCATTGTTGTCACTCACATTTGCAGATGGTTTGCTCAGTCATCCCTGCCTGTTTCAAACACAAACGCCGCTCTGAATGGTTCCTGAACCCTGGCGAACATAAGCAGCTTGTTGACGTCAGGGCGGGAATGACGAAAACCCCTCGTTGTTGACTCACTGCCTCAGCCCTCCGAGTGTTGATCTCAAAGTTCACTTGAGTTTCCAGGAGAAATGGGACTTGCACTCGTCATGGGGTTCCCCTGAGGGCTAACGCTGAGGGGGAAGCCGGGGAGGGTGTGTTTAACGAATAATGGAACAGCTTCTCTACCCATGGCACTGAGACGTTCAGCATTCGAGTCTTGTCTCTGTTTGTTTCTTTCGACAGCGCAGAAACATTCGAACCTCATCTGGCTGCAGCGTGTGTCTCTGTCCATGGTGCTGAAAAATTTAGGCCCAGCTGTCTTTTAAGTTCAAATCCTCTCTTTTTCCATCATGCATAAGCATATTCAGATTATCTCTTCTTTTTATCACTCTCTCACTTTGGTTTTGAGGATATAACCGACTAAATTCATACTCTATTTGTTCACAAATAGCTTTGCAGAATCTTTTTTGTGCACGGTACAAAACTCTGAATTCCTCCTGCCTTGAACTGCTGCTTCTGTACAGGGTATGTGGAAGCCTGTGGGATTTGAAGAAAATGTTTAAGCTCACATGCCTCCAGGAAACCAATGGAAGGAACAAAAAATGTGCTTGGCAGCTTGTGCACTTCTTTGAACAATAAATAGCCGGCGTTTGCAGGCTTTTCCCACAAAGAGTCACTCAAACTACTCATGTATGACAGCAAACCTTGTTGTCTGGGTGCGGAGGGGGAACCTGTGTTTGTCAACATTTAACAATGATGGATCTGAACTTTGATGGAGAAGTCTCTATTTAAGTGACGGATGAATGAAAGATAGTCTGTGAAATATGTTTCTCGCCCTCTTTTGGGGTTTATTTTGAGGATTGTGTGGCACACATTTATAAGGATTTAGCAGGCCTCTATTCTTCAAATATTACGACTTTCTTTGTACCGATTTGTCTTTTTTAAATACTCAGTTCAGAAGTCTGTTAATTCTTTAATGCCAAGGACACTCCTTCCTGTAAAAAAGACAAATAAATAAAGCTGCATTCATTTAAAGTGGTGGTTCCTTAATGAAGTAATGAACCACTTGACAGGCGCTGTAAGACAAAACACAAAGCAATGCTTCTTCTTGAATGGATATCTCCCTTTGAAACCCGTGTTTAAGGCGTCTCAGTGTCAGTTTGGACTCTCTTAAATGGAAAATATTACAAACATACAAAAGAGCTCCCTCATGTAAAGACTTTAATCAGAGCTGAGCAGAGGAAAGGCTCTCTAAAAAAAACACAAATTAACTTTACGGCTAATTTCCGACTGAAATCTTGACAAAACAGTTGATATCAGGGGCATTGCTGCAAGAGTGCTGATGTGGCGTTTCCATACTTGTGAGGTTTGGGGACCTGAGGTGATAAATGAATATGATGACCCATGCTGAAATTATTTGGACATAAAATAGAGTCATTACCAGCGGCCTGTGTCTTAGATGAATGTCTATAACAGGCCTATGAATGTGAAAGTCAAGGTTACATTAGTTATGATTAACAGCCACTCTGAGGCACAGTGATCTGTTGCCTTTGTGTAGCATGTTAATGCTCATTATATACGACGACATGACTCCTATATGAACGCACCATTAATTATGTTGTGTAAGTTGAAGAAAGCCTCATTATATTTTCCTTTGATTTCCACAGAAAGGTTACACTAATTAAGTGTGTCATTCAATTTCAAGGAAATACTAATAATACATTTTATTCACATGTATCGATAAAAACTGTGTTTCCACTGCAGGAACTAACCCCAGAGAGGAGGAACTGTTTCTCCACTGTAGGGAGAGGGGTCTAAATGAACTCTACATGGTCCCTGCTCGGATTACGGTACTTTATCAAGACACAGGAACAATCACTACTTTTTATTCACACCCTAAAAAGTCTCTGCCGCTGTGGTAGTACTTTTTAAAGGTCAGGGTACTTATGAGTTAGCCCTGAAGTGCCAAATATGTCTGATTGGAGAACCAGATTTTTGGAGTAGCATGTGTTTGCAGAATCAAGACCATATTCCTGGGCCCAAATCCTAACCCCCAATTTTCACCACGTCTGGAATGGCAGCCATTTTCGCCGTACGCCAATTCCTATCGGATTCGTTTGTGAGGTGAATTTCATGATGGATTATGGACAGCAGGAATCGCGAGAACTCATGAGAACCCATGAATTCACGCACAATTGCGCCAAAACAAGTTGTTTCTAACCACAGAGGTTAACCATATAAGCAGTAGATCTTCTAGACTTCCAGAATCAGCATCTCCTCATCCATGTTGTCCATCGGGATGAAATGTTGTCTAAAAACCTTTCACTTGTTCGTCTCTGCTGGTTTGCATGGTGTGAAGTACGATCTGCTGGATGTTTTATTTTGTGTCTGTGCCCGACTTCCTTTCCAGCATGGAAAAATCTGTGCTGAATTTATCCGGTACGCTCTTGCGTCCGGAAAAAAATTGAACAATTGGAATCAGCTGCGGAGTCCTGCAATCTGCAGAGGAATGGAAAGAAGCTAGTGGAAATTGACACAATAACTTGAATAGTTACAATCAGCTGCGATCGGAAGATACAACTTTTTCGTAGCCGTGCCGGATGCGGTGGAAATTGGCAGTAAGAGGCTACAGAATCAAGACCAAGTCCCTAATCCCGACCCTTGCTGTTGCCAAGACACAGAGATCCTCTAGATTTACTCTCAGATTATTCCCCTGAATTTGTAGCTTCTGTTTGGTTTAACAAGTACTGATTTAAACTCTGTAGAAACCTCGACAGGATAAGAAGCTCTACGGACTAAAAGTACCTCTTGTGGAACTGCGAGTGATAAAGTGATGGCCTTTTCCTGATATAATTCATAATCAACCTTTTCCTGCTCTGAAAATTTGACTTAAGGGACTCAGGGTGTACGTGACCACTCCAAGACAGAGAGTCTTTGTCAATCTGAGTCATTCCCAGCTCCATGATTGTCCCCTCTGGTCTTTGAGCAGTGAAAATATTTCCCACTTTATTACTCATAAAGCACTACAGATTGTATTACTCATATCTGGACAGATTGGATTACGGTTAAGCCCCTTTGACTCGATCACTGTTGATTTCCCTTGAGGCCGTAGAACGAGCTTTAATGAATCTCCATTTTTACCAAAACCCCCGCCGTGAGGCGCTTTCATTCGACACGCCACGGGCAATAAATGAGTCAAAGGCCCAGACATCTCAAATGACCAGAGGTGGCAGGTTCTGACCCGAGTCAGTGCGTTCTGATTAAGATCCATCAAGACGGATTCCTTCATCAAAAAAATTACATGAAGGAAATTCAACATGTCCAGAAGTGACTCAGAGTATCGAGCTCTGCTGGTTTGTTCCAGTTGGAGATGGTTTATTAACATGTGTGAAATCAGATTCTGTTCATTAGGTTAATAAATGAGGAGTTTAAGTGATAAATAAAAGTAAATAAAAGTCATGAACCTGAGATATGTATTATCTTTTTCATAATTAATCCACACTCAGCATCTTTTTTGTGGGGTATAAACAAAAAAGATTTTAATATCAGTCAATAGCTATTAGTAATTGATGATATTTGGGAATATAAGGATATCTCTGTGTTTTGTTACGTCTTGAAAGTCAACATTTTAACATTTTTGAGCGGTCCGTTCTTTCTGACTGTAAACAAAGCCGTTCTCCACCTCCCCCAACCTGATTGGTTGTGAGGCAGACGCTGCTCCCCCGTGTCGTTCAGGAGCCCAAACAAAGTTAGCGTGCTACAATATCGGACAGTAGAAACCAACCAGAAAGTTCGGAAAATTGTCTGAATCCTCCTTTGGCCACGACTGCCGACACAAGCAAGAAAACAAAGTAAATACCAGAGACTCTGGAGGAATAACGGGCGCTTAAAACGGAGGTAGACCGGACAAGAGCTAAAAAGCCGGGTCAACATAAACGATGGGGGACGCTTGGGGATCTTGGTGACCCTGTAACCTTTCTGCTGGACAGGTAAACCGCTTTAACAAAGTAAGACAAGTGTCTGTAACAGAAGTGTTTCTTGTCAAACGGACCTGCTGTAGCGTGTTGTAGCGCCATCGCTAAACTGTCCTCCCTCGGGTCCTGGACTACGTCACTTTATCCTCGTTGTAGAAGTCCTGCAAACATTGTGTTTGCTGGTAGTCTGTTGGCATCTACAGTAGCACCAATGCTTTTGACTTTCACCTTGACTGGGCCCCATTTGTAATTATCTGAAGTAATAATAATCTGACCCATAATAATCTCAAAATTTCTCAAAAAATGATCATGGTCATTAAACAGAGACAAAATCTGTGTCGACATTTTAAAGTTTAAATGGAGTCTCTCGGTGAAAGTATGCAGAGCTGGTAGATGTTTGAAAAACTCCAATAATTTCTCTTTTTTTATGCGTTCCATTGACTTCAATGCAAAATTTTTCAGAAGTTTTTCGCAAACCATCAAGATTGTACATAAAAACTAAAGGTTTTGTATCTAAAGGTCTGTGGATGCAGGTTTCTAAAGGCTTTAAGAAGTGTGCAGAATCTCGATTATTAATGATGAAGCTATTTCTTCAGTAAATGTCAGAACTTGGACAGTTTTGGGAAGGTGCCAGCCGTGTCTTAAAAGCGTTCCCTTTAAAATAAAAGCCCCACTCTCGGTGAAAACTTCTACCTCATTAACTCAGTAAGTCAGACTTTGAAGGCCAACCTCTCCCTCCCCCTCAGTCGATTCCTACTTGTGTACCCGCCACATAATCCTTTCATTGTAGGGAAATTTATTCCTCTTACTTATTCCTCTCTATGATTTGCATTTCTAGGCTGTTCTTATTTCACATGTCCTCAAACAAACGAGCGTTTGCTTTACTCCACATGTTTGTATCATACAATATTTATATCTGGCACAAAGCTGCTGATTGCTGCAGGAAATTCCCAAGGTCCCTCGTAGCTATTATTCATTTTAGAGCATATTTCTCTCACACTTCTTCAGAAAGGAGGAATGTTTGTAACATGTTTACACAGAAATACAGATTTTTTTTCTTTTTATCTCGTTAAAGTTTCTTTTCGGTGATCAGGGAGGCCAATCTTTTTACACTCAGCTGCTTTGGTAAAGAGCATCGACTTAATTCTTTTAATGTAAAATGCAACTGTGGGAGACCAGCACTGAAATCCAAACGAATAGACGGGGTGATCCGACATTATTCTTAAAAACTGATGCAACTTGGTTGCAATAAGAGTTAAAATTCAGCATGCCTGATGCAGGGATTAAGTCAGCACTGCGTGAACCATCAATAGCAACCCCTCCACTGACCTCCATGATGCCCGATAAGGTTTAATGGGACAGTGTTTGCTGCAAAAGTTGGACCAAAATCCCAAATCTTTCAACTCTCCATTGACGGTGTCTTTACTCAACATCTCTGGGTTAGTGCATCATCCTTTTGGACTCTAGACCCACTCTGCATCAGCGCGCAAAGGACTGCAAAACCAAATCCTATTGGTAAATTCTACGCTTCCCTATATATTTATATATATATATATATATATGACTGTCACAGGCTTGATGTTCCAGACAGCTTGTTTTTTCTTCCAATATTACATTTTTGACAAGCCATCTTCAACGGTGGAGAGGAGAAGCTTTCAGAACCATCACTGTCACCGCCGAAGACCCCCGGGAACAAATACGTTCATGTATATATTCAATACAGTCTTTTCATGTCGACAGAAATCATGTTAGCTATGTTTCTTAATGATTGTGAGACAGGAAGGACAAAGCATGTGGACACATTTTTTAATTTCTCTGCAAAATGAATGTATCCATATTTAATTTCCAATCTTAGATTTATTTACAGTCCGCGGGGATTACAGCTCTGTCGTTTTGACCTTGAAACAGCTTGAAGACAAACACACCAGAGAAAAATATCTATCTCTAGAAAGAAGACTAAAAAAGAGACGCATTTTAATAAGATCACATAGTTAGTCTGCCTGTCTTTTGATGCCCTGATACGTGACACTCAAAGTGACCTCAGGGAAAATGAATAAATGATTTTGACCACTTTAACTCGTCAGGGCGACGCGCCGTCTCTCCGACACTCTACCCACACTCGCACCTGTGAAACCTCACCTTCTCAAGGGTCCGAGTTTTTCCTCCTTCGTTTTTCTTTCCAGGGTACTTACTTTTCAATCTGATAACTTCATGGAAAATAATCATTTTTACCAAGTTTCCAAGCCGAGTGTGCAGAATTGATTATTCTTTTTTTAGGCGGCGCATTTGTTTATCTCAATGGAGTGGGGCCCGGTTGTGGTGACAGCATGTCAATTTCAAGATCAATTGTTGCCTCCTTGCCTCTGGCCTTTGCATTACATTACCATAGTAATGACTTTTTGACCCTCCTTTTTAAAGCAGAGATCTACATTCCTAGTTGTGGAGACAAATGACGCACCTGAAAGTCATTTGTGGAGTGTAATGAATTATTCTCCGCAGCGCCTTGAGTCGTCACACATCGAGCATCATAAAGTGATTGTCAGTAAATGTGAGAGCTGCAGAGGAGGGGGGAATATCTCCCATTAGAAACACACCGCAGATAACTGTATTTATGCTTGAAATAGACTTTGCACAAAGTTTATTTGGACTAAAAGAACAACTGAACACTTATATTCAAGGATTATACGTGTGAATTATATCTGAAGTACGGTGCTTCAGACTTTCTCAGTATCATTTCCTTTGTTTATGGCGCAATAACGGTTTTCTTAACGGTGAACTTCTGCAGGCTTCCCGACACATTCTTGCACAATTGTGTTTTTAAACAAAGCAATAAATACAGGTGTGGATTTTTGTTCATATACTTGTGAATTATTTTAGTTTCTTCTTTTTTATCCTTTGTCGTAGTGTTACAGCTCTTTGTTGTTTTTCCTCTCTCTGTCCTCCTCAGCACTGCCCAGGTAATGTCGGTAATCAGCTTCCTCTTCTCTGCCTGCAGCTCTTCTTTGTGTCGTAGTCGTCTTGTTAATTTGTTCTTTAGTTAATCTTCGGTAAATGAATCACACGTTAACCTTTTAGGGTGTTTTATGTTACTTTATTGGGTCAAAATGTGGACAGTTGTTAGCCCCTTAGAGCAGCAACCCAAGCGTTTGAGATAAAGTTTGCATCTTGAACAATTTAAGCTCAAAAGCCACGGTCCTACAATCACAGAATATATTCACTAAAATTAAATTCTGGCTGCTAATTGCACAAAATCAAAGAATCTGATTCCACTTCAGTGTTTTAATGAGCTGTTAGCATCTCCCACAGAGCTGCACTGTGCACTCTAATCCTGACGACACTAAATTGTTTCCACAGATTTGGTGAGAAGAGGGAGAGTCCTCGCTAGTGCTGGACGATAATTCGATAACAATATATATCGATCGATAGACGTGTGGTGCGATAGAAAAAAAACGGGTCGATAAAAAGTTCGATAGAAAAACACAGTTTCCCTTTCTTTTTCATCATAGCCTATCATGTAGCTTTTACTACAGTCATTACTTCCTCCCAACCAATCACAAACGCAGACCCAGGTACGCTACGGCACCAAGCCCAGCCCCTCTCAAACCACAACAGACAGCACGTGTATTAGAAAAAATGTTACAGCAAGGAGAAGCGGAGGAAATTGTCCCGAAAAAAGGTTTCAGTAGTTCACCAGCATGGCAATGTTTTGGTTTTTACAAGTCTGACAAAAAGCGAACAGCGGTCGTTTGCAAAATTTGCAGAGAATTAGTAAAAACCAAGTCTGGTAACACAACCAACTTGTTTTACCATCTAAACCGATCGCACCCGCAGGAGTACGAGCTGTGTCGGCCGCGCCGCGGCTCCACGTCGTCGGAGGAGGAATCCTCTGGAACCGCTGCCAGCACCAGCACAAAGCATGTGAAGCAGACCAAACTGGACTTCGTTTCTTGCCAAAATACGACAAAGCGTCCAAGCGGCATAAGGACATCACCCATGCAGTGACATGCTGCCAATAACTACCGTTGAAAAGCCTGGCTTCGACCAGCTTCTAGCCACTCTCGACCCGCGATATGAAGTGCCCGGCCGCAAGTATTTCTCAAACACAGCGCTTCAGGCATGAAAACGGTTCAGGGGTTGAAAAGCTGAGAAGGGTGCGGAGGAAATACGTTCCGGTGTTGTGCTGTAGAATGCACCCCTGCATCCCGTCCACTCATTAGCTTCTTAAAGTGGAAGAAAATGAGCTCATACGCGAGTATTTGGATCATGGCTACTAGCAGGGGGTGCGTTCGGCAGGGGTGCATTCTACGACACAACACCGGCGTGGATAAATCCTGCTTCTCGTGCTCAGTTTGCGTATTAAGTCAATCATATGATAATTAAAAAAAAGAAATCTCCCGACCCCGGGAGACACCAGGCTGTGGGCAGTTTCCCACAAAACTGGTAGTATGCTATTCCCACCTAAAGCTATTCTGTTTATTTATATATTTGTTTGTTTTGTTTATTTTCATCAAAAGACTATTTAAATATTTATTTATCAGATTTTCTGGTCACTTTAGTCTTTATGTTTGTCAGTATTTACTGACGTCACTCAGGCCACTTAAGTTGATTTCTTTTCTTTTTTTTAAGTTCTTTTTTAAAAAACTTTCAGTTGTGGTAAAAAAATAAATAAAAAGGTGGTTGAATAAAGGTTTGAATTTGATTTTAGTGCTTGTGTGTTCTTTATTAAAAGTAGGTCATTAAGCAATAGCATAAAACATCCAGGGCTGCAATTAAAATATATGTTAAATAATTATAGTAATTATATCGATAATTATCGATATCGATCAATATGATTTATTTTTTATCGATATGCTTTTTTTCTATATCGTCCAGGCCTAGTCCTCGCCATCATTTACCACCAAACACTAAAACTACACTCTTACTGCTGTCAGTGCTGCTCTGAGAGAATTCAGTGTTTATTGGAATAAGGTTTGTTTGCATCAAGAGAGGAATATTCACCCCAGTCTTATTTCAATCCATGCAAAAGATGCTATTGGACACCTTTCATGTGCTTTGTGAATTAGACAGTATTTTTGGTTTGTTTGCAACAGATAGTGGGAGCAGAAGTTGCATGGTTCTTTGTGAATCAAGCCCTGAGTGTAATGCTTAGGACCTCCTGGATAGCTGTAGCTTACCACTGCTCATGTTAATTTCTTGAAGTATAACCACTTTTCGTCATATTCAGACAAATAATCCCTAAAAAGAAACATCACAAAGTTCTTCTTTTGACAAGAGCCGCATCAGCCGCTGATATTTAGGGCACAAAGTCTTTCAATAGAAGCTCCGTCCTTCCATAACAATGCTGCTGATTGGCTTTTGTTAAATGTAAATGTCTGCCCCTGCATGATTGAAATACAGGTCACTGCTGAACAGAACATGCCTGCTCAGCAAGCGTTCCCCGGCTTTACAGAGCAGGTAGACTATTCTAATCAAGGGATTTTGTGGATTTAATATGTTCTGCAAGTGTGCGGCTTACACATGCCGCCCGAGTGTTTCATTTATCCACTCAGAGGGGGAGTCGCAAACATGCTGATGGCTTTTATAGATCTAAACTGCCGAACGTCAGAGAGCCTATATAATTTTGAAAAACATTTAAAGTAGAATGCTGAAGTGATGAAAAAAAGGGGGTAATTATATGGAAAAATGCAGAGACTACGCCTTTCATCAGGATCAGGACATGTGTGGAGTGACCGACTTAGGAGGCAACCTTGAGTACACACAGCAGGACAAGTCCACTTCAGATAATGACGATAACGGCAGTGAAACCCTCCAGGGGGTCACAACATACAGATCATGATTCTAACCTTTAGTTTTATATAAACAATTTCTTTTGTTTGCACAATTTACCAGAAAATCCAGGTGAGCTCCTATTTATCTCTTTGGTTATTAAGTGTTAACATCACTAGAGGATCTCTGTTCCAATTGGCTATCCTGGCACGAGTTTAAAACCTTCACCTCTCAAAAAGTAAAAAGGCAAATAAAACAGACGTGGTGCGAAAATCGTCTCATTCATACGTATACTCAACTCCATTTGCACCACCTCCTCTGTGTAATTTGTGTTGCGTGTGTCATTGTGCGTGACATTTCCCTGTTGTTGTCCAATCAGTGAGCTGATCTCCTTACAGGTCTCCAATATCCTCCTAAACCACACCGTGGATCTTACTGTCAGCAGGAACTTCCTAAAAATATCACCTCTCTTTGTTCATCTTTTAAACCTCATCTCTGTGATTATGTCTGTTGTATATCGTGTACATACTTGCACATTATCTCTTTATTATGTTACTTATTTTATCTATTATTTATCTCCTCTTTCTACTTAATTTGCACCAGAGTTTCTGTAACGAAAAGAATTTTACCCCTGATTCTGATTCTGTTAAAGCTCCTGTCAGGGACTTTCTATTTGTGTCGATTTTGGCGCCCCCTGTGGACAAATGATTCCTCCCTTGGCTTTAAGGTCGTTTTCACACCTGACCAAGCGGACTCGGTTCGATCGTGGAGCTGAAAGTCGCAACATTGTTTCATTTATCACTTGTTTGGGTTCTGCTTTCACACTCTGATTTCTAAAGCGCACCGAACTTTCCGAGCAGCATCACGTAGTTGAAAGGGGCGCTCGTCGATTGGACAAAGTAGGAGGGGTATGCAACCTCATGGATTACAAACAGGGGGGGACTAGCCGTCTTGTATCGTGCTTCGTCACATTATTTCATGAAATGCTACAACATTAGTGAACGCAACTGTTCTTATAATGCTATCGTAGCTTGTCAGGGATTGATCCTGCAACTTTGACGATCGAACATGTGACGACATATGAGCTCAGAGTTTAAGGACTGTGACTGTTGGTAGTTGCCAAATTGTGAATTTATGGGTTATTGTGGTTCAGACGATTGAGCTATGGCAACAAGTGATGCAGTGCTTCCTCTACCCAAGATTCACTGCGTATAGTGTCATAACGTACATTTGGTCCTGTGTTTGGTCCGGTGAACTTTCACACTGCATACAAACCGAACCAGGGTTCACTTGCAAGCGAACCGAGACCCACATTTTCAGGCGGACCAGAGTTCGCCTGTTTGGTCCGCACCAGAGTTCGGACGAGCTTTCACACCTGCCCAAATGAAGCGGACTATCTGAGGAAACGAAATCTGGTCCGTTTGAAGCGGACCAAACAGCTCTGGTGTCAAAGCGACCTATTTGTGTCGATTTTGGCGCCCCCTGTGGACAAATGATTCCTTCCTCGTCTTTAAATCTTACTCCATACATTTATCGGTTCTGTTTATGTAAAGTTCTAGAAGTTGTTTTGGTTCTTAAAAGCAGCAGGTTCAACAGTTGATATGGGAAGCATGTCTTCAAACTCACTTTAGTCTGTTTGGACTCTTGGTTTACAGATTGCGTAGCTTCACTGTCCTTGTATTGTCTGTTTCTTCACCCACTGATGATACTAGAACTGTTTTGTCTTTAACAGAAGGAAACACATCCATCATGTCCTGTAAAAGAACAATTATAGCCTAAAGATATATGTCAGGATAGGATTGGCCCACTTACCTCCTTTATTGGGGTGTTGTTAATGCTCCTAATATTTTGTCCGTCCTACCTTTACATGCCTTTCAGTAACTCTGTTGAGCCTTTGTACCTTTTAATTCTGCATCTATAGAGGAAGGCAGGGCAGTTGGTGGAGTTTGGACAGTTGAAAAAGTGCTGGCACACAACAGCGAAAAGTGGCCCTAATTAAATAAATAACTATATAAGCGCATCGCCTATTCACAGATGGCTGAAAGGCTGCCATGCAAGATGTCCCTTAGGATAGAAACTTGTCTTCCCTGCCAGGCAGATATTTGGCATTTTACAAACTGTCAGCAAGCCTCATTTGCTCTCAAGCCATCCTGCGCTCGCTTGTTTCCGCGGTCACATATCTGTGCAGCCCTGGCTGGCTTAAGGTAAGTCGTGCCTTAGCTGGGTGGGAAAAAATAAGCACAAACAGTACTTTGTGCCAGAGAATGTACTGAGAGCACAAATAGCTGTGATCAGAGCCTCAAAAGACAACATCATAGTAGAAAGCAAAGCCATACTGTATGTGAGGACTGAACATGGACTACCTACACACAGCAGATGGACGACGATTATTTCCAGTGAGGTAAAAGTGCAGCTTTTAGTGCTTTCAACAAGAAAAGGAGAAGAAGTTACTTCATTACTTAGCATCTTCTGAGCAGATAACACTCTTCTTTCCTTAGACAGGCGTTTATTCTGCTGATTAACTGAACCTTGAAGCCAAATGTTTCATAACCGTGTCCATGGAGACTCGCTTTGGTTCAGTTCAACCAGATTTATCCAGTCAGGCTGTCACAGACAACTAAGAAGATAATGCGAGCTTAATGTAGTCCGACAGATCTGAATATTCGACTTCTTCTGAGGCGATGAATCGGCAAAATTGTTAACTTCACGACACTATTGATCCTTCTTAGACTCAGATATTCAGGGAGACTTTTTAACATTGTCGTGCACCAAAAACAAAAAAGTTGCTAGCTAGTGTGATCTAACACGTCCACCGGGTGGGGGAAGGTCCTACCTTCTTCACCACTAATTGGCTAGAAGTGCTTGGCTCTGATTGGTCCTTCCTTATGGCTGTGAAACGTCATCGTCTGTTGGGTTAGGTCAAGGAGATTCAGAATCGTGTTCGTTGTTCGAGGTACAGAGCCGACAGCCTGCGCTCGGCTTGAGCGTGTGATGACGTTTCACAGCCATAAGGAATAACCAATCAGAGCCCAGCTTTTCTAACCAATCAGAGGTAAAGGAGGCAGGACCTTCCCCTACCATCCCACCAAAAAAAAAAAATCATGTCCAGTGGATTGATTCACTCCAGTTAAGCCCCGCCCTCCAAAAATTGTTACTCATATTCAAAAGGGTCCTAACGTAAATACAGGGACTCCTGGGGAAAGCCTGGTTTCCCTCTTGCTTCTGATTGGTCAGATCTCCTTCTCTAATGCTAACTGACACCTCAAACATAGACATACATGATCCTTTTCAAAGCAGCATTTTTAGCCCGAGTGTAAACATGATCTGAGTGGAGAATGACGGTGATTTTCTCTTCTTTAACTGATTACCTGTCTGCATCTCTGCTCAGCCCGGCTCTAATATCCACCGCGCTGTTGTCGTGGACTGAAAGGTGACTGAGGCTGTATTTTCCAGCTGTCCAAAGATATCACCTTGTGTCACCTTAAACCAGCGTGACTGGCTGATTGATTCCCCCCCCTGTTGAATCGATGCATTCCTATTCATCCGGCCCTGGCAGACGTCGCAGAGCTGTTTTAAGGAACTGTTCACCTCGAAATTGAAATTCTGTCATCACGTATCCAGGCTCAGGTGAAGTTTGTAAGGGCCACCAAACACGTAGTTACAAGCAGAATTGACAAAAGCAGAGGTGTGATCTGAGAGGCCCTCTCTCTTAGATACAGAGCGGTATTAAAAACGGCAGGTTACATGTTGAAAAGGTTAGAGAAAAGGTTAGGAGAAGTTTTAACTGCTCACCAAAAAGGCTTAAATTTACAGTAAAGATTTGTAACAAGCCAACAGGAGTTTTTGCAAAAAAAAAAAGGCTAATAATTTTTTATAATTTTACATTAACAGAAAAGATAAATGTATATGATAAGATTTACAGACAAGGGAGGAATCATTTGTCCACAGGGGGCGCCAAAATCGACTCAAATAGAGAGTTCCTGACAGGAGCTTTAACAGAATCAGAGAGACGAGGTTCAAAAGGTCAAAGGAAAGGGGATATTTGTGGTTACTCTGAAAATGGACCTGTACACACTAGAGCATGACACAGGAGCAGATTTTCACTCCTGTCCCGTCCCACTCCCACTCAAAATTACTCCCACTCAAAATTACTCCCACTCCTGTCCTGCTCCTTTTTGAAAAAAACCAAACATGTTGAAAAAACGTTATATTTTTTTATTTTAGGTAAAAGTTGCAGCCGAGTCGGAGCGGCAGTAGATCCCGGCGACAATACGTGTGTCGCCGTCAGCCGCGTAGAGTCGCTTTTCACTTCGGGTGGTGACAGGAAGTCAAACCACTGTTGTAGTTCTTTTGTGTTGCTAGCGCAGTCAAGAGTGTTGGCTCTCACTGAGAGATGACTACAAAAATGGACGCATCTGTTCATCTGGTTGTTTAACACGGCTGAAAATGATCATCCTATATTATCACTGGGTTGTGCTGTAACAACTCTCTTGTTTTGTGTGTTAATAAAGGGTAAACTCTGCATGCACGTTGCTGTTTGAACTGCTACTTTGATCCGCGCATATATGATGTATTTGGGCGGCGGCGTTTGCACAATGCTTAGCCTAAAGATACTGATATGACATTTAAAGTTCAAGTCTGAAAGCCCATTGGTTTGTCAGGTTGGATCATGTGTCGCTTTAAACTTGAGATGAAAAGTTTTTGCTTTACGAAGCAGAAGCCGTTCGTCTCTTAAGTCTCTGATTTATCCCGCCAACACTCGCTGCTGCTGCTGCATCCAAAGATCACTCCTTCGTCTAGCGGTGAGGTCAGGTGTGCTGCACCTTTCCTTTCTGATTGTGCGATCATATTATGAAGGTTTTTGTCGGTGGTGATCATTTTGTGACAGTTCAGCTGCAATTCAGATCCTCTTTTAGGCTCTCTAGAATAAAATAATAAATAAGGAAACCCTGGCTGCTGCTGCTGCTGCTGCTGCTGCTGCTGGAAGCATAAAACTGTTCATTTCCTGTGCACCGGAGGATTTCTCCTCCTGAAAGACCCAGCAGACAGTGGGTGGTTCGAGCAGTAAATAAAAGCTTTTTGAAAGCTTTAATTTACTCGGGCTGCGTGTTGAACTGTCCTTCCTGACAGTACACTGGCCTGAAACAGCCTTGCGCCTGCAAATGCCTTTCTGCATGTGTGCAACCATGTGTACAATCCACATCAGTAACACTTTGCCTCAAAAGCCGGTGGCAAATTTTAAGATCCTCTCTGCTCCACCATCTTTCTCTCTTTTTTTGTTTGAGAGGATTAGGCTCACTGCCCCTTGATAAAAGCTTAAAGTTAAGTCTTTGACCATGAAGCTAGCCACGGTCAGAGCTAAATGAAGCCCTGGTGGCGATGTTTCAATTCACTAATCAAGCCGGTACAGTGAATTTTAATGAGCGTACCTCACATTTTAGGAGCACTTCACCACCTCAGGCCTGTATTTACTGTGTCATGATTGTGAGAAAACGCTACCCTCTTTGTTTGCATGGATTATTGAGCTCTTTCAATACCAAAAAGAAAAAGGAAAAGCAGCTCAAACTGGCACAGAGATATAGATTGTTTCCAGCTGTGTCTTGATAAATAAGTAATACACTCAAATTGCCATAATAGCTCACTTTCTGCAAAACAATTCTCTCTCATTACAGCTAGCATAATATCATTAATGAACATTATCTACGCCATGTTAATATTCCAACAACCACACTACACTTTCACTTTGAATTTTAATCATCGTTCAGTTTATTACGACTCAACCTTGGATTGAAATATAGAAACATTGCCCAGGAACCCTTAACTAACATGATTTTTATTTCATTAGGTTATAAATATGTGCTTTCTTTAAGTAGTTTTCAGGGCAGCGGTTCAGTCTGGGGTCTTGTAGAGAAATGATGTTGCAGTGTAATGAGAAAATAAGGAAAAGAAATCCAACTCCGAGAGAGAGAGAGAGGGAGAGGGAGAGAGAGAGAGAGAGAGAGAGAGAGAGAGAGAGAGAGAGAGAGTGCCAAGGGCAAAGCCTCTGAAGTCTTCTATGTATAAACTGTGTTTTATTTGAGCGTTTACAGAATACAGACCCATCCTCATATTTAAATCTCTTTCATAAACGACATCTAAGACTTGTGATTTTATACACTTACAGCTAATTCAAGGAGAATGAACTAAAAACGGTCAGCTTGACCATAATCCAGAGCGCCAAAATATGACACTGAAGGTGCACCAGGAGATGTCAAACAATCAACAAGTGTTTTAATTTTCTGAGTAATCAAAGTTCACTTAAGTACGAGAGAAGATTAGGGCAACATGGAGAGAAAAAAATTACAGGAACGAGACTAAAGTCGAAATTTTGACATTAAAAAATAAAAATTATGTCAATAAAGTTGAAATTTTGAGATTAAAATCTTGAAATTTTGACTGTATTCATTCATGTAATTTCAAAATTATGACCTAAATCTCTAAATCTTGATTTTTTTTTTTCATTTCGACTTTTTTAACTTTTGACTTTAATCTCAAAATTTTTTGCTTAAATCTCAAAATCTTGATTTTTTTGGTGACTTTTTTAAAGTTTGACTTTATCTCGACATTTTTACTTAAATCTCAAAATCTTGATTTATTTTCAAATCCCCTTTTAAAATTTAGATTTTAATCTCAAAATGGAAATTTAAAAAATCTCCCTCCTGTAATTATTATTTTCTCTTCTTGTGACCCTAATCCTCTTTCCTACTTCTGGGACTTTTCAGAAACCGAGGATGTATTTTTGGTAGTTTAGCGGCGCACGATCCTGGTACTTAGTGAGGTTGGATTGTGTCTCTCGATTATTCACATGAATCAGAGGAGGTGTGTTTTAATTTGCATGGCGGGTTTAAACTGCCTTATACTTTCCTGGTGAAATCAAATTTGAAAAAATAAATAAAATATAATCTAGTGCACATGATGGAGAGCTGAATGTGACAGCCTCGGTGCAAAAAGTGATCATAGCTTTGCGTATGTTGGGCGCTGGTTTGGCTTAGCTAGCATAGCAGATGCCACATGTAAGAGGCCACGGTTCTGGTCCCCCTGGTGGTAGGATTGGTTCTGGTTCAGTCCCCCACACTTCCTTACCTCACCTGTTTCAAATCTGTCCTATTGAATAAAAGAAAAGAGCCTCCGTATAATGATTCAAATAAATAAATAAATATATACACCTGAATATTGATCGTGTTACCCTGGAGCTGAACTCAGATTTACCCAGACTGTCGTAATTAAAGAAGTGAGATCATCACTGAACAACATTTTCATCAAGCCGTTAACTTTGATGTTTTTTAACACAATCAGCTGATTTATTGGAAAGATTTAACACCGAACATCTACAGGATTTGACTTTCAGGGCGAGAGTTAGAGTCAAAAAGTCTTTGTACTGAATGTTTCATTGGTTATGAATCAGACGGAGATTAATATTGATTGCTTTTTAAATCTTTGAAAAGCAAATGAGATCATCAGCCGAAGACCAATTATTTCTACAAAGTCATATTTAGCGCCTGTGCACCGCCACAGAGGAGATGTCAGAGCGGATGATTTACCGTACGCCGAGGAAACATTTTATTCAGCAGTTGTTCTCTCTGATAGAAATCCAAGAGAAGATGTTAAAGGTTTGAAATGATCACAACAACAAAAAGTGTCCACAGGGGGCGCCAAAATCAATACAAACTGAAAGATCCACTCAGGAGAAATTCAGAGAAAAACATTTCAAACATTTCAGTCTCCATCTGTCCATGAGGGTGTCGGTTTAAACAGCACAAAGGTAGCCTTTTACCGTCTCGATAACGCAGATGGAAACCGAGCCTCGACTAAAAACCTGAAGAAGTGAGCGGCGCAGCGCTTTCCTCATATTTATTGAGACAGTGAGATGAGCTCAAGAGTTCATAACCCACAATCCTCTGCTTGTTACACACTCTGATGCACCGCGACGCCACAACTCATAATAAATATCAGTGTTCGTGCTGATTCAGCAAAAGTTTGTAAGCGTGGACAAAGGAGATACGAGTATTTGTCCCTCAGACTCCGAACATCATTGCTGCTATAGGGAAGAAACCTTGTATCTCCAATGTAAACAAAAAGAGGATAGATTATGGAGATACAAGGTTTCTGCAGAGGACGTTAGATCCTGTTCAATACTGTTAGTGTGTCCTAAGTTTTGTTACTGAGTCAACTGTCCATGAAGATACTCATGCAGAGTTTGAAGAGCACTGTGTCGAATCTATATTAATCTATGTCTATGTCGGTCTTGCATGCAGGTACAGCTGGCTCTGGTTTTAGTCAGGTTGAAGCTCCAGTGAGGAGTTTTTTTTCATGTTGATGAAATAGACTGAAATTCATATGGAAGTCTTATTGTGATAGACAAAAGCAAACAAAACCATCAATGACAAGATCTATGTTTTTTTATGTCGTAACTTTTAAAGCCTGAAATCGATGCAAGGGATGTCGGTGTTGGTGTCGGCCCAGTTTCAGCAAAAAATATTTATAACAAAAGATGCATTTAACCGTCAAAAACTAGCAGGGTAAGGTAGAAATAAGCTAATGAGATAAGTAAAGACAGGAACTTTAAGCCCAAAACACGCATCTAAATAATCATGAAGCTTAACCATCCTCTTTTTGGTGTGCGCCGCCTAACTTGCAAAATTCAGACTTATTCGTTGTGCATTTGCGCCTTTTTTATCCCGTATAATTGAAAAAGAAGAAACATCTTACGTAATTTATGCACAGCTATATATTAATCTACATACATGTGCTGTACCTGTCTTTGTTATCACGCTGTTCTCAATAAAAGAAATCCTATTTGTGGAAACGGCGTATTTCAACAGGTTGCCAGAAGAAAGTGCTAATTAGCGAGCAACTCTGTCAGAATTGTCAGCACTGAAATATTACAATAATGTTTAATGTAAAGACTGAATTTCAGTCAGCAGACATGATGTATACTTTAGATAAACGAGGCTTAATGTTTGCTTCAACTTGATTACTGTTGAGGAATAAATTAGCTCTACATCTATCAAGTTTCTCCATGATACATAAATATCTCTTTTTTTAATTGCTGTTGAGCAATATTTCATCACTCTGTCAGAATAAGTATTTATAATCACTTCTAGAGTGCAAATATGAAGAATATTCAGTGTTTTCTCTGTCAGGCCTTATGACTCATGAATCACTTAAACATTATAGACAAGAATAAAAAAACAAACGAGTTAATAATTTCATATACTCTCAGACTGAAACAATGCTTTATTATTCCATTGTGTCCACATGTATTTATTGAGACTCATATTTAGTGTCCTCGCAGGACTCGAGTGGAGAAGCAGCTCGCAGATTGTCATCAGGCTGCCGGCCGGGGACACAGGAAATGAAACAAACATAAAGAAAGAGGAACAAAAAAGTCTGTATTTGCAAAAACAAGATGTGCTACTTCACAAGTTTGAAAAGTTAAATGCGATTTGTGTTTGAGGGAAATACAAACTGTGAAGCAGCTCAAACTGTAGTGGATGCAAACATTCAATTTATCTTCAGTTCTTCTAAGCGGCAATTCAGAAAATAATGTTTTCTCTTCCTTTCGCCTCCTCGTTGAACTTGTCGAGTGGACCCTGTTATGATTATTTCAGGGTAACGGATGATTCATGATAAATAGAGCTTTTTTCTCTTCCTCAGGACAAGGTTATTTTTTTAATGTTTGTCAAAGCCCCTCTTTTTTTGCAAATGTTCTGGGTCTCTACGTGTGGCCTTAAGTTTCCCATCCAGCCAAATAAAACATTATCCTTTGAAAGCACATATATGACAGACTGGAGGGGAAATATGAACCCATAAAAATGATGATCATGGGCCAACGGGGACGAGTAAACCCAGAGTAAGAGTCTTAGTGAGGAAAAACTGAAGCTGATCGATGGTGGTCACCGTTGGGAACACGCTGACTCACCCACGGAGGAAATGCTGAGTCATCTCAGTCAACCGGGCAAAGACACCAAGTTTAGGTGCGCCTTTAAACTTCTTGCTATCAGATGAAGTAAACCTGCCTGTTAGTAAAGTTAGCCTCGGGCCTATTTGTGCAAAACTGATGACGAGAAATAGTAACTTTTTAAATATGACCCTCTGTTGAATACAACAAAGAATAAGAATAACTTTATTAATCTCTGAAGGGAAATTCGACACGTGTGTGCAGATGGAGGAATGATCTATTTCAACCATAATCGTTTTTTAAACCAAGCTGCGAACAATTTTATTCTGCGTTTAAGCCTCAAGTGGACACTCTGGGAACTGCAGTCTTTAGCACGTCTGCATTGGATTTACACCGTAACACCGAGTTAGACACCCGCCCGAGAGTTGAAGGTTGCTCACCGCTTGCTTCTGTAGTTATACCAGCTTTAGTAACGACCGCATGATAGCAATACAGAGCGGTCTAAGGAGCCATAAACAAACCTCAACCAAAACGCCACTCTATAACCACAAATAATGCTCAGAACAGCACCTAACTTCATCAACAGGACATATAGGGTCACAGCCATAGTACTAGACACCAAACATCTTTTTAACTTTGACTCATTTCTTTAGCAAATGGACTTAACACAACTCACCTACTCTCTTCCAGCAGCCGCTTGTTCGTAGCGAGACCTCGGGACAGTCTGTCACGGACTGCTGCGGGGTGACGCAGCTCAAGGAAGAACATTTATGTCTAACTCGGTGTTACAGTGTGTTTGACCCTAAATTAATTTTAACGCCGGATTATCCCTTTAACTTCCAAGACCAAAAGCTCTTCCTGGGCTAAAGCACAATCGTACAGTGGTATCCAGTCATTCAATCTGTTATGAAAGCCGTGATACAAACAACAGCCTGGGAGAACTGTTGTATAAGTCTGTCTGTTTTTTGTTTTTTTTATTGTCAGAAATACACATTCGTAGAGGACTGCATTTAGACAAAGGCTTGAAAGATGAGGTCAAATACCAGACTTGGACTTATTGCATGTCTGGGTCTTGTGAGGACAGAACAACAATCCATGACCCGATAGTATCATGAATACTGTAGTTTCTATATTTGCTCTGAATGGACTGTCAGCCGTAATAAAGAACTTGTTCGGGCCGACTCAGTTTGACAAATAAAGGCCTATAGGGACACACCAAGACTTGTGCGGCAGATTGTGTAACAACACGGCTGATTCAGTCAGACATGGACAAACTTTTGCGTCACTGGGCCTGCCATGCTCTGGAGTTATGTAGAGGGAAGGGTGAGACTTGTTTTCCATACTTGGTCTGTATTGGTACCATGAAGCTCTTATGAACTCCAGCAGCCAAGAAAAGTGTCGGACCATCCTTGAGTGGGCTGCTACAGCGAGCTCACTGTCCTAACATCACTGCTGCTTAGGGTTGGGCATCATTTGAGTTTGAACGATTCCCATTACTAACGATTCTTGATTTTGATTCTTTGAAAAGGCAGGTTAAAAAAATTGCATGTTTTTTTACTTTTTTGATGTCATTTCTGAACTTCTCCATTAATTTTTTTGCAGCTATGGGTTGCAATGCAAACGCACGCATTCTTTCTCTTTCTCTCTTGCTCTGTGGCTTCGTCTCATACGCTTTGTCTTCGTTGGTGTTTGGCGGCTTTTTCCTCGTTGGTGTGCCACGGTTATTTCTCCCGGTCGGCCGACTCCGGCATCGAAACTTGGATTAAAAAATTTTAACAGTTCCTGGAGAATCTGAATGTCATGGTGCATTTGAGTTACCGCAGAAATCAGAAATCCGAGCTGAAAATGACGTCACAACTGAGTTCCCAGCGCTTCAGTTACCAAGTCGGGAAAAAGGCAAAATCAGAAGTGGAAACAAGATGGCTACATCTATGAAAGGGGATGTTAAAATAACATAAAATAACTAAAATAACAAGCTCTAAAATAACTTTGGTAGATGCAGCCATCTTGTTTCAGGCCTTTGATTTTGCTTTTTTCCGTCTTGATAACTAAGATGCTGGGAACTCGGTTGTGACGTCATTTTCAACATCTGACTTCTGAGGTTACTCGAACATTAGTCCTGGTTTCCCACTATGCTTGAGACTCGATGCCCAACCTTACTGCTTCTTCTTCTTCCTTATCTTCTCTTAGTTTTGCAGCAGGTGGCCCTTCACATAAAGAACGACTCTCGCTCCCTACCATCAATCAAGAGCTACACTGCAATTGCAAATATTAGACATCGGATGTCAGTCACAGGACTTGAAACACGTCATGCTGAGACCACTTCCTCATAGTCCAAGATTAATTAACGTCTATTTTAAGATTAGCCTTCTTATCGTCTCCCTGAAGGATGAGAAAATAATCATCTTTAAATAAACGCCTGTATGTGGTGTGCCTTAAACCGAAACTAAAAACAATTTCAGGATAAAATCTGCTCCTTCTCGGGGAAGATTATTAATTCTATTCCAGTGTTTCTGTTGTGTGTGTGTGTGTGTGTGTGTGCACCACCCTCGCTGCTCTCTGTGTCCACCTTCTATTGTGCAAACCTCTTGTTGGACTCGCTGTAATGTGCAGCCTTGCTTTTGTACTTGTTGTTAAGGGAACTATAGAGTCTGATTGTGCTTCACCCCGTGGTGGCACACACATTAGTAAACTCCCACAGTGAGTTCCAATGCCATTGATTTTCACCTGTGTGCAAACCTCGGCTTCTAATAGGCAATCTCAGCTGCCATAAGGACAAGAACATCATATTAACAGAATGATTTATGTTCTTCCCACTGCTTTCACAAAGTGTTTTACACTCCGCGTTCCTTTGAAATATGTTCCCGCTGTTGTAAATATCAAACTCTTCAAATTCTGAGTGCTGGTTTAACAATTTGGTTGGTAGTTCAACTCAACAGAAAAACCACTTCTGACAGCCAAATCCCCCTCATGAGTTTTGTCTTTGAGCGCGAAAATAAAGACAATGACCCAGTTTTTAAGGAGTGTAAATGCCTCCTCTGAAAGTGAATCCGAAATATATCTGCTCTGTTATGGTCGGAGTCTGAATCTGGAGATTACAGTTTCAAAAATTAAGCATACCAGGAGACAACAATCGATAACACACTCTACATTGTGCACGCCGTGAATGACAGAAGAAATAGTCAGCCAATGCGCTCAAGGGAGAGAGGGAGGCACATGTGGGGACATGAGCATGTTCATCTCCATGAAGAATGATCCTGTTTGTTGATTCAATTCACTCGGGACCTTCTTAACTGTTGGATTCCAGTTTGTGATGAGTGGCAATCCCTCCATCCACCAATATCTGCATTTCCCATGAGCTTTAACGGAGAGAAAGAAGAGATATACGGCTCAGTTTGACCAACATAACAAGGAAAATCTGATCTTTACATAGGAGACGTAGGGATGGTGCATACATTTACACAACGCCCCTCTGTGCCAGCGGATAACAAGGAGAGGGAAAAGTGTGTGAGCTGTGGTGAAGGAGTGTTCAACTCTTCAATTAAAGAATATGGTGATTGAAGGTGAATCAGATGAATGCTTAAATTCATCAAATCACTCATTTGCTCTCTAAAAATGAAAGATGGCAGAAGTTTCAAGATTTTAGTTCGATTTTGTTTAAAAACACACGGACAAGATTGATTTGTAGTAACCTCCGTAAGAGAAATGAGTACCAACGAACAGTACCCTGAACTTTTCGTACAAGACGCAACTTCTCTGGAAAGTTACCCTGAATTTCTACCGAATCCGGGCTACAAAAGGCCGTATCTGCCCATGGTAGCTGATCGTAACCATTCAAGTTAACGTGTCAATTTCCACCGGCTTCTTTCTGTTCCGCTGTGGATCGCCGGACTCCTCAGCTGATCACAAGAGTTCAATTTTTTTCAGACACCGGAGCATGGCGGATAAATTCAGCACAGATTAACCCGTGCTGGAAAAGAAGTCGGGCACGGACACAAAATAAAACATCCGGCTTCTTTCTCTTTCTTTTCTTTTAGCCTATAGGGCTAAAGACAACTTGTTTTCGTACAATTGCACGTGAATCAGCGGGTTCTCGCGATTCCTGCTTTCTGTAATCTGACACGGAATTCACCTCAGAAACAGATCCGGTAGGAATTGGCGTACGGCGAGTTAGGAGGATGCTGGTAGCAACAGAAGCAGCGATATAACTACTAACCAATCTGGTAGTTTATTGCGTTCCAGTTGGACCAGAAGCCGGGATTTCCGTGCTCTGAGTCGTGAAATCATCGGAAAGTTAGGCAATCCTCACCAAACCCCCACTTGACGACAACGTCATAATCCAAGATTGCAGTGCAGTGCGTCAACAGTAACAATCAACAGGTGAACCTGAAGCCGGTGTTCCAGTCTGAATGGTTACCCTCTCAACTGGCAGATAAATGCATCTCTTTCAGACGCCTTTGGTTTGTCATTAAATACATATGTGATGATTGTATCATGACATTTAACCAAGATGAATTTTCAAGTTTCAACAGCTGTTGTAACCACGACAACGGCTGACACACGGCGTTTGTTTATCTACACGGTGAGAGAAGGAAGCTGTGATACAACGATATAAAAGCAGCCTAATAACAGCGAGTATGTCATCTGACCTGGAACAAAGCAAATGAGCCGTAGGTGTGAAAACACCGAGTGTTTGTGTTATTGTCTGCATTTACAAAGAGGCCCAAATATATACTACAAGGTGAGACAATGAGAAGCAGCTGGTCGCCCAGCAGAGATGTAAGTCACCATAAGTCCATCTGACATAAACGCCGGGCCTCTCTCAGGACGCTCTCACACCTGTGACTTGTTGCTTTGTCCGGTTTCGGATCATAAAATGATTCATTGTTTTAGCCTCAGTGCTTTGGCATATATCTTTATGAAAACAAAAAGACCTAACTAACCCAGGAAACTAGCTTTAAGAACCTGATCGACCAATAGGATGAGACGCAGGGTGACTCAGAGTAGGACGGAGGTGAAACACCTCATCGACATTTGGACACGTGAGCATATAAGGATTTTTATAGACAACTCTCTCAAAAATAAACTGGGTTAGAGGAGGAAAGGGTCGCTCAAAAGCTAAAAACTGTGACAGCAGTTTGTTGAAGATTCAAGACCAGTCTGGTGAAGGTGGACCAAACTCTCCTGATTCAATGTTCTGCATAAAGAAAAGCACACCGATATCTTTAAATGAAAACGTTTTTTCCGTGCGTTAATGTCTCGTCTCGGTGTCAAACATTTCTTATTTGGATGGCCACTTGATTTGAGATATTTGAGCTTTTCCTGCACATTTCTGAAAGTTGTTGGTTATTTACTTTTGAATTTACCTGTCAGGTCTGTTTTATCCCGGCTCTTGGTATAAAAAATCAAGGATATGTCAAAGCAGACTAATCAAAACCAAATATAACCGTTCAGCTGCGGACATTTAAATAGTGGCTAAAAGGAAATGACACAAAACTTTAATTGGCTCCACGTCGTATTTTGAATGACCAGGACAATAACTAAGTAGTTGAAGAAACTTATTTATTTCATGGTAATTAATGAAAACAGAGAAGCACCTCAGTAATTTCACAGAAAAGAAAGACATCTGACCCGAAAATCAACAGCTCGCTCTCTCTAATAGCTCAAACTCAACAAGATGCCGTACAAACAGCGATAAGTCAAACCCCGTCAGGAACTTTCCCTGCGGGTCTCACCTTTTCCTGTGATGGATGTAGCAGCTGAGTTATGATCTGTCAGAGCCCAGAAATTTTGATTTTTCCTCAGCTGCATCAGGTCGCGCCCTTCTGTCAGCGTCTATGTGAAATATTGATGGCAATTATCTGCTCTTGCTGGTGGCCACACGGAGATCTCGGCCGTCTGGGTGACGGGGGGTGACAACTTGTTACATCACACGCCGCAGCACATATTAAAGTGTTAATAGGCCCGCGGTGACTCCTCGTTTCCTGCTCTGATGCTTTGAACTTCAACCCTCAGAGACTCACTTGTCAATTAAAACAGCGTGGGTTGAAGCGTTTTGTTTTTTCTTCCTTTTTCTCTGGATGAAGTCTGAGATTCTGTGGGCGGCAGCATTTATTTTCTTTGTGTATTCAGACTCAACAAACACACCCTCTTAGGCTAAATATACTTAATGTGCCTTTTCTAATCATAAACAGAGGGAATTCTGGGGGTTTAACAGCTGTGTGATTGGATCAGAAATACAGGATGTCCTGTTGAAGCTGAAGGAACATATTTCCTGTAGATTTCTCATTTTAAACAACTATTTTTGTAAATTGTGGAGTGAAAATTTAATTGAGTGTATGAGTGAAATATTGACTTAACAGAAAAATCTAATTATTCGACTTTTACCTTTAAAATAATTTATTGTGAATATTTAATGCAGAAACTCTTACTTCAGCTGCTTGGCTGTTCCCTACCTTTAAGTTCTAGGCTTTAAAAAATCACATCCTTAAAATCATCAGTCTTGTTTGCTTTTGTATATTAGTTTATGTTATGAATGTCAAAAACACTCTTCACTAGACCTATTTCAGAAAACGTAGCATAAAAATACAGTTATAAATTACAAGAACTTAATTAATCCCCAAAGAGAAATTAGTTTTTCTTAATTTAATCTTCTATTTAAGGAAGAATTAAACGGTCTGATGGCTGCAGGTTTTTTTTTAACAGAAAGTTGAGTTTGTATCCTCGTAGGGCTACAACTAATGACTATTTGAATAGTTGACTAGTTGCGACTATGTAAACGATTAGTCAACTAATCGGATAATAATGGATTTTTTTCTTAAATTTAACATAAGGTTGCTTTAACCTTGCATGTTGGCATTAATTTTTTTGCCTTATCTCGGCTAAAGTGCTCCCAAACTTTGGAGGTTTTTAAGCGTGTACTCTACCTGAATACCCTACCGCTCGGTGGAGACACTATTGCGCATTTGTGACCCTGGGCAGAGATCGTAATGAAGTGAGATGCTTCACTCCACTGGAAAAAACAAGTCTGGCAACAATAGCCAACAATGGAATTCATTGTCGACTTCTTGCATTATCGATTTTTGTCGACAGCTTCGATTAATTGTTGCAGCCCTATATCCTAGCGATTGTTTCATGGAGAACATCACATGGAACTTCAGCCGTTGCCTCATGAGAGTCAAAGCAGGTAGATCCACACTGGAGAGGCCAGACTTCGTTGAGCTCAGGTTCCATAATATTGTCTTGTTTGGATTTATATCTTATCATAATGCATTCCATTATGTCGTATCATAAACTATAATTGCTAATTAACCTTTTATAGGCTTTTATTTTGTAACGCACTATATAGTATTCAAACTCCCAAATTGTGTTATTGCATGTTGTGGTATCATGTCATATCATTTGTTATTGCATGTTGTGGTATCATGTCATATCATTTAGTTATTTTCCCTGTATGTGTAAACCGCCTGTGAAAAAAATATAATCTAGACTTCCTCGTTTGCCCCAACATAATAATCCTATCAATCAAAGTCTGAGATTGATGGATCGGCCTTGAGAAACGGTTACGGAAACGGTTTCTTTCTTCTGTCTGGGAGAAGGAAATATGTTGTGTGGATACGAAGAATCCGTTCTCGTGTTGCCGTACAATGAACAGAGATATCCACAGATACAGCTTTTATTTAGAGGGAAGGTCAAATGCTAAGAATAGGCACACCAACGCTGCTTCCCTTGTCTGTCCTGCCTCATCCTGTGCCTTTAACCAATGACCATGAGAGCAAACCACACACACACGCACACACACTCACACACACACGCAGAGGCTGGAGGTCAAAACAAAGTAGTAACGCCAGAGGAAAAGATTAGAATGACAAAGGAGAATGGCACTGAGTCGGCAGAGCTGTGGGGAGGAGGACAGCAGAGATGGAGATGCTGAATAATAGCTCTCTTGTGGGTAAAATATAACCTCTGCTGAAACAGGGGAAAGCAGTAGGAGAGGAGGAAGGAGGAGGAGGAGGAGGAGGAGGAGGTAACCACAACATTTACAAGTCAGAAAAAAACACATTTATCTTTAATCAACATTTGATTTCCTCTTGGAGACACGCCACTTTTTAAACGCCGCTCCTTAATCACATTTCCCGTCAACGTTATTCTATATTCATGCAATCATAATACTCACTGTCGCTGTTTTATGTAAACATTTTAAGATAAATAATAATTAGGAGCCGTGCTAACATAGATGAATACCCGGCAGCCTGCCTCTTCATAAGCGAGCTCCTACATTCATGCCAGCAATTATTTTGTCAGAGCGAGAGTCACGCATTTATTTAAGAGGGATTCATCATTTTGGATTGAATATGCAGGTTTAACACTCCAGGCTGAGAGGATCCAGCACCTTTCATCATCATAAGCCCCATATTGCACCTTGTACTTAGGGAACACAAATGAATTGGTGCCCACACAAAAAGCGGGACTATTTTTACGACTAGCTGGGGATCTTGTAACATTTACAGCGAGGCAAAAGTAAACGCGAGGGCCCCGCGTGCATTGAAGCCCCTTTTTTATATTCAATTAATGGACAACCTCCACCCATTGCTGACGACAGGTTAAAAGAAGGTCAGGCCTCTATTTTATGCATGTCCAATATGAGTAATAAGGTTATTAATCCTCTCACGTGACCCACCCCGAGTAATGAGTGTTCGGTTGCTCTGCTTTCAAATGAGAGGAGGAGTGTTGTGCTGTGAACCGCAAGTCCGCCGCTGCCGGCAGAGAGGAGAAGTCAAAGAGAGAGAGAGAAAGAGAGAAAGAGAGAGAGAGAGCGAAGATAAGACGAGGAGGACAGAATCCTGCAGTTGGAGAGATGAAGCCAGAGACCGACAGGGAGTGGTCGGAGAGTAGAGCTTTGTTTATTATTCATAAGTTAAAAGTGATATATATTTATCATATATGTGAAAGACTGCCGTTTTGCTGACATGGTTAGACACCCCCTTGAGAGATGAATGTTGCCGACTTGTTTGTAGACGAGCCCTGATGAGTCGATCACAGAGTGCTGCGGAGTTCTGCAGCTCAAGGAAGAACATTTATGATTGTTAGTTCATGGAAATGATCTTTTGCACTCGGTGATCGACTCGTCAGGGATCCCCACAAACAAGCAGCTGCTGGAAGAGAGTGGATGAGTTGTGTTTAGTCTCTTTGCTAAAGAAATGAATCAAAGCTAAATAGATGTTTGGTGTCTAGTACTATGTCTGTGACCCTATATGTCCTGTTGATGAAGTTAGGTGCTGTTCTGAGCATTATTCATCTCTGGAGGGGGTGTCTAACTCTGTGTTATGGTGTGTTTGACCTTAACCTAAATGTGGGAATATCCCTTTAAGTAGCATCCCGGTCATTACCTTGCCCTGTTTGCTGCTGCCCATTTACTATCATTATGCACAATATCACATGCTGGTCTATTCTGATTGGTTGCAGGTCTCTGCATTTGCTTCCTGAAAGTTTCTAACACTTAAAATGAATTTAACATTTTTAGACTCGTTCACTCGGGTCGTTGGGTCTGGTGATGGCAGAGTAGTGAAGTAGTAAGAGGTTCTGGAAAGATGATTCAAAGATGGAGATTCTTGCATTAATTACTCGGGACAGTAAGGCACAGTTTGGGGTGTTACTTTTTACACAGCTCTGTGGGAATAACCCAAAAGTTATAACTTTACAGACAAGGACTGGGGCTGGTCTCCTTGTTATAGCTCAGTGTTTACTACTTTTAAGTTACCCAGTGTTATAATGTTACTCACAGATAGAACAGGCCCAGGTTTCAGTAACAGCTGAGACCCAAATCCAGCTTGTACTGACCTCTGTTCTCAAAGGTGTCATCAGTGACGTGGCGAACACAAGCAGCTTCATTACAGCTGTTGTTGTCCCAAACTAATTAACGCCCCCACCCTGCTGTCTTCTTCCACCTCTGTCTTTAAGAATAGAACTTTCTTCCTATATTATCTTCACATATTTAAATATTGATCTCGTCTCCTTCTCATAAACTGATCAGATTGCACGGTTTATTTTTGGTTTAATGTAAATGTTGAAACTTTCTTTGAAGCACTTTGAGTCCCTGTTGGCTTCAAGGTTGTGCCGAAGGACGACGGAGTGGAAATTTTTCCGTCAACTGTTGTTCACAAGGTCGGGAATAAACTGTCAAACTTCATCATGCTTATGATTCGCTTTTTGGAGAATTCCCAATACTGGCAATGTTAGGGCTCTACCGCAAGGTTAAAGTGTGACTTGATAGGATGTTGTCATGGTAACAGGTGGTTGAAATGACTCGGAAGTGTCTGGGGGTCTTCTTTGGGTATCATCAACATTGCATTTATTAACCATTTGCATTATATTCAGTATATAACTTAGCATGGAGAGTTCATTAGCACTACTAGTTTAGTCTGAGACCAAAGACAGAAGGGGGGTGCAGCTCGCCCTTTAACGCCTGAAACCACAAATTATGACCAGAAAATTCAAAACTTTTTGGATCCAAAATGTTTATTTCACCTCCTACTAAAAAAAAAAAATTAAATCAAAAAATCAAAAAATCAAACTGTACTTACCCACCAAACATCGGGCGTCGAAGAGACGTGCAGATTATGTCAGTATTGGGTCGGTCCATCAGAGACCACATCTAGATGTCACTGCGATGTGCAAAATAGGTTAGAAATTTCAACATCTATGTTGTGTTTAGAACTTGGACGTCATCTGAAGACCAAATCTAGATGTCGGTGTGACGTGCAGAAAGGATCTAAGATTTAGACGTCATTATTGGACCTCTGTTAGACGTTGAAATGACGTCCACATTTGTACCTCATTGTTTAAAAAATATGTTAAATAGATGTCATTTTGACGTCGCAATGCACAGTGGGTAAAATTTGACAAATACATATATTGATCTGGTTTGATACATTAGATGTTTTTGGAAACTGATAAACCACAAGAGGACTTTTTTTTATCATTTATTGGACTGTATTCAGTTGTTTTATTTAGTAATTTATTGATCATATTGATTTGATAAAAGTATCATAAAAGTATGTATCAATGGTTAAGGTTTTCAGATCATGAGCAGTTGTATAGTCAAAGTCCAACTAAAATCCTTATTATCACCAAATTTAAGTGAATTATCTATTAATGAGGAAGAATTGAATGTGAAAAGTGATATTTCTTGACTTTAACTGTGACCCTTGAGTATTTTTCTCCCCTCTTCTGTCCCCCTGTGAGAACTTGGTCACCTGGGATCATGCTGTTCCTGCACCACACCTCCTAAATCCTCCCCCTCCGGTGTTGACATATCTGTCAGAGCCAAAGCAACATGATTACCCGATGACCTAACACATGACCTCCCATAATTGCCTGTATTAGCCACCCGGGCAAAGGCTCTTGACACGGCCATGTGGACATCATTGAGGGGGGGTGGGTTCACTACAAGCTCTGACCAGTGGGCGAATTAATAATATTTTAATCAAGCGTCAAAAGTGTGACATTATGCATGCACAGTGGGAGCCCATCCCCTATCATGGCTGAGCAGCATGTCAGCTCCTCCCTCAGAGGAGCTCCGCGGTGGGAACGGGAGCGGCTGCCTGTCAGGATACAACAACAAGGTCAACTGCCGTTTAGCGGCACGGCGTTCCTCGAATGCCAGTAAAGCAGATCCCTCTGCCCGGGCCGCTGACCTTGTCTTGTTTAATGAAATGTAGTGACCATGCGTAACTTTGCAGCCTGTTAAACAGCCTGTGGGCTCGCCTGCATGGGAGCAATACTGACTGTGATTCCTGCCCACCGGTCTGTGATACTGAACTGTATCATGGCGAGACCTGTGCATGAGTAATGTCCCTGAATTACAGCGCCGGCTGATTGGCAAGTTTTGAAATGTGGTGTTGATAATAGATGTTGAAATATTACCTAAATGTGAGCGATGCTTGCGGCGGCGAGAAGGGGCAATTTCCATTCTTCTGCAGCGCTAACCGACTTAATCAGATATGCTGACGGTGTTAAAGGCCACCAAAACATTGCTGCTTGGCTTGCATAATAACACAGATAAGGGCCTGATAATAACATAATAACACACTGAAATCTCCCGTCCCGCTGCCCTCTTACTCGTCTTACTCACTCACGTCGCATCGACTCTTTTAACACCTCGCCGCACTTAAAACTGAACCGCCGCTGAAAACGAGTCGACTTTGGCTCTGAAGAGAAGGAGAGAAAATGAGAGTGATGACAGTCAGGTGATTCAGGAGCCATTTTAGACAAAAGAGCAAATTAATGCGCTGCTATAGAGTGACTTTGAGTCTGTTCACTTCTTAAACCTGTGATTTACATCCATTTTTAGTTTCATCCTTTTTCTTATTTTACTGTAAAAGCCAGAATCACTCTGTGGTTTTATATTAAGCAGCTTTTAAATGAGGTTTTTCCACGATTTATAAATGGTTCTCACAGGAATGGTCACATATTTTTTTATTGTTTAAGGAGCTCACCCTGTTGAACCACAACTTGACCTTTTACGAGCGTAAAATATGTTGAATTACGACCGAGGAGGTGTCTGTGCAGATTTTTTTTTTTTACATTTCTCACTCAGATTTAATCTTAATCTGTCTTTTCAAACCTCCCAATACTGACATTTTACCTCAGCAGCCAGTACGAGGTGCCTTGTCCCTGGAGTTTGTCTACCTTCTGAAGGACGCTGTAAAGCTCCTAGAACTCTCTGGAAATTCAGACGTCCTCGCTCGCTTACCTGCAGGTCCTGTCAGTATGATTACCTAAGGATGACATAGAATAGATCCCCCTCTATAGAAGCTGCCGTGTTTCTACAGGAGCACAGAAAGGACAAAGTAGTATTTTTTTAGTGGCATTGTCAAATACACTAATTGAGGTTGTTGTGTGCAAAAGAGAGTCTGTTTTATCATGCATTATGGAAGCTTTTTGTCCTTAAAGGCCACCGTTGTGAGGGGTAAGCAGGGGAGCCTAGATATCCAAACAAAGTCCCATTTAGCAACATTTTGCAGCACAAAATTGAAAGTAATGGGACATAAAAATCTAAAGGATGTTAACTTAAGCGTATAAAAACGTACTTTTCTTGACTTAAAATGGGCTTTTTATGTCTTCATAAGATATAGATCCCCTTTTATATGAGTTGTTATGTTTCTACAGGGGCACAGAAGGGACAAACTAGTAACAAATCCATTGTGTGGCATTGCCAAATACACTAATTGAGGTTGTATTGTGCAAAAGAGAGACGCTTGAGGCCCAAACTTATCATGCATCTTGGGAGATTTTTGTCCTTAAAGGCCACCATTGTGAGGGGTGAGCAGGGGAGCCTAGATATTGGAACCATAGACTGTTTATACTATGGACAACTTGGTTCCGCCTCCCGTCTGTATACAGATATAAAGCCGAAAAGCTCTCGGTAATTACTCATTTTTTCTACACTTCCTGTGCAGTAGCATTGTGCGCATACGGTGGGAGATTTGCTGAGAGTTGCTGTGATGACGCTCGGCTCAAACTATGCAATGTTCATACGCCAATAGGCTGCATCAAGTGTCAATCATATAAAACATGAACCCCAAATAACTTTTAAAAACTGAGCTGCACAGAAAAAAGAGGACTTGAGCACAAACCAGTCTGACAGTAACTACATGTCAACATCGTAACCAGGGGGGAGAAACATTTGTATTCTGTGTAATAAATCCACATAGGGCTCCATAGGGATTGCTGGAGGAGGCGGATTTATGACCTATACTGCAGCCTGTCACCAGAGGGTGCTGTTCTCAGAGTGGCTTCAGGTCTATGATTGGAGCATAGTCCAGTTTTTACACACGGTGCCTTTAACTCATCTGGGTAATAATGATCCTCGATAATATCTGATTAATAAATATGATTTGCTTCTTCTTACAGCATGATGCACTTTCAGATTGTATCAGTGTCAAAATACTGTTTTACAGCAGTCTTCATTTTCACGGTATTACCACATAAATTATATTCCCGCTTGACCTTTGCTCAGTAAAATGAGATAAATTTGCTTCTTTTTTCGAACCTCTCCGCTCCATCTTTGCATAAAACTTTGAAACAACTTAACTGATCTTCTCAAGTTTGCTCCATTTTAGTGTTTTTGATCATTAGATGTGCGCTATCTGAATTTCTTAATGGTGTTAGAGCTCAAATGCACCCTGCGACGCATCAAAACAAGCTGCCTTAAATTCTTCTTCGAGAGAGACGGAGTCTGCGCTCACAGGGGGGCTAATATTCCCCGGGGTGATCAGGTGTTTTGTAACAACACTGAGAGTTGATAGAAAATAATCCCATGAGGAGCTGCCATGCTTGTAATTTGTAAATCCAGCATGTTTGGTGTCGAGGACAGATGTCTGCTGATTATTTTAATCCCATGCAAATCAAGTCCTCCATCATCTGCTCCGTCTTTTTTGTTGTCCTTTTTCTTCTCGGTGCATCTTAATGCATCTCAGCTGTAGGCAGGGGAGGGCTCTGTATGATATTCTGTTTAATACCGGCTTTTACTCTGTTGAGTCAGGATGAGGCAATAGTCCTGAGGCGATTTCATAACATTTTTCTCTATAGATGTTTGTGTCAAAGAAAACTAGAAAACACTCTCTTATAGCTGGACGATAATGCTGCATTATTGTACATGAATGTGATAAACACGACACACAAGAAGCTGCTGAGTGACTGGTTGTAGAGACGCAGCGGTGCGATGGTTTTACCACCCTCTAATTGCATGTTTTTTGAAATTGCTAACCTCCACATGATGAAAGGTAGACAGCAGTCTTTGATGCTCTCTTATCTTTTTTTTTTTTAAAGCTGGTTTTTCTACTTGAAGTTGGAGGTTGGAGGGAAAAGTCGCAGACATCACTCAGCGTTTCAGATTCTTCTCTGAAATGCCCCAACCTGCCTTTATCTGATGCTAATGAGCCGCGCTAATGAAATATGATAAAATCACCTCCCACTGAATACCAGGCCGCTTAGCCGTTACCTAGCTTAAATGTCAACAGTAAACAAAGCGCAAACAGACCTTTATTTGCTGTTTCACTGATAAGGGGACGCTCAATCTGCCTTTGACACGTGACGTCCAAACTTATGCGTCTTTGTGTAGGTTTCTTTTTTAATCGCGTGTCGGTATCAGTGCCGTTCCCGGTCAGAAAGATGTCCCTCTGTTGGAAATAAGCAGGGCATGGTGTTCCCTGCCACTTTCACTCAGCCTCGTCTCCTCCTCCCCGCAATGATTTCAGACACCTGAGAGAGACATTCACAATTCAAGCATCCTCCGGCAAAACCTTGAGGCTCGCTCTGATGTAGCCTTTGTTGACAATGATGGATGCAGCAGTCAAGGAGACTGACATGCTGGGCTAAATTACATTACATTCAAACTATTTTTTAGTCCTTTTCAAGGCTAATGTTGCAATGAGATGAGGCACATGTCGTGGGAATAGTCGCATCTCGGAGACGGGAGGCGACAGCAGCTCCAGGAGAGGCACGCCGCAGTTTGTCATTCAGCTCCGGGAAACTGATTTATTTGATAATTGACTGTTAATATTGTTGCTCCAGTTTCTGATGGAGTTGAGGCCTGGAGCTGCTGATAGCTGACATTTTGTATTCAATCCCTCTGTGTCGTTGCCAAGATGACAGAAAATATCCACTGACTCGCTCTGATTTCCAGCTTTGCCTCCAAAGGTCAGACTTGTTCCGTTGTACAGTACATGTAATGCATCTCTATATTGGAACAATCCAGGGGTCATATTCATCGGGTTCATTTGGTGCAGTCACCATCTTCTTTAAGCCAAGAAAAACAGCATGATTTAGTGATGATTTAAAAGGGTGGATTATAGCGAAGGCCAAAAGAGGCCGAAGCCCAGGGGTGTCTGACCTGAAGGTGAAACCTCAGGGGGAAAAAAACACCCCAGGATAGACGGCGAGGATGTTAATGACGCAAATATGTCGATTTACTAAAATAAGTGAACTGCAGACTTGGTGGAAATGGATCGTAAAATCCATAAGTATGTTGACATCAGTGTAAAACAACAATTAGTCTGTTTTCGTCAACTTAGATTGAACCGTTAAAGCGAGGTCCTGCATCGCCATGTTAGTTCAGAATAGACAAACCAATAACATGTTTATTTTGTATTTAATGAGTCGCAGAGTGAGAAGTACTGCCTGAAAGAGAAAGAGGACGAGGTTGTGGGTGAAAGAATTCCTACTGCCCTGCAAAAACTCGTCATGGTAAATGTTTTTGCAGATTTCAAAGTCTATTTTTCTCCTGACAAGTCCAGAAAAAAGCCAATGCATAAGAAAAATGATGCATTCTGTTTTCTCATATCATGGATTATCATACTTATCCTGCACCACAGGAGCTGTTTGTCCTTCACCATAAACAGGGGTTACCAAGGGATCATATCGATCGAGAAGCTTAACGCCTCATACTGCTGGATGTTCCCATTTTTTAAAGTTTTATCCTATTTTTCTTTTGAAGCAATATTAAAAAATGTCCTTGAGGTTGTTAAAATGTCCAACCCAAGATAATGTTTTGCCACAGTGTCAACAGGTAGAGTGAAACTTGGCTGTTTGGGGAATTTTGTCCAATCATAATCAAGTATCAGGATTGTGAACAGGCAGAGGGGAAACATGTCAGACCCTCCAGCAACTTGTTATCCTTGGAGAATCTTGGTTGTCCCAGGGTGACTATATGTCCTCTTTTACCCAGACATGTCCTCTTTTTTCGGGGCTTTTCGGCCTTGTCCAGGAGAGTTTATAAAGTCCCCCAAATGTCTGGGGTTTTGTATGGAAGTTTTGAGATTGTGTACCGTGGATTAACTGAGTAAGAAACGTGTAAAAAACCCTCGACCTGACCCGAAAAACCGTCAAAATTTACTATGCGACTCTGCCCCACGTAGTGTCCTCTTCAGAGGGATTCAGAGTTTGGTCACTCTAGTTGTCCTTTTGTGTCATCGACCAAAACAATCGACAAACACATTAGCAAGAGGCTATAAGCTTTGCATCTTTCGTATGTTTCAACAGCTGCGTGTTTTTTTATTTAGGTTTTATGCCTGCCTGCCTTCTTGAATGCATTTATGCTGTGTGGTCAGATTGATAACCAATTCCCGACATGTCAGCCAATAATAAGAAATGTTTGATAAAGTGAGTTTCTGTCGGACCAGTTTGGTTCTTGGTATTTCAAAAGTCTAGTTTCAGTCTAACTGATCTAGTTTTTGAACATCATGTAAATGTGCGGTGGATTTGAACCCCGACAGAGTGGGCAGAACCAGCTGGAGCTCCACCTTTCTTTTCTCACCGTTGTCGTCCTCCCTTAAAGCTTATTTGGGTCATACCATCTGCAGATTCATGAATTCCACCGGCTTTGGTCTTATACCGGTTCCTCCTTGAACTGGTTCCTCGGCCCACTCTAAGACAGCGGGGCAGATTGACGCCACTCCTTTGAAATCTCAGTCACTGAGCGTCAAGACACCAGGAATATAAATCCACGGTTCGCCATCTGTCACCACGTTGACTAATATCTGGGTCCTGAATCTGGCCTTGATTTTTACCCAAACTGAAGGGAGGAAGAACATAGAGAGATCAGAGCTGGCTGATGTTATCCCTCTGCTACAAGCGTGGCCAATCTCAACATATCTGATGGGTTGCTGCCTGAACTTTTATTTAGATGCTTCAAGTCAAAGAAAACAGAGTTCAACTAACCAGGAAGGAGGAGATTCAAGTCAAGTCTTTTTACGTAAAGACAAGTCGAATTAATGCTCGAGTAGAGAGTGATTCAAAGTCCAGATTCCCTCTAATACATGATGTTTGTTTCACTCGAATCAAACAAATGTATTCATATGAAATCAATAAGCTCCAGGCATAGGCTTGTTTTCCAGGAGAGTGTGTTCCTGAGAGACCGGAGGATATTATTAGATTCCCCATTCCTATATTTGGCGATGTATATGCATTAATGATTCAAATGAATGTGTTCTGACTGGGGTGCTTCATGACTAATGCCATTAAAGCGTATTAATTACCATGAGAGACATGGAGAACACTTTGCAGATGGGCGCTCTTTCTGTTAAATGCTAAATGGATGGTTTTCAGTTGTTCCACCAGCCACTGACCATATGGACGTTTTCATGAATATCTGAATGTTAATATTAATTGCTGTAATTTTACTCGTCTGACATTGAAGCCTCATCTTCAGGCTTTTATCGAGAGAGAGTATTTTCCATCTTTGCTATCCGGTTAAACTTCCACTCTTGTCTGACGTAACATCGTGCCAGAACAATAATCCACGTGGCGGTTTCCTCCAAACTTGGCTGTGGTGGTGGCGCCTTTTTCCTTCATCTTCCAAGTTGTGTAGATAGAGGCTTCTGCAAAATGCCGTCGGGAGGATCTTGACAAACACAAATAATATTCACTACCCTCTGTTGCAGACTGTCCCTTCCAATCTGAAAACGGGTCCATTCAAAAAAAATTTTAGGGATTATTTGGAAAGATGCAAGCGCCACATGACTAAAAAAATGATTGATTTCATATTCATCTAAATTAGGTACATCAAAAACAGTGGGATCATCTTCTATCCAAGGTCAACATACTTGGATGTCAGGGTTTGTTTACCAACAAACCTTTTGAGACATCGTTCACAACTGCAGCAACAGGGGGATAAAAGTTGGAGAGACACAGTGATCATCTGCAAAAGTCACAAACAGCTAATTGGTGGAAAGAGTCGTTAGTTATTCAAAAGTAAGGGGTTATGACTGTCACAGAGGATGATCGATATCTGAGGGTGACAGAGACCTGCAAACAGTCAGAAAATCTTACCGTAGTCCTTATAACGGCTGCAGCATCAACAGGAGAGTGAGTACAAGTCTGTCTTTGGAAACCAGATCAAATGTCTTGGATTTCTTCGATATGTAGCAATTTGAATTTATAAGAAATGTCACCGTCATTCTCTTCTGCTTATCCGGGTCCGGGTTGTGGGGGCAGAAGCTTCAGGAGGGAAGCCCAAACGGCCCTCACCCCAGCCACTTCCACCAGCTCCTCCAGTGCCCCCAGGCCAGGGGAGAGATATAATCCCTCCACCTGGTCCTGGGCCGGCCATCAGGTCTCCTCCCGGTGGGACATGTCTGGAACACCTCTAACGGGAGACGTCCAGAAGGCATCCTAACCAGATGCCCGAGCCACCTCAGCTGACTCCTCTCGACGTGTAGGAGCAGCGGACACCTTGCAAAGGAAACCCATTTTGGCCGCTTGTATCTGCGATCTTGTTCTTTCAGTCATTACTTAAAGTTCATGACTATAGAAATGTCCGAAATATATTATTTGGTGCCCCGTGTGAGGCATTTATGATTATTTAGATGGTCAGTGGTGGAGTCAGTTTGAAAGGTAATAAAAACTCTGTCTCTGTTCTCCAAATTGACCAATCGTGAAAGGCCAGAGGTTTAGGTCAATCTCCGGTCGGTAAACAAGTCTGTAAAGATTTATATGATCCTGTGTCCTGGGACCAGATCAGGGATCTTTCCTGTGAGGAATGTGTGAGTTTCACACATAGGGTTGTCTTGATGCTACAGATAACTGAACTTTTTTTTGGTCATCTGATCCAAAACACAGCGTCTGATTGGACTAAGATGGCAGCCTCCATTTAGGATAGTCAGCGAACAACAGAAATGACACTCTCACTAAAGTTTAACAGCACGGTCTCACGAAGCGAGTGGATTTTAATGTCAGTTTCTATTTCGACTGTTCTTTTCGAGCTCATAAATGACAGTGTGAGGGGAGTTCTCTGCTAAACTGTGAATATTTGATGATCCCATTTCTTTCAGGTGTATTTTAGACAGAAAACAACATTATACTCAGACTTTTGGTTCATTTATTTTGTCAGACCTGAGAGTGAAATCTGTTGAAAAAGAAGACCTTGAAGAAGTTTAGACTGAAGTTGCACAAAAATGCATTAGCAATCATTTTTCTTAAGTTTCAGTTTAATAATTTCCAATTTTCAGAGCGTCTCTGAGCTCAATAACACATCTCAATGAAATCATTTAAAACTAAATAATAAAAATGAATTTTCTCTTCTAATCAAACTCAATACTGACAAGAGAACATTCGCTCAGAAGGGCAACAACAGCATGAGAAATTACTTTTATTTTATTGAACGTTTGTTGCTCAACTTTTTAAAATACTTTCTGCTCATTTTATTTAACATATTAAATAAATTTAGAACAAAATGAAGAGGGTTTAATTTATCCTGGTTGACTGAATAAGTTGATATATTCAAGATGAACTATCCTTACAGCCTGCAGACCAAACTTTACTTTCACACTGACGTCTTTATCGTGCTGCTTTATTGGATTACTCTAATTTTATTCAACCATCCTTGTGTCATTGATTTCAGTTCCTATAGTTGTTTGACTTTAAACTGCAGCCCTATAATTTAATTTACTCTCATCTCGCGGCCCGGTTTGCTCACAGTAAGTGTGTCTCATAGAATCTTCTACCTGTAAGGAGCATGAGGCGCATAGTGGTGGTTCTGCACCCTAAATGCACTTGATGGATGGTGATTGAGTAAGAAAGTGTTTAAAAAGTCCTACATATGTTTACTTTTTCTGCCAGCTGTCTGTTTCATAAACATGATGAAATGCAAATTGAGGAAGTCACAAATAATCAACTGCAGCGGGGAGACATCAGAGAGTTATATAAGGAAGGTGCTCTTGCCTCCATATGTTTCAGGAGCTTAAAATGAGAGCAGAATTTGTGTCCAGCTGCTTGCTTTGGTTACTTCCAAGATGCATGATGAGATCGCACTTACAGAGAGAGAGAGAGAGAGAGAGAGAGAGAGTGGGGGTCTTTATTTCACTGCTGCGGATACACATTAGAAAGCAGAGGAAAGCCGGGCGCTGACAGTTTTATGGCATCATGTGAAGGTTCCCTGCAGACCGAGGCAAAGGAAAGTTTATTCTCCCTTTGAAATCAACGTCCTTCTAAAACTGAGATTTTCAGCCTGTGTACCGTGGCACACTAGGGTGCCGTGAGAGATCGTCAGGTGTGCCGTGGGAAATTCTCCAATTTGCAAATACAATGTCATTGTCGAGCGTCTGTGTGGTAATATAGTGAGCGTTGGAGCAGTACTCTTCTATGTCAATGGGGGGCAGCAGACGGCTAATTGCCTGGAAAAAAACTAAAAACAGAGAGAGGCGGGAAGTTGTTGAGGAAGAGCTTAGTGTGTTTCTTTCTTCCATTCCTGCCAGGATATCAGCTCTGTGTTCATCTAAACGGCCAGGACTCACACTGAGTGAGTATGAATACATTTAGAAACTATATTTTAGGGATGCACCGAAAAGGCCCAAAAGTGCATTTTCGTTTTTCGGTCGAAACACTTTTCTCGCCGAAACAAATGTTGTGATGATGCAGGCAAAAACCGTGACCATTACGAGCTTGTCTGGATAAGAGCCAAGATGTCTGTGATGTGGACGTACTTCTATGTATCTGAGAACTACGAATAGCGATTAGCATAGCGTGTAATCCTAAAGTTTCAAAGAGGGGTGCATCTGCAGAGTTTCTTTGCATCGCGTTTAATTTATCATCTGATATCCAAACATCCCGATCACCGTTCTGAATATGAGATGAACGCGGCACGAAACAGGAAAAACATTCTGACGCTACTTCTTCTTCTAGCCGCGTCTCTACCGTTTGAGTTGTTTTTGTCACTGACTCACTGGCGCCATCTAAAGATGTAAACCACTCAGACATGCAGCAACATGCTGACTCAAAAACTCTAAAATCACACTGCAATTGCATAAATTAATATCAATTTAATATTTAACATAAATCAATATTGATTTATACAATTACAACGCTTTGAGTTTAGTGAGATTGGTAGACAGTTATAACCATAAATGTAACGGTACTAATAATTGGCGTAATCATTTCTTTCAGGTTTCGGCCGTGGTTTCCTCATTTTCAGTTTTAGCCAAGAATTTTCATTTCAGTGCATCCCTGCATTCTATAACATATACTGTGTTAGGCTACAGAGTTTCATTTTGGTTGGTGGTGTGCCCCAGGATTTTGTAAAAAATGTGCCGTTTAAAAAAAGGTTGAAAAACTTTGCTCTAAAACGTACGTGATGTTTGTCTGGAAACAACTGAGACGCTTCTGAGCTCAAACCAGAGAGAAAGAAAACATGTTACCCAGCTGTTTGTCATACATGATAAAAACCCACACTGGTATGGTAATGTGTCATATGTGATAATGACTTTGCTGCATGTGTGAGTGTGTGCGTTTGTCTGCGAAGATGCACAAGCATTTAGAGCGTCTTGCACACTCTCATTTGCACACAGCTGGGGTGTTGTGGAGTATTATGTTGCATGTGATGTGGCTATTTACGCAAACAAATCCACACATATTACCCCTGCAAGGAGCAGAGCTTTTAATTATTAAAGAGGGAACATTGATTTCATGAATTGGCAAACAAAGGCGAGGCGTTAAAAGTAGCAGCGGTGTTAGGTTCCTGTGCTTGTCGAGGGCAGGAACTGACTGTATAAATAGTCATAACACTACACCTGCGAGGTGTAGCTTTCCAGTAAGCTTTGTTATCAGTTGGAGAGGTATTAAAGGTAATTAAATGCCTCTCAAAAGCTCCCAATGTTGCGCTGTTGAAATGTAAACTCCTTTTTCTGGGCTTATTTTGGGAGAAATCGATGCAGCAGTTCTTGTTTCTTGAGATACTGTGAGATTGCTCGCTATCAGAAAGCTATCAGAGCAATTTTAGATCCAGGAGTAAAATTGAGCTCTTGGAGCCGTGTGCCTGTGTCAGACCTGATTTAAAGTAACCCTGCCCACACATTCAGAGCTGCCTTTTCATACAAACACATCAGAATCTGCTGTAGGAGTTATAATTCTTTAATAAGCCCTGCTGTTTTTAAGCACTTAATGCATAGATAAAGCCTCGAGTGTCTCTATGGAGAGTCCTCCCACTGAACAAATGGTGCAAAAAGTACCAGCAGAAAAAAAAGTGCATGAATAAATACCCGCCAACATGTCAGCGCACGCTTAAGCCCTAAAAACTCCAGCTCTTGTAGGTTTAGAGAGACATTAGCGAGCATACTATGACAGGCTCAGGAATTACATGAGTGATTACAGAGACTTTATTTAGTCAAATTTCACACATGTGAGTATTTCTGAAGTGTCGTCTCAAAGTAGCCTCGGGGACCAGATGGTGAACACCATTTTAAGTTTGTGGAGAAAAGGAAAATAAGCTCGCAGCGGTCCTGGTTTGCTGTAATTTAATTTGGAGTGTCGCGCGAATCGCCTTTAGTTCCGTAGTCGAGCTGGTTAATGGAAACAGGGGGACGTTTTTGGACACTGTTTGTTTCAAATCAAATGTATGAAATTAAAATAAAAGTGCCATGGCGTTTGTTTTTGAGGATGAAGCTTCTGCAATTATTGGTAAATACGACATCGAGCCGAGTGTGAAATCCACATCAGTGGGATGGATCAGGGAAAATGAAAGTCAGAGTCTCCTTTTCTGCAGGTTTAATGTTTCAGTGGGTGAGTCTGGACCGCAGTCAGGCCAGTTTGGCACGGGGACTCTTCTACTTCAGAGCCATGATGTTGTCATACATGTGGTTATGAGGGTTTCCCCAGTAGAGGGCGCTCTCTTATTAGCAGCATATGTTTCTCCAAACCTGTAGATTGTTTAGCATGAATGGAGCCTTCCAGACGTGAAGGATGTGATGTGCATGACTTCCAGTAGGGGTGTCCCGATAAAACTTTTTTTACCTCCAATACTATACCGATATTGTCGCCTTCAGTATCGTCCAATACCGATATTAATCCGATTTTACCGACATCACTCCTGCTCTTTGCTACTTTGTTGGTACCTTAGTACACACTGTTGTTGTGATCACATGGGCTCTACATACTGGATCCGGGTACTGCTGGATAGAGGTGCCAGAGTGGGGTCTGGAATGGACTGCTTGTATCGGAGAGCTGATATCGATGAGTTTAGGTACAGGATATTTGTTTTTTGTTGATATCGGACCAATATCACTAACGTATCGGGACACCACTAATCTCATGTTGATATGATTTTGACCTGGATTTGTGAATTGGCCGGACGATCGATCTGCACCGATTTCCTCAAATTCGGGGGTGATCAGCTGATCCTTACATATGAAACCAATTTTTTCCACCAATCTTATTTACCTCAGCAAAGGTCTGAAAGTCAGCTGTTTTAGCTTTTGGCTTTGCCAGAATAACAGGCCAGCCCACCAGGTCGTGTGCCAAGATCAGTGATCGGCTAGAAAATTGTGATCGGTGCACCCCAAGTCATAATCCAAGATGGCAGCACAGTGCATCAACAGTACAGAGTAACAGTGAAAGCTCTTGTAATGTTTTACTTATTAGCACTTCTGTTTTGTTTTAGTGAAATTAACTAAGTGTTTTTTGTCGTACTGCCCAACGTCTAACTCTGAACACGGTGCTATGGTGTTTGTTGGAGTAAAATACTGTGTTATGCATTGTTTACGACAGGTATAGCTAACAACTGCTAACAACACGTAAAAGTAGACGTCCATCTTGGTTTTCCGACTTGTTTACTGGAACGCCGTCAACTCAGGTGTGATGTCATTCCCAGCTCCGACATCCAACTTCCGAGGTAACTGGATCGCAGCATTAGTCCAGCGCCAGGAGGAGATCATGGTCATCCAGTTAATAATTATCAGTATTTCCATTATTTTGTTCACATGCGTCTGCAGAAAATGTCACTTCACAATGATAAACTGATCCTCCTCCCATCTTTACGGCTGAGGGACCTGGCCTTAGTTGTGAGATGTTCCTCGAGGTCTTTCCTTTTAGCATCACACAAATCTGACAGTGCACATTTGCTCTTTATTTGTTACCTTTAAACTTTTATTTCAAAGTCGATTCTCGATGTTTTAGCTGGCAGATAATATTCAGCTGTCTTTTTTTGTCAAGATTTAGAGACTTTAGCTCAGTGGGACCTTTTTTGTTGCTACTAAAAGTCGTCAATAACAGCTTTTCTACTTTGTCACATAAACTCACGAACAGGCCCACATTGGCGTACAACCATATGGGTTATATGACTTATGGTGCCGCTATTTTCGTCAATGAGGAAATTCTCATCTTGGTTTTACAATTCCCTAAAGTAATGTTGTAAAATGAGAAGTTTCTTAAGTGATTAAACTCACACAGCAGTCTCCAGATGTCACATATCCTACAGCCTCATAACTGTTTCCTGCAGGGTCGTCTATGACACTCGGGTGTATAAACACCTAATGAGTTAACGCAGGTGAGAGGATGTTGGCGTTCGAGACATAAGCTCAGATAAATCCAAGGACGACTTTGCAATCAAGCGCCGAGAGGCAATTTACCATATGTACGCTGCGTGAATGATAGCGCTTGATCCCCATATGTAATATCACAGGTATGTCAGATTTCGACTGTTACGCACCTGAGAAATTGGATCCATGGCAGTTGGATTTGACATTAACAGATGGCGGCGTTATTTAATACTCGACTTCTTTTTTCTATTTACATGCAAAGACAAAGGAAAGTCACTTTGGTTGTCAAATGGAGCCACTTTGAATTTCAAAAGGATGCATGAGGACATCTGCAATTACTCTAATGTCCGCGTTTAAGGAATTGTGAATTCTACCTGTCCATAAACTCAACCGGATTAATCTTGTCTGACATGCAGCAGGAGGTATTTTTGCACCATTTTCCACCTGCCCATGTGATGGCCTGCTGACTCAAAGCCTTCCCCCGCGACACCATTCATCATCCGCGGGTGTGAAGGTTAAGGACCTGCTTACCTGACCACCACGTTTCATTGATTGCACTGTGACGCGGTGAGACCGTGTGAGAATGCATGTCACTCCCCGGCCTCACACCGCTGGTTGGGTCGGCGTTGTGTGAAAACATTTACAGTCTGAGGGGCCAGCTGGAGCCTGGCTTTACAGTGCTGGCTTCATTTCCTCCTTATTTTGAATAGAACAGGAGGACTTGTTGTCGCTTTGCAAAAGAGAGAGACAGAGAGAGCGAGATTCTCAGACTGCGAGCAAATGCAATTTGTTTTGTGGAATGTGATATTTATGGATGACTATCCACATTGTGTTTTACAAGTGACCAGATTGGGTTTGCGTGTTCCAACAGTATATTTTGCTGTCGTTGTCACAATAACAATGCAAATGTGCAGATACATTAAGAGTTTGACAGTCTGCTCTGCCTGCAAAATAACAGCAACAACAGAGCGGTGCTATAGCTGCTGTTTTGGAGGTTTTTATGATTCTATTTCCTGGTTTTGAAAGTGAGGAAAAACTCATAATAATCATATTGACTGTCCGTAAGTGTCCTTTCATTTTGTTCTCCTGACATCAAATAAACTCAGCTGACAGTTTAACAGGTACGCATTAAGGCTTTAATGGGAAAGTGCTGTTAGACGTCATCTCAGATGCACCAATCTGACGAGTCCACAAAAGTGTCTTAACCAATAAAACACTGCCTATCAGACACAAAACATGGGAAATGAACCAACTCCCTTCAGCTCAATTATGACGAACCAGGTCCAAATCATTCAATAAAACCCCCCAAACCTCTCTCATGCCAACCTCCAACATCAAGTAAATAAAAATAAACATACAGAAATAGAATATATTATTTTTTATGAAACAAGACCTTTATCTGGGTTTGTCCGGTCCTGGTGGTTTAGATTAAGTCTTATTTGACTTTTTTTTCTACCTGAAGAGAAGATAAAACATCTACGTAGTTTTAATTTTTGCTGTGCAGATGTAGAAATATGTCACAAATCCATTCGACCTCCCAAATCAGCTCGTAATCATTTCACAAAGAGGAAAACAGGCATGAGTCGGTTTTCCTTCTTGTTTAGACTCTGCACCCCAAACTCCAGCTCACGCTTCTGGAGAAGAGTGCCTGCTAGCGCTTGACCTGCCTCTAACCTTCGCTGCTAGAGGCTGTAACTTCAGCGTTAGCCAAAACTCTGCTACGATTCCCTGTTTGGTTCCACCCCGCTTAAGCCTCATAACCCCCAACCCCCTTGGCAGAAAGCTCTTGTACAAATTGGAGGTGCAAACACAGACTCTCTTCGGGACTGAGACCTTCCAGTGTGCGAAGAGTAAACTAACAGGCCTGCAGGCTGAGAGGCTCACTGAGCGAGTCTTCACAAACAGACCAGCAGAGGCTCCTTTTGCAAACTTATCTCCAACCGTGTCTCCATGAAATATGATCCAATTAAACCACATGAGCAAAAGTCCTGACACCACATGACCTCTGCGGAGACTTTGAGGTCATCAAGTGTGAATAAAGATCACGAGAGCTCTGCTGAAGTTGGGCTCAGTGTTGTTTGATCTCAGGTAGTGTTGGGCGGTATGAGTAAAATCTTATATCATGAGTAATTTCATATCACAGTAACAGTTTATATCACGGTGTGTTTTACCCACTTTAAATTCAATTAATGTCTTGAAAATAATCAAACTGTCAAATTTGTTCATTTTACTTTTATTTTTAACCTTGGATTTGTTTCTATCATATGGCGTACCTTTGGCGAAAGACTCTGCCGAGCTCTTTTATATGAGAGGAGCTGCTGCAGTTTTAGTTTTCGGCGCAGGTGCGTCGCGTCATTTGGCGCTCATAATAGAGCTTGGCGTGTTTCATCTTTAGGTGGTGGAGGAGGTTCCTGGTGTTTCCTCCTTCTGTAACGACAGCTACACCACACTCTTTGAATAGTTTTGTTTTTTGATCTTTGACAGATTTTCTAAATCTGAAGAATCTCCAGAAAACTGATGTTGCGACCCGCGCCTTTTTTCGGGCTGCCTCCATTTGCTCGGTACCGCCACTAATCTCTGTGTCTACCATGAAGCTGTTTCTTCTTTGTCTAAACTTTGCTAAGCAGTCTGCTGGACATGCTGCTGGTAATACAGAGCGCACCCAAACCTGACCAATCAAACGGTGCAACAAACTTCACACAACACGCTGGTGAACATACGGAAACGCACCCAAATGAATGCACTCCGGCTTTCCTGTTAGCGAGCGCAGACAACTACACACTGACTCAGAGAGATGCAACAGACATCCTCTCTCTCTCTCCGGTATAAACGATAGAGCAAAATTTCTACCAGTGGACACTTTTATACCGTCATACCACCCAACACTTGTCTCAGGTGGTCTTAAAACACGATCAGGACTTGTTCAGGGGCAGTCTTTTCCTTTTTCCAGTCTCACTGATGTATCTGCAGAGTCTTCGCCTTGGTGTTGCTAAAACAACTCTTTAACATTTCCAAAACATTCCTGTAAACACACTCCTCAATCATCCGCTCATGTGTACCAAAAATCCTCTGAGTCAAGTCGAGTTAAGTGCTTTTAATGTTGTCAGCAATCATTGGCACCCTTCAGTAAAACTGGAGCAAACGGAGTTTGTGATGATTTCCAGAACAAACACTCAGAGTTTGAGTCTTTGTCGAAATCTTTCAGAGGGTTATTTTTAAAGTTATCCTTTCTAGTGTGGTTGACTTCTTCAGTTGTTTGAAATATTCTCTAATTATATTCTCATTTAAATCGATGAAAGGACGACAAAAAAAGTGTCTTGAATTTTAATGCTGCATTGAGCTCCCGGACTTGTTTTATTCATGAACTCCATTTCCTCTGTCTCAACATCTGGATGAAGAATCTTTCTTCACGAAGCAACAACATCAGAGCCACCTGTCTTAACATACGAAGGAGTGTCAGTCATCCCTCGGAGCTGAGCATGACTGATGAATTAAGTGTCATATACCGGGAGATGAAACAAGGGAGAATCTCAAATATTAGTTAAAGTGCGGCATACTTCACATTGGATCCTTAGGGTCGCTTAGCAACAACCAGAGCCATCAGCAGCAGCACTTCCCGCATATAACCTATCAGCACCGCCGTCTAAAAAGTGGCACCCCGTGAACACAGCTGTTCCAGGAGTGGCTAGTATAGGTCAAGGCCATATTTAGCAGTGCAATTAATATGGATCCTCTAAACTGTGTGAAAATGAAAGGGTGAGGGAGAGGAGAGAGTGGGAGGGGGGAGAGCAGACGGATGGTTTTCATGGTTTGCCGTGTGCTCTGTATTATCCTCTTCATCATCATGCTTTTCATTCAGCGCCACATTACCATGGCACACACCCTACAGGCTGTCTGATTTCTCAAAGGGCCTTTGCATATTGAATCAAATCAAGTGAAACAGAGCCAGCACCAACCTAATGGGAAATGTTGCTCCTCCCGACAGGCAGAAAGACGCCGTCATCACTTTTTTAGCACACCGCCGCCGTCTTTCCGTGTGACCACAGAATTCATTCAATCACTCGTCTCCAAATTGACTAAACATGCGGACAAATGTTCCCGCTGATTTGAATATAAAAGCAGGAAAATTGATTATGAAATGGTATTCATAGCAGCCTTTTTATAACCCGGGTATTAGAGTTATCAGTATCCTTCAGATTCTTTGTGATCTTCGTTAGATGTTGCTGCAAATACTGAGAGGGAGGAGTGGATATGAAGGCCAAACTGGGACAAGAGCAGCTTTGTTCTACTTTCTCCAACTATTGTTATCTAACTATGGGGTCATTGGAATAACAAACCGTCGGCTGCCAACTCTTGTTTTTATTACCTCTTGATTGTGATCTCCTACATTTCCCAGAATAACTTGATTAATAACAGCCCCTTGTGATTTTTTTTCCCCAGTAGAGCACCACCATAGAAATAGAAGGCAGAGCACACCGGCCAAACCAAGCAGCATCCTCTATTGTTCAAATATGAGGTTATTCCAGAACTGCAGTTCCTCAAGTGTCCTCTAGGGGACTGTCTGAAAGCTCAGGAGGCCTCATTAACACCAGTGTTACAAGTGCCTAATCAAAGATGTTTGGACTATTTCTCTGTTTTGGTCATTTGAAGGTAAATAATGATGTCTCTTCACTCTCTGGCTGAACTTGGTTCATTAAACTGGTGTTCCTCAGGGTTACGTCCTCGGTCCCCTTCTGTTTATCCTCTATCTACTTCCTTTTAGCTATATGCTCCATAAATTTAACATCTAATTCCATTGATGACAACCAGAGCTAAATGTCCATCAAATCTACCTACTTTCAGTCACGGCCACCGTGAGTTAGCCCAAAAAAAGACGTTGAAAACTGGGCTTTATCTAGACGTTGTTTAGACGTATGGTGATGACATCTCTTTAATGTCTTTTTAACCACTTTTTGCCGAGATGGTTAACCTTATCAACTAAAACCAAGCTTCACCTCACTGGCGCAAAATCTACTTCAACAAACTCACTTTTTCCCTCTCTGTTTATGACTCCTTAGTTTCTCTCTTCCCCTAAGTTAAGAGTCAAGGTGTCAACATGTCGGGTACCTCTCTCGGTCCCTCACTCCTAAAAGTACCACCCTTCCTCTCCTCTGTGAACTACCTCAAGGACTTTAGGTCTTCCGCCTAAAAGGTTAAGGGTTAAGGTCATTACACATCGGCGAATTATCAAAGTGACCCAAAAAAGCGATGCAAAAATGTAAAATGTTCGTCTTACGCCTTTTCCTATACACACCTGGTGCGAAAATTAGCGTACCGTGTTTTTGGCACTATAAGGCGCACCATCAATGAACGCGTGTACTCATGTCTATTTTCATACATAAGGTGCACCAGATTAAGGGGCGCATTAAGCCAAACAAAACAGTCAGATAAGTCAAACTTCAAATTTTTCGCTTCGCCAATTGACCCCGGTGTGTAACGACCTTTAGGGTCAGAATTAGGAGGTTAGGGTTCAAATCTGAGGAAATGGTGGTCAGGGGATCGGTCAAAGACAGGAGCCTCATGTGGTTTACTTCTTTGCCTCCTAAAAACAACAATGTAAAATAACAATCAGAGCACAGATGGATTTGAGTGTCTGAGGAAAAAGAAAATCACTCAGACCTCTTTGACTGACACGCATTCAGCTCTTGTCAGAGAACGAGTTTTGTTGTTTTCAGGCGTTGTGTGGAGGATTTTGACACAATGACAAGAGAACATAATTGACGTGAAGATTGAATCTCATTCACTCAATATGTTCCAGCTCCTCTGATATGCATATTCGTATTATACAGAGAATGTATGGATTACCACAGTCTTGTCGCAAAGCCCAGTTTTTAGGACATGAATACAAATCAGTGCGATATGAAATAAGCAGTTTCTGTTTATTCTGATATTTTCTCTTCACAGTCAATACTCATGTTGCTTTCCAAACAGAAAAAAAGACAAGCACGCAGAAGCTGTGACCATAATTGTTCGGCTGAAATCAAATTAATCAAGCAATTAATCAAGTAACTGAATCATTTTGTGGGTAGAGTAATAACATTAAATCGACACAGCGAGAAAGATGGTAATTTTGTAGTAAACAGCGCTACAAAATCAATGTGAGGGAGGCGTTTAATGTGGGTAAGACTGCTCAAATTATTAGTATCTCATTTAGTAATACCAGATCAATATTTGAAATTAAAGAATAAACAGATAATCTTCAATACATAAAACGCCAGTTAGAAAAATAAAAGTTGAGAGAAAACACTGTTTGATCCTGAGACTGTTAAAGACAGACTGAATATTGACCACGGCGTACAACAAGAAGAGGTCTACGTTTATCTTCAGGAGGACGGGGATGTTTAGATACCACTCCAGGGAGTTACATACCATAATAATACAGCTGAAAATGTTCCATAACAGTAAATACGCTGTCATTACCGAGGGCCATTAGCATCGCAGTGATCACTCCAGAATAAACAAGCAAACATGTCGTGACGCGGGGCAATTATACGTTATAATAATGTGACTTCCTCCTGTAACTCAGAACACACCGTCCTGAAACGACATCCGAACACACTCCAACTTCAGTCACGCAGATATCAACTAATCATGGTCTACCAGGGCGCTGAACCTTCATTTTTATTCCTGGTATTTAGTTTTGACTCTTTCACAGTCAATGTGTTTACATGCACAGTTGAATCGGACTAAGCTCATAATTTGATTTTTCTACTGAATCAGACTTCTCTTCTTGTCCGCGTATACACGCAGCTGAGAAAATCGAATTAGTGATGCGAACGTGTCCTCCTCCCCAAAGCTAGGGGGCGATATGGGTCTGTTTCTGGACCTTTTTTAAAGACATATCCGTTCCTCGTTTTGCGATCATCCATATATTTTAAAATGCCAATTTCTGTCAGGTCAGAAAGCATAATGGCGCTCTCCTTGTTGTTTTAAAAGTGGACATTCTTTCGTGCTTCAGCCATGATGCAGTTACTTCTGAGTCAAAAGTTCTTAAAATGATAGCGCCACTTCTTCTCTGGTGTTTTTGTTCCAGGGTTACGAAGGCGTGGTGCACATGCATTGTCCGATCATACTCCGACTACGCTGGTTACATGGTAGAGAAAATCGAATTCCAATCGCATTTCGGAGTTCTCTGAAAACTCCTCAAACTCCGATTATAGTCAGACGAAGGTGTTAACATGCACTTCAGTTGTCCAGTCTTCGGCAATAATTCAGTTTTCTCGAGTTTCATGTAAACGTACTGACTATTTCAAGTTTTTAAAGCGTCTATTCTCACTGACAAACCAGAGTCGAACATATTTCATGTAAAATACTTTAAATGTCTGTCAGCTGCTGTTCTATTGGGGAGTATTTCGATGATTCTTCATGCATGCTCGAGTTTCTTTCTCCGTGACTCACCTGCAACTTCTTTTTCACTCACTGAAATTAAACATACAGTATGTTTGCATGTGGGGGAGTCAGTGCAGCTTTCATTTTGTATGAAAAGGTTAAATCCCGTATGACCTTTCCTGTGTTTGAGCTACTATAGCGGTAAAAGTTTGGTCTTTTTGGAGGTTTCTCTCTCCCTCTCTGTTTGAAGTGACTGCTGTCTCTTTCTAAATTCAAATTCTGCAGAGAGAGAATTAAAAGTTCGCTCTCCTTGTGTCCTCTCTTTAACTCTTTGGCTGTAGTTTATACCCCTCCCCCCCTCCGTCCTGCTCCCTGCTGTGTTCTTAAACGTGGGCATCTGTGTCTCTGCAGCAGGCCGGGTGGATCGGCTCTGGCCGCCGCGGTGGCGGTCACGGCAAAGCTGCGTGCTCCATGTCAATAAGACCTCAGCTCGGTTTCGAGGCCCCGGGCGGTCAGAGCGCGAGCCTCATCAGACCACACTGGGGCCAGAGAAAACCTCAGCAGCTCATGCAAATGTGGCCTGGTTTGGATTCCCTCTGCAGGCATGTGGTTTCAGAAGATTCTCAATTCTCAGAGCATCAGGGTGGTCCTGCAGAAAGAGATTATTTCACACTGTAAGAAGATTTACAGGGTTGTTGTTTCTCGACAATAATCAGAAACACACAGTCTTCTTTCTTGTTTTTACCTTACAGACCTGTTCATGGTGCACACACGGCTCAGAAAGGAGCAAATCGATGCAGAGCTACTCAGCGACTCCTATTACCCTAACAGGAGAATGATGATGGGGATCATCTACTGTGCCACACAACCCCGGTGAGGGTCGCGCTCGCAGGCCACTCCGGTCACTCATTTTCTCATTTTTCACTCAGCATCTCATGGGCTCCAAATTGCTATGGAAGCTGAGTAATCCTACCTCTCCAGTGTGAGGCAGACCGCTGTGGCCTGAGCCGATATGCAAACAGAAGCTGTTTCTCTTGTTTGGCTGGTTTGAGTTTGTTGTGCATAAAAAGAGTGTTTGGAAACAAAACGGCCACAAATCCATGAAAAATATGACTGTTTCGAAGTGTAAGCTAACTCTTAGGATCTGAGGAAGTTCCAGTTTTTAGGAGAAATCTTGAATGCAAACTCGACCCCTCCCAACCAGTTTTCCCCTCAGCTCCTCCCTCTCTGCTCCAGCAAGCCCCGCCCACAAACAGACGCTCCTGCTCGCTCATATCGTTTCAATAAATTCAGATATAATGCAGATAAATACTTCAGATCATTACTTCTGTTAGAGACACTTAGCTTACTTTGTTAAAGTGGTTTACCTGTCCAACAGAAAGGCTGTAGGGTCCGTAAGATCCTGAAGCGTCTCCTAACGTTTTATGTTGACCCGACATTTTAGCTCTTGTCCGGTCTACCTCCATCTTTAGCGCCCGTTATCCCGCCAGAGTCTCCTTCTCTCTCTAAGTCGTCCTCAGACGAGCCTTCCATCGTTGTTTCCAGTCATCCCGATTCTCCATACATCTCTCCAGTTCGTTGGTACTCTGAGCTCCTGCGTCCTTCTTGAGTAAGTCCACGTATGTTAGTGTAGGACGTCCTCTTGACCGATACCCATGTGTTGGTTCCCACAGCACCAATTTGCTGGCTTTCAGTTCCCGTTGTCTCTGGTATTTACTTTGTTTTCTTGCTTGTGTCGTCAGTCGTGGCCAAAGGAGGATTCAGACAGTTTTCCGAACTTTCTGGTTGGTTTCTACTGTCTGATATTGTAGCAGGCTAACTTTGTTTGGACTTGTGATAGTTATTGGAGGAAGTAGAGCGTGCCTCACAACAAGAGGGAGCAGCGTTCGCCGGGGTTGGGGAGGTTTAACTGATTCCTGCCTACCCCACCTTTGATAGCTGCACATCTTTTGGTCCATCTATTCTTGTTTCAGTTTCTGCTCGGCTCTCCTTCTGTGTTTTTCAGGACATCCAATCGTGTCACCCATTGGTTTCTAAAGGGTTAATAGTTCATATAACAATGTGTGTAATTTTGAATCAATGCTGCCGATCAGATACCTCGCACCACAATGAAGTCAGGCGAGATAATCTCCAGCAGCATCAGCGAATCAACACTCTGCTAACTTTTGTCATAATGGGCCCAAACTTGGACTAATTATCATGTCGGCTGTACACGACTCTCGAGTCGTGATGAGCTTTTCCTCCCAAAGTTTTTGTCACATTTAAGGAGAAAAGAGTGATTGTTTTAATCCTCAGTTGCAGCCCTGTGGCAGAAAACGAAGTGCAGCGAAAACGATAACCCAGCTAACTCTTTTTTGTTTACATTGCAAAGACATAATGAAGGTACCTCTAAGCTCAGATGTGACTTAAAAAGGTGACTTTTAGATGTCGGATCGTATACTGCTGTCATACAAAGCTTTGATTTTGATCGAGCACGAAACAATGCCTCTAATAACGTCTTACAAAGCTTTCCTTTTCCCCCGACTGATAACAACAGAAGAGTCACCCTGCAAAGACAAAACACGACTATGATACCAGCCTTCAAACTCAGCGAAAGCAAGAAAATCAGACTGGAGTTCAAAGGTTTAGTCTGAAAAACACAAAGTCTTAAACGTCCTTTTTCTGTGGACGTCTTTAAAGCCGCAGAAGGAGAAGAGGGACGGATCTTGAGACCGGGTAACAGTAAAGCCATTAGCGGGGCTGGAGTGGGACTGGAGCCTCTTTTAGTGAGGAGACCTCTTGATTGAACAAACTGTAAACACAGCAGCTGGTGGCGTCTGTGTTGTGGCATGAGATGACATCTATCAGTAGGAGATGAATTAATGGAACAATCCCAAAGCGCAACTGCTCTCATTTAGAGCCGCCCTACTGGGTTCATAGCATGCATCTCTGCAGCACAAAACAATCCCCCAAAACCCTTGTTCTCCCTCACACACACACTCACACTTACACACACACACTCACACTTACACACACACACTCACAATTACACTCTCACATACAAGCAAACAGTAATTTTCTGAGTGCTAGCTCTGTCGTAGGTCCCGGGGCTAAGAAGCTTTCTGATTTACTTTGGTAATCCCAGCTGTAAGTCCCCTTATGACTGTCAGTGTGCTCTGCTGATGCTAAATAAGAGAACGGAGCGGTACAAACGTAATTACTCTGAATCATTATTTCGTTTGGAGGTAATTAGTGGTGTTACTTTGCAACCTGAGGAAGATTTGTGTTTATGTCACCGATCCAGAGAGGAGAAATATTTACTGTACGCTAAAGACGTCGCTGCTGTAAGAGATCATCTTCGCCTTTAGAGACGCTGAATAGAAAAAAGAAGAGAGAGATGGTGCCCTGAACACATTTGAAGGTGTGGAGTATCATCAAATACCTGTATGCCTATTAAAACCTCATCCATATCATGGGTCATGGATAATGTAGTTTTTTTTAGATCAATTATGTCACAGACTATCTTGAGATGAGAAATCACGATAAGCATCAATATGCTTTTTAATTTACAGCTATCAAATAACTGCTTCATCATGATATTAAAATGATCACCAGTAATAAGGATTAAATACAGTATTATACTGTATTCATTGTATTATATCGTATCCTGTCCAGTCATACTGTTTTGTATCATACTGTATTGCTTCATATCCTACTGTATGCAGTGTGTTATATAGATACGTATTGTGTCCTAAAGTACAATAGCATATCATTTAATATCATATCACATAATATCATTTCATAACATACATCAAATGATATATCATATCAAATCAAATTATATCACATCCTATATCATATCATATACATCATATCGTACAAAATATTATATCATATATAATATCTCATATCACATCAAATCATGTCATATCATCACATCACATCGCAGCACATTGTATCATATCAAAATATTTCATATCATATCGTATGTACAATACAGTGTCATATCCAGTTGTTATGTATTGCATTATATCCTATCCTACTGCATTATATTGTGTTGTTACGTATTATATAATATCATAATGTGCCCTATCACATATGATATGATATCCTATTGTATGGTATTGTATCATATTGTCATATCATATCATTTAATATTAAATCGCATAATATCATATATAAAATCAAATCATATATCATATCAAATAATACATCAGATCATATCATATGATATATATCTCATATCACATCGCGTCACATGACTTGCATCGTATAGTATCATATCATATCATATCATATGTACAATACAGTGTCATATCCAGTTGTAGTGTATTGCATTATATCCTATCCTACTGTTTCATTCGTATTGTTATGTATTGTGTAATATCCTAATGTGCCCTGTCACATATGATATGATATGATATAATATGATATGATATCCTTTGGTATTGTATCATCATATCACATCATATTATGTCATATCATATCATATATCATATTATATTTAATATCATATCATGTCATAATATCTCATATTATATTAAATCATATCATGGCATATCACATCATTTGTACAATATAGTGTCCTATCTAGTTGTAGTGTATTGCATTATATTCTATCCATATCATATCATATCATATCATATCATATCATATCATATCATATCATATGTCATGTCATGTCATGTCATGTCATGTCATGTCATGTGTTATTCCATCAGATCATGAGTCCCCCTGTATCTTTTACAGAAGTCTTGGTTTTTGTGGACAGTGAATAAAACAGAGTTTAACACTCAGAAGACAGTAAGTTTGTCTTTAATTACAGTTTCCTGTCACAAGGCTTATAAAGCAGCTGAAATATAACTTTGAACATCATTAGTCTCCCATCCAAGAACTCACCAGGCTTCACATCATTAGTAATGGATGGTGACTGGTAATTGTATGCAGTAGAAAAGTTAAATAATCTACTACCAAACACAACTCTTACATTATTATAAATTTTTAAGAATGTTTCATTTTGGTTCCATTTTATCGAGGTCTGGACTCGGGTCTATTTTCATAAGTGGAATCAGAAATGATCATGTTTTTTTGTGTGTTTGGATCACAAAGAGAAGTCCACTGTCTCACAGATCATGTATACCAGGAGGCGATGTGCTACTCTGAAGAAAAGTACACTCTGTTTCTCACTGAGTGGCTGCTCCCACCTGAAGGAGACAGCCATGCTTTCATGCGGAAAAATATGCTTTCAAGATTACATTGAACATAACGCTCAAGAGTTAAACGCTGCGCCGTACGGCAAAGGAGAAAAAATTCACTTTCATTAGCTTACACTGAAGTTTATACATCATTGATGATAAGCTCTCAGAGGGGACAGCCGTCTCTCCAGCTGCAGGACTGAAGTGTCCCATCTGCAGCCATGCGGGGAAGAAATGAAATATTCCATTCATTTTCTGCAGATGCATGATGAGAGAGATGGGGAAAGGTGAGGATGTGCAGAGTTGAAAGAAGCAACGAGCGTGTATCATGCAGTACAGAGATATGTAACAGCAGTATTGCAGGTGCATGAACAGTCTGCCAATCCCTGTGCAGTGGGGCTTAATAATAAGCGTTATTACAAAGACCAGATGCTCGGCTTGTAATCCATCCTCTAATTTGATTAGTCAATTGTCAACACAAAGTCAGGCTCTTTAGGGAGGCTGGACCCAGTTGAATTTAGGTCTAATTTAGCCGTCTGCTTACCAACACGGCGGGAGCAGCAGGTCACTTGAATCCCCCAGCTCGCTCGCCCCTTTTACTGCAAATTTCAAACATATGCCAACCAGCAGCGCGCTTGTCATGCAAATGTTAGACGAGAGGTGTCATTACCTCTGTGTTCAGCATGCAAGGGATTACCCAGAATGCACGTGACGGGGGGACTGTCCCACGATCAATTTAATCGCTATTGAGAGGAAGAAATGCCGCAATTAGATCCGGCGCCGCCATGAGATGCAGGTTCCTCAGTTAATTCTTCAGCAATTAAATCCAATTGACTTTGCTTTGGTTTGATTGTCAGCTACACAGCCTGCATCGGATCTTCATCAGCATTAATTGCACTTCGAAGAAAAGGTGGAGGAGTGACGGACAGGAGGAGCGGACATGTATCCAAACAAACATGGAAGCAAGATGAGGCTCGAAATCTGCTTCTACTCACCCTCAAATTTATATCGGAGAAGAAATAAGCAACGTATGACGGTGGTTAAAGTAATCTTGAGAAGGCAGGCTTGAGGAAAACGACACCAGAAGATGAGGAGAAGATGGATGGCTGCATCCTAAAGCTTTACGACCGAGGTTTTTGCAGTGTGTAAAGGGATGACAATGGAGTTCTTTGCCTGTCAGGAAAACAAACTCTTTCCAAGTTTGTTGTTCCCATAGCTACACATAAACCACGCCTGACTGGCGAAGGCTGAGCGGGAAATTGATAAAGCCAATGGTATTCACCTGTCACGATTCACGACCTGCCATCAGTAGATCACCTCTCAGGGTGACGGTGTTGTCACTTTGTCTGGACCGGGCTGCTTTAATTTACACAGCATGGGGATCCGCTGTGGTGCAGAAGGAAAATGTGACCAATAATCCAGAGGCGCCGTAAATCCTGAAGGTTCCTGAAGTGCGTGGTCTTCAAGGCCGTAACAATGCGACATAAATCAAAACTTAACCTGACCAAAAAATATAAATAAAACCACGTTAGGGCTACTGGCTCTCCAGTGATTAAGGTTTCGATAAACAGGATGTGCCGATTAGCCTTAACCCAGGCATTAAAGGTAGGGCTGGTAATCACGGCAAACTAGCATGAATTTGAATGTAGCGTCTCCTCAGGACTTTGTCTGGGACTTTTCAGAAAATGGGGTTCATCCCATTTCAGCAGCAGACACGACTCTTGGCCTTTGTTATGTGTGTCTGATAGAGATGAATTTACGCCACCTTTATCTTAGACCAAGGGTTAGCTAAAAGCTAATGAGCTGGCGGTATTATTTGTGTCGTTTGCTTGATTCACGTGGACAAACTCGACGAGCTGTTCTTCATGTATACTGACCTTTGTATAAGGGACACTAGGATTGCCCACCTGCCCGCCCGCCCTATACAATACCAGAGCAAAATGATGAAGTACATCCGAGTAACCAGAGGAGTCATCTCAGGTATCAGTAAAGGGATTATAGCGAGCAGCGTGGGGACCATACTGAAGCCATCAAGATTGACCCAAGGTTTGCAGTTTGATTCCCCCTATCCTTAGTCTGTCCGTTGTGTCCTTGGGTAAGACACTTAACCCACCTTGCTCCCAGTGTGTGTCCTCCACTGGTGTATGATTGTGAGTGTTGTGTGGTGGTGGTTGAAGAGGCTGTAGGCGCAAACTGGGCAGCCATGTTTCCATCAGCTGTGACTACTAAAGTAGTTTACCACCACCAGGTTGTGACTGTGGGAGCGGATGAATGATGTATCCTGTGTAAAGCACCAAATGAAATCTGATGCATTATTATTATTCTTATTAGCCCCTCCCCCTCCCCATGGAGTTCGCCCCCGCTCACATGCACGAGCGCTGCTGTCCGCTGATTCAGAACCACAGACTCCAAACTTTGGGACTTTAGATTGGGAAGTCTTTGCACAGCAGGGACAAAGACAGTAACGTTAGCATCAGGATGACCACATAACTAGCAACATGGCTAAGTACTTGATCAAGATTAAAAATCGCCATCAAACAAACCTTTAACGTACCTTTCCAACAGAAAATGAGTGACCATGGCATCACTTTTAAATCCCTTGACCTCTTTCAGTTCTCTCCCTCGCAGGAAAGCTGTCCCAATGTTGACTTTCGTTTTCACCTTTGCTTTCTCTAAACCCTGTCATGCTTCGGCCTTCTCTGCCTCCGTCAGCACTTGATTTGATTGGTTTAAAAATGTGGGGTCCACACGATGTGATTGGTTGGTGTTTTTCCAGTTTTACTCCTGCTGTAGATCGTGGCTATGTTTCGCTCTTTTTTAAGAACACACCATGTATTGATCAGGACATAAAGATCATTTTAACCAGAATAACATAAAAGTGTATCTAAATCAGATTATTTAAATCCACATTTTAATCCTAATTAACCCAGAATGGCTGTTTGGTCAGTAGCTCCATGTTTCCAAAGTTGACAGTCCAGGTCCAGTCCTGGTTTCAGTCTACTCTTCAAGTGTCATCTCGTGTTAGCGAACGCGACTGACAGCATCATGAGCATGATCGGTAATAGTCCGAGTCGATGATATCTCCAGAGAGCTCAGGACGTGTGCAACTACCGTCCAGATTTGGGAGATACAAACAAGAGAGATGACAGGACTCACTGGGGTTATGTTAACTCTGAGTTTAGTTGGCCTGCTAAGTGACAGATTCTTGATTTCCAGACATCTCAGCCTCAGACTTGTTCGGTTTCTACCGTGACAAGTTTGTGTTATTTCGACAGGCATGTTGCATAGATGTGGATTACTGTGGACTTCACGTTGTCATTTTGATAAACAACGTCCGAACGGTGTCCAGACTCTACACACTCTACCTCTACGTCAAACTAATACGTCTACATCAAGAAATAACGCTTCATAGCTTCCAGAAAAATGGCCGCTGCTGAAAAATAAGACAGCAAACACAGAATGTGACTCTTCAAACATCCGTCCTGGTGTCGGCTGAGCTCATACCTGTAATGTACCAGTTTGAGGAGGGATTAGTTTACCGTGCGCCAATATTTGATAACGTGCAAGAGTTCACAAAGGGGGTAATTTATTTTTCAGGGAATCCATAAGAAAGGCTTCATATGGGATTGAGTGAATATGGATTAGAAAAATCTTTATTCCCATTTACCTAGCAGGCTGGAAAAGACTGTTAATGTGGGAAATGACTTTGTTGAGCTTGACAGCTCTGATCACTAATGAGCATTTGGCTTTGTTCTGGTTCAGCCGCCCCCCTTTCAGATTCAAACAATCGCAGATCAAATGCGGGATGTTGTTTGCATTTGTCGCTTTCCTTGATGAGGGGGCAGGAGGAACAACAGGCTCTGTTTGTGTCGGAGTTTATTAAAAGCCAATTAGTCTTTTAGTTTTAGCACGATTCAAACGGACAATATCAGAGCTCACCGTCCTCCATGACAGGAGGCCTTAATGAGCGCTCTGACTTCTTAGGCTAAAACAACATCCGCATAATCAGTCGTATACATACTGAAACCAGCATGGCTGTCAGTCGACTGTAGGATGATCAGTTTGCCGTCATTTATCAGGCCGTCTCTGATTCAGTTTCTATTTCAGAGTAAACGTGGCACGACTTAGACTCCGTCGTCATCTCCGTGCAGGGATTACATGCTATGGCTGTCACAGCAATTTGCTGCTCCGTAGAGAGAAAAGAAACATGAGCAACGCTGAGACGATAGAGAGAAATTACTCAGTTCAACTCGCTCCTCTGGCAGGAACAGTCTTTGTACAACTTAAGATGACGTTGCTCAAACAGCTGCATCTGTTTACCCGGCCGCCTGACGCTGAGAGCAGGAAATTCAACAAACATGAGCAAACATAGATGCATGTGAAGGGCTGGAGTTGGGATATTTGACAACAGTTTGGGAACAAACGGTTCTACAAAAAGTACAATTGGATTTTTAGATTTTTGATTTTTTAATGTTTCTGTTGTTTTGTTAGAGCCAAGAGAGCAGGCGACTTTTCTGACTGTGACAAGTTAAAGGGATATTTTGCATAGATCTTCATGTGTTCTTGATAATTTTATACAGCAACCCATCCATCCATCCATCCATCTTCAGCTGCTTATCCAGGGTCGGGTCATGGGGGCAGCAGCGTTAGCAGAGAGCCTGAGCTCTTCCCGGGGGACCCTGAGGTGTTCCCAGGCCCGCTCGGAGACATAGTCTCTCCAGTGTGTCTAGGGTCTTCCCCATGGTCTCCTACCAGTGGGACTTGCCCTGAATGCCGCAGCAGCGAGGCGTCCAGGAGGCATCCTGATTCGATGCCAAAGCCACCTCATCTGACTCCTCTAAACGCGGAGGAGCAGTGGATCTACTCCGAGCCCCTCCTGAATGACCGAGCTTCTCACCCTTTCTCTAAGGGGGAGCCCAGCCACCCTCATTTCGGCCGTTTGTACTCACGATCTTGTTCTTTCGGTCACTGCCCACAGTTCGTGACCATTGGTGAGGGTAGGAACGTAGATGGACCGGTATATTGAGAGCTTTGCCTTTCAGCTCCCTCTTCACCATGAAAGATCTGTGCAGCGTCCATATCCCTGCTGACGCCACACCGATCCGCCTGTCGATCTCCCGCTCCATTCTTCCCTCACTCATGAACAAAACCCCGAGATACTTGAACTCCTCCATCTCCGACCTCGGGAGGGCACTCCACCTTCTTCTGGTGCCGATTCTCATCCCAGCTGCTTCACACTCAGCTGCGAACCAATCCAGCTAGAGCGATCATTATTTTAAATTCATTTTTAACTTTGTGCCTTTTTACAGCAGCCTACTGTTTTTGTGAACCTCTTATTTTGCCCTAAAACGCACCTTTGTCGCGGACTAATCCTCAATGAGAGACAAAATTGAATAAATTTAAGAACATCGTTAGGAAAGTGGTGGCAGAGATGAGATTGTTATTCCGCCGTAAAGCTGCACACCTTCTTTAGGGTTGTTGTGATTTCCCATGCTGAGTTGTTATTTTTTACGTCTTGGCCTGGTCCCTCTTCTAAGTGACAGCTTTAATCTCTGCAGGGTCTTGTGGTTGGATTAAGGCTGAATAAAATAATACAAAATAAAGCATATTTGATTCTGCCTCCTCGCCGTCCCTAACACCACTTGACAGTTGTTAATATGAAGCTGAAAAGCGTGCTACAGCGGCCGTAGTGGATGATGACGCCGATCATTGTTTTTATCATTACTCACTTTTTTTTTGCGACACAGATGTTCGCAGGGGAAGCGAAAGGGTGAGTGCGAATCCTTCTGAGTGTGATTCAACGCCGCTCCATAATTGCAAGGCCAAACACAGGGGCCGTTCAGAGGTAACCTTGGTGTAATGTGCAGTAATTTTACAGCCCCCCTCTCTGTGACATCCTGGCGCAAAGTTCCTGCTTTCATTAAAAATGCTGCCATTTTCATCACAGCAGATGCCCCTGCGCTCAGCATATGTGCAAGGTCATAAATCCAGATTACCTACTTCTTGTGTCGCTTCTTGAGCCATCTGGTGTGATTTAAGCAGTGGGCGATTTTTTTTTTTTTTACAACAGCGGCTCCTCCCCGACCGCTGAAAAGGATGGCAACAGCTCAGGGACGACTTGGCCAACACTATAGTCAATTAAAAAAGAGCAAAACACCATTAGTCACTTAATATGCTCCCTTGATTTTTCCTTTTATTACTGTTTGGAGTGTGCATTGTGGATTGCAACCCAAAAAAAAAATGCTCCAAGGCTGTTTTCAAAGCTCTTCAGATTTTCTCCTTTTTTCCCAGTTTTTAATAAGATTCATGATTTTTAATGTTTTCGCTGCAGTTGATCTGCTGTGTTTTTACTGTTCCACATGCGCTCATTAAACAAAGGTGGGGCTTTGCTTTGGCTCTGGTGAGATCCAGTTTCCCAGATTTTTTCATTATAACATCCAACTCGGTCAAATTAAATCTCCACCTGCTGTGACTCTTTTTGCCTGTAGATGGCGGGGTTTCGAGGTGTGTAGCCTGCCGAGATTAAAGGAGGGGGTTTAATTCACAGAAGATTGACTATATTTACTTCATAAAGCACATGCTGGGGTGAAATGCCTCAGCTGTCCTGTATTGGCTTCAGAATCAAGTGGTAAATTCAATCACATATCTGAGGATATAACATCAGGATTAGAGTGCACAGCGCAGCTCTGCACTGAAAACCATCCAGTTTATTTGGACCACAGTTTAATGCAAAACTGATATAAGACGCTCAGAGCTTTAAAAGCCTTTTCCTTCTGAATATTATTACACACCAGCAAATTTGCGAAGCGAATAATTTGCTTTTTTTAAAAACCTCATAAAGTCAATGCAAGCTTCCACACTGCCTATGAACTTCTGCGGTGCAAAAAAACGACGGTAATTTTTTCGCCCCTGCAGCGAATTTTGTGAACATCTGCAGGTGAACTTCTATATAAATCTATAGCCTGGATTTATATATAAATCAAATGCATTTCAACCTCACTTAAATGCAAAACTGAGTTAAGATGCTCAGACCTGCAGAACTTTATCGGCCTTTTCCTCCTGAATTTTATTGACTTAAGTAGCCTTGTGAATAAAGGTCGTTACAGATCGGCGAAATAGCGAAGCGAATCATTTTCTTTTTTTAAACCCTCATAAAATCAACACAAGCTTCCACACCGCCTATGAACTCCCGCAGCACGAAAATTTATTCATTACATTATTTATCATTTTTTATTATTTATTACATTTATTTACTGTAAATTTTTCGCCCCTGTAGCGAATTTTGCGAACATTCGCAGGTGAACTTCTATGTAAATTAACAGCCTGATATAAATCTCACCTCGCACATGTGGCGAGTCGTTGCTCTTGATCAATCAATATAATTTGGCCTCTCCTTCTGCAAGCGTGGAGTCAGCTGATTTTCACATTTCACGTCACGTTTTTTGCGTCACTTTTTCATGTTGCTTTGCTAATTCACCGGTGTGTAACAACCTTAAGACCTCAAGCAGATATCTGGATAAATGGTGCAAAACTCTTAGTGTTATTAGCGGCTATAATCTAGAAGAACCTCTCCATAAGTTTGCTCATTTACAACTTGGTATCAAAACCAAAGGATTTGCTCCAGTGAAGTTTAACCTCTAACCTCAAAGTCAAACCTCCATGTAAACTTAGTGCTGGGCTTTAATCACAGGCAAATAAAAATGTGAGCTTGAGGTAAAATCCCTCAAATCTCTTAAACTTTAATGAGCATATGCTCCGTCCCTCATGAGATGGACCAACTTTTCCTTTTAAAGTTTATTTCAGGGGTTGTTTGTGCCTTTATTTAGAGGATCGGACCGGAGCGGACCAGGAAACTGGAGGGGAAAAAGAGAGAGGAAAATGGGATGCAGTTAAGGGGCAGCAGGTTGGACTCAATGATCTAACCACCAGGCCAGGCCGGCACCCCAGGATCAACTAAATTTGACGCTCTGTTGGCGTTTGGCGAGGGTTTCTGCTCATGCGTTGAATCTGACATTTGAAACTTTTTGATTCTGGGTCACACTGGGACAGGTCTGTCACTTATCCTCTCGTGACTCCCCCCCTCTCCTAACGTGAGGCTTGTTTCCCATCCAGATTCAGAGGAGACAGAAGATTAAACAGCAGTTTGTGTGGAGCCAGCATTACAGCGCTGTTTGATTTAGAGCCATTGTTTCTCTTTTTGAAATCACTGGCTCAATATCAGACCAAGTGTACCACAGCCAGGGGCCACATTTCAATACAGGCACGACTGCAACTTTTCCCAACCTCGCCTTTGAAATACTCCCCTTCAAGATTGTCCTAATTGAACACAATGACAGCGGACAAGAGGTAATCGTGACATCTTTGTGAGTAAAACAACAGCACAGTGTCCCGAGACCATCAGGACGCAATATCAGGAAGTCAATTACAGTAAATCCTTCCCTCTGTCATTTCTGTTAGTACAGCAAACATCTTTTTAACTTTGACTCATTTCTTTAGCAAAAAGACTAAACACAACTCACCTACTCTCTTCCAGCAGCCGCTTGTTTAATAACAATAATAATAATTATACATTTTATTTATAATGCACTTTTACAGGCGCTCAAAGACACCTTACGAAGAAAAAAATATATAATAAAATACAAAAACGCAGTTTAGAATACAGAAAATTTTGAGAAATAAAACCAACAATGCAAAAGGTTGAAAAAGACACAAAATGAAAAGAGCAGTTCACAGGTAAAAAGCCAAGCCAGACCTCAGGCCAGTCCATTACAGACCACAGCGGGGTGCCGCAGCTCAAGGAAGAACATTTATGATCATTTCTTTATCATTTCCTTGAAGTAATAATCACCATATTAATCATTTTGCAGACGCGGTAGTTCTTTTGTCTTAGCATCTCGGTCTGATTGTATTTCCATGAAGAAATGATCATAAATGTTCTTCCTTGAGCTGTGAAACTCCGCTGACTCATCAGTGCTCCCCCACAAACAAGCTGGAAGAGAGTAGGTGAGTTGTGTTTAGTCTCTTTGCTAAAGAAATGAGTCAAAGTTAAAAAGATGTTTGGTGTCTAGTACTATGTCTGTGACCCTATATGTACTGTTGATGAAGTTAGGTGCTGTTCTGAGCATTATTTGTGGCTATAGAGTGGCGTTTTGGTTGAGGTTTGATTATGCTATCATACAGTCGTTACTACAGTTGGTGTAACTAGAGAAGCAAGTGGTCAGCAACATTAATCTCTCGAGGGGCTGTCTACCTCAGTGTTTGACCCTAAATGAATTTTATGCCGGAATATCCCTTTAATGTAAAATGTGATTGGTGAATTTCCAACCAGGACATAAATAGATTCAACACCCTCGCTCAAAAATATCCACTCCTGGAGTCCTCAAACTACAAAACTCAAGGCTCCAACAGAGTATCCACACATGGTAACTGATTCCACGGTGAACAGATCCACTCGGTTTGTACTCTCTAAAGTCCAGACTTGGTATTTTTTCAGTCCACAAGCACTGCAGCTCTCTTGGGTCTACTTTCAGGTGCTTCACATCGTGACACCCCGTCCTTGTTACATAACATTCTCGCTGAGTGCAGCTTTAATTTTAGACACCGAGTTTAGTATAAAATCAGACGTTGCAGCCAGCAGAGACGGCGTTTATGCCAGGAGGTCTTCTGTATCTGCCAGGGACCATTGAGGATATGGCTCTTCTTCAATGCAGCACACCGGGAGAGCTACTGACACCTCTGTAACCCAGGGCCCCGTGATGGAGCATCTCGCCTTGCCAGGTGGACGTGCTCATTGTCCGGCTGCCTTATCTCTTCAGGGCCATTCCTCCTGAAGATCACTGAGACTGACAGAGCAGAAGCGTAGGCATTTCTACAGGAATTTCTGGAGCAGGCGAAGCCCCCTGGGGAAAAGCGTTGGCGATGCAAGCGGGGAAAAATCTGAGGCAGTCTTGAGCACTCTAAACAGTCTCTGAGATTCAGAACCTGGTTTTTAATTACCATCAGAGGGGTGTATTAACGATGCGCCGCAGATAAGGACAGTGAATGGACTCAGTCTCTCACTCTCGCTGCTGGAACAGCTATAATGTATAGAGGTAGAGGAGCAATTTAAAGCACCCTTGGGACTCGATCGATGAGACGGCCCGTTTGTGTCCTAATGCATTATATTTGACAGGTGATTCCATATCTCAGGATGGATGGTTATTGTACAACTAACGCAGAACTGGAGTTTGATGGGATGGGAGAATCTTTCTGTTCAGGAGGGGAAAAAACGTCTTAAATGACTCCTGACATTGTGGCATCCTCGGGGAATTTGGCACAATGTCAGATGTAAAAACTATAACGTGAGGATGCAGATACATGGAGTCGACTGTGTGGACTATAAATACTTAAAAAGCCAAAATGATAATAAACAAATCAATCAGAATAAAGTGCGTCAAGTGATCGAAATCTAAAGTGGTTATAGAAGACAGAAGTGGGTTCTCCAATGTGCATGTGTTTAAAATAACGCATAAAAACATTATAATCGAAGAAAATGCATGCACGTATGTTCCTGTGCTGGAGAAACATCTTAAATGCAGCCCTGTTAAGTGCAGCTGCAGCAAGTATGTTATTTATGCGGATCAATACTGTCAGGAGCGAGTGATTGAAAACATGGGAGAAAAGGCAGCGTTTGGCTGAGAAAAAACTTCAGTTATCGGAAACACTTTGACTTCAGATTGACGGAGGTCGAGCAAAAGGAAATTGTTAGCAAAGTTTGTCACGCTGTCGTGTCTGTCGTGACCAACTTCCAGGTTTTCCCCAATGTGCAATGGACCGTGGTGCACTGCCACGGTTAAATGAAAGCCGCCGCATGTTAAAAAAGATTTTTTTTTTATTTACGTGTCTCTAACTCATACTTATATGTACAAGTAAGAGTACACGCATGGGCGCTGCACCTTGGAGAGCTGATGATTTCTTATTTTTTTACTTGTTACTAATTTATTTCTGCCTGTTGTTTTGAGTAATATTTAAAGTTAGGTTTTGTTTGTTCAATAAGTACTCAATTTTTGAAACCAATAAATAATCGTGTATATTGATCGTGATTTCAATATCAGTCAAAATGGGGACAGTCCCTGATTCGATGAGCTGTCCTCAGAAATGTCCCCCGTTTTAAGCGTTTCATGATGTTTCTAGAACAACGGTTTTTACGGTAGCCGAGTAGGTCGGCAGCACGAGTAAGCATGTTGAGCACAGTCCTGAACAACAGTTTTTATGGGGGGTTATGATGAGGGGGGCGATATTTTTTAGGGGAAAGTCCCTCCTCCTTCGCCTCTGATTGGCTAGAAAAGCTTGAAACGTCATCACACACTCAAGCCGAACGCAGGCTGTCGGCTCTGTACATCGAACAGAACATTAGAGAACATTATCACACTCCTGAATCTCCTAACCTGACAGACGATGACGTTTCACAGCCAAAAGGAATAACCAATTGGAGACCAGCACTTCTAGCCAATCAGAGGTGGAGGGCGGGACCTATCCCTACCACCTACAAAATTCGCTTACAGGGGGCACTTGCTGCTACTAAGTAGTACCGAGTTGTTGTCTGAGGATGTCCCTGGATTTCATGACAGAAATCATGTCACCCTAAAATAATCCTGATTATTATTTTTGTCATCATCGTCCAGCTCTGGTTTAAAGTGTCTGATTTATTTTACATCTTTTAGCAGCTCCATGATTTAACACTTTACATTATGCATTTTCTTAAACACTCAACGTGCGTGTTGCAAACTGCAGGTGAAGTTTGTCCCAGTTAAGAGGGTCAGTCCTTGTGTTATTAATGAGAAACATATAAGAGAAAAGTAATCTCCTCAAGTGTTTATCCCCCGGCATCGATAAGGAGGGATTATTCAGGAATTACCATAAAGTTCTGGTTAAAAATGCATCATCTTTTACAGTCGGGATGTCTGTTTTTCACATAACAAGCCTGCTGCCGCTCATGTGGGATTTTACTATCACTGATTCTGGCAGCAGACGAACACTGGACTCTGAAGTCAACACTCTCCTCTTCTGTGCCAGGCATGAGTCTTTTTATTGCATATTACACAGCTTAATGAGGTAAGAGATTAAGATGTTGCCCTCACATTGCGAAGGCTTTATTAGCACATTGGATTGAGAATGACTCGGCTCCGCTCGGCGGCTGCCTCTCCTGGCATTGTTTGGGGTGAGAGTGATGGAGTGCTTGATGAGTATTCTGCAAATCTTTAATTCGGATGTAATTTCTAACCGTGGAATTTGCAGTTAGCACACGGGGATTTCATACGGCCTTGAAGGTTGGCCAGACGGTTTTTCATTTGATTTAAGTCAGAGGTTATTGCCTGTTGTAATTATACCATGATGATGCGCCTCGGCTTTAAAAAGAAACCATATTTAACATTCCTGCTAAACCCTGCCGGGGAAAACGCGTGAACTCAAAACCTGCTCTTGTTAATATTTGTGGTCAAATCATCTGCAATAGCCGTTTAACGTGTGTACATGCAACGATTACCGCTCAGTTTATTAGAAGTGGTGGCGTTTGCAGTTTCCCACATGATTCCCATCACCTGTACGTATAGGATGAGTCACTTTTGGTGCAGTTACCAAGTACCAGCTCATGAGTATTAAATAACCTCACTGTTATTATTCATTATTAAGTATTTCTCAGCTCGAGAAACTCTTGAACCACTTTAAAAGTCCTCCTCGCGCCTCATAAGGGTTTTTCTCACCTTTAGAGCTCTCTTAAGGGCTGAAATGCTTCATGAATAACTCTAGTTTTGCAAAGATCTTGTCTGAACTTGCAGGAAATCTTGCAGGAAACACAATCATACATCAACACTGGACCTCAAACTGCTTTTGGGCATTCAAAGGTGGAAAAGGCCGTATTTGAGGAGTAAACGTTGCATATTTCCTTTGTAATTTTGTAATTTCCCAGCAGACAAACATGTTGCTCGGGTTTTGAAACAATCGTAATGCTTCTAATGCTTCTATTACAGACATGACTGACTCTGGGACGGCACCAGCAGGGAGGGCGCTGACATTATGAGGCTGGAATGAAGGAGCTGCATGGTGCGCAAGGTAGGAAAGAGGCTTTACATGAGGACGGTGTAAAGATACAGATATTTTACATTTGAATGCATGGTTAAAACAGCAGATTTTTGCAAATTTAGTGGTGTGAAAGCGAGATATGAAGGCTGTGTTTGCATTTACAGTCCGAGCATGAGTCTCTAAAATCAACCTTGGTTTGAAATTGGAGCATTTTATTATGCAAATCATACTGAATACCAACTTCAGTAATGGTGCTACATCTTTCTTTATATATATATATTTAGCCTTTTGGATTAAAAGGTACACTTGCAGGACTCAGAGGAGTCAGGATGAGCAGAGAAGACATTTCTCCGAGCTAAAGAAAAGGATTGACTTCAGCTTCTATATTAACCCAGGAGGTGAAGGCCTCTGCCTCCTCAGGTCAGGATGCTCCCTGGTATCTGTGGTGCATCACAGCCCTGCAGGGCCGCTATGGGTGGGTAGTATCGATCGGGTGGGGTGTAAAGGCAACTGGCATGGGAGTTCACAACCGAGATAGTGTAATTCTCCAATCTTGATCTGGATGCTTCCTGTCGTGAGCCACACTTTTTTTTTTTTGAGGTGTGATGTCTGGAGTTTAGCGGATGGGGAGTAGAGCGTGACTCTTCCACTACATCCCGGGGTGAGAAGTGGACCCACCGTGACAGACAGCGTGACCTTATAGCTTTATTGGAACCAGCGTTTAAAGGAGCAGCTCTGTGGGGAGACGGAGCAGCAGGGCCGACGTTTGACCTCATAAACTCTGGCATTGATTACATGTTATTAAATCTTTACGGCTCTTGTGAGGCGAACACTTACGCTGGGATTTATGAAATTCCCAAAGGCCTGAGTGAAAATGTAAAGGTTTGCAGAGGAGAGCGCTATAAGGGGGGCACATTGTGTTTGCTTTGGATCAGGGGACACCCTTAACGCCCCGTGGTTTTTGCCTAAAGGTTAAGACTTTTCTTTTTCTTTGCTGTGGTTGAATAAGAATATTTTCCTCTTATTTATGAGGAAAAAAACAGCAGCAACAGCTAAGGCCGAAAAAGAAAATTGCCAGAGCAGAATCTGAGTCAAACGGCCCTGGTGAGAATACAGCAGATGTTAGCGTAATTGGTGGCGCCATGGTTGCTAACAGCAACAGAGATAAAGCTGCACCGGCTCCTGTTGACCACCTTTTACTGATGAAACATGAACAAATCAGACCACCAGCAGGCACTCACAGCTACTCTGCATACTTTATTTCAAGTTTGTTTGACATCAGTGTGTTCGACACAAACTTCAGTTATTTATCTGAAAGTTTTGCAAAGTTATGAAGTTGGAAATGCAACTTAGATTTAAGTCAAAACCACAGAAACAGCAGCCCTTCAAATACAGAGAATAACGTCCTGTCTGCGGTAGTTAGGTCGATTTATGAACCAATAACCCCAAACAAACAATAATCATCATTTAGGAGTCCTGAGAAAGGCTATAATGTGACTCTTAGAGGTCAAATATTAAAATAAATAAAGTCATGATAAAGTTTTTTTAATTGGTTGAAGTTTATTTTGAGCATATAAAAAATAAAAATAATACAAAAGTAAAGAACAAAACAACAAATGATAAAAAGTTATTTATGTTCAAAAAGGGAATGGGAAGGAGTCAAAACTTATCTAGTCCCTCCTCTTCTTCTACACTATTGATTTATATGATATTATATAATAATAGTAATAACCATAATCATCATAATAATAGCAATAAGAATAAAAACCATAATGAAAGTTATAATCAAACAAAAATAATGCCGTCTTGTTGTGAGGTTATGATGTTGTGATAATTTCCAGCTGTCTTGTGAAATTGTCCCTAATGTTTTGGCCTCTCAGCACCACACTGTAATAAGTCTGTGACGTGACGCTCAAAACAGCGCTATGCTAATAACTGATTCAATTAACAACTTTAAAAAGGATTTAACTTTATTCAGGTGAGGATAATTTTTATAATAATTCACCTTTTTTGTCTTTTCGTGTGGCTCTGATACTCTAGTGTTCAAACCAACATTCGTATCTCGACCTAAAATCCTTCTGGGAAGACAGAAGGTCAAAAATACATACATATATTTTAAATCATCATAACTTTAGTCAGATTCTATCACAACAAATTAAAGGATAAACTGCTGCTGTCTGCTAATAAAGCAGTATAAGTGGTGCGTGCCCGCTCTGTTTATATGTGGTTTTGCTGTCCATGTGTTACATGCCGTTTCCATGGTGACTCTCACAGTGACTCTGGCATCATTGGACATATTAGTCATGAAGTATTAGTCATATTAGATATAGAAAAGTACCTGCTGCTGCTCTAATTATGATTCAGTTTGTTAGATTTCAAACTTCACGTATAGATGCTTCAGGACGTCTTCAAACTTGGTGTTCTGTGCGAGTGGATTGACTCATAAACGCCGCTCGCTTCGTCCGGTGAGAAGCTTATCTCGACGGCCTCTCGCCGTCATTCTGCAGAACTCCGGCTGGACGCCACATTTAGCAGCAGACGCTGACACGCTTGACCTCTGCCAGTGAGACACACAAGCTGGATTACCTGGTTATACGTTCCTGATTCTCTAATCCCTGATCTGTCTCGCAAAGATTAGCACTCAGGAAATCAACCACATGCAAGGCGGAGAAGTGACACGCCTTAACTCCCCGGCACCTCCCACCAAACTGTCCAACTATCATCTATTCCTCGAACGGCACTGAGGCTAACTGTTAGTAAGCAGCTGTGTGAGCCGGTGGCTTTAAAATATTCAGTGAGCTATTTCCAGCTTCTCCAAACATTGCTCTCATTAGATAATGATTTTCCCACCAGCATGCTAAGGAGAGCGGTTGTTTGCTGGGCTTCATAAGAGCGAAAACACCACGGACGTGCTCTTTGTGTTCAGATTTATACACTCCTCCAATCCTTTAGGACTCTGACTGTGAGTTTCATGATTTTATTGGACAGGAAGCATGCAGCTGCACATTAGAAATCTACATCTACACACTCAGACTGCACGTTTGTTTTTCTTACAGACTCTTATTACAGAAACAAATAATTCCTTTATCATCCTGATGAAAATAAAAACACGCGTCCCCTGAAAAACCTTGGATGCACGCTGCAGGTGTATCCAGGACACAGTAGCTCAGTGTAATCAGCTGACAGACCGCTGATTGACTCATTGATTCTCATCAGTCGGACACCAATCAGAGCCCATTCCAACAACAAGGCCGCCGCAGGTCCCTCTGGGCTGATCCCTGCTAGCATGCTTCTGCTGGGATAATCCGGGGAGCACCTTCAGAGCAGAGCCGGCGCAGCAGCGGGCGCGATGACTGGAGTATTACTAAATAAATATTTTTATTGCATCACGGGTCCTTATCTTGTTTTTGTAGTAAACATCCTTCCGGACTTTCATGAGGTGGTCCTGGGCCATGAGATCTCCATGTATAAACAGGAGGAATACATCAGCATATCAACATGTTTACTTCAGCAGCCTTGGAGAGCTTATAGAGGATGAGGGGATGTTCAAGATTACCCCTTTAATGAGAAGAAACCACTTTATTTATTTATCTGCATACATAAAAACATCGCTCCACCATCCTGACTTGACTCATGTGATATACATCTCTCTATAGGCCGGTGCTTCTAACTCTGTTTCCTCGTTTTTGCTCAAACACAGTCTCATAAAATTACTGAGATGAACCGAGACGCTGATGACTCAGATTGGGACTAAAGTATTGACTGCAACCAGATCTGCAAAATAATAGGGGTGGGAGAAGAAATGGATTCACAGAAGAATTGCGATTTTTTTGTTTTACAATTTTTAAATTTTTACTTTTTTTTTTTTTAGGTATAAATCTTAAAAACTGACGTACATGTGATGTTTATTTTGGGGGAAATTTGGTTCCTGGAATAGTCAATAGTCAATCATGATCATGTAACTGTTTCACTCAGGTAAAAAAATGGAGACTGAAAATCGAGAAAATCCACAATATCGTAGAATTTAAATCGAATCGACATCCAAAAAAATGTAGAAGAATCGAATTTAGGAGAAAAGCACATGGTCCCAGCCTGACAAAACAGAGAAGAGGACATGAACTTGTTGATTGAGAAAGACTGTTTTATTAATGCAGGTGCAAAAAGAATTGCAGTTCCCTTAGTGTCCACTTGAGGCTGGTCCCAAAAGCCAAGGGATCTCCATTAGGTTTCATGTTTAACAATGATTTGGAGGATTTAGTTCATTTAATTATCTATAACCACGAACTGGTCCAATCAGCAGTCCAAAGGGTTAACTATGTCAGCGAACTTTTATAGTTTTAAACTTTTAGAGTTAAATGAAGCCAATGCTGAAGTGCAAAAAGAATTACAGTTCCTGTAGTGTCCACTTGAGGCTGGTCCCAAAAGCCAAGGAATCTCCTTTAGGTCTTAATTATTTAGCTCAATTAATTATCTAAAATCACAAACTGGTCCAATCAGCAGTCCCAATGTGAGCAAACGTGTATAGTTTTAAACTTTTTATAGTCAAAGCAGGACAGATATGGGCGTGCTGTAGTTCTACGCCAACTTGGCGTCACGCTATATGATTGGCTGGAATTTGGTTCAGATGGCGTAGAAGATTGTGGTTGGTCTGGACATTATGGAAGCGGTTTTCACCGGATTGTAGTTCTTCAGAGAAAACATGGACAAATTTTATGAAGCAATCTGTCTTTATTTATCAAAGGGGACTTACGACATGCGGACTACCACCTCTTTAAGTCGCCAAAGGAAACATGGAAAAAAAGCAAAACTATCCCTTGATAAACAGAGATTCCTGCGTACATCTTTATTACTTCTTTTTTTACAACATTGCAATGGAGTTTGTCTGAGTGGACTTGCCGTTGTGTAAAAACACATCTGAAACCTACACAGTTCTACGGTTTTGTTGTTTTCGTCCTGATAACACAGTTTATAGTAAGAACTCACACGTGTTTCCGCTCCTCTGTGTTGTCTTCTTCAGTAAAAGTTCTCCCCGGCTCTGATTCAGGTAAACTTGGAGTCTGACTAAGATAACAGAGACTTGACTCACTCTCAGCTTTAGTGACTCAGACTTGAACACCGTGGTTTTCAGACTCCACTGTGTGATGTTTGGTTTGGTTACGACTTTCCTCTCCAACTCAGTTTGATCACCGAAACAGAATTTTAATTAAACGCACCAAACGCTCATTTGTGAAGTCGGATCATTTCGAGGCTAATTCTGTGGCCTGGTGTCACATTTTAATAATAAGTCGATGAGTGCAGAGTAGAGCCTTTAAACTTTAGGACGGAGTAAATAAGTAATACAGCTCAGCCACAAATCATCCTGAAAACCTCAGCCAGTGAGTGACTCAGACGTGTAAAACCATGTAATGGTCCATGTCCCATTTTCCTCCAACAGTCGGCGTAGGGTAATATGATTATTGATCTTCCTCTGACCTTTCCTCTGCACCGTGTAACATTAACAGACACCCACCGAAGAGAAGCCCGAATGAGGAGGGCAAACATTAATTTCCTCTGTTCACTGTTGACTGAAATAAAATCACATTAGAGCTCCATGGTAACGTTTTATTTAAACCGACTTTTATGTGCCGGCCAAACAAATGGTTCTCCCGGTGCATGCGGCACATGTGTGTGTGAGGCATGTTGCATGAATCTGAAGTGGTGTTCCGCGGCGCTAGAAGAACATAATGAGTGTTCCCTCCTGAGGAACGCAGTGTGGGGGAGACAGGAAGACGGAGCAGGCCTCGCATACAGATCAAGAAGCTTGAAACATTTGCGAACAGCCTCACTTCTCAGTGGGAGAGCGCCGTGTCGTTCCAAGATTGCGGAGCGGCGATGTTTGGTGTCAAAGCAGCCGTGACGGAGGGAGGCGGGGACTCTTCGGCTTGTTGTGTTTAATTTCGCTCGATTGTTTCTCTGTATCCTCTGTGATATCATCCATCGATTCCTGAAGAGAGGTTTTAAAGCCCAGTTGTGGCGTTTGCCATTTTGGAAAAACACTGACCCAGAGGTGGAGGTGAGGTGGACATTTGACCGTCGAAAGTTTTCCCGGTGAGTCTGGAGGTGTTGTGAGATTTCTTTCCCTCTCAGTCTGGAGGACGGACAAACTCTCACATACAGTTTTAGAACGTTTGTCGGTATGGTTGCGGGTGTTGATTGGCAGATGGTGTGATACGTTATAGTGAAGTGGAGGTGATATCTATAGCTGTTGGTGGTGGATACATCATTATTTCCCACATATGGACTTTTGGCTGCTTCGCTTTGCTATTCTCATCGAGTTTTGGCTTTTCTTGGATTCACTCTTGGTTTTTATCGTCAGGATTTGATTTGATCGTCCCTTTTTGGTTAAATCGAGGCCAGAGATGAGTTTACTACATAGAGTATATGTCCTACTTTAGAAGAGCTCGACTTTATCCCAGAGAGCTCCGAACAAGAGTGAAAGAAACTCCCAGAACAAACGCTGTCTGTGTTTGTGTTCGGGACAGAGTTTGTTCTCCAGTCAGAGATCAGATGTTGATTCCCTCGGCTGTTTTGAAGGCTTCGCCATCTGTGTGTGAGAGTTCGAGGAGTTTAGTCGTATAGAAGTTCTGAGAGTGTTTCTCAAACACATAAATCATCTGATCCAAATCACCCCCGATCTTAATAATGCCATACTTTAGTTTAATTCAGTCTTTTACACCCCAGGACTCTTCTACTACAGAGCCATACTGTTGTAATACATTCATAATGTGGTCTGGCTGGTCTATTTGATATACTTAAGGCCTCTTCTGTTTGGTTTCAATCCAGTCTTTGCAGATATGTTTGTCAGGCACTGATGTGTCCTCTTATATTCAAGGATGCAATGGGCGTAATCAGCGTAATCACGTCATATTATTAGTCATATTTTGGCTAGAGGTGGATAAACACTCAGAAGCGATTCCTATCCCTACATATATATCCTCTGTTTTTATATGCCTATGTATAAAATGAATTTAATATGAACAAATGACTTTGATCACATTTGATTTGGTAGACGACAAGGCTCAAGAAAAGGAGGTGAAATTGGCGTTTTTCCACTCCGATAGACACAGCTGTTTAAAACACACACTTTATCAATAAATACAAGTCATGACATAGTGCAGAATAATTGGCATTGAAAGGGTAATACATTGAATTTTTCATTAAAATTTTTTAATGGTTAGGGCTGAAATTGTTTAAGAGATCTGAGTCGAGAAAAGTAAAAAAGAAAAGTTTAAAAATGATTATTTTATGAACATTTATCTGCATGTCTGTTTTGGGGACAAATTAAGCTGGATGGAGCTAGAAAAAAAATGGAAATTGGCACCACAAATTTTTTTTTAAATGCACCAAAATCAATTTTACTTCTCATTATTGACATGACCCAGACTCTATTTATTAAAAAAATAATTCATCTAAGTCATTTTATATTGGAAATATGGCGATTTTGTGTTTTTTACTATTAAGAATTACAGTGACATGATGCTCAATAACTGGCATAAAAAGGATGTCACATCAAATGTTTCATTTTTTATTTTTTCAATGGTCAGAGCTGAAGTTGTTTGAGGGATTTGAGTCGAAAAAAAGTTAGAAAAATATTTAAGAAGGACTATTTTATGAACACGTATCTTCATGTCTGTTTTGGGGACAAAGTAGGCTGGATGGAGCTTAAAACAAACAGGAATAAAAGGTTAAGGTCTCCTCTGTTCAGTACTGATCCAGTCTTTGCAGATATGTTCACCAAGCTTACCAATGCGTCGACTCCCACTACAGAGCAGTTCTGCCTGAAGGCCTAAAAATCCATCCAGTGTTGGTTTTTGCGTCTAGTCTCTTTTTAAAAACAGATTTCTCCAGATTTTCTGAGGAAATCCTAAAATTATTCGACGATATTCTCAAACCTCAGAACTGTTCGCTCACACGGTTTCTCACAGCGGTGTGCGCACGGCGAAGAGATAAATCTCTGGGGGCAACATTGACCTCCTCTTTGCTATGATGACACCCTCTTTTTTTTGCATTCATATCAACGCCAGGCGTTCTGCATGGATGTGCAGATGTCTTTCCTGTTGACGTCTCGAAATGATCCACCGTCCTCAACCTTGGATGATTTATTCCTCCTGCTGGGGCGTCGCTCCTCCGAGCTCACATCGATCACATGATCGCATACACTTCATCACCTCAGCCAGCACGCACTCACGCACGCTCGCCTGCAGGCTGACACCGTCTCACATCAGCTCTACCTGGAATAAGCAGGTAACTGACAGACGAATTAGAAAAGACTGGAGTTTGTGGTTCAAACAGCGAACTTTAGATTTGTTCAGCTGTATTTTTACGACCGTTTGACTCTCATCTCTTTTCATTCCTGTTTGGTTTTCCGCTGGCTTCTGTCAAAAATGGATTTTTCATACAGTGTTTCTAAAACTCTATATAACTCTGCCGAAAAAGGCCCGGTTGTTTTCTATCACTGTCTCCTGTCTGAGGCCGTGCGCTCTCAGGAGTCTAAAACAATCTGAGTGACGCAGGTGTCTCCACAATGCATCCTCTTTACCAGAATGACATCTGACAGCGACAATTTCCACCCAACATTTCGGTTCTGGCTCCCGGCTCCCTCTCTGAGAATCCCTTTCAGACATTTAGGTGATGTCGCTGCGAAAAAAACATGCTTGTCACTTCAGGTTCTTATCAAACTCTCTTGACTCAGCATAATGAGAGGCTCTTAAATCCACCAGCGAAGGATAACGTGCTTCCATGCAGCGCGCCGGCTTTGAACTAACAGTGTTTAACCATCTGAGAGGCTTTCAGGACATATTGAAAATGATCCCCAGGCCTGGAAGAGTTTGTACTGGTTTGTTTCCGCATCTGGGACACAAACTAAAACTGGGTCTGACCGGGACTCTAGCGATAAAACGACATTATTCTAATTGGTCCCTTGGATGGTGCAATCTCCCTTTCTCCTTGAAGATCGCAGCTCAACCCTCTTTAAATATTACCTTCATTTTTCTAATGATACCAACACCCTCTAAAAGCTTCAGACCACTTATTTGTCAAGGGAAGTCCTTTTTAAGAGCCCCCTGTTTTGTGGAAAGTATGAGAAAGCACTGTCATCTGCATTTTCTCCCACCTACAAGCTAGAAAATGAGGTTTTATTGTCGCTATTATCTCAAAATGTTTCCCTCAAAGTGTTATATTTCACGACTGGTAAGAAAGTTTTAAATGTTAGCCGCTGTAAACCGTCAGATCCACCTCGCCTATATATCTGTCAGGTGGGGTTAAAGGGTTAAAACAGAGAATAGCTCAGTAAAGCTGAATTGCAGACAGCCTGTGGCAAACCCTGTCTGCGTGAGAGTGAAACCTTTTGACCCGTGACTTCCCACAAAGTCC